GCGACTTGAAGGGACGAGGCTCTGGTACCACGACAAGGCCTACGTCAGGCTTGGTGACCAAAAGGAGCTCATTCAGAAGATCCACGAGTCAAGACTCGGGGGACACATGGGAATCGGCAAGACAATCGCGAAAGTCAAGCAGAACTACGACTTCCCAGGAATCAAACAGGCGACAGAAGCAGTCCTAGCAGAGTGCGACCGCTGCGGACGAAGCAAACCAGGACGACACAAACCATATGGGCTGTTGCAACCATTGCCAGTCGCAGAACGACCATGGAGTTCGGTGACGATGGACTTCGTCACCAAACTACCAGTCTCCCAGGACTCAGTAACGGGAGTGGAATACGACAGCATCCTCACAATGGTGGACAGACTCACCAAATGGAGCTACTTCCTCCCTTACAAGGAAACATGGTCGGCAGAACAACTCGCAGATGTGATCTACCGCAACATCACCTCGGTCCACGGATGGCCGGAGGAATGGATCACAGACAGGGACACCAAGTTCGCATCAAAATTTTGGCAGGCTCTGATGACAAGATTGGGTACGAAGAGTAAGCTTTCAACCGCTTACCACCCACAGACGGATGGACAGACGGAACGACTCAACCAGGTCGTCGAGCAATACCTACGGTTGTACGTCAATTTCCAGCAGGATGACTGGGTCGAGCTGTTGCCAACGGCACAACTCGCCTACAACACCACCGTCACGGAGACCACGAAGGTCACGCCATTCTTCGCGAATTACGGCTACGAAGCAGATTTGCGACAAGGGCCCGAGGTTTCGGTGCCCAGAGCGGCAGTCAAAGCCGACAAGATGAGCTCGCTGCACGCGATGCTCAAGGAGGAACTCGAGTTCGTACGAACCAGGATGAAGAAGTTCTACGACAGAAACAGGCTCGAGGGACCTCGCCTAGAAGAGGGGGGCAAAGTTTACCTCATTTCTCGAAATCTTCGCACAAAACGACCAAGCAGGAAGCTCGACTTCCGCAAAATCGGGCCGTTCAAAATCGACAAAAAGATTTCGGAGAACAATTACGCACTCGCGTTACCCTCGACAATGCGACTACGGACCAACGTTTTCCACATCTCGCTTCTGGAACCAGCGCCCAAGGGCGCACGACTCGACAAGGACGCCGAGGCAGAAGATGAAGAGGAGGAATGGGACGTTGAGGAAGTCCTAGACTCACGCATCATGAAAGGACAGTTGGAGTATTTGGTCAAGTGGCTGGACTTTGGTCCAGAAGACAATTCATGGCAACCAGCTACGAATCTCAACTGCCCCGAGAAACTCCAGGAGTTCCACCAGAGGAACCCGGATCGACCAAAGGAGGCGTCAAGGACCAGTCGAAGTCGGCAGGGAAGTCGGCGAAGGAAGCACTAAGCAACGGTTAGGAACCAACGCCACGCAACACGGCAAACACGAACCTCGGAACCCAGGAAGGGTCGGACAAAGCCTCCTCAGGAACAGGCTCCACTGTTGACTGAGCAGCAGCATTCTCAGCCTCTCGTCGCTTCGACTCTTCTGTTTCCTGCCGCTCCAGTTCTTCCAAATCCTCGATGGTAGTGACACCACGGGATAAGGCACGAGACATCTTCTCAGACCACCTTTTCTTCGAGAGACGAAGACGATTTATCTTCGCGTCCAGTTCAGCCCGTTGGCGCTCGGCTTCTTCCATTTCAGCGTCCAACTTATCGTACTGGCTAGTGATACGACGCAGTTGCTGCAGAGTAACGCCTTGAGCGTCACAGTGAGGCTCATGGTGAGAGACGCACTCATAACAACTCGCGGAGTCGGAGGGAGACGCCTTGCACGTGTAACCCCGAGATTCACAGAAGGAACAGGAACGCTTCATGGTGATGGCGTTTCGGAGGATGGCTTCAAGAAGGGCGTCGCGTTGTTCAGCTTTCTTTTCAGCGGTCAACGACCTGGTGGGTTTCTCCACGCGATTCCCCATGATGATCAGCAGGGTAAGGGGGTAAAGGAAGAAGAGTACCCACCTGGGATTCGGGCTGTTGGCGCTACTTAAGGGATGGGGAGGTTGGCAAGTCTTTCGGGACGCAAGACCTGGAGGAGGGGCATCGTGTCACGGTCATGGTCGCATGCAGGGCTATGTGGGGGCTGCGCGGGAAGCGCCCCAAGCCAATCATTAAGAATGGGCCTCCGGCCAATCAGCAGAGGAACGGAGGGAACGACTACCGTTCCTCAGGTGCCATAAGGAACGAAGGGAACGGCTACCGTTCCCTATGTTCCTAGGGAAAAGTACGAAGGTACCTATGGACTTAGATAGTATATAGTCACTCGTTCTGGAGAGCTCTGGGAGTTCTCCAGTTAGCAATCACAACTACAGTTCGCTACAAGATCGAGAGCCTACTGTTGAGACAAGTCTTTGTTGTGCACCTTTTGGCTGCACCGAACCTAAGCACCCTTGAGAGAATACCTTCGACCGATACTGAACCCTAACAGGACGGGTCCAGAGACAGGTTCGTCACACCGACGAGCATATCGAGAGAGTTATATTGGTGGTTAAGAAGCGGGTAGTCTAGAGGAGAGTTCGAAAGCGGCGGCACTTCGTATTTATCGTTATTATTATTATTATTATAACCAGGTACTTACAAGGAAGCCATCTATAACACTGTAAGTATACGAAGGTAGGTATAGGTTACCCAACTTACTATAGGTATATACGTGCCTGCAATTTAACAGCGCTTTTGAAGGAATTACGCGATGTAAATACAATAGATGTCACGGATATGGTCACATGCAGCCGGCCAGCGGGGCGCGCTGGCAGCGTCCCGGGCCAATCAAGACGGGACGCCTAGCTACCAATGAGAAGGAGATCTGTGGTGGTTACAATGATCTATGGACAGACCACGGCAGTGGTAACAGATCAAGGGGCTCGGCCTCCTGGATCTGTTGACGACCCACCACGGATCACGCAGATCCAGGTACAGAGGTACCTAGGAATTAGATAGTATATAGTCACTCGTTCTGGAGAGCTCTGGGAGTTCTCCAGTTAGCAATCACAACTACAGTTCGCTACAAGCTCGAGAGCCTACTGTTGAGACAAGTCTTTGTTGTGCACCCTTTGGCTGCACCGAACCTAAGCACCCTTGAGAGAATACCTTCGACCGATACTGAACCCTAACAGGACGGGTCCAGAGACAGGTTCGTCACAATAGATTTTAACAGCGTTTTTGAAGGAATTGCGCGATACAAATGCGATAGATTTTAACGGCGCGGATTGAATTCAATTAAATTGATGGATCTGGATAAGGAAAAAAAGAGGCGCAACGGCCAGGGTTGGGGTTATATATGGTGGGGTGTCATGTGATACAGTCCCGCGGGACCGGTATGGCAGTCCGAGGAGCCCGCCTCATATTATTAGGTAAGGTAAGTCGGTAGGTAATGAGGAGGAAACGAGAAGGGTACAAAGTGTGCCGCATCAATTATTACCTAGGTAGGTAGACGACGTTTTCGAGAAAGCCCTCACTTTTCACCATCTCCACAACAGGATACCAGCTGTCAGGGATACCTACCTACCTAGGTAGTTTCTAGTCTTCGTGCTTGTTCAACGCTGCGGTTTCTTATCTTCATAGCTGCCAGCACCTTCTGCGACTCTTCCGAGCAGCCAGGAAATTTTTCTGTTCAAAAGCCTAGCTACCTAGGAAGATGCGATAAACCTAGGTATGTATGCGCGATTGAATTATTCCCTTTGGAGGGATGCTGTAAAAAACAACTGTTGAGAAAAGCAGGCCGAGTTGAGCTGCCGCTATAGGGCGCCCGTCGGCTGACCGAGTTGACTCGTGGCTACGGTTTGGCCAGCTCCAATGATAGGACTAACTGGCACTACGGCTACTTGACCTCTACCTAGGTGCTTTTACTTTCATTGGAGGACAGCCTCTACGTAGAATTTGTACAGATATAGGGGATTGCCGGTTTTTAGGGTAGGGAGTATTCTTGCTTAATATGCCCATAATACCTACCCCTGAGCCCCCAGTGACCCCTAATAGAAAAATAGGGAAATGTATATCTGGGGGGGCATCCATCCGAGGGCTACTTGGTGTTCCTGGAGTGAAATTTGTCGTCTATAGTAGTCTAACGCCCTAAACTTGAACAGTCCAAAGTACTAAACCCGAATGGCTGTAGTAGGAGACACACTAGCCAAACTCAGCTCAGCTTTGGGGAGTGACACTAAGGTGCCCCTTGGCGGAATAAGATCAAGTAAGGTGAAGTAAAAGCATCGAGCTAGCCAAGTGAAGCCATGCCTCGTCGAGGTAAGCCTGCGGCTTGCTGCTGGGATATTTCATCTATGAAATACCGAAGGAAGAAGAAGCGATTGTGCCACACTCGAGCGTCCTATATGCCCACAGCTGAATAGAAATGCCACGAGGACTCGTATTAATAGAAGGAAGCGGCGCGTCGCACAACCGTAACCCCGCGGGATAGGGAAGCTCCTTCTGGGCTTAGGCGGCGTTAAAACACCTGCTGCCCACGATCCCAGCCTACCACGTGCCTTCAAAGATGAAGTCGCCGACACGGATCAAAGTCCACCAGCTGCCGTCGTTTATCTCTCGTGATTCCGTTGGCATTGAGAGCGCCAGTGGGCCTCCTCCGCTTGAGGACAGCATGAGACCAACTCGAGTCTCGTGGAAAAGACTCCCAAAGCGGGCGCTGCCTTTTCCATCGCTACCTAACTTGGTCGATCTACCTGTTCTTTATCCTCAACCTGTGGGCCTCACCCTGGAAGTCTGGGACACCGAGAACAAGAAGGATTATGGAAAAGCTGGTTTCTCCATCGGAAGGCTGCCAGCCCGGCGACAATTTCAGCCCCTATTCCAGGATCTATTCACCGTGGGTGTTGGCCGATATCTTTGAAATTACCTTGGGTTTTGGAGCACTGTCATTTACCCAGGCAAAACTCATTGACATTTCCTGGGACTTGGTGAGCACTTCCTTTTTATCGTCTTGAGGTTTCAAGGATACATACATGTAGACCATGGCTAATGACGGTATTACCAGGTTGTCGGAAGAGGAGCTCAAGGAGCCATCGCCTACATATCATGCCGCGTCGTCGCCGACTTTGTGGCCACGTCGACGGAAGGGTTACACCCCGTCAGTTAGGTACGAAACCTTTTCGGCAGTGGTTCTGAACCAAGGAGCACCGCTCGGGTGCACGTTCCGCCTTGTCACCGACGCCAGCTTTGACCGGGCGGTCAGATACAAAACCGTCGCCGTGTTTACCGTCTTGTCCCTGTTTTTGACCGTGGGATTTCCCACTTTGCCCAGCGCCGCGGCCGGCTACGTAGCACACTCCGCCGCTTATATTAAAGACTCTCCGGATGGGAACTACATCCTATTACGCGAGTTCGACATCGTGACATACGTGATTCACGATGCCTGGAGAATTAATATGACAGGAGATTTGTTGGTTCCGTACGGCCCTACGAGCAGGGACCCGAACACAACGGGTGAGTGGCTCATAGAGGCTCACCAAGCTAAGACTCAGCCATGACGTTGCTCTAACGAATTTCACCCTGGGTGTAGCCGGTAGGACGGTGCCACTGCTGTTTGAAGACGGCGACATAGAATTCTCGGACTGCGCCGTTGATGTCCCACCAGCGGGGTGTGACCTGTTCACCGACGTCTCCCATTGTGAGTAGCCTTCCTAGTTCGAGTTCCTGTTTCGGGTAGGTTCCGGCTCATTGAACAAACTCAAGATTTCAGAGATATGAGAGAGTACGGATTCTACAGTTTGACCCAGGAACCATCGGTCTGGGGCGGGGAGACGTAACTGCAGGCCCCCGCGCTTAATATTACGGTATTCTTTTTGGGTAAGGAACCCCAGCCTGGGATGGTGGGACACGAGTGGGTGCACCCGATCACGAGGCAGACCATTCCAGGATCCGGATAATGTCGGGCGTATGCTATCCAACCGGACATATGACTTAGACCACATCCAGAAGTACGGCGCGTGTCAGCCAAACTCGGATGTCAGTACTGCCAATCTCTTCCGTACCTTCCCAAACGTACCTAATTAACTGACTCGGCTACAGGTCTATCAATGGGGCTTTTCGTATATCCAAATCTACATATTGATAACTACCTATGCTCCTCGTCTGGACGGTCGGCATCTGGACGGTGTGGGTCAAGGCGCACATCAACCTACCACTTAACAAAAACAAGCACTGCGGTGAGGCGCCGAGGGGTTTGACAGCCCTCCTCCACCTCGCATCAAAAATGCATAGCGAGCTTTCGGCAGCGGGTATTGACCCCAAGTCCCTCACAGACGACCAGCTCAGGCTCGAGATCGATAGACGCGTCAATGGCGGCATGGTCTACTTTGAGTCCGACGCACCCGAGACCAAATCGCCCGCCGACACCATGGCCACCGTCGTCCCAATTACGAGGAAAGCCGAAGCTTCGATGGGCTGCTTCCTGTGGGAGAAGACGAAGGAGCTGAGATGGCTCATATTGGCGTTCATCGCGTACTTTGGGGCCAATATATATGGCATCATACTCCTCCCTTCGTTGCAGGGCTCGCTTGTTTTCGACATCTCATAGCTGAGCTGCTTTGGCTTGTATGGTTTTGTCTTTGTGAAGCGGCTAAAATGGCTGCTCTGGGTGTACCTACCTTGTTCGTGCATTCTGATAACTGTGACGATCATAATGGCGCAAATAAAGCCCGTTTGAGAGTTATGAAGGAGTCTAGAGCTGTGCGTGAGGTCATTGTGGACGTGGAGGCTTGCGGTTTGGACATCATCTGAAACTTCTGCCATTGTAGCTCGATCGACCCGCACGCCGCCTCTGGATCCTGGGGGATCTGCCAAACACGTCGGGTGCCGGGGGAAAGTATCCTCATCCTCCCGGGGGTCTTGCGTATGCCTGATTTGGATCCACGGAGGGTTGGTGATTGAGGGAGAGACATCAGCCTAGGGGATATTGTCAGCACCGTCATAGACCAGGGTAAAATGCCAGCCAAACAAGATGCGTACGGCGATCGATTCCGAGTGACAAAAGCACCTATCGGCCATGACAGAGAAAATCCTGATTGTTGAGCTACGTTAGCCAAACTTGCTTGGTATCCTCATTCTTGTCAAAGGAGCACTCGCGGGTTCACCCATGCTCAAACTGAATGTCTCACCACCGCCTCGGGGGACAACGGCACTGGAATGGTGTTTACTCGGTATGACGTGGCCTCGTGAATACGCCCTTACGGCACATTCCAGCCACCAACAAGAAGTCGAGCATAAATAACCATGGCTCCCCGGTAGCCGACAGCCAACTCAAGAACCCAACTCGAAATCCATCCACTTATCGAGGTGAACTTACCCAAGCTTTCCAAACCGAAGATTCCAGCCGTCCACGCGTACCAGCTCACTTCCACAATGAAGACGTCCACTCTCGCCCTCTTCTTTGGCTTCCTCGCTGCCGCGGTCCACGCAGCGCCCCCCGCTTCGGGTGACGTGTCCTGGTACGATCCGGCCCGCGACGCCACGTGCACCGGCCACGCCGATGGGAGCATTACCTGCCAGTCGGGCCAGGTAGAGGCGCTGTTGAATGTATGCCATCCCCTGACACTTTTAAGTTCCCATCCCATGCCATTTTCCCCCACCTCCTTACCTTCCATCCCTTTTACTTCTCATTGTCTTTCACCACTCCCCCCTTCCCTCTCACCCCTCAACCACCCAACAACCAAACCAACCGAAACTAACCACACACAAACAGCTCGACCCCAGCACCCCCAGCACCCCCGCTCCCAACCCTCCCGCCCAACCCCCCAAGCAAGCCAACCAAGCAGCAAGCAACCCCCTCAACCTCGACCTCCAACCCACCGTAGTCGAAGCCCGCGCGGACAAGCCCGAGGTCCCGGCGTGCAGCGGCGAGGGCGCGGCGCGGGCGCTGGGCTGCTTTCTGAACTGTTTCAGTGCGGGCTTTTGCAGTGCCAGCTGTGATGGGGAGGGGAAGTGTCAGTGCGGGTGTGAGGAGGGAGGGGAGAAGGGGAAGGGGGTGCCGTGCGCGGTGAAGAGTTGTTGATTGTGTTTTGGGGATGGTTGTTTATGTACTGAAATGGGGATCAGTACATAGGTGTGGGAAGGGAAGGGGGGGGGGGAGCTTGGATGGGAAGGGAGGGTGTGGGTGGCGGTTGGGGATTGAGAGACAGGGTTTCACAGGGTTGACAGGGAGAGAAGTGGAGTGAGCCGAGCACTCAAAAAATGATGATGACAGGTACCTACCAGGTAGATGACCACGCTTGGGGTGAGCATGCCATTTTTGGTGAAATTTAGCCTGACGATTTGCAAGCAGGAAATCTAACAGAGAGAGTCTTGTTGAATTGTCACCAAGTGTGCGCCACGTAGGGCGGTTCTTTACTTGATGGGATGTCGTTGTAGTCTAAAAGGGGTTAGCCTTGGATGAATCCGAGAAGGGTCTGGATTCGTCGGCTAGCCAACCGTTCACATGCCACCTCTGCACCCCCGAATAAACAAACCCCTGAAACCCACATTTCCAAGGCTGACATTCCATCCCCCGCAAACCAATCGGTCGCTCCCAACGGACCTCGGCACTTTCTCCGCACCCGCAGCGGATCATGCGGGGAGATCTTGGCACGCATACCCGGGGTGGCCGAACGAAGTGAACCACTTATACCCACTCCCGCCACGCCGTTCATTCCATCTAACATCACAAACCTCCTTTACCATTCCCACCTACCTACCTACCTAGGTGAACCACCACAACCACACCCTCCCCCTCAACACCGCAACATTTAAACCTACGTAAACCACAACCCCCCAAAAACAACCCACCATGCCCCCCCAACGACCACAACCCCCCCCTCCCCTTCTCCGAACCCCCCTACCTCCTCTCCCTGCCCAGCCCCTACTTCACCCCCTCCCACCTGGCCTGGCAAGCCGCCATCCGGCCCTTCATCCAAACCCATCTCCACGCCCACGCCATCGACCACGAAACCGCCGGCACCCTCCCCCCCACCATCTTCCGCACCTTCGCCCAGTCCCACATGCTCCTCCCGGCCCTCCCCGCCCCGCTCCCCGTCTCCTGGCTCAAACGCCTCGGCATCCACACCCTCCTGGGCGGCCTGAAGGTGGAGGAGTTTGACGCGCTGCATGGGTATATCTACGCGGATGAGATGGTGCGCAGCGGGCTGGCGGGGCCCGGGGCGAGTCTGACGACGGGGATGGCGTTTGGGGTGCCGTTGATTGTGCGGTTTGGGGGGGAGGGGTTGAAGGAGAGGGTTCTGCCGGGGTTGTTGAGGGGGGAAAAGAGGTGCTGTATTGCGATTACGGAGCCCGATGCGGGGAGTGATGTGGCCGGGGTGGGGACGACGGCGGTCAGGAGTGGGTGTGGGAGGTGGTGGGTGGTTAATGGGGTGAAGAAGTGGTAGGTTTTTGCAAACTTGGAGTTGGGGGTGTGGTGTCTGATGGGGGTGGTCGTGTGAAGGGTGGAGGCTAATTAATGATGGGGGACGGGCAGGATCACCAACGGCATCTGGTCCGACTACGCGTCCATGGCGGTGCGCACCGGCCCGCCCGGCAGCGGCGCCAAGGGCATCTCCCTGCTGGTCGTCCCGCTCAAGGACACGCCTGGGGTAACCATGCGGCGGCTCAGAGTCTCGGGTACCGCCTCCTCCGGCACGACTTATATCGAGCTCGACGACGTGCGCGTGCCCATCGACAACCTGCTCGGCGAGGAGAACCAAGGGATGCGCTACATCATGACCAACTTCAACCACGAGCGCCTGGCCGTGGCCACGGGCGCGACCCGCCAGGCCCGTGTTGCGCTGACGGCGGCCTTTGAGTACGTTCTCAAGCGCGAGGCGTTCGGTAAGCCGCTGGTTGAGCAGCCCGTTGTTCGCCATCGGCTGGCCAAGGCGGGCGCCCTGCTCGAGAGCCAGACAGCGTGGGTCGAGCAGTTCGCCTTTATGATGACCAAGATGCCGCACGAACAAGCCGATGTTTTGTTGGGTGGCCCCACGGCGCTGCTGAAGGCGAATGCGGGGATGGTGTTCAAGGAGTGCGCCGATACGGCCGTGTTGCTGTTTGGGGGGAATGGATACACCAAGACCGGACAGGGCCAGCTGGTGGAGAGTGAGTCTTTTGTTTGTCTGGGGCGTTGTCTAGATGCTGATCGTGTCGCCCTTAGTGCTGTACCGGGAAGTCATGGGCACGAGGATCCCCGGCGGGTCCGAGGATGTCCTGCTCGACTTGGCTGTGCGGCAGCTCGTCAAGATTTACAAGATGCAGACCAAGTTGCTGGAGGCCGACTCGAAGCTGTGAGATAGGCAGGGCGTGTATGACTCTGCCAGTAGGGCTCGGGATGCAAGGCCAACGTGATGAGACCGAAAACCTGGCGATCCGGCGGACCTGCAATGGGATAAAGCCAGTCTCGGACTTCTCACCGGAGTTGTGACACATGTCGAGGCAAGAAAAGCCAAATAATGGTTCAAGTATAGCTGAGGTAGCTTCTAACTGTATTATCAATATTCTATTCTATTCTAGTATTCGGTACCTACCTTGAGAGCGTCATTACCTAGGTAGTCTATTGTCTATTGAATTACCCCCCCCCCCCCCCCCCCCCTTTTTTCTTTTCCCTCCCTGCACCGTTGTAATCAAGACAATGCAACTCCCAGGCGTGTTTCTGTAGTCACAAAGGCTCCCCATCTCAACTTGTTCCCTCCAAGTCATCTGTCGGGAAATGCCCTCCCGATACCGCTCGGAGTTCGGAGTAACTCGTCACATCCCGACAGTCCTCCGAGGCCTCCTCAGACCCCTTAAGATTGCATGTCTCAAAACACTGCGACACCGGAAGCTAGCGCGTTTGCCACCCAAGCAGTAAACCCACCCGTGCGCGTGCGCAGCGTTCGTAAGGCGCCCCCCCCCCCCCCCCCCCCCCCCCCCCCCTACAGCTTAGGCTGATACCCCCCATCTCCATCACGCGGATACTCGAACGCGGGTAGCTGACCCACAAACGCGTCCCACGCCCCATCCTCCAAGATCGGCGCCGTCACGTACTCCCCCAGATCCCCCGACTCCGCCACCGTCCTCAACATATCCGGCAACGCCTCCTCATACGCGCGCACCAAGTCATCGTCAAACGCCCGCCCCGGGCCAGCACCAGCACCAGCGCCAGCGCCAGCACCGCCGGCCCCCTCCCCGGCCGACGACGACGACGACGACGCGCGCCAGCCCGGGTCGCCCGCCAGACAGACCAGCTCAAAGAGGCGCAGCGCCGTCGGGCACACACCCGCATCCCTGGCCGCTTCGTAGGCCATCCGGTGGCCCATGGCCTCGACGAGGGGGCGGCAGCGAGGCAGGATGTGCCGGTTGAAGGGCTCGCCCCGGCGCTTCTCGTAGCCGCCCAGCTCGGCGATCTTGTCTCTCGCGTCCGCCGTTCGGTGTTGCTCGCGCTGCGCCAGCGGCGTGGATGGGTGCCGCGGCGCTGGCAACTCGTACTTGCGCGCGAGAAGCTCCGAGGCGAGGCCTGGTGCGGGGGGGTGTTAGTTACGTGTAGGGTGGTTTGGTAACTAAGGTGATAAGTGATGGGCTGGGGAAGACGTACGGATGCACAGGACCAGCGTGTCGCCCTCGGCGATGTAGTTGCCCCGGAAGGTCATGGCCATCTCGCCAATCTGGCTGTGGGTGAAGAGCCCCTGCCAACCGCACCGCTCTGCGAGGTCATCCAGCACGCGCGTTGCCCGGTTCATGATTGTTTTGAAGGCGGTGGCAAGGCCGTGCCGTACCGGCCAGCTGTGGCGGGGGTCCATGAACTGCTTCACCGTCCACCGGGCGTACGGCTCCAGGACGATCCCGTAGGCCCAAGCGTCGAGGATGGGCCGCTGCTGCGTGCTGAAGGAGAGGATCGGCACGCGTCCGCGGCCGTTCGGGGAGGCGACCGTCCTTCGGCGGCTGTAGAGGGCAGCGATGTAGGTCCCGACTTTGAACCCTGAGATGCCCGGGATGGAGAGCGAGAGGGTCCCGACGGCAACCCGCCAGAGCTGTTGCAGAAACTCCAGCCGCTCATCTTCCGGCTTGGAAACGGACCCCAGAAGGGCGTTCGGGGATAGGCGGACGTGTTCGAAGGTCGTGATGGCATGGTCCAGAGGCTTCGAGGCGGTCCCCAGTCGCATCGGCAGGGCGCGTGACGTGATGCCGCGGAACATGTGGGTTGAATCGCACAGCCAGACGAGGAAGGGCTTGATCCCGTGGTCCTCTCCGCGGACTATCAGCCGAGCAAATACCACGGCCACGCGAGGGATGCCGGACTCGGGCGTGGTTGGGGGCATGGCCTTGGCTGCCGCATCGTTCGGGGTGTGGAGATCGAAGGAGCCATCTGGCTGCAGGGTCGCCGTGGTCTCGAGATTGCGCGCGTCCAGTCCGTGGCCGACCTCGGTCAGCATGAACTAGCCGCAAATGTCAAAGTTAAGCAGCCCCTCGACTAGGTCAGAGAGATCGGGGCGGTCGTCGAGGAAGTTGGCGAGGGTGCCGATGCAGAGGTTGATGTGGATGGTAAGAATGATGAAAGCGGTCGGGTCCCGGGTGGCGATCACTTCGAGTTTGTTGTGTTAGCACCCCGTGACTACCAGTGGTACGTCAGTTATGGGGAATGGAGACTCACCGTCGAAATTGAAAGCCCAGAACTTCTCCGTCAGGTCCCGGATATCGTGGAGGGAAAGGCCTTTGGCGTGTCAGGTGCTAGCTCCTCGGGCTTCGCTGGCAGATAAATCATAACCCACCATTTTGTCGGCAAAGTGATTGCGCTCTTTTATGATGAAGCGCCAGACGATCCGGAGAGACGGGTTCCTCCTTGTCCCTTGATGCAGACCAGATGTCTTGCTCAAGCAATGATCGAGAAGAGGACATGGCGGGTTAAGTGTGCCGCTGTACCTAATCGACTGCAGGGCACCTTGCCGGGAGGGTTAGCGTTGAACCAGAGGATTCCAGACGATGAGAATGGACAATACTTACATACGGTTCCGGTCAAGATAGATAGGTAGGCGCCTAAGTGTAGGTATGTACCAAGTGTGCTTTGCCTGTTTCTACCTCGCTGTAGTGCACCACAAACCAGGCGGGATGCAACCAGGCACATAATGAAGCATTACGGAGGTACTTAAGCATATCGCAGCGTCGAAGAGAGGCTACCAGCAGGGTAATTCTGCATCACCCGTGGATTCAAAATTTGCGACCCGGGGTCATTCAGCTCTCATAGCTCTCAGGGCGGCAGCAAAAAGCACGCTGTCTCAGGCCACATTTCGTGCGGTAGCAAATCGGGCGTGGGTGATAAGGCAGGAGGATGTGATATCTAAGACACCTCGGACAGCGAGCGTGTGCTGACCCGCGACAAGCGTCCAGTGTGTGGTTTCTCTTCCTTGACATCGCGCCTTGTTGTCGGTTCACGTACTGCAGAAGACGGTCAAGGTCGACAGTCTGGGGCCAAGTCTCAGATCTGCTCCACGGCTGACTCGGATGCGGTCTCTCGACTGTCGCCCGGATTGACCGCCCTCCGCCTATCCCTCGTTCATCCCTCGCCTGTCGCACATTCTCCAGCTGAAAAGCCCCCTGGTCCTTCTGGTTATCATCATGTGTTGTGCTATTCTGTTCCGTTGGGTTCAACACAATAATATGGGCCCGATCCTCAACGCCCAGCCCAGGTTCAGAGTGGACCCTCTTGAGCGAGTCTCCATCGGCCGCTTGGAAGAAATCAGGGGTTCTCATTCATACCGTGACGGTAGCAGGTAGGCGGCAAACGCGCGAGCGTGTTGCCGGTATCATGCCATCAATTGCTTTCCCAACAGCGTAGCTTCCGCTATATCCGCGTTTCCCGTTCTCTTTATCCCCGTCAAACCCGGTCGAATCGAAGGATCGGACCGAAAGACCCATCTCCCGCCCCCTGAATGAACTGGGGTTGCGGAGCCGAACAAGCTGTCGTTAGCGAGCCGCCAGGCCTAACCGGGTCGCCAAGCGGCGGAGCCGTGAGAGAAGCACAAGCGGTGATGATTTGGAGGGGACCGCCCGGCAGGCTAACCAATCCGCCGACGTCCTGGGATTGTCTGTCGTTGTTATCATATTAGTGTACAGTACCGTCGGCGGAGCGCGCCATCTCCATCGACAGCAGCTCTTGTCTTGACTGGTTTTACAGCCCAGCTCTCCACCTCATGTTGGCAGACTGTATGATGAGGTCTGAAGCTACAGGGCTTTATCGGGCGTGACACGCTAACTTCCATTGCTTGTAAAATTGTTTATCGAAGATGGCGCGCGTCCCAGTCCCACAACGTGCTTGACACAACACGGCTATGTCCACACTGGCTCCATTATCCTTGTTAGGTAACGTACATACAAGAAGGCACCAGGCTCCAACACATCCTAACCTCCCTCCATCCTGACCATGAATAGGCCAGAGAGGCATCTCACTCTTCGAGTAATGGTGTGACCGGCCGCCCTGCTTTGTCGGCTTTGCTTTCAAGTAGAGCCACGATATCCGGGAACTTATCCCGGTCGAGGTTTTCGACTGACAGCCTCGCATTCTTCATACACTTTTTAATCGCATCTTCTACGGTAAAGAGCTCCATATCTTTTCCGTGAAACTGAGCCATTCTGTCGGCGCCATTCTCGAGGAATAGTTGTATGACAGATGGCATAACCTTCTCAATGTCGAAGAACTCTCCACGATGTATGTTCTGGAGCAAAGCTGTCCACGCCGTGAACCCCTTGGGATTCCCAACGGGTTTATTAAGACTGTCCATCTGGTTGGGCTCGGGGCTTGAATCGTCGCTCTCGTCGAGCTTCGAGTTCGGGTTTGCGCCCATTGCGAACAGCAAATCAACAACTTCGGGACGCGGCGGGCCCTTAACCATGATGCCCAGCCCCTCCCAGCGAGCACGGTATGATTGTGAAACAATCGAAAGCAGTCCTTGGAGCTGCGTCGGAAGAAGGCCTTTCCCTTGGATCTTGTGACCGACGTATCGATGGTGGCCGAGCAAAGTCATGATTTCCAATACACTGGTCCGCCCCGTGGGATTGCGTTTGCCAACTTGAAGGAACAGTCCGATCCAATTGGAACCGGCTTGGGCTGGAATGTCATTTACCTGGGCGGCAGTGAGATACTGGCCTGTGGCATCTAGTTCGTCTAGAAGCGAGGCGTAATTGTCAAAGGCTTCGACTCTTTGATCGATTCTGCAGGCCACAAGGAGGCAGCTAGACAGCAATCTGCTGGCAAGAGTGTGTGAGCCAGACATTGTCCATATGTTTCTCCGTGTCATCTGAGCCACCAAGGCGACCTCCTGACAGCATTTGACGCGTCGAATAAACCCGCTTAGTAGAGCTAGGTCCTTGTCCGGTCCGGAAAGGAAGCCACTGGGCTTGGGAAAGATGAGGTCCCACAGGTATGGCCGGGACATGAACTCCTTGGCTGTCTGATGCATAAACTGGACATCCTCCACCCCTTCCAGAAGGCCACCGCAGCGGCTTTTGAGGCGTCGTTGAAGTCCGGTCCAACGCGGGCGCAAGCCCTCCCAGGTCTTGGGGACAATTTTATCCTTTATGGCTCTTAACCCTCCGTCGCCGTTTGTTTCAATATGGCCCTCTTGCGCCAAGAAAAGCGTGATTATGTCCAATCTTGCGCCCCCCCCTCCCTCGGGTTGCAATACATAGTGCATGACAAGTTGAAAGAGTCTTTCGGCTTCAGGGAGATGACTCTGCTTAACGTTTTGCATCATTCGCATGTAGAGGCCGTTTCTTCCACCGAGTCGCGGAGGGAGGCTCTCCAAGGCCTCAAAGAGCTCAAGCAAGCTGTCGCCGGCTGCGGTCCCCTTGACAAGCATATCGACCACAATACGGACCCAGAGGAACACGCCTCGGGACTTCTTGGTGATCAACGAAACGAATTGAGAGGGATCGGTAAGGCCGGGCGCCTCCTTTGCAAGGCGCGCTTCACAATAATCCTTGATTGACCCGGCCGTGTAGTGGTGGACTTCGAGTCTCGAAAGTGTGCTGAACTGCTGCTCGAAAACGCCGAGCTCTCGGCTAGAAAGACAGATCCTCGCATTTGGTCTCTGATTGAACCGGAGGACGAACTCGGCAATCTCTCTGTGCCCGTCCACAATCCAATCGGTCAGGCCCCAGGATTCGTCCTCTCTGTCGCCGTCGAAAATGTGGTCTAGCTGCTCTTGGGTGTATTCATGCTCCTTGTCGACCATGCGGTACTCGTCCAGGCCGTCAATAAAGAGACATACTTTCGAATCTTTCAAGCCGCAGAGCATGGCATCGAAGGCAGTGTCCAAATTCTTCCAGGAATTAATGGTCTCGGGCCTAGGCGGTACCCAGCTAAAGAAGGTAGGGAATGCGACTCGGATGAGATCGCGTCGCTGGCCCAGAACCTGGTACAGGATACTTCGAATCATTCCCTCTCGGGACTTCTGCAAGTTGTCGCCGCGTTCCAGGAAGAAGTAACCCGCCTTGATGAGCTTTTTATTGCCCGCCCACGGGGCGAGCGCTGCTTCCGTGTCCTCGTGCTGGTATATGAATTTCATGAGGGTCGATTTACCGCAGCCAGCTTTGCCGCTGATCCAGAAAGTCGAGTCGCCGTCTTTGAGCCATGATTTAAACCGGGGTGCACTCAGGTGGTTGCTTGTTCCGGCGGAAGACCCGTCGTCCATGATCCAGGCACATGTGTCGGCGTACGCCTTCTCAATGTTCAGCTCCCGATCATTAATGGATGGGAAATTTAAAATCTCCAGTATCTCTTTCATTGTATTAGAGGCGAATCTCACGAGAAATAAACCTGTAACCTGTCGCCGCGTGGCGAGGGTTTTTGGGGGGGGGGACCTAACCATCATTTCTTCTCTCGAGAGCTTCGTCGATCACTTGCAATTTATTAGCTCCGAAGACCACCCGTGGACGAAGGGATCCCAAAAAGAAATGGCAACGCTATATTTCACATCGCAGTTTGACGGCTGCAGCAGCGCAGCAACCATAAGCTTCCCAACAATGTCGTGTTGCTCGGTCATTCTCCAAGTCCAAGAAAACGGGTCAACCGCATTACGCACCTTGCTGCGCCGCTTGCCGGGCATGACAGAGCTCTGAGATAAAGCCGAGAGTCCTCTGGTACCCCGGCTCCCTGTCTGATGTGAATCTCACCATGTCCATGTGATTCGCATTGATGGCACCTCGACGAACGTTGAATCCGTCGTATGAGGCGGAGGTCTCCGGGACGATCTGTATTGAAACCATTAAAAAGAAAAACAGGTAGCCGGGGAATCAATACACAACTTACGACGCCCACGCTCGTAGGGAGTTCCTCTCTGATACACACGACAGACATACGAGACGAGATTGTGGTGAACTGCTCACGCTGGTTCTCGAGGATGTGCGAGTCCGGCCTCAGTGTCTGGAGGAGCTGGTCATTCGGCTGACGAAGAGCGACCTTGGCAATCTTCACCAATAGATCGCCGTACGATTCCTTGGAACTGCCGCGATGGGGAGTGCCCATGAAAATAACGCCAGTCGTCTTCGCAAAGATGTCGCCCAGGGTAGGATGCCTTTGATGGTTATTGTAGTTGTCCGCCTTGATAAGCGCTTCCTTCACAACCAAGCCCCCGAGACTGTGGCAGACGAAAACGATCGGTCTTGTCTGGTTAACTCCACGTTAGTTCCCGGACAGGTGTGAAAGGTGGCCGGACATCAAGACCTACAGTTCCCACTCGCAGCCGTGCTAGATCCTCGAGCAATGTATCTGCGTGACCAAAAATGCTCTCCTTGCTAGCAGCGTGGAAGGCATTGGCGACGGTTGCGTCGTAGCCCCAGGTGATCACTCTGACGTTGTTCAAGTCATTTCCCAACAAGTGTTGAGGCCAGCAAATGCCGTCCTTCGACCAGGTCCCCGCTCGCCGACCGCGGAGTCCGTGAACGAAGACAATGTCGGTTCCACTAGCGCCTGCGCCAGCGCTGCCTCCGCCGATCTTATCAACGAGAACGAGCGGCCCGACGCCGTCGCCAGGACTGGCTGGCTCGGGTTGGGCCTCGGTGCTGTTTGCTTTGTCTTCCTCGCTCGTCGACGTCGCCCCCTTCGCCATCTTCTTTGGCCCCTTTCCCTTGGCACGAAGTTTAAACCGTTCGAACAGCCGTTCCATTGCATCTAGCTGTAAAGAAGACTAAAAGAAAAGAAAGAAAAAACAATCAACTGGGGCCGGTTGGAGTATCCGATATTGATATAGCAAACTCTGGCTGGGTCGCTCGGCCGGATTTCTAGACTTGAGAGTTGCCGGTGACGGAACGCTGCGGGGAACCCGAGGGGAGGCTACCAGACAGCTGCGTGACCCTAGCTTATGCGGACGAGCGGCGAGGTGCGGCTCGGTGTCTGCCTGACAAGGGCGGCAGTCCCTCCATTGGGTAGGGAGCCATGCAGCTCATGGTGCCTGACCGCGACCGAGAATGGGCCTGTGTGGACGCCACAAACCAAAATGCCATTCGTCGTTGGTTGCTAGAAGAGAACTAGCCGAGCCACGAAGCAACTTATCATTGGTCGCTTATATACCAACGCACCAGGCTCTGGATGGGGGGATGGTTCGATGGTTAAGCAGCTCCATCGTGTATGTTACGTGGTTGTTATATTCCGTACAGGTGACGAGACCTACCACTGCCGACGTATAACTTGACTCAGCTCTCAGCCCCCAGGAATTACCCACACTCATGGGCCCCTAAACCTCTTCGGTTCCTTCCCACACCAACCCAAAACCCATTCATCCCTCTCCCAGCCCAGGATACCCATGCCCAACCCTAAACCTTATCCGTCTTACATTGAACCAGGCGCGTCTCCGAGACAGCCTGGGCTTCATCCGGGAGAACTTCCATCTGTTGCGTTGTGGGTATCACAGATGTTGAATGAGATGCCACAGTCGTACCAGTTCAGGTTTGGCCTCATGTATTGTGTAGGCTGGCGCAGCAACCATTTGCTCTCGCTTTGTCTTATAAACGGGGGTGTTGTTCAATGGGTTGATAACGTATCCAGAGTTCCGTCTTTTCGCCGGGGTTGTTGGGGTTGGAACCTACCTAGGAAGATCGTACTTTCAAAATCCAACTTGGGTCAGGAATTTGATTGTGCGGAAACTCCCAATCCTAGAAGCTGGGGACAATGGGGTAGGGATTGCCTCGATCTACGTAGAAAAAGGCTCGCGCTGGAAATGTCAGCGCAACTGGGGGGTTACTGTCAGGGCCGGCGACAAAGAAGTAAGAGATTAGGACCAGATAGTGACAACAAGCTCCTCGCCGTTTGGATGTATGGCTAACGACTCAGTCAAAAAGGCGTTGTTTGGGATTAGTTATTTGGCACGCAACAAGAGCAGTGCCATTAGTGGTGGGCGCCACGTTGGTGGTTGACCACTGGACATCTCCAGCGGGTTGCGCAACTCCCCCGGCAGCCTCAGTGGTAAAGAACTTGAAAGCCTCCCAGGAAGGAGGAGGAGAACTTGCTCGTTTCAATTACAATTACATTTGATGGGGAATCCCTCAAACGGGCAGGTTCTCATGTCGATATGCACCTCAATATTTTTAAAGTCGTGCAGTGCGACGGGACCCCGACTCGACTTTGGGATCTCAGGTCGTGGTTGTCCTATCCAATCAACACCATTCTTGTCAGGCACAACGGGGCGGAGAGCAGCAGTGGAAAAGGTTGGACGGGACCTTGGCGAGACCGAGCTTTCCGTTCATGATTACAACATAAAAGGGCCGGGCTAGCATCTGAGTCGATGTTGATCAAAGTCTAATCAGTTTGATGTTCTCCCCCAAGAAAAGGGAACGCCTCGCCATCCTGTGGCCGAGTATTTGCCACGATACGTAGCCTCACTGGTGTCACTCGATAACTGGCGAAGCTTCGATCCCGCTTCCCCACTTCGCTCCCGTGCATCCCTCCATCAATTCCCAGACTCCGCGGTCCAAGGAAGCAAGTATCCGGAAGCCACAAGAAATTGTATTTACTCCATTTACTTTTTCGGTTTATTTTATTTTATTTCTTTCATTCCAATTCTTCCACATCATTTTTCCTCCTATTGCTTGATTTGGTTTTATTAATTCGTATTTGTTTGGTTTTGCTTTCTTGATTTCGAACTCGGCTTTTTTTGGCCAAAAGGTGCAAAGCTGACTTGGCACGGCCAACCTCCCTCAGCTTATCCAATTAATTCCATTCTTTTCCTTTCAAGGCCCGCCCTCGATCCACCACATGGCCTTTTTCCACTCCTCCTCGCAACCACCACCAGAGATCGCCGTAACCGCCTCCATCAATCTCTCCTACCACCACCATCGAGCGGTGACGGTCGACAACGACATCGATAACTATCATTATTTCTGCGACACCGGATTCATCGTCGATCGCTCCGTCCCGCTCTTGCCGAGCCCAATCCACTCGCTTCCGCCGCTGCCGCCGCCGACTGCAGCAACCCTGCCTTTGATGTGATTCCTGACTCAGCTACCCCAGACATTCCACATTGTTGGCCCCAAGATGTTGCGACGGCCTCCTGGCCATGTCGCCCCCCAGCGCAAGTACCTGCTGGCACTTGCCCTGGTCTTGCTCCCGTGGCTTCCCCTCGCCGGTGCTCAGCAGCAGCACCAGCGTCCGCCCGTAGCAGCCCACCACCAACCCAGGTCGCCGCCCGAAGACGACCGACATGCCGCCTCCGACCTAGCAGCGGCTGCCGTGACGGGCCAAGAGACGGCCGAGACCCCCGCTATTTCCCAGCAGCGGAAGACCGTCAAGAGCAGGGAGGCCGACGACGAGCAATTCCGCCAGCGGATACTCGCCCGACCGCCCCACGACGATAGCAATAACAACAACGACATCATTTATAACGATGCGCGCGCCCACGCTTTGGCTCCGGACCTGTCCGTTCGAGCACCACCTCCATCACACTACAGAGGCCCCGCCCCCGGGGCCGGACTCTCGCAGCACGTTGCGCGGAGCCTGGAGGATTGGGAAGTGGAAGACTTTGTTCTTCTGGCGACCGTCGATGGAGACCTCTACGCCAGCGACCGGAAAACCGGGCAAGAGCGCTGGCATTTCAAGGCCGACCACCCCATGGTCGAGACCCGACATTTCCGGACCAACCGTACGGTCCTGGACGACGATTACGACCCCATCGATCACTACATTTGGGTCGTCGAGCCCACCCGTGACGGCGAGTTGTACCTCTGGAGGCCCAACGAGAACGGCGCCGGGTTGGCCAAGATGACCTTGACCATGAAAAAGTTGGTCGAGGAGCTGGCACCCTTCAACGACAAAGCCAACCGCGTGCTCTACACCGGGGACAAGAGGACCACAATGGTCACTTTGAACGCCGCCACGGGGACCATCATCAAGCAATTCGGCTCGACCGGCAGTTACGTGAATCAGGTCGAAACCGAGAGTTGCTTCAAGCCCAACGCGCTGGCGGACGGCGAGGAGGAATGCAGCGAGGACAGCACCATCACGCTCGGTCGCACCGAGTATACAGTCAGCATCCACCGCACCGACGGCCACCCGATTGCGTCCCTGAAATATTCCGAGTGGGGGCCCAACACGCAGGATAACGACCTCATCCAACAAAACCTCCTGACCAAGGACAGCCGGTATGTCACCAGCCAGCACGACGGCAAGATTTACGGCTTCGAGTACAGCCGCTTCAGAGAAGAGCGTCCAGTGTTCACCAAGACGCTCTCGTCGCCCGTCGCTCGCGTGTTTGACGTCCTCCACCGCTGGGAATCCGCTGCCGGTATGGACCCGGAACTTATTGCCCTGCCTCAACCACCGCTCCCCGCGAGTGACGAGGACAACCTGCGTCTTCGGAGCGAGAAGGTCTTCATCAACCAAACCGAGGATGGTGGATGGTATGCTCTCTCTGGGAGCAGATATCCCCTGATTTTATCAGCCCCACTTGCGCCCATCCATCGCGTCGACTGGTGGAGGATCAAGGAAGCCTGGGACCTGCTTCCAGAGTCTCAGAAGTCCAGGGCCTTGGTCGGGACGCACCAGCTGCCGGACGGTCTCGGATCCGACGGCAGGGTCCAGCAGCCGCCCTCGCGGTTGTTACTGGATGGTCCTCGTACCGGGCCGGAGGGCCTCATCGACGGCAACATTGCCAAACCACTCCCGCCGCATCACCCGCCCGAGCCGGAACCAAGTAGGATTTTCGAGACGGCGAAGAGAGTGCCAGGATTTGTCGCGACCAGGGTTTTCGACCTCGTTAGCAATCCCGCCGCCATTGTTCTGTTCGTCGTCACGCTGTGGATGCTCTACAAGGACAGGCTTGTTCGCCTCAACCGAGCATCCAGGAAAGACAATGCCTTGGCACCGGAGATCGAAGTCAACCGTACGGAGCCAACCCCTGCGCCGACAGCGGACAAACCCTCTTCCGCTGTCGAACCCGCCGAGCTCGGGACAGAGGCGACAACACCGGATGTCGTCCCTGCTGACGCAGTTACTGTCGACCCCCCTGTCGCCGGAGCGGCTGCCACCGAGGCCACCCTAGAGGCAAAGGTGGACGCACAGCCGCCCAGCCAGACGCCCCCCGCTACCGTTACCTTTGCCGACCCTCCATCGAACAACGAGCCGGCAGAAGGAGCCGATGCCGCCGCTGGTGGTGAGCCCGTCAAGAAGAAGAAAGGGCACAGGGGCCGTCGGGGAGGCGTCAAGCATCGTAAGGGCAACAAGGACAAGCGTGAGAATTCGCAGTCACGCGACGACGACCCCCCGGAGGAAACCGTGGATGAGGTTATCAGCAAGGCCAAGACTCTTGTCAAGGAGCCCAAGTTAGAGCCGGACATCATCACGGTCTCCGGGACTGCCGACGAGGTGTCGGGCCATATGCTCAAGATGGGGAGTCTCGAGGTGAACGAAGCCGAGCAACTGGGTACGGGAAGTAACGGTACCGTTGTTTTTGCCGGGAAGTGGGACGGCCGCGATGTTGCCGTGAAACGCATGCTGGTGCAATTCAACGAGATCGCCAGTCAAGAGACTAGGCTACTAAGGGAGAGCGACGACCACCCAAATGGTAAGTCGGAGTTTGCCGCCAAAAATGGACCGTTGCTAACAAAAACAGTGATTCGCTACTATGCGCAGCAAGAGCGAGCCGCGTTCCTCTACATTGCGTTGGAGCTCTGCCAAGCTTCGCTCGCCGACATCGTGCAAAAGCCGCACTGTTTTAGGGAGCTGGCGCAGGCAGGCGAGCGCGATATGCCGGGTGTCCTGTACCAAATCGCCCACGGGCTGAGCCACCTGCACAGTTTGCGCATCGTCCACCGCGATCTCAAGCCGCAGAACATCCTGGTCAACATGGGCAAGAACGGACAACCGCGGATCCTCGTCTCCGACTTTGGCCTATGCAAGAAACTAGAAGGCGGGCAGTCTTCGTTCGGCGCTACTACCGCCCACGCCGCCGGAACCACCGGGTGGCGCGCACCGGAGCTCCTGATCGACGACGACGCGCCGGTCCCGACGTCCATGACGATGACGGACCCCGGCTCCAGCCTGCACAGCGCGTCCGGCTCCGGTTTGGTCGAGGGCCCGGGACCCCACGCCCGGCGCGTGACGCGAGCCATCGACATCTTCTCCCTCGGCCTGGTCTTCTTCTACGTGCTGACCCGCGGCAACCACCCGTTCGACTGCGGCGACCGCTTCATGCGCGAGGTCAACATCCGCAAGGGCAACTACAGCCTACAACTGCTCGACGTGCTGGGCGACTTCGCCTTCGAGGCCCGCGACCTGATCGGCAGCATGCTCAACGCGCACCCCAAGCAGCGGCCCACGGCCGTCGACGTCATGGCCCACCCCTTCTTCTGGAGCTACAAGAAGCGCCTGGCCTTCCTGTGCGACGTGTCGGACCACTTCGAGAAGGAGCCGCGCGAGCCGCCCTCGCCCGCCCTCGCCCACCTCGAGGCCCGCGCCCCGGAGGTCGTCCAGGGCGACTTCCTCCGCCACCTCCCGCGCGACTTTGTCGACAGCCTCGGCAAGCAGCGCAAGTACACGGGCGCCCGCCTGCTCGACCTGCTGCGCGCCCTGCGCAACAAGCGGAACCATTACGAGGACATGCCCGAGTCGCTCAAGAAGGCGGTCGGCGCGCTGCCGGACGGCTATTTGGCTTTCTGGGCGTGCCGGTTTCCGAATCTGTTGATCGAGTGCTGGAATGTCGTCTATGACCTGCACTGGGAGAATACGGATCGGTTTAGGGACTATTATGTGCCCGCGCCGCCGACGGGGTTGTAGGGGGATGCTGTTGGCGAGGGGTGAGGGGGCCGGGGGGGTTGGTGAAGGGTGAGGTGAGGGGGCGCGGTGGTGAGTGGGTGGCTGAGTGGGTGGCTGAGTGGGTGGCTGAGGGGGTGGTGAAGAGAGTGGGAAGGAAGGAGAGAAAGAGAGAAGGGGTCGGGGGGGCGTTGATGATGGTGGGGTTGGTGAGGAGGACATGGAAAGGGAAGGGGCGGGATGATTTAAGGGGGGGTTGACTTGAATTTACCGAGGTATCTAGGTCTCCTTTAAAATACGATCTATACGGCGACGCGACTTCACACCACATGCATTGTCGGCTAGGGGATTTGGCCTTGGTATATCGTATATGTTGACGTGGAGAAGCGCAAAATAGGAAGATGAAAAGATCTCCTACGAGTACTAAAAAACAATAGAATTCTACTTGATTCTACACCGCTAAGAGGGCCGGGACTTTTAACTAAAAACAAGGACCGCCAATGCGGGAAGAAAAGGAAACGGAAAACGCAAAATTGAAAAGCCACCCGAACACTTGCCAGAGGACCGGTGGTGCGCCCCAGTTCAACACCCGTCCGAGGAGAGTATGGTGAGTATCCACTACATTAGCAGTTTAACGGGCTCGCCGCCCATTCTTTCGATATCATCTCCATTCAGGTCCAATCTGGAGAGGTGACCCTCCCAAAGCGGCGCTCTTTGTTCTGCATATCGGTCGATCGGTCTCGCCAAAGCGGTTTGCGACCAATCAAGAAGAGGCCCCATGTTCGTATACCAATCTCTTTTTTCGTACTCTTCCATCCCCTTCTGGAAGCAGCCCAGGCCACACTGGATCAACTGCCGCCGGGAATTCGCGATCACGCCCATCAAGTCCCCGAGCCTGAAGGGGAGCCCAATCTCGTCGCCGCGGTCCGTCAGGCGGACCAACTCGTCGACCTCCGCCTTTGTGGCATGGCACATGATCATCCAGGCGGTCTCCTCCACCAACTGGACGCATTCCAATTGCCAGGCCACGTTCAGCCGGTGCAGCGTCCCGGCGGGGTCGCCTTTGCTCTCGGCGTAGGGGAGCGGCCGGCCGTGCGACATCCAGTCGGGGCGGAAATCTTGTCTGAAGGCGCCCACCATCCCGTACTTGTCGGCCGCCGAGAGGAGGCGCGAGATACGCTCGTGGCGGGGGACGTGGTTTGGCCACCTCGGTAGCAGATCCACCCGCTGGTGGCAGACGGCGACCAGGGCGGCGATCGCTAGCGGCTCGTCCTTGGGGAGCCTCACCACCAGCTCTTTGCCAGGTTCTTGTGACTTCCGCGCCGTGGCTACCAGGGTCTGCCAGAGGCTTGAGAACTCCCGCATGGCCTGGGACCTGACCCTGAAGCGGCACACCCCCTCGCATTTTGTTGGCTCGCGGTCGCAGCCGCCGCCCACTTCTATCCAAAGGTCGCCCTCTTCGTCGATGACGATAGGATCCTTGAAGGTTGACTTCTTGTCGAAACTGGGGTCGAACAGGAAGCCGGCATCCTTGTAAGCCGGGTAGGCACGGTCTTCGCGCTGAACGACTCTAGAGGCCATCGGAGGCAGGTTGATGGTTTCTTGGAGATGGAGGTAAACTTAAACTTGTAAAGTAGTATGTAGGAGGATGAGGAGTAAAGCCTGCGACGCCAAGTCCTGATCAGTGTGGTTTGTCGAGTAATCTTCCGGTCCATTGTGCGAGCGCGAGTTTATAAGCGAGAATTCGTGCGATGATGGTCGCAATTGGTTGTCTCGCCGTGCAGAACAGCCGATTTGTGGTGTCCAATTAGAACAAGTGCGCTGTCCCCGAAGATGGCACACGGCATGGACTTCTTTGTTGTCGATTCCCTTCGCTTTCTTTAGTCAAGGACGGGGACTTGGTGACGCCGGGCCAGCTGGGGCGATTTGTACGAGCACATGATTATAAAGAAACTTGCTGCCGGATGCGGAATGTTAGATGTTGGGTATAGGGAACTGAAACCATCAGACAATGCAAGGCCGCTTACCGGAACAACTACAAGGGCGAGGTTGAGAAACGCAATATAGCTCCGCGGGCGAATCAAACTTTCCCGGCTTCCATGTTGAGTGAGATGCTCGTTCTCGATGGCGTTTGAGAGTCTTGCGCCTAAGAGCTCAAAGTTGAACGGCTCTGTTTCACACTGAATTATTCGTTTTGAACGGCCCAATAATAGGCGCTTTAACCAAACAGACGGCTGCCTGTGGTTACGCTTGTTGAGGGAAGTCGCCTGTTGATGGTTCCTTCCTTCCCTTGAGTTAAACTTTCCCAACCTAATTTTTCTCAGGCCTCAACCCTTCAGCTCTTACTTGAACCCCGCCCCGCACACCCTCGGCGCCAATACCGGGTAAGCATTGGCAGGAAAGCTTCCAAAGGGTTTTCTTCTCTTTGTTCACTATTCCGTGTCTCGCGGGTCGATATTCGGTGCTTCCCTGCTTTCTTCCAAACCAGACGGGGATGACTCGGTCCCCCCCACACGGGTCGCCGATTCAGAAATATTCCCTTTGTCGGGGGACTCATTAGGGCACTAATTGGGGAATTGCATTCTGTGCGCCATGTTGAGGTCGATACCGTCGATGCTGCGAAAGAGGGATACGGTCTGTGGTTGTCGGTGCATCGTTAGAGTAAACGCCCGATACGAGCATCCGCGGGGGCTGAACTCGAAATCGTACTTTGTCGATTCGCCAATTGTACCGTCAGACATTTCCTATAGAGGCCTACGCTCACGGGTTTCATGACGGTGAACTTGAGTGAATAGGTATCTCGACGAGGAAATACCTAGCCACTCACTAAGTTGGAACAGAGCATCGTGTCTCCTCCGCAGTCCCACGTCAAAGCGGCATTTCCAATCGTTACTGTGTGCCTAGTTCTATCCTCAACATTTAATTACAATACAGGTATCTTCCCTGTTTCTCACGAACCGTCAGCCGTGACTCGCACCGTTGAGTGTTCAGTTTCAAAAATGAAACCCCTTCTAGGAAACAACCTTGCTTGTCCGCAGCATCTTACTTCGCTTCGCGAGCCACTCAACATGATCCGGTTTCAGGACTGGTTCGAATGGATTTCATCCAGTGGCACTTACCCCCTTCTTTGACCTCCCGAAACTCAGGCCCGAGGGTCTGGTTGCAGTCCTCGTGGTGGGGGAGCGGGACCGGCTCAGGACGATTCAGCATGCCAAAGGCGCGGCCGATCTTGTCTATCAACTCATAAATGATCAGTTCAACGTCCCGGGCTTGCCTCGGCATGCCGTCCCGGTATTTGTACAGGCAGGTCCAAATATGGCTGAGCACCAAAGCGCCGCACTGGCGGCGCCTGCAGCGCGACCGATTCCTCTAGCGTCTTGATGATTGCCGATTTCCTTAAGGGCCGGACCATCCGAATCCCCTCTCCGACATCCATCACGTCCGACACTCTAGACATTCCCTTCTTGCAGACGCCCTGCCTCTTGTCGACGAAGCGCCATGCCGTTCTGTGGTAGTAGTCTAGGAGGAACCGCATGTCCGAGTCAATAACAGAGCGAGAATCGATCCGAGGTATTGGCAGCTTCTGCAGGCATATAGATATCCAGAAGCATACTGGGAATAAGGTTCAATAATATACAACGACTGCCTGCCTGCCGGCCTGTTTCGTAACACAGACTCGATCCCAGCGCTGGGTGGCCCCAAACGTATTTACACCGTCCTACCCAGCCGAACACGATACGATCCGTTACCCAAAACCCCCCGACCGGCCGTCCCATTTCCAGATATAGATCCACCCAAATTGTAAGTAATCCACCCCCTTATCCACTCGATCCGTCCAACAAGTGTGCGTACAAATATCTCCGGTATAACCCCCCTCCCCCTTCAAATTCAAGCGATAGCCAACCGGTCGACCTCCAAGCGCACCCTCTCCAGCCAGGTATGTTCCCGCCTCTTCCCCCTCAGCAGCTCGGCCTCCTCGGGGCGGCCGTGGCGGCGCATGAGGTCCTCGAGGTGGATGGACCAGATGGCGTACTGCTCGTCGGTGGACAGCTCGAGGCCGCGGCGGCCCCAGTCGAAGGCGCGGTCCCACTCGCCCATGGTCTCGTAGTAGTCGTACAGCCAGCCGACGTAGAGGCACTCCATCATGCGCGCGAAGACGACGGGGAAGCCGCCCGTGGCCACCATCTGCTTGAGGCGCGCCAGGTAGGCCTCGCACTTGGGGCCGAAGTCGCCCGTGAACTGCCGCCGCAGCCACTGGCCCGCCATCTCGTCGCTCGTCGGGTCGTGCATGATCAGCTTCTGCGCCCAGTACACGCTCTGCGCCTCGAGCCGGATCATGTGGTGGTCGTGCCGGTCGCGCGGGCCGTTGGCGCCGTCGTCCGTGGGCGACGGCGACGACCAGGGTTCCTGGGTGTTGGTGCGCTGGCAGGCGAGGTACTGGTTGCGGGCCCACTCGGCGTTGCGGTCGAGCATGCCCGGCATGGAGGCGATGGTGTCGGAGTTGAGCTGTGAGAGGAGCATGATGTAGCGCATGATGTCGTCGGGGCGGTCGTCCACCAGCACGGCGAAGGAGGCGGCGAGGTCCGAGACGGGGTGTTTGCCGAACTTGACCATGGCTAGCCGGGAGAGGTAGTGGAGGTATGCGGAGAGGATGTCCCGGCGGTTGGATTCGAGAAGCAGGTGTGGGACGAGGAAGCAGAGGTCGGAGAAGGTCTTCATGGTAGGTTTGGATATCTTGCGCTCGATCTGAAGAAAAGCGAGGCGTAGCACGCGGCCGCCTTCGAGGTTCTCTCGGAGGTCGAAGAGGTCCATGGCGACCTTGAAGTACCGGTAGCAGGGGTCGACGAAACCGGCGACCTCCTCGACCTGGAGGTTGGACGGGTCTAGGTCGACGTGCCCGTGGATGAAGCGCCGGACGGCTGTTAGCCCGCACTGCATACTGCGTGACCCGCTGTCGGCGTGTAATAGTTCGTCTCTTGATAGGACGAGAGCGTTGTCGAGGGAGTCGTCTGAGCTCTGATCGTTTGGCGACTCGGCTTTGGCCCGCGAGCGACCCTTGATGGCGTATTTAAAAAAGCCCCAGCGCGCCTGTTCAGAACAGTTAGTCAAGCTGTTCCCAACAACCTCCCCCGAGGGCCGACAAAGGAACAAAGAAAAGGGCGGCTTTCCAGTTGGGATTTGTACATCTTGGAAGTTGCCCTGACGTTGTGCTTCGTTTCCATGATGCCAATGATATCGCGAAGGATGCGGTTCTGCGTGATGTAGAGCTCGTAGAGGATACCCTTCCATGGTTCCCAGTCCTGGTTCTTGCGCGGTACGACGGGCTGGCCGGCTGCTGGCGGTCCCTTGAGCTGGCCGGCCTTGGATGCGCCCCCCTTCCCGCCGGCTTTGCTGGACCGCTGCGCAGCAACGCTGGCCTTCCTAGCTGCGATGGGCGACATCTTTTGCGGGGGGCTGGCGGTTGGGGATTTCAAGGCTTGCATCATGAAGTGGTCGTCATCGGGGACGGGGCTCGTGGACTCTTCCTTGATGAAGATCTGGGGGTCGTGGTCGTCAAGCACCAATCCGGTCAAGTTCTCGGCGACGGCGAGAAGGGCCCTGGCCTCGCCGTCCGGCGTACCTGGGTCCGTCATGGGACGACTCTCAGGCTTGGCGTGGTGGGCTCGGGGGCTGCGGGATGCGGGCGGGGGCGGCGGAGCACGTCGCAGGAAGCAGCGGCAGCGGCGTGCACGGTCAACTACCGTCCGATGGGGTGGTTTGAGGATCCGCTCACGGAGCCGGGGCTGCGGGTGCGTGGTGGAGCAGGAACGGGAGCTGGGACGCGATCGCCGATCGGCAGCGGCGACAGGACCATTGTTGGTCGCCCCAGTCGACAAGTCCCCTTGTTTAACCACCACACTCTACTGCGGCTGTGTCGGTAGCTCGATCCTGGTTCGTGGAGGGGCAGCAGGAAAACGGGCGCGGTGCATGCACGCTGACGGCTAACGTGGAGGTTCTGGCTGATTGTTGGCTAGGCGAGGACGGATGTCGGAAAGTGCATGGAGGTGGTGCGGTGCGGACAGGTTCAGAGATGGATTGCAGTTTTGTGGACCGTCGAAGTGGCACTTGTGCGGCGGGAAAGTCGGGGAAAGGCGTGGGCAAGCTCGCAAGACACACACAAATGGCAGATGCTGGTCCAATTTACGAGATTGACACGACCCACCACCCCGCCGCGCCCACAGAACAGAGTTGCCCCTTCCTTGGGTCGGCGCCAAGCTACCAATGAAAACCTCACCCTGGAATGCCAAGGGCTCGGTCTTCTGTCTTATCTGTGCAGCTTCTGTGCGCATCGAATCCGCTTTTGTGCCAACTCCCGGCCTGCTCTCCGGAAGCGAATCCAGGGGCCGATCTCGTCCAGAGAGGGGCGTTTCGTCCCCCCACCCTTAATTCGGTATGCCCCATGTTTGGTTTCCGTCACGTCACGGCCACGAGGAGCAGCGCTCGATTTATCGGGAATCAATTTATTAGACATGGGATGGCCATGAATAGGGTTTGATGCGGCGTGTCAGCGGCCCATGCATCCCTTGCGTTCAGGTTTGCTGGGGGCAATCCCACAAGCTTTTTTTAGGGGGCTTTCAGTTTCATTTTCATGCAATGGAAATGGAAGTTGCTTCGGCATCCTGGCTTCGGTGGTTCTCATTCAAGGGAGCATTTTAGGATCAACCTGGAACCTGAATAACAACTTAACGGACCAGCTCGATATACCACGCAGGAAGCTCTTCTTGAATCAGATCTAGTTTCAACTCCCGGCTCTCCCCATCTATAGCTCCTCCATCGCCTTGGCCGCCCCCTGAACCGTCGGATCGGATCCCAGGCTGGCCTGCGCAACCTTGAGCTCATCCCCCCACGCCTTCCACCTCTCCTCATTGAACCCCTTCCACCCGCGGTCAGCGTACTTGCCCTGCGGAACCCCCAACCTCGCGCTGAGCTCGTGCCCATCGGCCGACAGCTTCCGGAGCCGGGCCCCGGCGATGCGCACCCACAAGGCGGCCAGCCGCACCGCGGCGTCGGAACCAACGCCGTTGTCGTCCTCAAAGGCCTCCCGCATCGCCCACAGCCCAAACATTGAGAAATCCAACGGGTCGTCGGGGCCCTCGGAGCGCGCCGTGAGCTGCGCAACAAAAGCCGTCAGGTTCTCCCACGATGCGCGTTGCTGTGCCGTCGCCGCGGGGTCGGAGGGGTCTTGTATCACAATCCATTAGCACCGGGTAGTTCCCCCCTTTCGGATTGGGAAAGCGAGCGCGCGCGCACTACACACACACAAACACACACACACACACACACACACATAGAGAGAGACAACGTACCAAAATTCCACTTATCCCTCACCACCCACCCAAACGTAGGCAGATCCGTCCACAGCTCGCCGCCCTCGTGCACCAGCGGCTTGCCGTCGGCACCGTTGACCGCGGTCTCGCGCAGCCGGGCGACGAACTCGACTAGCCGGTCCTGGCGCTCGGGCGGGGTGCGGTCGACGGCGTCGAAGACGGCGCCGTAGGCGGCCCAGACAAAGTCGCCGATCGACGCCTGGTTGGCGCGGAGCTGGTCGCTGAATCCCTGCACGGCCGCTTGGACCGCGTCGGCTGTTGCGGCCCCGGCGGAGGGGTTCGCGAGGGGTTCCAGGAGCTGGGCCGGGGTTGGCGGAGCGGGAGTGGTGGTGGTGGTGGTGGTGCTCATTTTGGGGAATTGGTGGTGGAATCTGCGCCGGGCCGATTCCTGGGGTCGCGGAGGACGGATTCGGCTGCCAAACTGGACTAGCGGCCGGTGTGAAGCGTAGAATCTGGCTGGGTGAAACGGCTTGGGGATTCTCGTTAATCTCATGTGTACCGCAGGAAGGTGCGGTAATGTGTTTTGTGGTTTCGTCGGGTTAGGCAGCCGCGGGGCGGCCTTGGGGTAGGTCGCATCGATCTCGGCCTGTCTCGGCGCTGTTGACGTCAGTGGGGTTGGCAACGTGCCAACATCGCTGGTCACCTTCCTCTCACAACAACCACGGCCGATTGTCACGTTAACATTAAACTCAGTCGAGTATAGCTCCGATTCTTCACAATTCATTTCACCAACCGTCTGCTCACGTTTCGAGCGTACCAGATATTCCTGCATACACCGTACACTCCAGTACATCCATGCAGCGCGATCAGTTACCAAACATGTGATTTCTTTTCATTTCGGTTCTATTCATAGAACGAGGTCAACCCATGGAGCCCACGGCCGGGGATGGCGGCATGAGAGTCGAATCTTGGAGCGTGTCGATCCGAGTGGGCCAGTTCGCTTGGCGGCAATGGTTCCGAACTTGGCAACGCGTAATTTAGGGGTGTTGCTTCTTGGGAGCAATTCAGCTCAGTTTTTTTCACTTTTCATGCCGAATTGAAGCGACGTTGTACGGATACGGATCATTGCCATCCTCCCACCCTCGCACTCGGTCACACCATTCCAGACCGATCACATCATTGACCGGAACAAGGAAACAAACGTCAATCACCCCCAATCAACACCCCCGTGCCACCACCATGCGCAACCTCATTTCCACGCTGGCCCTGGCCCTCTATGCCTCGGCCGCCGCCGCCGATGCGACCCTCGACCGGCGGCAGGGCACCAGCGCCCTCGCCAACGTCACCTGCGGCCGAAACACCTACTCCCGGTCGCAGATCGAGGACGCCGTCTTCGAGGGCTGCAGCCTCCACGCCGCGGGCGAGCAGCTCGGCAACAGCCGCTACCCCCACCGCTTCAACAACCGCGAGGGCCTCACCTTCGCCACCGCCGGCCCCTACCAGGAATTCCCCATCCTCTCCAGCGGCGCCGTCTACTCCGGCCGTGCGTATTAACCCTCCCTCTCACCCCAACACCACCCCCTCCCTCTCACCCCAACCCCAAATCAAACCAATGAACCAAACCAACCAACCAACCCCCAAACTAACCACCCCCCCATAGGATCCCCCGGCGCCGACCGCGTCGTCTTCAACCCCGACTACGAGGGCAGCTGCGTGTACGTGGGCGCCATGACGCACACGGGCGCGCCCACCCGCAACGGCTTCGTCGAGTGCGACGAGGTCGCGGGCGACGAGTCGGGCGGCACCACCACCACGCTGAGCCCCAGCAGCAGCGGCACGGCGTCGGGCACGGCGTCGGCGCCGACGGGGACGGAGACGGGGACGGGGTCGGAGGAGGACCCGGAGGATAATGCTGCTGCTGCTGCTGGGCTGCACGGGGTGCTGGGGGTGGGTGTTCAGATGGTTGTGGGGGGGTTGGTGGGGGGTTTGTTGTGGTTGTAGACTGGCTGTCTCGTTGTTGGACTGTCCTGTTGGGGCATGAGATGTCTGCGCCCTGGGGAGCGAGGGATAGGTCGCGCCGTGGTGTGTGGCGGATTGAGGGGGGTGCGCCGCTTACTAACCGGGGAGCAGAGCTGGGTGTTTGAACCTCTTTTGGATACACATCGAGATAAAGGAGATAAAGGAGAAAGAGGCTTGCATTAACATTCTAATATGAGCATAATCTAATCTTCCAACGATCATCAACCAAAGTTGGAACGCTTTGACTGCGGAGGAATCACCTACCATTGGGGTCTTGCCCACATTGAAGCGCATGGCTGAGAAATTGGTGTTGACCAAAACAAGAGTTTGCATAAAAATTCCCTGTCTCGGCACTTGGAAGGGTTTAGATGGGTAGCTCTAAGGACAAGAAGCCATTTTGTAAACAACAAAGACTCAAAGTGTCTTTGTTTGAGGGAAGGCGATTCGAGATGTGGAACTTCAACCCCTGGTTGGGTTGCCAACCCGGCACAACTGAGGGAGGTTGCACGCCCAAAACGGTAATATACCAAGCATAACACATTCTTACCCCGCATGATCGTTCTCATCAACTTTTACATTCCATGATGCCCGGAAAAAAAGAGTACCACATCGATGGCCAGACTCGCGGGGCCCTGCAGGCCAATACCGGCGTACGATTTCTTCTCCGGGCCAAGCTCACACTCGAATCTCGGCACTCTTCGGATATCATCCCTTGGGCGCAAAGCCTTGCAGAAAAGATCACCAAGGCAGTGGTGGAAACAGCCGGCCACGACCTGGCGCATTTTGTTATGCACTTGAACGTAATCCGGTTGCTTAGCCACCGCCCGTACGCGTTTATTTGCTACGACGTCTTCTTGAACGAATGCGACGGGCAAGCACGAAACCAGTTCTCGCAAAGCCCCCAGCAGCCAATCCACGAAATCATCAAGCGGGGGAACAGCTGCCATGTCATTCGGAGCAAAAGGATGGACGACACGGTAGCAGCCCAGTACGGCCGCATGCAGGAAGTCGATAACGGTCCGCGGCCGTACTTTGCGGACAGCCGGTATCCACCACTCTACGTCGACGGCAGGCGAGTTGAGAGGTCTAAAGATGGGAAGCCCGATCCTGACGAACCGGAAGGATGGGACTGGGAGCGTGGGCTAGTATTTCAGCCGGAAGAGGATGAGTTGAACGGTGATGAATCGAAGGAGGATGAGCTGGAGGAGGATGAGTTGAAGGAGGATGAAGAGGATGAGCTGAAGGGAAATGAGGTGAAAGGTGGCGAGTTGAAGAGGAATGATGGGGAGTGATCCCCGCGAGGTTGAGAAAACAGACATGATTCGGCTTGTGGATTGGGAACGTCAAACTAAACCACTCCTCCCATCCAGTATCATGTCGAGGCCCACGCCAAAGTGCTACTAGTGTTACTACCTCTTTTCCGTCCTTCTGTCCAGCCGAAACCATGATTCCTGTTCAAAAGGGATAAAACGTGGAAACAAACGAACAAAGCACACTTGTTTTATTCACTCGCCCACTCATCATAACCTCCCCGTCCCACCCCCACCTCCAACTCATCCATTCATTCCTACCCATGCCCTAGACCGACCGAATCCATTCACAAACCACCACCGCCATCACCACCCCTTTCCACCCTCCCTCCCAACACCCCCCTTCATCTCCTCCACCTACTACCTACCTCCCCCACACGACCCCATCCCATCCCACCCCATCCCAACCCTCCTCCCCCCAAACCTCCTCATCCCCCACCCTCACCCCGGCCCTCACCCCCTCCCAAAAAGCCCTCACCTCCTCGGGATCCCGCCGCCTAGCATTCGGGTCGCTCTCCGGCAGCATATCCCGCAGCCGGTCCATCAGCACGTCCAGCTCGGCCGTGCACTCCAGTCCGCGCCGTGACTGGCCTAGTTTGGCGACTTTAAGTTGGACGGCTTGGTGGACTGTGGTGGGGGGATTGGTGGCTGGGTTGGGGGGTTGTGGAGGGTTGGTTGCAATGGGGTTGAGTGAGGGTCGTGGGGTGATGGGTTTGGCGACGGGGTTGGTTTTGGGTGTGGCTTTGCTTGTGGTGGGTGGGGGTTGAGAACTGGCCGTCGGGGTCGGCGAGGACCTAGGGGTGGTGATTTTGGTTTGCATGTTGCGTTTGTCCACCGTTGCTAACTTGATAGCGTTAGCCGTGGGATGATTGAATAGTACCGAGTACGTTGTGCCATCCCTTTATGTGTTCCATCTCACTCCTACAACGGAGTTGAGATCATGCCCAGGGGGTCTGGAGAAATATGAGTTAACCGTCTCAAGCAGCCAAAGAATCTCAGCGGTTCAGTCCAACCCAACTCCTTTGTGTCAATTCACCGCTACCAGAACAAATTCTATATCTCCCCACAATACCGCGGTTGAGACCTAGAACAGTTTTGTGTCTGAACCACAGTACGGGCCACTATGTATTAATATAAATACCACCCCGTGACTTGAATGCTCTCGATCCACACGTCTCACCATTTCCTCCGACGGCTCTTGAAACTACCTTTGTTTACAAACCACAACCACAACGAAGATGGCCGCCGCATCCCCCGATCTCAAGAAGCTGACGACGCTAAATGTCAGCGTTGTCCGGTGGGACGACAGCAAGCAGTGGTCCAAGGCGCTGACTGATTTCATCCCCGAGTTAATTCGCCACCGATACAATGAGTTTCGCCCCGATGACTACCTTTGGGCCGAGTTCGAGGACTTCCTCATGTGTCGCCTAAAGTACAACCCAAGGAAGGAAATCGTCGTCTTTTGCCCATATAGCTCGGATAGCAAAGAAAAGCGAAAACGGGAGGTGACGGACCAGCGTGTTTGGATAGACATCCTCAACGACATCACCAAGAACGTCATCGTGGTGTCGGAATATGGCCAACTCTGCTTCACGGTGTTGCCTCAAAAGAACGCCAAACAAACCACATCCACGTCGCCTAACGCGGTAGAGAACTGGCAACGTGTCGCCCCGCCGATCAGTGACGAGTGGATCCATATTGACCTGCCCCTGTTTAAGGGACCGCCTCCACCGCCGCCCAATTCACGGCGCGCTGTTATCGAGATTCAGGAATACGACGATTATTCTGACGAGGACCGTGGCGCAATCGACGGGCTGTACAAGTTCGTATACCATGGCGAGGACAGCGGGGATTCATCCGACGAGACCCTCGTTTCGGACTCGGAGTCGACTTACAGCGGCTACGATGACCCCGTCCTAGTCCCTACACCCGCCTCGTCCGAGGAGGGCGAGTCGGCGATCGTGAAGTTCACCCCCTCCCCCAAAGCAACTGATACCCTCACATCAACAAGGGGTAAATCATCAGCCAGGGGACGTACCGCTACCCGTGGCGCACCCTCTACCCGTGGCATCCCGTCTGCCGGTAGCTCCCGTTCTACCCGGGGTACGCCCTCCGCCCGCGGGACTCCCTCCGCGCGCGGCACCCCGTCCGCACGGGGCCAACCATTGCCCCGGCCCACAACCGCCCGGGGCACACACCCCAACACACGGGGCACCCGCGGCGGCGTCTGCGGCAGCAGAGGAACCAAAACACCCCTCCCATCGCGCGGCAACACCCCCACCACCAAACCCCCAAGCAGCACAACCACAACCCCCATCTCCTCCACCAAAGCCCGCAAACCCACCATCACCAAACCCCTCTCCACAACCAGAAGCACACCCACCCCCCCACCCGCCGCCGCCGCAGCACCCCCCTCCCCCGCAGTCAACTCCATCCCGGCCGCGACCTACCTCAACCTAGTCGACCTAGTCGCCGCCGACTACCACACGGCGAGCACATCCGACAGCGACTACGGCGCGCTGGACCTCGGCACCACCGTCGACGCCTACGTCGGCAGCTACAACGCGGGCGACTCCGAGGCCGAGTGGGCGCGCTGTTTGGAGTTTTTCAGGGTTAATGCGGGCGAGTACCGGAAGCGGGAGGCGCTTGCTGTTGCTTCCGGTTCTGGGGGTGGGGGTGGTGCTGGTGCTGGTGGTGCTGGTGGTGGTGGCGGGAGGAAGAGGGTGCCGATGAAGAAATTGCCCGGGATGGTGGTGGGCTTGTTTGATTACCAGCTGATGGGGGTGTTTAAATTGGCTGGGTTTGGGTTGATGGATGTTGCGGGCGGGTTGGTGTGTGATGAGCAGGGGCTGGGCAAGACGCAGGAGATGTATGGCGTGGTGGCGTTTGCGCATGCGCTGAGGAAGTGTAGGGCTGAGGTCAAGGCTGCGTGGCGGGCTGTGGTGGTTCCCGGGGGTCCGAAGCCGAAGGGGTGCCCCAGCCGGCATAATGCGCCTGGCGCGGTGGGGGCGAGGGCTTGTCCGTTCGATGAGCGGTATGGGTTCCAGTGCTACTGCTACTCGGAGCTGACGCGGGAGCTGGCGGACCGGCTGCCCGAGGGGCCGAACGTGGTGGTGGCGCCGGCAAGGAGCTGCGCGTCCATGGTCAGGGATGCGAAGACAAAGTTGGATACCAAGGTGTTCAAGATCCGTGGCTTCTACGAGGGCGGCGACAAGGAGGACAAGCTGACGCCGGCTGAGGTTAAGGCCTTGCGTGCCGCCATCACGGGAACCAACGGCGACCACAAGTACCAGGCCGGTAGCGGGCAGAGCGACTACATTATTGTGGTCTCGCCCGAGTTCATCCCTCGTCTCAACGGCCTGTTCAGTATCGACGTCCCTGGGGCGAAGAGTAAAAAGAGCGCGCTGCTGCCCGGTATGATCCTCATGGACGAGTTCCACGAGTATGCCATCGCCAAGGAAGGCGAGGCGAGCCGGATCGTGGCGTGGCTTCAGCATCTCAAGAAGTGCTGCCTCGACTCACAACGGCCGACCCCGTTGATGTACTTCGTCTCGGGCACTCCCATTGGTGAGACCCCGGCCGACATCCGCCCGACCATCTCTCTCCTCGAGAAGGAGGCCTGGAAGGACAAGGCTCATTCGTTGAGCGGCGCTACTGTTACTTCGTTCGACGAGCTCGTCGACACCTTCGACAGGCTCACAGGAATCCAAGCTGGCGGAGAGGCACTTGCCACTTCAGACATTATCGACTACCGCCGCCGGCTCGACCGCGTCCTCAAGCACACCATGGTACGCCGACTGGGCACCGACCAGTTCCAAGGCCGCAACCTAACCGACATTGGGCCGCTCAAGGTCAACATCACCGACCACAACCTGCCCTTCCCGCTGACGGACAGCATGCAAGCGCTCGCCAACAGCACCCGCGAACTCGCCGTGGCAGCCGCCGCCAAGCAAGGCATCCCCCTGCCGCGTTTCCTACGCAGCAAGGCAGGCGAAGGCCTCTTCCTCAAACTCCGGCTCGCGTCCACCTTCCCCGGCATCGCCGCACCCAACGCCTCCGACTTCACCTTCACGGCCTCCGAAGTCCACACCCACCTCACCGCCAGCAAAGGCGACGTGACCAAAACCCCCTACCACACCCACATCCCCGCCTGGTCGGCCGCAAGCCCCAAGCTCGAAACCCTCTCCCAAACCATCTCCACCATGCTCGCCGACAAGACCCCCATCCCGGGATCCCACAGCACCCTCAAAAAGCTCTGCATCTTCACGCCCCTCGAAGCCGAAGCAGTCCTCCTCCAAAGCTACCTCCTCCTCAAGCGCAGCCACCCCGCCTTCCGGGGCCTCAAACCCACCCTCCTCCACAGCACGCTCACCCAAACCGAGCGCCAGCGCGTCCTCGACAATTTCCTCACCGAGGGCCACGCCCCGCCCAACGTGCTCGTCGCGCCGCTGGCGCTAGCCGGCACGGGGCTGAACCTGCAGCGGGCGCGGTACAGCACGGTGACGGGGCCCGCGTGGACGAAGCGCGAGAACCAGCAGGCGTATTACCGGATCCATCGGGTCGGGCAGCGGCAGGAGACGCGGTTGGCGCTGCTGACGGCGAGGTGGAATCCGGCGGAGAGGGTGGTGCTCGGGGGGTATGAGGGACGGGGCGTGGAGGGGGATGGGCTAGGGAAGGAGGTGTGGGAGGTGGGGAATTGGTTCTGTTGTGGCGGGGAGGGCGAGAGGGGGGGGTTGGTGGAGCGGCATCAGGCGGCCGCGTAGGAAGGGTTAGGTTGCCGTTGGTAGAAAGAGATGGAGTGGTGCTTGATAGATTGGTATTAAGTGAGCTTTGCTTGGAACTAGAGCACCATTAAATTATATATTTCTCTTTTTATGTATGCACTATTTCTCAGCAGTGACATGTCTCGTTCGTGATTCTCTGAATTGAGTTGCTCGATTTTGGTTGTTTGTGGTGTTGCGTGATGATAACGATGGCCCGTGTGATGGCTTTTCTCAGGGGGATGCTAAACACTGATAAGGGGATACCTAAGCAAGCACTCGTCCCGTGGCTGTCAATGCTGGTGGCAAGGGCCCAGACATGAGTGCCGAAAGTTCAAGCTAACGAAGAAGCCGTTCATAGTGCCGGTGGAAGATCCGTGAACGGAGTTGCGAGTCTCCCTGTGCGGACATTATTACCCCAGTGGTTTGCGAGCAGCCTACCTCAATTAACCATATCATCATTACACAAACAACGACATGACAACATCTCCTTCAAACATACACCCAACCCCTCAGCCCACAACACAATCCCCCACGCTCACACTGGCATCCTAGCTAGACCCAAACCCAGCCCACCGTCTTCGAGTCCCCTCTCCAATCCACCACCTCAACCTCAACTCCTCCCCCGAAAACCCTTTCAACCCCTCCTCCATACAAATGTGCTGAAACACTGACGCACTCTCCGCAGGGTAGTACCCCAAGCCCGTATCCTTATACGGCACACCGGAAAACACCCTAGCCGGGTCGGGCTGCGGGACAAGCTCCATGCCGGGATATGTCAGGTCGTTGCGTTGCCGCGGCCTCCAGGTTAGTGTGGAGGTTGGGTCTGGTGCGGGGGGCGTTTCACTGTCGTGTTAGAGGGCGGTTGGTATTGAGCGCCGCGGGTGCTTAAAGTTGTTTTGGGGATTGGGGGAGGGGGGGTTACGTACTCGAGTTTTCTGCTGTTGTTTGGCTGGTGCTGTTGGTGTTGGTGCTGTTGGCAGTGCCAGTCCCGGTGCTGGGACTGTTGACGGCGGTGGTGCTACCACTACTGCCAAAACCACCAAAGCCGGTGCCCGGGAGAGGAGCTGCTCCCAAGGGCTTGTTAGGTGTGCCAAACCCGCCGCTGGAAGCGAAGCCAGTGCCCCCGGCAGGAGCTGCTCCCAAGGGCCTGTTAGGTGTGCCAAACCCGCCGGTGGAACCGAAGCCAGTGGCCCCGGCAGGGGCTGTGCCGAAGGGTTTGTTGGTGCTGGACGTGGTGCTGGAACCGAAGCCAGTGGCGAAAGGGGCTGCGCCGAAGGACCGATTAGTGCTGGACGTGGGGCTGGAACCGAAGCCGGTACTCGGAGGAGGAGCTGCCCCGACGGGATTGCTAGCGCTCGAAGTGCTGGGAGAACCGAAGCCAGTGCTCGGGGGAGGCTTTGTCCCGAAGAGGGTATTAGTATTAGAAGGGCCGCCAAAACCGTTGCTGGGCGACGAGGCTCCAACTGCTACCCCCGACGCACCGAAAGGGGCGGTGTTTGAAGCGGGTTGGCCGAAAGCGATGGGACGGGGTGGAGGTTGTACGCTAGTAGGTTTTGTGTTGGGCGGGACTGCTGCCGCTCCTGCCGCGGGTGATGGTGTCGGGTCTGCAGCTGGGGTAACCGATGGCTCGATTGCTGGCGGCGGTCTCGGGCTTCCGGTCGGTGTGACTGATGTTTCTACAGCGACAGACCCTATCATAGGCCATTTAGACTCACTCTCTTTCGGCAAGTGAAAGGTTGACTTACTTGACGAGGCCTCCCCTGGCACACCGGGAGAAAGACGCAACAAGGCGGAAGGAAGTACTGGTAAAGGGTGTTAGAACTGTCAACAAACGGTATTTCCTCACAGCATACCGTGCTCCTGCCGTGGCCTGTGTCTCTGGCACTTGCGCAGCCCCTCCCGCAGTATGGTGACCTCTTGTTGGAGGTCTTGCCGCTGCTTCTGGAGATCCTCAGTCTCCGAAACCAGATATTGCAGTCTCTCGGAATCCATTCCGTCGACCTTCGTCGGGGTCAGGATGGTCGTTAAGTCGTGGACGAGGCAGCTCTCAATAGCCAGGTTGATGATATTGTCCACATATGTTTTGAGTGACATCTATTGCTTGGGTTAGAGTGGACTTCTAGCAGACTGAGATGGAGATCACAAACCTCATAATACACCACCATCATGTTAATCACCTTCCCCGTGTCGAACATGCTACTGTTGTCCCTGGTCGGACCGTCGACAGCGTTCAGAATCATATGGCGGGTCAGGCCGGCGCCCAAAACGGGGTCGAACCGAAACAACTCGGGGTGCTGTCTCTCCAAGCGAGAGGCAAACTGGTTGGCGAACCTGCGAGACGATCTTTCCTGCATTCTCGCACGGAAGGCCGAGTCGAGGGGCGGCCCATGGCCATCTTTATAAGGCCTGATGACCTCGCGCAACTTGACCTGGAGGATATCCTCCTTGCTCGCAAAGAACGGGTCCACACAGTCATGGAGGATGGAGTTGAGGGTGGCGTCGTCCGCTCCGATAACATGGCGGAACACGCGGTGCACAAACGCCTTGGTCGCTGAGAGGACGTAGTCTAGGTGTTCCTGCGCGATTCCCTCCCATGCCGCTGACTGCTTCTTGAAGAGCAAAAAGACGAGCTCCGGGTTGGTGTCGCCAGGGAACTCTCTGCCGCGGTTGGAGAATGCCAGCGACTGCAACAGCTCGTTGAGCTCCGACTCAGGCTTTGGTTCCGGGTCAGGGGCATTGTAGAGGTCACACAGCGGCTGCAGATACGCAGGAACCTCGCGGTTAATCTCTCGCTCTGCACTCTCGTTGGCGTCGGCATCCTCCCACTCGATCTTGTAACACGCACCCTTTCTCTCCATAACAGAGACAAAGGCGCTGTTCATATTTCTTAATAGCGCTCGTAGCTTTAGTAGCCGGGTGTCGTCCTGGTCGAACCCCCCAAAGAAAGGGTCGTTATACCTCCCCTCAACCGCATCACGCGCCAGGCGTTGGAAGTCTTCGGCGATACCCAGAAGGTAGCTTCGCAGCTCCTCGGGTGTAGATCTTGGTTTCCCAGCACGGGTGAGGTCCTGTTGGCACGCCCTGAGCCTGGTCTCGATGTCATCGATGAGACTGGGTAGGTTCTTCTTGATATGGTCGAGCAGCACTTTGCTGAGCCTTCTGCGCAAGCTCTCGACGCCCCTGTTCGCGGCGCTGATGGAATTCCACTCGCCGGCCCGAAAGAAGCGCTCCTCGACGGTATCGCGCACCTCAGATTCAGAAGACCGTTCCTCCTCGGACCGGTTGCGCAGCACATACCAGCCGAGGGCGAGGCGGTGCATGCTCTCGCGGCCCTTGGCGAGGTCTAGATATTTCTTCTCGTTGGCGGACCCGCGCCCGGCCATGTCGGGCTTGGTTATGACGCCGATGGTGCGTTCCCGGTCTGGGTCGTGCCTTGCGGCGCTGGAGAGCACCGCCTGGTTTGCCAGCGGGTGGTTCGCGGCGACGACGAGCAGGATGATGCTCTTGTCCTGCTCCATGTAACTCTCGATAAGCCCGTCAACGACCCTCCTGTCGTCCTCGTTTTGCTCCGCAGTTGAGCTGTGGAAAATACCCGGAAGGTCGACGAGAGTTAGGGGATACACGTCGGGACTGGCCACCTCGACGCGCAAGACATCCTTGGAAAACCTCTTGGCGCCGTTGTTGCTGATGCCCATACGCTCCTTGGCCTCCCGAATGATGTCGGGAAGGGCATCTTTGTCGAAGCTGGTCCTCTGGAACGGCGCAGGCGGCGGGCGGGAAGCCCCGGGAGTGCGACTGCGAGTGGCATCCTCCGCGTGCGTGGACACGGCGGAGTCGGCGAACTGGATGCTCACATTGATGGCCGTCTGGGGCGCTCGGCGGAGAACGAGCTCGGTCGCGAAGCGAGTGCACAGGTCGCCGTCGACGGGGAATCGGACGCGCGAGATGGCCTCGAGGACCGAACTCTTACCTGACGACTGGTCGCCGACCACGATAATTTGCGGGAGATGGACGAAGTCGCCAACGCCGAGTGCGCGCAGTCCGTCGATGGTGTCGAGGAGAGACCTTGCGTCCGATGTGTTTAACTGGGAAAGCGAGTCCGCTTCGAGGTCGACCTGCGGCGGAGGGAGATCCATCGCTTTGTTTGGTTTTGGTCTGAGCGGAGGATATAAAAAGACGATTGAATGAGACACAACACACAGCCTGTCGGGGGTGGTTTGTATTTGTTGAGAGCCAGGCAGCTATCTGGCCTGGTTGTGTGTTTTCAACTTGAAGGTTGCAGTAAATGAGACGGGAATGCCACAACCATTGAACGTTGGGTTTCAGGCTTTCAGCCCCCGGCCACCAGCGCTGAACGGGGAACCTCAGACCAGCGATTCTCGTGCAGCAGTGTCTTGGCACCAGAGAAGGAAAGAACCAGGCTGAGGGTGGCGAGCAAGATTGCATGTTACGGGAAGGAAGGAAAAATACATAAAAGTTCAGACCGAACACCACCATCCATACGTACCTTACCTATTCGACGCTCAACTCGAAACTACCCAACCGCGCTCAGGTCACCATGGCTGAGTTAAATGCCCCCTCAAGTGTTGAAACGGGCCTGATGGGGGGCCTCAATTTTCCCCTCTCTTATTGGACGCACCATCATGTCGTGTAACCTCTGAACGCCTCGTTCAGCCCCTGAGAATGCGGGTTCAAATCCAACGTCTTGGGGGCACCATCTGCAGGAGACGGGCCGTTGGGCTGAAGGCCCTCAGTCACTGACTGTACCCCCGCATCCCCAAGGCTTTCCTCCTCCTCAACCCCCATGTCTGCAGCAGCAGCACATCGGCCATCGTCCCGGTGGCCGCAGCATGTCCGGCCCAGCGTTTGGGTTCTCGGCCGGCGACTTCATCGCTGCGGTCGGCCTGCTCGTCAGCGTGACTAACGCCCTTAAAGACACCGGCGGGGCATCTGACGAGTACCGCAGTCTGGTACGGGAGCTGCGCCTGCTGGAACGCGTCCTCAAGCAACCGCACGTTAGGCAGGGGGCCCAGGGCGTCTTTTCGGCAGACATCACGCAGCAGACCGACCTAACCCTGGACACCCTGAGCGGCTTTCTTGAGACTATATCCAAGTTCGATGCGAAGCTCGGGCCGCAAGCGGCATCCGGATGGCACCACGGTGTCGCGAGGAAGACGCAATGGGCCGTAGCGTATGCCAAGGAGGTTGAGAAGTTGCGGGTGAAGCTTGGAACGCATTTGACCGAGCTGAACATGCTGCTTCAGCTTTACGCGAGCGCAAGGTGTGTCCGTTTTACCTGGACATGGGATGGCAAGAGTCCCATCAAGTGGGCGGGCAAACTAACACCTAACCAGAGTCCAAGCACTTGCAACGACATTGGCCGAAGTTCCTTCAGCGATACAGGCACAAGGTCGGCAGATCCTAACTTGGCAACAAGACACATCGACCAAGATCGACAACCTGGACTCAGATATTCAAAGCCTGGGCACCTCCCAGGAAGCCGTCTTGAACCAGCAGCATTCAGTCGTTCTCGCTCAGTTTCAAGCTACCCGCGACGATATCCAGCAAGGTAACGGCCGCATTGCAGCACTCGGCGGCAGCATGGAAGCTCAGACTCAACAACTAGCCGGCTTGAGTCAAGACGTTCGAAGCTATCACACCACCATTGGGACACGCGTGCAGGAAGCCTCTCAGGGGATGGAACTGCTGTCGAGGAAGTCGGATCTCATTCTGCACGCCATTTCCAAGCCCCACCGTAACAACAACAGAGAAAGGCAGATGATGAACAGGGATGACCAAGATGAGGTCCTTGTGCTCCTTTTTCGATTGTGAGTAAGAGCCCACCGCAAACGGCCCACAAGCTCGGATCTCTAACACCGCCGCAGACTCCGCGCCGTTGCAAAGTCAATGGGCGACTTATTCATAAAAGCCGGACTTCTTCTCCCGTTCGTCCTGTCGGCCGTCGAGACCCTGACAAACACCGTACGGCGGGAGCCATATCTGCTGGCAGAAGATAGTATAAACTATACGGACATGCGCGGAAGAAAGTATACGATGCAGTACGAGTACTTCCAGCAGTGGTCGGTAAGTACCCCTTGTTTGTTTGGCCGTCCTTTTATCCCCTATTCGAATGCTTACGAGGGTGGTAGAAGTTTGAACGGTTTTTCATTAACCAGGCGCACGAGCTGGTCAATGGGCTAGAGGAGCGCCCCGCCCCTTTCCGCGTCAAGGGCAGAATCTTTTTAAAACTGGTCAGCAGCCGCGGGTCCTATATATTACCGCTCGAATCCGACAACCAGTGGGAGGTTGCCCCGGGCGATGCGTTTTCGGCAAAACTAACACTCACCAATCGTGTGTGGCATCATCCCCGAGGGGAGGTTACGAGGACGAGATCATATGTTTTTGTTCTATCACTGTTGCCACCAGAGGGTACCAACGATCCCTGGCTCAGCCAGTTGGGGCCAAGAGAATAACACCCTCGTAACTCGGTAGCCACCGTTAGTATTATCAAATCCACATGAAAGATGACGGCAAAAACAGGTCAGACGCCCGGTCCTTTCCCATGTGCAGGCGGCTGCCAGCATCGAGATAGAAGAAACGGAACGTAATATTGAAAACCCGCCGAGTAAATGACTCATAGGAGGCGAAGAGAAAAGCTTGGAATCGATTTACCTTACGTATTAGCAACAAGTGTGTAAACATCTCCAACCTAGTTACCTGTAGGATTGCATCGAGGGTGCTTTCTACATTAATATATGTTGTGTCCAGTCATCATACAAGAGGAGCGAGAGGTGCAGTTATTCGTCTCCATTCGGACCAACAAGAGCAATAAATTAGCTAGGTACAATATCAGCAAGATTCGTTCAGTAGCGAAGGCAAGTTCAAGTTCTGCTCTCTGCGTAACCTGCTTCCGGTTACCTTTTTTGGTCCATGAGGTCGGGTGACAGGCCATTAGGCTTGGTCACGACTTTGGTCGCATTAGTGGCAGTGTGCCCCTAAAAGAAGCGGGTCGGAAGAGGGTTGCCTAAATTGACTGCCTCCCTCCCTCTGTGAGTTCCTCTCCATTCATCCCAACAACATCCATCCCAACAACAATCCCGACGCCAAAAACCGACAACGAACACCCCGGATCTTCCCAACTAGAGCTATCAAGTCCCGCGCATCTCAATATGGGGGCATTTTTCAGTACTGTCAAAAATCCCAAGAATTCCCCGACATTATCATTGCGGGACTTGACCATTGTTGAGACGCGGGACCGGGGGTCCACCGTGTCGAAATTCGTCACGTTCTACTGGGCTTCCCCGGAGGAAGAGGTGTACTTTGGCCAATTGTTCAAAAACAAGAAAGATATCACTCTGTCAGAATACAATGCGGCACTAGCACAAATCCCCGACAGCGAGATCTACCCCCGGGTTCCCGAGGACATTCCACTCACATTGGCGCCCGACGACTTAGACAACGTCTCTGCCTTTATCAAGCGACCCGGTCTCAATTGGTATGATCTCGCGAAGGGGACCGATTCTATCTCAAGGGAACTCCTCGGGGAGACACTCGCCATGGAACGAATCTCCAAGACGCCCCATCCCCACATCATCCGTTACCTCGGCTGCCGCGTGCGTCGTGGCCGGATCACATCCCTCTTCGTGGAGCGTCTCGACCAAACGCTGACGCAATACATCCACGAACCCGGATTTGCGCAGCTTGACAAGAGCAAGTTTGTCGAGGCGCTCGACTCGGCCGTGGCATACCTCCACTCGCTGGGATGCGCGCACAACGCCATTAATCCGGACAACATCATGGTCAGGGATGGGATGCCCGTCTTGATTGACTTTGGGTCCTGCCGGCCGTATGGCGAGCGTCTGCAGTCTGCAGGCACGCCCGGGTGGTACGAAAAGGACTTCAACACTTCTGAGGCGGAGCACGACACCTACTCACTCAAAAAGCTGCGGGAGTGGCTAGAGAAGCCGGAGTGAACACAGCCTGACAGATGAATGCTTGGAGGTCGTCCCTTATAATTGACGAGTTGGCTGCCCACGCTGCCCATGACAAATTGGTCAGTGTGGACACTGATAGAGCTCTGCTGCCCATGTAAGACTTAGACGGCATCGGGCGCGGGGCTCGGCAACGGCCACCCCTTAATAATTTTGGTAAGTTGGGTGGATGGACAGCCGGTCAGACGAGCTTGAAGATGATGGTTTGTGCGAGCGAGTAGGGCACAGATAGGCTGGAAGCTTGTTCTCCCTTTCTCTTGTATTTGAGTTGGTAATATAGATAGGAAGAATGGCTATAGGTAGGTACTTAATGCAGACTTGATCGCTATATGTGCTCATTTGTTCTTTCTTCAAGACTACCACATCACCGCACCCGCCTCCATCTCACCCTCATCTCCCTGTCAGGCGCTGCCGCCACGGAGTTTGCATAGTTCACATCGTTCTGGGCGGCCCGGTCCGAGAGGGACCCATCTGGCTTCAGCCATGTGACATCGTCCACTTCAAAGCTCGAGACAATCATGGCCACGGCGAGCAGCACCTCTGGCTTCGCAAAGTTACGCCCAGGGCACATGCCAGTTCCGCCGCCTAAGGCGTGTTAGTCTAGAGCTCATGCGAACCCAAACAGTGGGATTCAAGGAAACATACCGAACGGGAAAAAGGAACCTGACCGGCCTGCGAGTGAGAATTTGAGTCGTTTCGATACTTGACCTGTCATCTCATCGCGCGTCTCTGTCTCCTTGACGTGACGGTGGGCCCAGAACTCGGAGGCAGGGTGCTCCTGGGTACTCCCTGAACCATGGGGTTAGTATTGACCGCATGATGATAAGGGGCAATGGCTAGGGGGAAAACATACAAACGGCTTCGCTCAGATGGCCGACTTCGGTCGGTGCCTGCAAGATGGACCCCTTGGGTAGCGTGTACCCACCGACAGTGAGAGGGGCCGTACAAGTCCGCGTGATGAGCACGCCCACATGCAAGCGCAGGACTTCGGTGTAGACGGACTGCAGCAGCGGCAAGGACCCCAGTTTCCGGTGGTCAAAGCCCTTGAAGGTGGCGTCGGGACCGTCCCGGACGAGCTCTGCCTGCGAGATCTCTTCCCTGACAGCCTGAAATAGCTCCGGGTCCTTGAGCAGTTCCATCACGACCCAAGTACAAACGGGGATGGTGTTGGCGTGGAGGCTGTACAACGCGGTAGCCAGTCAGCACCCTGTCTCCCTGCACAAAGCCCGCAACATTCGAACATCACCTACCCAAAATGAAGCAACATAAAAACCGGCCCCATACTATCCGCCTCAAACCCAAACCTCCTCGCCCAACGAGCCAACCCACTGGACAGACGCGACCCAAACACCGGCTCCCACTCCTCGGCCCCATCCCCAGACGCATCCCACTCAAACCTCGGCTCCGCCACCTCATACCACCGCCTGCACATATCACTAAACCGCGCGCGCGCCCGAACCGCCTCCCGGTTCAGCCAATCCGGCAGCCCAAACGCAAGCCCCTCCACATGGCACTCATACGCCCAAAACGCGTCCACAAACCCCGGGTTGACCTCGGCCATGAGCGGGCCCAGGGCCGCATGCGTCGCCGCCGCCGTCATGGTGCGCTTCAGCGTGTCGAATATCCGCACCCCCTCCGTCCACTCCCCCGCCTCCCCCCCGTGGCCGGGACCGGGACCAGGGCAAGGGGCGACAAGCTCCGCGTGCAGCGCGGCCTGGAACCGGTCCGCGAACGCGTCGGTTGCGCGCGCGCTGGCGAGTGCGCTGTCGTACAGCCGGTGCAGCGCGTGCCAGATGCGGTCGGGACCACCGGCACCACCGGCACCGCCGGCGACACCTCCACCGCCACCAACAGCAACGCTGCCGTGCTTGGCCAGGACAGAGAAGGAGGAGGAGGAGGAGAAGGAGGAGGAGGAGGAGGAGAAGGAGGAGGAGGAGGAGGAGGAGGAGGAAGAGGAGGAGGCCATGAAATTGCTACCGGGACGCGGGGTGGCGGCGGCGCCGGAATCGTCGCGCGCGAGCTTGGCCAGGTCGCGCGGGGTGTAGCCCGCGCTGCGCATGATGCGCAGGGTCCAGGGGTCGGAGTGGCATGTCGCGCGGAAGAGTGGTGGGCCGTGGTTGCTGCCGTTGCTGTTGCTGTTGTTGCTGCCGTTGCTGATGTTGTTGTTGTTGCCGTTGCCGCCGCGGAGGAGGTGGAGGTCGAGGGGGCCGAGGCGGCAGCGGATTACGGGGTGGATTTCGAGGGCTGCTCTGAAAAGGGGGGGTTAATGTGAGTACATACCTAGGTAGTGAGTTTTGGTTGGGGTATATAGACTTTGCTGTGGGGAGGGAGGAGGGGGTTTGCGTACCTGGCGCGCGTGATGAAGAGCCGCTTATTGGTCATGAACTGCCAGAGGTTGGATACGAATGGGATGGTCTCGTCAAGTCGGGGGGGCTGTTTTGGCTTGTCGCTGCGGTTTTGCTTCGCGAGTACGGCGACTAGAGTCAGGATCAGCAGCAGGGCGGTCATGACCGTGCTGTTTGGCGCAGCCCTCATCTTGTCGACGAGGAGTTGCGTATGTGACGGGGCATTTCCGCCGGCCGTGTGCACTGTCGTGTTCATGGTGGGAGTTTGGCGTTGGGTTTCTCTCTCGTGTGATGTCACTCGGAAGGGAGAGGGAACATTGGAGTCAAAAATATAGTTTAGAAGCAGTGCTGCGTGTGAGTGCATCAACTCTTGCGCCGTTGGAGCAAGGATGTAGTCACGAGAACTGTTGTATGTAAGGGCATCAACTGCGGGATAGCTCTACACGCGTGAAACCACTCAACGATTGCTCTTGAAGCAGGGCGGTACGTCGGTGTCAAGATCTCAAGCTCTGCAAGGACCTCACAGATGTACGACGGTACCGGAATTGTGAGGTCGTTGGGTAGGTCACGGGGCTAGGAGGGGGACATCTCGGTTGCTGCGCGACTAGCTCGTCTCGTATGCGGCTGGTGGCGATAATTCCCGCTTCACCCGGTCTGTGCCTCTTCTATAGACAAGCAAGGTGTCTTTCGTCACCACATACGAAGTATGGGGGCGGAATGTCGCCGAGCGGCGGCACCTCGCATGCGCCTTGGTTCAGCTGTATGGCACAGCGCGTAGTGGATAGGGGGTGGACGTAGAAACGTCCATCCTTCCCGCCTACCAGGTACTCGGTGGCTGAGGGCGCTTGATGTTACACACTTATTCTGTACGTCTGCGGCACAGCAGCCGCCCCGGCATCCGAACGTGACGGCCCATGACGGAAGGAGGTATGTATGTGATTCAGGACAGCCGGTGTGCGGCGCGAGGATGCTGCAACACAACCCCCGAGTCGATCGGAGGTTATGGTGGCTCGCGTTGGATTTCACGTCCCCAATGGGTTGCGAAGGAAAAGTCAATGGAAGGGCTTCTACGGTCAATAGGTCAGAAAGCGGTTACGATGTAGGTGTGAGATTTAGGTGTATTAGTATCAGCGGCCTTGACTCCCCAGATCCGTCCCTTTTCGTTCCGTACACGGAACCAGTCACCCCTTTTTCAGTGATAGTACAGTACAATAAACCTCGACAGTTGGCTTCGTTCAGAGAGCGCCCCTACCACCGGCGGCAATATCCTCCGACACAATATCCATCGCCTTGTCTGTCCCCGAGTACACGACCCGCCACTTCCGCTGGGGATCCCTGGGACGCAGCTCAACGGGGATGTCTTCATCGATAACAGGAAAGCCCGCCTGAGCAGGCGAGTTCTCCCACGTCGGCTCGACCCAGCGACCAGCAACAGGCACGACATCAAACTGCAGCACCAGCAGCGCCGCCAGCGAGAGGATCTCGGTGCTGGCGAAGTGGCGGCCCGGACACAGCACATGGCCACCGCCAAACGCGCGGAACGCGACCCGGTTCGGCTTCTTCTTCTTCTGCGCGCCCTCGCCCGACGCGGGCGCAAAACGCAGGTGATCAAACTCGCGCGCGTCGTCGCCCCACGCCGCGGCGTCGGTGTGCTGCACCGCCGCCGGGATCATCAGCATGGCGCCCTTCTTCAGCAGCATGCGGCCGTCATCCACCAGCACGTCCTCCAGCAGCACGCGCGGGCCCGGGTTGACGGCGCGGAACCGCAACGTCTCCTGAAACGTGCTCAGCAGGATCGGGCAAGTCTCCCTCACGGCCGCCAGATCGATCGAGCTAACCGGGACGCCATCCTCGCCCGTCTCGTCGCGCACCAGGGCGTGCAGCTCGCGGCGCACGTCGGCCAGCACGCGGGGGTCCGACACGATGTGGTAGAGCACCCACAGGGCGCAGGGTGTGGTGTTCCCCAGCACGGCAAACGCGTTGCCGAGCTCGCCGCGGCCGACATCATCGAGGCCCAAGCCGAAGAGGTCGGCGTGGTGCTCGACGCGCTTGCGCACCAGCCCGGAGCCCGTCTTGTACCCGCCCGCGCGCATGTAGCGGACCATGGCGGCGGCCGCGACCTCGCGCGCGCGGTGCAGCTTGGGGAAGAAGAGCCAGGCCAGCGGGAACATGGACAGCGTCAGGAAGCCGGCCTCAAACGTCTTCCAGGCGTCGGCCACCGCCGGGTCGCGGAAGGGGTTCGCGGGCCCCCAGACCGCCTCGGAGGTTGATGTGACCATCATGCGGCGGGACCACTCCCAGAGGCCGACTTTGGTGGCGGTGTCAGTCCCGCGCAGCTTGGCCATCTCGGCGACGTAGACCTCGATGGCGCGGCGGTTGATGGCGTCGAGGTCCGGGCCGGGGGCCATGGACGGCATGATGTACTTGGGCCAGCTGGGGCTGAAGCCGTGCTCGCTGGTCAGGTCGCGCTTCATGACCTCGACGGCCTCCTTGCTCATGCCGACGACGTTGCCCGCGTCGGCCGCGATGGACGCGAAGCTGATGACGCGCCATTGCTTTTGCAGTACGGGGATCAGCTGCGTGGCGTTTACGATGTACATGCGCTGGAATGGGAGCCGCAGCGTGTAGATGGGCAGCCGTGTGGCGTCTCTGGTGTGTTGTTAGACCAGGTGCTTAGGTGCCTAGGCATGGGGGGGCAGTGCGGGACCAACCTCAGGCGGATGTGGAAGCGCGACTTCTCCCGGATCATGCCAATCAGGGGCTCGATAAAGGGAATGTCGGTCAGAATGGCCGGCGGTTCCTTTGCGTCCTGGGTGAGGTTGAGAAGCACGCGGAGGAAGACGTAAGTGGCGGCGAGACCGCCCAGCACGAGACTAATGGTGGGGGCCATGATCAGATGATTGGAATTGTTGCAGCTTCCGAAAGGGATACGACGTGTTGGATAGGGCTCAGAGGGCTCGGAGGGGGGCGCGGCGCAGAAAGGGGAGGCGGCGGGGAGCTCTCTTGAAACAAGGGCGGAGAGGAGGGTGGAAGTTCCTATTCGGTTGAAGAAGAGGGAGCGACAATGGAAGTTTGTTTGTAGGCCGTAGCTGGTTGGCTGCACCTCAGCCGTGTTTGTGCGGAATAACTGGCTGTCCGGTTTGTTGTTTTGGACATTGGAATCCAAAAGAGGAACCCCCGGAGGTTTCGTTAGAGCCAACAGCCGTTGGTCCCGAGCGCCAATCGTCCAAGTTTTGGCCCCCCAGCCTTGGATAAAGATAGAGGCGCCAACGAAGTGCAAATAACGGCCCATATCACGTCGATCTCGGCCCTGCAGGGGGGCTTAGGTCTGGGCTATCATTGGACGGAAACCCGCCACTGTTGTTGGTTCTCTGCTGCAGCAACTGTGCCGCACGCATCATCTGTAGGTAGTCAGTGCAACGATGTAACTCCCGGGGCATGCAGGGAGGGTCCTGCCGCTGTTGCCGCTCTTGTGCCACATCAGTACATTGGATACATACCGATGTATGGTCAGCTACGCCGCCAGATATCACAGCTCGCCACTGCACCTAGGCCGCGGGCACATCATCTGAAGCGTGGCTTACACGCCGTCTCACGGCGCCGCCGCCCCCAAGGCCTTGCAAAAATGCGTGGAAAGAGAAATCAGGCTGTGCAGTCTACGCTCGGCTGTTGCCCCCCGGTAAAGGCACCCGTTCATGAGCTGAGCGCCTCTATACTACGCAATCTTGGAATCCCAAGTCGTTTCTTAGGTAGGCGAGCGTCCATGGTTCGACTCGAGTTCAACTCGCAAACACTACTTGTTCTTCATTATTGTCGAGCCACTGTTGGAGCCGGGAAGAACACACACAGTGACTACCTAGGTGCTCAGTACTAGCCAGGCCACCGGGGGCTAAAGTTTCAACAATGTCATCTAACGGCGATTCCCTTTTCGCGCCAACGGGCAACGACAACATCGCTGCTACGCCCTTCTATGTGCGTTCATCCGTACCCGGTCTTCATCCCATGAGTAACCCTGTCGCTAACCGAAAAATATCTAGATACTGAACTGGGTCTTCTTCGGCCTGTGCCTCGTCGCCTTCTCCGTTCGGGTTTACATCCGCTTTGTTTGCTTCCGGAAACTGGTCATCGAGGACTATCTCATGCTCGTGGCGCTGGCCCTGCACAGCGCCGAATGCGTACTGATTCAGCTCTTTGTCGGGCACATGTACGATGTCGAGGCCGTCGAGAAGGGTGATTACTCCAAGATCGGCCCAGACTTTTTCACAAACTCCAAGAAGGGTTTCGCATCCCTTGGCGCCACCGTCAACATCACCATCGTCGGCGTGCTGATTGTCAAGCTCAACTTTCTGCTCTTCTTCAAGCGTCTGGGCGCCGGTGTCCGGAGGTTTAACGTCGCCTGGTGGATTATCACCGTCTTCACCGTGGGCGGCGCCATCGCGCAGATCGGCATGCAGGAGTTTGGGTGCTTCTTTGGGGGCGTCGAGTACATCTTCAGCGAGAACTGCGCAGCCGACCCGGCGCTGACACGCATCTTCATCAACGCGATCTTCTCGGCCGTTGCCGATGCCCTGTCGGATGTTCTGAGTGAGTTCAACCCCCTGGCCTCTGACCCCTGACCGATGCCAAACTGACCGCTCCCTCACCATAGTTCTCTGCCTCCCCGTCTGGATTCTCTGGGGCAGCGGCATCAGCATGCGCAAGAAGCTGGCCCTGACCTTCGTGTTCAGCCTGGCGTGGCTGACCATCGCCATCACCATCGTGCGCGGCAGCATCTTCCACCAGCAGTACAGCATGGCCGGGTCGGGGGAGACGCAGATGCAGAGCGCCACCTTCACGTGGTTCTGGTTCTACATGGAGTTCAGCGTGGCCTTCCTGATCGCCTGCATCGTCTCCTTCCGCTCGCTCTTCGTGCAGCGGGGCCGGAAGGAGAGCGCGCAGCGCGAGGAGCAGGAGCGCCGCGAGGCCGCCTACCGCAGCGCCATGCGCCGCGGCCGCGGCTGGCGCGCCAAGTGGCAGCAGCTCAACGAGAGCGTGCTCGACAAGTGCAGGACCCTCGAGGGCTGGTCGGCCAGCGACGCCGACACGCTCTACGGCAACCCCCACGGCCTGCCCACCGTGCCCTCGGGCCTCATGACGGTCGACTTCCACGACGACGCCAACTGGAAGAAGACTACGCGGGGCACCGTCCAGTGTACCACCGTAACTGCCGTCCGGCAGGATGCCGAGGACTACCCGCAACCCCGTTATTTTCAGGGCCATGCGCCCACGGGCTCGATGCACAGCGAGGAGACGCTTGTGCAGGACCCGGAAGCGGCACATCTGGGGCACAGGGTGCATGTTGTAGGGATGGCACGGTAGGACGGGACGGACAGTGACTAAACGGAAGCGCTACCAGGAAGCATGCGTGGTCTTCTCGGTGTATGGGCTATGATTTGGAGTATTACTCGTCACTGCTGCGTTATGTACTTTTGTGTCCATAGCTGTATAAAGTTGATGCTATCTTCTACCAGCAACATCGTCTATGGCCGGATGGTGTTTGTCGAACCCCTGACGGCCGATAGGATGAACGGAACAAGCAGCCTAGCTTTTCAATGAATCGCACATTGCCCTATTTTGAAATGGCGTGGAGGGAGCGTGGTGCGGTGTTAGAGACCCGGACCTGCTGGCTGGTTCCAACCGTGAGCCTCTTCGCCCTCTCTTCTACGCTACTCCGTACATCCAAAGATCAACTCGGGTTCGTTGGACAGCCAACCCACGCAGCCAGTAACAACCAGGAGAACAGGGCTGCGGACCGCGCCGCTTGTGCCGGGGAACCAACCTGCGCCGCCCCACCCCACCCCTTTCGGCCAGACGAGGCGCTGTGCTGTTGGGACGTTTTGCGGCTGAATGAGACGAAACTGCAGGGTGACATACACTACTGCAGCGTACCCCAGCCCTGATGTTTCGCCCCCGTTTGCCGCCCTTTCCGCCCCCACCATTGTATGTACATACCGGACGCCGAGACACCATGTCTGAGTTTTGGCCCCCTTCGCAGCGCCTAGCTGTCCATTCAAAAACCACGCTCGGAGCCCCGCTCCCGATTCAACCTCGGTGCGTTAGTAATAACCACCGTCGACGGCGTCACCCTATGGCGGCGCAGCGAAGAGCGGTTTGATGTCCAGTGCTCGTATGAGAAGGTGAGAAGCTGTGTTCGGTGGGTAGAGCTTCGCCGCCGCACCCCTCCCCCCGGCCGGAGGTTGGAACTTGGGCCGAAAAATATGCGGAGCGGTGGCGTACCGGACTTGTTCTCGGCGTGTGGGCCGAAGCCTTGTCGGAAGGGCCTCGAGGCTCGGTCATCAAGCTAAGCGGACTGCGCCGGTCCTAGGCTTAGTGGGAGACTTGGTGGCAAGGCTTTCTAGTTTACGACTCTGGCGGGTGGGAAGGCAGTTTCTCTTAGCTTCTAAAGTAGGATAGCCTCAATACCAAGGGGCAAAGCTTGGGCTCATATCTTGACCGGCCTCCCCGAAGCTTACACCAGACCCTGGCAGCATCCTCCAGTGTGAGCACAGACACAACGCTTCCCTTTATACCCACTGTACGCTTTTTACACTTGTTGGGCAATGGCGCTACTTATGCTGGCGTTTTGGGTTGTTCTGCTGTGGGGGACCGGCTGGACGGCGTACTCGGGCTATTGCTTATACTGCAACTACCTCGAAGCCCGCACGCTGGGTGTTCCGATCCGCATGATACCCATCGACCACCTCAACAAGCTGTGGCTGCTCGTGGACAAACAAGTCGTGTCCCTGGTCCGGCGGCTCCCGGGGCCGCTGGGGAAGAATAACTTTACGCGTTTCAACTACCGCGGCTGGCACGAAGATGACGGGCTGCGCGCCCACGACGAGATGGGCGACGCCTTTGTGCTGGTAACCCCGGCCCGCAACTGGTTCTACCTGGCGGATCCTGACGCCTTGATCGACATGTACCGCCGGGGGAAGGACTTTCCTCGCTGGGTAGAGATCACGAGTACGTTTGCGTTATCCCACTGCGCTGAAAGACGCTTGCTCACAGAGTACCTTAGAAATGCTGGACGTGTTTGGGGGACCGACCATTGCCACCGTAGGTAGAGATATACACTTCTTACTAGGGAACTTATTATTGACCACCAGCAGGCCTCGGGCGAGCAGTGGCGTAGGATGCGCAAAATAACCACTTCCTGCCTCAACGAGCAGTGCAACGCCGTGGTATGGAGCGAGTCGGCATCCATCGGCGACACCATGGCGCGGTATTGGGCGAGGAAGGGTGTTTTTACCAGCACGGGCGAGGACTCGCGCACCGCGACGCTGCACATTCTCTCCAAGGCCTGCTTCGGCCAGTCGTTCCCCTTCGAGGGCCATGACGAGCGCCAGCCGACCAGCCCGTCAGCCAGCTTCCGCTTTTCGCTGCTGACCGTCATGGAGAACGCGCTACTCATCCTCGCCCTGACCCCGGAATTCTTCACCCACCCATGGCTGCCGCTGCCCGCGGCCTGGCGCCGCCTCGGCAAAGCCTGTGACGAATTCCAAAGCCACATGCGCTCCTTCTACCAACGCGAGCTGCGGGCTCTGAACGAAGGTGGCGGCAGCCGGAAGGCCGACTACACGCTCATGGCGGCGCTGGTTCGCGGCTCGCAAGAGAAAGCCGAGGACAAGACCGAAGACGACCGGCGGTTCGCCAACCTCACCGAGGCCGAGATCTACGGCAATATGTTCGTCTTTGCCTTTGCCGGCCACGACACCACCGCCCACCTGCTCACCTACGCCATGTAAGCCACCCCCCTCCCAGCGAAAAGCTTTCCAATCTCACACCCACCCACCCCCCCCAACCAGAAGGTAACTAACCAATTCCATTCTACCAGCATCTTCCTCGCCGCGAACCCGCCCATCCAAGCGTGGCTCGCCGCCGAACTCCAGCACGTCCTTGGCGACCGGCCCCGCGAGGAGTGGTCCTACCAGCGCGACTTCCCGCGCCTGCGCCGCTGCCTGGCCGTGCTGTACGAGACGCTGCGCGTCAAGACGCCCGCGTGCGAGGTCAAGTGGACCGAGGGCCGCGCGCAGACGCTGGATGTGAATGTCAATGTTGACGTTGGCGTTGCGGGTGCCGGTGCGGGTGCATGTGCCGGTGCGGGCGGGTGGGGAGGGAGAGGGGGTGGGGAGGAGGAGGCCGGTATGGGCGACGTGGGTGGCGTCGGCGGTGTGGAGAGGAGGGCGGTTGTCGTCCCGCCCCGCACGCTCATCATCCCCAGCTACCTGTACGTGCAGAAGCATCCGCGGTACTGGGGGCCGGACGCGGCGGAGTGGCGGCCTGAGCGGTGGATTGCGGCGAGGAGTGGCGGCGCCGTAGGGGAGGGAGCGCATGCGGGTATGGGGGGGTTGGGCGTTGCTGGGGTAGGAAGGGGGAAGGAGGAAGAAGGGCATGGGGGGGTTGGCTACCAAGGGGAGGAGGTGCTGCTCCCGCCGCCGTCGAGGGGGAATTACCTCGGCTGGTCGGAGGGGACGCGAGACTGCCCCGGGAAGCGCTTCTCGCACGTCGAGTGGGTGGCGTTGTTGGCGGCCATGTTCCGGGACTGGAAGGTTGAGCTGCAGCCACAGGCGGGCGAGACGTTTGACGCCGCGCGGAAGCGTGTATTAGACTTTGTTGAGGCGGACACGGGCTACGGGGGCTTGCTGCTACAGATGATGCATCCGGAGCGGGTGCCGCTGGTCTGGAGTCGGAGGTGATGAGAGGGGGGCGGGGATGTGTAGACGGTCACGATATGTGATATTAGCCTGCGGAACTGATTACCAGGTACCACCTAGCAATATTTCAGGAGCACTGCCTACGTTTGGCTTGCGCAGAACAACCGCACGGTTCACTCCATGACTGTATTACCGGATTGTGAATGCAAGACTACCTCAGGTACCAGACACCTATCTCAGGTACACCTACGTTCCTTTGCAAAGAGCCCTCGCCTACTCGTACTCCCATGGACTTCCACTTATCAGATTACCGGGTAGGAGGTGGAATACTACCCTCATTCCGCCCACCGACAACGATCTACCCCGACTGGTTTCCCGTCTAAGTGACGGATGGTGGCAACGCATCAACTCCAAGTTTAACCAAATTTGGGTCCAATGTGGCTTGGCCCAACGTAGACGCCGGGTCCACCCTCCCATCATTTCTGTCACGTCGAAACGGACCATTCCACGGAAATTCGTCCCGGAGTCGGGACATGATCAGTGATGCGTGTGACGCCCTGTGCCGCCTGTTGCATAACAAGAGATCCCCATGCTCGGTGACGTGCTTGGAGGCCGCATTCCGTGCCGCTCTGCGGCTGTGGTGCAAGATGTGCAACTTGCTGCTATTCATACATGCAATGATGGTTAGCTCCGGAGTTGGTTGGGCTTTTTGAAGGCACCCCCGGGGTCACCCTTGCCAAGGGCGGGCCGCTAATGCATATGCAGGGCGGGTGTTTGGGAGCATCAGACGTGAGGCGAAGGCTGAGTCTCTTCTTATGCAAGACGGAGGCACAGAACATGCGCCTCGCCGTCACCAACTAGCCGCTCTCCCGTTCCAATGGACTGCGGCGCAGATGTGATCTATCATTCCCTTCACCGGGAATTGATTCTAGGCCTTGCGTCCAAGCCCCTAACCTCGACCGTGACCCAGCCCCTGAGCCTCCTGGACTCCCGGCCAACTCGCCGCCACACCCACTACAAGGGCGACGCTGCTGCTATGTTATGGTACGGCAAAACCACATCCCACTCACTCACCTATCGGTTCCGCGCAGTATTATCACCAGTAGCTCATCGCAAATGATCTCCCTACTCCTTCTTATCACCGGTGTCGTGACCATCGCGCTCTACCTCCTCGGCCGCCTCCTCACCAGCCTCCTCACCCTGCCACACGATCCGCGCGAGCCGCCACTCATCCACCCCAAGATCCCCTTCATCGGACACATCATCGGGCTCCTCCGCCATGGCACCAAGTACTATTCCATGATGGCGTACGTCCCATTCATCCCCCCCCCCCCCCCCCCCCCCTCAGTCGTCCACAACGCCCCCCCCTCCCCCCTTCTCAACCGCCCCAACTAACCCCCTTTTGCATCAGCAAAACGACCCCCCACCCCATCTTCACCCTCCCCGTCCCCAACGGACGCATGTACATCGTGACCTCCCCCACCCTCATCGCATCCTGCGACCGGCGCGCCAAACCCATCTCCTTCGCGCCCTACGTCGTCGAGTTCGGCCGGCGCATCCTCGCCGGCAGTCCCCACGCCGTGGCGCTCTTGTCGGAGGACCTGCTCGAGGAGCGTACCAACCGCGGGGGAGGGGGCAATTTGCGGACACAGACCATGGCGGCGATGCACCGCGCGCAGGTGCCGGGAGGGGAGTTGGATGGGATGGTGCGCGTTGTGTTGCGGTGTGTGGGGGGGGTTGTGGATGGGGTTGTTGCCGGGGATGGAGGGGTGGGGTTTGAGGGGGGGTTGTTTGAGTGGGTGAGGGGGTTTGTGACGGTGGCGGGGACGGATGCGGTGTATGGGGCGGAGACGAATCCATTTCGGGAGAGGGGGGGTCGCGGAGGGGTTTTGGTGAGTACCTAACCCCCGGGGGAGTTTGTTTGTTGCGGTTTGTCTCTTGAGCCAGCGGCTGACGGTGTCGTGTGTTGTAGGGCGGTGGACAGGGACTTTGCGATGCTGGGGCTCATGGTGCTACCCGATATTCTCGCGCCTCGGGGGAGCCGTGGGAGGAAGCGGTTCTTCCGGGCCTTTCGCGAGTACTACGCCGCGGGCGGGCTGGAGACGGCATCCTACCTGATCAAGGCGCGCTATGAGGCCAACAAAAAGTACGGCGTGTCGGACGAGGACATTGCGCGGTTCGACCTCGGCGTCTGCACGGCCCTTCTCGTCAACACGGTGCCCGCCGTGGGCTGGACGCTGTGCCACGCCTTCTCCGACCGGGCGCTCCTGGCCAAGCTCCGGCAGGGTATTGAGGCCGTGGTCTTTCCGCCGGGGAGGCCTCAGATAGCCACCTCCACTCGCTTGCTCGTCGATATCAAACGCATTGCAGAGGCCGTGCCGCTGCTGGAGTCGTTCGTCAGGGAGGTGCTTCGAGTGGAGAGCAACAGCGCGTCGGCCCGGTTCGTGCTGCAGGACACGGTGCTCGACGACGGCGCGGGGAATTCGTACCTAGTCAAGAAGGACTCGTTCCTGGGCATGCCGTCAGCGCCGGTACATGCCAACGAGGCAGTCTGGGGGCCAACCGCGCACACCTTCGACCCGACACGCTTCCTCCCCGAGCGGCAGAAAGAACGCAAGATCCCGGCCTCGGCGTGGCGCACTTTTGGGGGCGGCAACGCGCTGTGCCCTGGGAGACACCTTGCGCTGCGCGAGATCATGAGCATCCTGGTGGTTATGCTGCTCAGGTGTGACGTGGAACCGTGCGAGGAAAAGGGCCGGTGGAAGTTGCCGGCCAAGAGGCATCACATCTCGACGAGCATCTTGACGCCGGTCGACGACATCCGGGTGAGGATACGGCCGCGAAAGGAGTTCAAGAAGGTAAAGTGGGAGTTTGTTTGGGGGTTGGAGGCGGAGACAAGGTGAAGGTTGAGGAACAGCGAATGGTGTTGATACCGAGTATTCCGTCTGTTGAGTGGTATTTGATAGGTAGGTAGCCGCCTAATTAAGGCACAGTTCAGTTAATAGGAGAGAGTTCGCTGTTGTGAGATGCTTGAACTCACCCTTCTCTCTCCGATTTGAGTTGGAGTTTATCCAGGACCAGTTCGAGGGTATTAATTAACCTGACCCTACAACGTCTTTCACGGTCCAACGACATTCCCTTTTCCTACATGTATCCGCCAGAGCCCTTTCAGACAATTCATAGCCCCCAAAGAAAATGGTGTGCGATTGGTGCGAAGCCAAGACGGGCCGGGCTTTTGCACGACACATCAAATTGGGATGGAAGCCGTTGCCGAATTTTCCTTGCCAGTTGGTTGTTGCGTGGTTGGTTGTTTGTTGGTTCCGGCGTGCAGCAGCCCTTGCCAGCACTCATGTTTTTGAGTTTTTTAGTGCGCATCGGGGCCCGGGACTTTGCGTTTTCCGCGACTTTGACAATTTTCACCATTTCCACGACCACCATTGTTTGCTTTCCTCGAAATGGCGCCAGGGCAAAAGATGGCGGCTATTTCTCAAAGGCTCTATCCGATTTCGGGCCGTCGCCTGTATGGCACACTCAAGACAATGACATTCTCGGGTCGACCCCGCGCGTCCTCGAGGACAATGTCAACAGCCTCCGAGTCGGCAACAAAATGGAGAACCGATCCATTTTCCGTGGGCGACATTCTCTGTGGTAGCTCGGGGCGGAGTTACAACATCGAAGAGATCCTCGCCGACCGGCGGAAGCCACTGCTAAGTGTCTACCGAGCGAGGTGTGTACTCGGTCAATTCCTTGACGTTATTATCTTACGTGTTACGTCGAAGCTGATGGCAGGTTGCCCGCGGGAAGTGCCCAAGGAAACAAATACGTCATCAAAAATATCATCAAGGACAGCTTTGAATACCAGCAAGAACTGCAGAAACCACTGTCGGGACATCCCAACCTGCGGACCCTTGTCGACACCATACCAGACGGGGGACTCTTTGTGTATCCTTTCCTACGCGGCGACCTGCTCCGTTTCGCGAAAAAGCCATTGTCGGATAACTTGAGGAAGAGTATCCTGAGAAGCGCTCTTGTCGGCCTTGTGGAGCTCCACGACAGGAATATCATCCACTCGGGTGCGTCTTCTATCGAAGCCTTCAACCTCGCCCCGTGGGCGTGGACGATTGCTAACCACTTTGTAGATATCAAGCCTAACAACATTTTGCTGGACTACGAGGAGATCGCCAACCAAGAAATCAAGGTTCACAGCGTGCAGATCTCAGATTTGGAGGACGCAGTGCGCCTGCGACCCGGTGGGGCCCTGGCAGGGTGTATCTCCGGAAACCAGATATGGCGTAGCCCTGAAGCCTGGGCTCGGGCGAAGCAGAGCACCCCTTCTGACGTCTACTCTTTCGCCATCATGGCCATCTATGTGATGCTCAAGTACATGGTGTTCTGGCCGGGCGACGAAGCCGCCATGAGCACCGGCGGCGAAGCCTGGCATACTATCCTCTACAATCACATCTCGTACTTCGCTGACGAGGAAGGCATCCAGGGGCTCCTAGAGCTTATTGGGGAAGGGAACGAGTACTACGAGCGCTTGATTAACATTGGGGCAGAGGTGACAGCGAGACAGCCGTTTACCCTATGGCTCAACGTGGACGCCGAGTTCAGGGATTTGATCGTGAAGATGACGAACTTGGATCCGGCGAGACGGATAACAGCGCGCGAGGCTCTGGAGCATCCCTGGTTTCGTCAAGGGGGCCCCTGAAGGAGTCGGACGGCCTTTTTGGCCTATGATCGGATTCTATTTCTTGGGAACCGTCGGTTCTAGCGTCTCCCCTCTCCTCCCCCCTCCCCCACCCCTCTTTAGCTCACTGTCGTGAGGCGTCGTTTAATAGAACACGGGATCCCAGACCTTCAAGAACACCTTGGTGCATGCTTTGTCGAAAAACCGCGGGTGCGGCAGATTGTTTGACATGAAGATGATAAGAGTCGGGGGTGGATTCAGCCTGCGGGAAGAGGGCCCGAAGTCAGGCCTACCGTGTACTTGCGCTTCTCCAGCTGCCGTTGCTGTTGATTATTGAGTGCCGGATATTACGTGTTCTGCGGCCCTCTCTGGCGAGCACAGGGTTGCGATCCGCGCCCCGAGAGCGGAGGCCAGCCGCTCATTGGCAAGGGGAATGAGGGATCTGCAGTGGAACCGTTCCCCGGACAAGACGGCAGTTTAACACGGAAGCATGCCGAGAGCGGCCCGTCATTGGCCAGGGCACCTCACAAGCTTCCGCCTTTTCCACCTTGCCGTGCTTGCCTCGAGCCCAACGTTGTCGAACCATGGGGGCAGCCACAACCCCAGTCTGGCATGCCAGACTGCTCCCATCTGGCCGAAACAGGCAGGTCAACATCCCACAACCATGGCAGCTCACGGAAACAAACTCACAAAATCGTCGAGGGGTCTTGAGCCCCGCACTCGGCTGTCTCACTCGGCTGGTGGATCGTTGGGATTCATCGACAGAGCGGGGAGGATTGGTCGGGGGCCATTGTGCGACATTGTTTATGTCGAACCCTGGATCATATGTGCGGTCAAGGACCCGAGTTCGCCGATCCCTACGATTTAGAGCTCCCGCGGTTCCAGACAGCGAGTCCGCGTTTCCCTCCTTATTGTGAGCGTCCCCGCAACTTTATTCTCGAGTTTTGTGGGGAGCTTCGGTCTTCCAGTCTCATCAACACCGTCGGCCCCAACCCAGCGGTGTCACAGACTCCCACCAGCCACCTACCCAAGGTACCTACCTAGGTATCCAACACCATGGCGTCCGACTCCATCCACGAGCCCGACGCCGAGAAGGCAGGCCCAGGCCAGCATGAAGTCAAAGACTCGGAAACGGGCACGACCGAGGTTTGTCTCCCCCCTCCCCCCTCCCATCTTGATCTTCCACCACCACCACCACCACCTTCACCACCTTCACCACAACCAACCCACTCACCACCCCCCTCACAACCTAGCCAACCTACACCCCCACCGAAGAACGCGCCCTGCTCCGCCACCAAGACCTCACCATCCTCCCGCTCTCCGCCTTCATCTACTTCCTCTGCTACCTCGACCGCTCCAACATCGGCAACGCCCGCATCCTCAACTCCTCCACGGGCAACGACATGCAGACCGAGATCGGCGCCACCCAGCACCAGTTCAACATCGCCCTCATGGTCTTCCTCGTCGCCTACGCCCTGTTCGAAGTCCCCTCCAACATCCTCCTGAAAAAGCTGCGCCCGTCGCGCTGGCTCGCCTTTCTGATGTTCTCGTGGGGGGCCATTACCATGGGTTTGGGCGGGGTGAGGTCGTTCCCGGCGACGGCGGCGGTGCGGTTTTTGCTGGGCATGGCTGAGGCGGGGCTGTTCCCCGGGCTGGTGTATTATCTGACGTTTTGGTATCGCACCGAGGAGAGGAGTGTGCGGGTGGCGTTTATTTTGGCGAGTGCTACGCTGGCGGGGGCGTTTGGTGGTGCGATTGCGTATGGGATTGGGCATATGAATGGTGCGCAGGGCTTGTCGGCGTGGCGGTGGTTGTTTATCATTGAGGGGGCGCCGTCGTGCGCGTCGGCTGTGTTGGTGTGGTTCTTCTTGCCGGATTATCCCGAGGAGGTTTTGAAGGGAAGGCAGCGGGAGGTGGCGCTGGCGAGGTTGGTGGTGGAGGGGAGTAAGAGCAGTCATAGGAGTATGACGTGGGCGGATGCGAAGGGGACGATCGTGGATTGGAGGTTGTATGGGCATTATCTGATCTACTTCGGTGTGTCTGTGCCGTTCAGCTCCCTGTCGCTGTTCACGCCGTCCATCACCGCTGGGTTGGGGTATGCCGACTTGCAGGCGCAGCTCATGACGGTGCCCCCTTATGCGGTGGCTTACGGTATGTGGTTTCGGTTTCCCCGGACTGACTCCCCGTTTTTATTTTGTGACGGACTACTGACTAGGTATTGGTGCAGTCACGCAAATTGTGGCCTCGTACTCGGCAGACCGCTTCAACGCGCGCGGCCTGCACAGCGCGGGATTTGCCCTGATCGGCGCCGTCGGCTTCATGGCGTCTGCTCTGCTCCCGCCGGATGCCTACCTCCACCGCTACGGCTGTCTGATTCTTGCCTCGGCTGGCGCCTTTGCGTGCATCCCGCCCATGCTGGGCTGGCTCACGTCCAACGTCTACAGCACGGCATCGGTGGGTCTGGCCATCGCCATCAACGTCAGCTTCGGCGCTGGCATAGGCCAGATTCCTGGCGTCTGGATCTACAAAGCCGAGGAGAGAGATCGGGGGTTCCCGACGGGCCACTGGGTCAATGCGGCCATGTTGTGGGTGGTGGTCGTGGGAGCGGTCGGCTTGCGGGTGTTGTATGGGTACAGGAATCGGAAGATGTTGAGGGAGAGCGGCGGCCGGGAGGTGAGGCTGTACAAGCTGTGAAGGCTGGACTTTGAACATATGACATGGACCAGACGTAAGTCTATATACGCTTTACTGTACCTAGTTAAAATTGACATTGCTAGATGCCCATCTATCCCTATGAACGTGCCCTGACAGGTGAATCCTAGAATTGTGGGTAACTCGATATATCCAGTGTTTTGCGAATACTTTGAAGCGTACTTCTTAATCCTGGCGGGAGCAATGCTTACAGGAGGTTGGCGTAGGCAATCAGGTAGGTAGGTGGTTTCCAGTTAGGAACCTGGGGAAGCACCTAGGGGTTGGGGAAATAAATTAACTCAGTATAATATTAATAAACCACACTTTGGCTCTATCCAATTACCAGTCGTCGACTATTAACTCGTGACGGAGAGAAGATCTGGAAGACAATATCTCAGATCCAGCAGCTACCTACCCTAGGATGATAATCACTGATCAGGGGTATCTCTTCCCTTTTCAAGAATATGCCAAAGTAGAAAAACCAATGCTTCTAATTACCTGTCTTATTTCATCCAACTCCTCAGGAATTGAGCCGGTAGATCATTGACTCGAACCCCTCCCCAACCACCCGAGGACTGCATGTGCAGCCAGTCACATTACAAGTAATTCTTGCTCACGGCACCAGTGCTTTGATTTACCAAACACGACGTCTTTCCCCACAAACAGGGCAGGTGTCATCAAGTGACAGGACAATGCCGATCTCGGGCGGGCGGTCCAACATTGACAACGTCAAGGATGTAACACCACTACCACCAGGGGAGAAAGCCGGCAGAAGATCCCGAATGACACGGGAAAAGCCATCAGCATGGGTCCTTCCAGCCGGTAAGTCAAGCTGCCGGCCTCATATCCCGTGCGTGCTTCATATAATAGCCAGCCATCCCACAGCCCAATCCCACGGGACCGTCCCAGCAGACGCTGCTGCGCTCACTGATTGTGGTAGATTGATGTTGATTGCCAAGGAGCAATCAATACCTATAGTACCGCCCAGATGGCGCTGCTGACGATCATGACGCGCTTCGCAGTCCTCGTCGCCGGCACCGCCGTCCTGCTCGCCCTCCAAGCCTTTGCCAGTCCTTCCGGTCTCTCGCACGAGCCAAGGCTACGACCACCGCGGAAACACCAGCCGTGCGACCGGTCATTCTTTGCGTACGTGCTGCCTCGCGGTGCAGCCCTAGAAAATGTCACGGTCGTGCGGGATGGTGATAGCTACGGCGAGGGGGAGGCCAACGTCGCGTATCCCAAGAACCCCACCCATCTCCCGCCGCTTTGCGCAGTTACTGTCCGGGTGAAGAGCTCGGCGACGAGCAGCTACAGGTTTGGTTTGTTTCTGCCAGATGAGTGGAACTCGAGGTTTCTCGTCGTAGGAAATGGGGGGTTCGCAGGGGGGATCAACTGGCTCGACATGTAAGCACTCACCTACCACCCTGCTCACTTACTCTGTATCCCTCTGTAGATGCTCACAACCTCGCAGGGCGGCCGGCCCGCGCTACGGCATGGCCTCGCTCTCGACCGACACCGGGCACAGCTCCAAGACGACCAACACCACGTGGGCGCGGAACCAGCCCGAGAAGAAGGCCGACTGGGGCTGGCGCGCCATGCACGGGTCGACCGTGCTGGGCAAGAAGCTCGTGCGCGCCTACTACACCCAGCAGCGGCTCAGCTACTCCTACTACAGCGGCTGCTCGACGGGCGGGCGGCAGGGGCTCAAGGAGCTGCAGAACTTCCCGGACAGCTTCGACGGCGCGCTGATCGGAGCCGCCGCGTGGTGGACGTCCCACCTCAACACCTACGTCACCCAGGCCGGCCTGTACAACCTCCCCGAGACCGACCCCAAGCACCTCGACGACGACGACGTGGCCCTCATCGCCGACGAAGTCACCCGCCAATGCGACGGCCTCGACGGCGTCGAAGACAGCATCATCAGCAGCCCCGATCTCTGCCAACCCAACCTTGACACCCTCCTCTGCCCTACCACCAACAACAACCCCGACCCCAACCCCAACACCGACGACAACAACCCCCCCAAATGCCTCTCCCGCGCCCAACTCACCACCGCCCACAACCTGTACAGCGACTACCGCTCCCCCACGACCAACGAATTCCTGCACCCCGGCCTGACCCCCGGTTCCGAGCCACAATGGTACGTACTCATCAACGGCTCCGAACCGTCCCCCTACGGCGTCGGCTACGCGCGCGACTTCCTCTTCGACACCACCAACCCCCCCACCGACCCCTCCAAAAACACCACCACCTGGGACTGGCGCACCTTCAACGAGACCGTCCTCCACCACGCCGAGACCCACGACCCCGGCCGCGCCACCGCCGACGACTATGCCGCGCTGGCGGCCGTGCGCCGCAGGGGGGGCAAGGTGCTGCTGTATCATGGTACGGGGGACGGGCTGGTCCCGACCAAGGACACCGAGCTGTACTACCGGCGCACGGTGGAGGCGCTGCGCGCGGGGCGGCGGTGGTGGTGGTGGGGGTGGCCTGGGTCGGGGTCGTTGGGGGGGTTATGGCGGTGGGTTTGGGGGAGTGAGAAGCCCGGGGGTGGTGAGGGGGGTGAGGGGGGTGAGGGGGGTGTGGATGGGGATGGGGAGGATGATGGCGGGGTGGGTGATTTTTTGAATATGTTTCTTGTGCCGGGGATGCAGCATTGTGCGGGGACGGAGGCGGACGCGCCGTGGAGTTTTGGGGCGGCGTCGCAGGCGGGCGCGCTGGGGAATGATACGTGGTCGGTGCCCGGGTTTGAGGATGCGCGGCATGATGCCCTGTTGGCGTTGGTGGATTGGGTCGAGGAGGGGAGGCCGGTTGAGCAGCTTGTCGCGACAACGTGGGAGGACCCTACGGATCCGGCGTCGGGGGTTAAGAGGCAGCGGCCGATTTGCGCTTGGCCCCGGCGCGCGGTTTGGGACGGGAGGGGGGATGTTGATGATGCCGATAGTTGGTGGTGTTCGCGCTGAGGGTTGAAGCTGAGGGTTGAGGGTTGGGCCGTTGGGATGCTTTTTGTTCAAGTTTGCCCCGCATTTTTGCCCATCACCCCTCGGTGCATGAGTGCCGGCCGTGTGAAGGGATTGTTGGAGCACCTTGGCAAATGAAATATGGATAGATCAAAGACGAGCTTCTCCCTCCCCCATCTGCATCAGGATACTAACTACCTTACGTATTTACACGTCGATTGCCGGGCAGGTTTCGACATCGGCGATGTTGTAGAGGCCCTTGACGAGATCCTTGCCATCGGCGTCGAAGCTGTGGACTCGTTGGTACGAGCTATTTGCGGAGAACAGAAATGTGGGGCGTGGCTCGAGTATGAGGTTCAGAGATCTTCGTTCAATCAAGCATTCCTATGAGTGACGAAGGTTGCTTTTCTCAAGCAGGAATGTGGGGCAAACGGGGTACAGTAATAACCAAGTGCTCGGCCAGCAATATCTGTTCCCCAAAGTGCTGTCCAGCCGAAGTATCACATCCTTCATCTGAAGTCACTTGTTTGTTGTACATCATCCATATCTCGCGGACACCTCGTTCCTTGTTACACCATGTTTGTGATGCTATGTTCATGCTCTACTTCGCAGTTAGATATATCCTGTACTTTGAGGTCTCCAGCTTTTCACTCTGTGAATGCAAATCCCTGTTCGAGCCGGCGCTGAAACAAGTGGGCGAGCTGACCGCAGGGCGACCGAACCCTGTGGTGGGGTCCAGGCAGCCCCTCTGCCCCGCACTCAGATTTTTGGCTTTGCCTCTCATCGCGTCGCGTTAAAATTTTCCCACTTTCACACCGCAATCAGTAACGACCCGTGAACGCTGTCGACCCGGTTCTCCCTTATCCGACATCGAAACTCGACAGATCAACCAATATGCGTTACGTTCTCGTTACTGGCGGTGTCATTTCAGGTATTCCAGCACCCCGCACGAGCAACATTTCCCGATCCGAGATGCGATGGCTAACGAGGAGCAGGGGTTGGGAAGGGCATCATCGCCTCATCCACGGGCCTGGTCCGTAGACACCCCCGCGTGTGAATTGTCAATTCGAGAGGATGTTTTGGCTCTAACCCGTCCGGCCACAGCTCCTGAAAACCCTCGGCCTCCGCGTCAGCTGCATCAAGATCGACCCGTATGTCTCAGTCGATGCGGGGCTCATGGCCCCCGCCGAGCACGGCGAGTGCTTTGTCCTATCCTCTGGTCCGTAAATCCATGAGTTTCCTCTTTTTGTGGTGGTGAGGATGCTGATATTACATAGGCGGTGAGGTCGATCTCGACCTCGGCAACTACGAGAGGTACCTCTCGGTGCGTCTCACAAGCGAGCACAACATCACCACCGGCAAGGCCTACTTGAATGTCATCCAGAAGGAGCGCCGCGGCGACTATCTCGGAAAGACCGTGCAGATTGTGCCCCATGTGACAGACTCGATCAAGGAGTGGATCAGGCGTGTGTCTAAGATCCCGGTTGACGGCTCAAACGAGGAGCCTAATGTGTGCATCATCGAGCTTGGGTAAGTTTGATATGTGTTCTGCTTGATTATCAGGTCAGCAGCTGACTCGGTTTTCAAACAGCGGTACCGTCGGTGATATTGAGAGTGTAAGTTCGTTGTTAACTAGAAAATGCGCCCAACTCGTAACCCCTCAGGTCTGGCTTGGCTGACACCATCAAAGATGCCGTTTATTGAGGCTCTCACCCAACGTAGGTTTCCCCAGAAAGCAATGTTTGATGTAGCTAACCCTTATAGTGCGCCACGAGGCCGGGGCTGGCAACTTCCTGAGCATTCACGTCTCCTATGTTCCCACGGTACACGGAGAACAAAAGACCAAGCCCACGCAGCACGCCGTCAAGTCAATCCGAAGCCACGGTTTGATCCCCGATATCGTCGCCTGCCGCTGCGAAACACCCCTCGCCGAGTCCACCATCACCAAGCTCGCGCTCCACTGCCAGGTCGAGGCGGAGCAGGTCCTCGTCGTCCGCGACATGCCGACCATCTACCAAGTTCCCCTCCTCCTTCGCGAGCAGAAGCTCATCCCCCAGCTCCGAACCAAACTTGCTCTGGATCAGATCACAGTCTCGCCCGAGATGGCCGCGCAAGGTACAGCACTCTGGGATCTGTGGACGTCGGTCGTCACGCCCACGTACCAGGACGAGGTCAAGATCGCGCTTGTCGGCAAGTACGTCACGTGCCACGACGCCTACATCTCGGTCGTTAAGGCCTTGGAGCACTCGGCCATGACAATCCGCCGGAAGCTTAACCTGATGTGGATCGACTCGGAGGATCTCGAGCCGACGACCGGGGGTGGGGCCGCGCAGGCCAAGTACCACAAGGCGTGGCACGACATCTCCACGGCCTCCGGCATCATCGTCCCGGGCGGGTTCGGACACCGCGGGACCGAGGGCATGATGAGGGTGACCAAGTGGGCCAGGGAGAACAGCATCCCATTCCTGGGTGTCTGCCTCGGCTTCCAGGTTGCGGCGATCCAGTTTGCGCGCGATGTGTGCGGCATGCCCGAGGCCACGTCGGAGGAATTCGACGCCCAGGCCAAGGACCGCGTGGTGGTCAACATGCCCGAGCTCGACCGTCAGAACATGGGCGGCACCATGCGTCTAGGCCTGCGGAAGACCATCTTCCAGCAGGACACAGAGTGGTCGCGTGCGCGGTCGCTGTACGGCGGCGTCGAGGTTATCGAGGAAAGGCACCGTCATCGGTATGAGATCAACCCTGAGCTCGTCGAGACGCTTGAGAAGGCTGGTCTCCACTTTGTGGGCAAGGACGAGACGGGCGAGCGGATGGAGATTTTCGAGCTGAAGGACCACCCCTTCTTTGTTGGTACGTATTGGCAGTTGAATGTTGACTGCTTCGTGGAGGTGCTGATTGATATCCAAACAGGGACGCAATTCCACGCCGAATACCAGTCGCAAGTCGTCCACCCCAGCGTAAGTGCCCATCCGTACCGCACAGCATGCCCAGGCTAACCTGAAGCAGAGACCGTACCTCGGCTTCATCGCCGCGAGCGCGGGCTGCCTGGACGACGTGCTGAAGCAGGAACCGGTGGAGCGGTTCAAGAACGTCACACTCCTGAACGGCACTAAATAAGGAGCGCGTCGATACGAAATTATGGAGCAGGACTTCAACCCCACCGGTCGTAGGAGCCTATTTATAACGGGAGACGTTGCGAATCAGGCTTCTTGGAGAGGACGCTTACGATTCCGCGACGGAGTTAGTTCATCTTGGCCGTAGACCACCCCGCGCAGCAGATATAGGGTTGTAAATGCTCGCTGCAGCGCATTATATACACGGGAGCCTAGATTTGACCTTGGAGTTCAGGGTGTTGCTGGGAAAAGGCGCATCTACGGAATACATGCATGCACATATAGAATACCTAGACATGGCCGGCGTTCAGGATACAGGGGAGGTCATCTTGGTTTGCGCGGGCAGCCTCATAGCATTATCGAATATAGTTGCTTCATGAGTTCTCCCTTCTCGCCTGTCTATACCCGCATTCTCGGTGATTCATTAACCCAACTTGTCTGCAGCAATACATCGAACCGCGACAGGTTTCTGGCTAGGGTGCAGACAAACAAGTGGGGAGTTTATCATGGGTTTGATCCAATTTCCTCTTTTCACCGAGGGCAACCGTTGCACCTCAACAACATGGAACCTCAAACACCCCATTCTACAACCGAGGCGGCGACATCATGTATATCTAATCAACAGAGTGTTTCAATCGACAATCCCGTAAGCGGCCCGTGGGCATGCCGCGAACGAACCCCAGGTCGCACCGTCATCACATTCACGGCTGAGGGACTGCTAACCAAGACCGCGCAGGGAGTGAACAACAAGATATTATTCCAGTTGGCATCCGCCAACGCCAAAGTTGAGATTGTCTGCAACCAGGAATATCAAAACATTACTTCATACCAACCAACACCCCTTTGTCCGGCTCCTCAAGAGAGCTCTTCTAAACCCAACGCCATCTATCCAACCTCTATCCGCCAGACAACTGAGTGACAAATCGTAATAACCGGGTATCAAGACAAAACACTAACAAATCAACACCAACACCCCGCCGCACCGGCACCACACCACCCACCCCTTAAGCCATCCCAATCTCAACCGGCTTGCCCTTCACACTCCGCCACTCCACCGCCACCGCGCCCAAGATACTGATCGCCGACAGCGCAGTAAACACCACAAAAGTCTGCGTCAGCGAATCATTAAACGCCAGCTTAATCCCCGGCAGCTGCGCCGGCTCAAAGACCTCATTGACGCTGGTGGTGCCCACGGCCAGAATGGCCGCCGGGTCCGGCAGATCGGGCACATACTCGGCGACATACTCGACCAGCTTGTTGGTAAACACGTTCTGCGACACAGCCACAAACAGCGCGCCACCCAGCGTCTGCATGAAGACGATGAGGGAGGTGCCGGTGGGGACGTCGGCCATGTCGAGCACGGTCTGGACGGCCATGAGCGGCTGCTGGAAGCCGATGCCGATGCCGGCGCCGATCAGGATCTGGTAGCCGATCCACATGCCGCTGCCCGTGTCCGGGGTGAAGGTGGTGGTGAGGCCGTAGCCGACGGCGGCGAGGGCGCTGCCGGCGATCATGAAGGGCGTGTAGTAGCCCCAGATGGAGACGGCGGCGCCGGCGACGACCGAGAGCAGGACGAGCGCGATCAGCATCGGCAGGTTCATGATGCCCGAGTCGACCGCGCTGGCGTCCTTGACCGCCTGGAACCAGATGGGCAGGTAGTAGATGGACCCGAGGAAGGCGCCGCCCAGCGCCATGATGAAGAAGCCGGCGGACCAGACGCTGCGCTTGGCGAGGATGCGCGGGGGGACGGTGGCGAGGTCGCCTTGGCGGAATTGGAAGTAGACGAAGGCGATCATGAGCACGCCGAAGAAGCAGAACAGCAGGATGACGCGCCAGCTGCCCCAGGCGTAGGTGGTGCCGCCCCACTGCAGGGCCAGCAGGAGGGAGACGATGCCGGGCATGAAGACGAGGGTGCCGAAGGGGTCGAAGCGCATGATGCGCTGCCAGAGGGTGTCGCCGTTCTGGATGATCTCGCGCTTGGGGTCGGGGAAGAACCACCAGATGACGACCATGGTGACGGCGCCGACGGGCAGGTTGATGAAGAAGCACCAGCGCCAGGTGACGTGGTCGGTGAAGGCGCCGCCCATCAGCGGGCCCGAGATGCTGGCCAGGCCGTACATGCTGCCGATGGCGCCCGTGTAGATGGGCCGCTTGGCCAGGGGCACCGAGTAGGCCAGGATGGTGAGCGCGCCCGAGAAGATGCCGGCGGCGCCGACGCCCGCCACGGCGCGGCCCACGATGAGCGTCACGCTGTTTTGGGCGACGCCGCAGATCAGGGAGCCGACTTCGAAGAGGAAGATGGCGATTAGGAAGACATATTTGATGGAGAAGAATGTGTAGAAGCGGCCGAAGAGGAGCTGGAGGGCGGCAGTGGTGAGGAGGTACGCTACATTAGGGGTTAGGATCAGGCTGGACTTGGAGTGGACGAGAAGGAGAGGCGTGGCATACAAGAGGCGTACCAGCCCACATCTGGCAGGGAATGGAACTCGTCGGTGATCTTGGGGATGGCGGTTGCAATGATGGAGTTGTCTGAGAGATCGGTCAGTCTGGTTGAGCGCAGAGGCCGGAAAGGGAAAGGGGGTGCGCACCCAACGCCATCGTGAACACACTGAGACACAGGGCCAGAACAATTAGGCCCAGCGTCAAGCCACCAGGGTACTCGGTGCCATCTTCTCGAGTAGGTGTCGGCTCGAGCTTCTTGCCCGTCTTAGAGGTGGCCGTAGCCTGCCGAGCGAGCGCATCATTCTTCTCGGTCTCGACTTCGTCCGACACGCTTGCTTTGCTGGGCGCGAGGGTAGCAGCCTCCGACTCGGGCAGCGGGGCGGCGAGGCCCGGCTTGGTGTCCATAGTGGTTGATGTTTTTGGTCGATCAGGGGTGTATGTCCAGATCTGGAGTTGTTGTCAGGCGAGGGGAGGCTAGACAGAGCCTTATGCTTTTTCGATCACTTCTGATGAGGTGAGGGAGGACTGATGGGTTAGACATTCTTGCCGGAGGGGTCTGGGGTCGAGGGCTTTAAGAAACGAGAACTCCCGACGGAGCGGCTGAGCGCCAAGGCGTCGAAAGGGGCAGCGAAGCCCATGAGGCGCTGCGGTGACTGGCATGTCTCCGGGCCTGAGAAATCCTTGGGACCGGGAGTCCGAACAAGCAACCCAAGCAAACCAAGCAACGGCCCAAGAATCTCGCTAAAGTTACCGCTAGCGCGGTTCGATCTGGGCACACGGGTGCCGGGATGCCCCGAGTGCGGCACTGACGTCTGGGTGCCGCGCTGGATGGACTTTTCGGCATTCTTGGCTGCCCGACCCTGTGGCGCCTCAAAACAGAAACGGGGCAATTCCCCTCCGACCCGTCCAGCCTTTGTTCTCGAACGCTGGAGAACTTCCCGTAGGTGAATAAGCATTCAATTCGTGCCGCTCGCCCTCGGAGTCTTCTGCTGCAATTTCCCCCCGTTCCATCGTTGCCTAACAAAAAGTGTCCAGTTGCGTTCGATGGCGTGCGTGCGTGCATGCGTGCATGCGTTGCGTTGCTCTGGTCGAGTCTTCCTCTTTTGGAAGGAAATAATAAAAACGTTGAACTTATGAGGCCCGTGCTGTTCCAGTGCTGACGCAGCGGAACGACAAGGAAGGCACACCCGAGTGTGACCTTTCGGGTCTGGTAAGATGACTCAATCACCGCCTGACAGGGCAGAAACTTCCGTCCGTCGCACGAAGCTGGAAAGAAACAAATCGCCAGGGTCTTGGCAGGACGACCCGGGGTGCCGGAGACATCAAGCGCCGTTTGACGCGGCTCAAAAAAGACCCCGGCGGATCGGCAGGGATTCCATTCCTTTTTTGAACATGACGGGCAGCATGTTAAATCCTGCAAACTCCGTCTCCGGCCGAAATCGCCGGGGCATTTTCGATGTTTCTCGCCCATTCCGCTTTCCATCAAGCTGTTTCTGTCTTTGTCAGATCTGGGGAACTTTGACGATGTCCTGGGCCCCACCGCCGGGAGCGGCCTTCGCCGAGACCAGCTGTGGAACCCGGGATCGCCATACAGTGGAGTTTGGGAGAGCTTCTTCTGACCTCGGAAAGATTTTGTTGATGGCAGCAATGATACAAAGTAACTCGCGAGAGAACCTTCAGGCTGTCAAACACGCAGCAACCGCCCTGGCTTGCCCCGCATCCCGCACCCCCGTAGTTATGTACAGACATAAATCCCAACCATCTGGCCAAAATCTTGTCACACCATCGTATCCCGCCCCCAGTGCTCCCCCATTCCCACGACCCAGGCCCGGCAGAAAATAATCTTGGATGACGTGAGCTCGTGATATTCCCGCTGCTATTCTCAGACGCACAGTCACAGTCACCGCACCGCAACGCAACCGCCGCCGGCCGACAGGAACCATGCGTCGAAGGATCCACCTGCGCCGTGAAGGCCCGTACTCCATTCCGGTTCGATCCGATCGGGACCCCGGCGGTCGGCAAACGGTCGCGTCCTGGCCGAACCTCACCTCCGTTGTCAATCCCTGACTACCGAATGCAGGGAATTACCTAAGCATCGGCAGTGTCGATATCAAAACCGCCCTCGTATCTGCAGGGACGAAAAAGCTGGGTTGAAGGGCGGCACACTTCTCTTTTTTTCTTTTTTCCTTTTTGAATTATGAACTCGCAAGAAGCTCACAGTTCTCGAGAGTATAAAATGAACAAGTAACAGCGGTTTTAGTAAGCCAATACGGCCTGCTCCTGGGACTTGATTATACACTACATGTAAGTAAGAATAACCGTTCGTCTGGTCAAAAAAGGAAATGGGTTTAACAAAACTGCGGCCGTAACGAAATTCTTACATAAACACATCTGGTGAACTCGGGCCAAAATATATACACCCCACCGTGTCGAATGAATCTAACCTGGGCTGCTTGGAACACTACAACCTCCACAGCAAAGAATTTCTCACTAGCCCATCACCGATGATTCCATCCCGCCAAATCCCGTGCCCCGTACATGCGGGCTAGCCCGGCGTGGCTCGTCCTCCTCATCGATCGCCTTTACCGAAGCAGGCGTGAAGTTCCTCGAACGTTTTGTGGGTATGCCGCTATTTACCTTGTTCATTCCCTTACCGCTGCTGAGAACACCGGCGGCAACCTGGCTGTTAGAAGAGCTCGGCTCCGTCTGCACGGAATTGCTGGGGGTGGCCAAGGACGAGCCACTATTGTCGCATCCAAGGCTCGCCATGATGGATCCAAACTCGGCACAGGACGGGCCTGAAGCCACCGAGACCGTAGGCGTCGTATCGACGGTAATGGTTCGGTCGAGCACTGCATGCTGGTTATCCTTGCATTGGTTGTGGTGATGAGCCGGAAGGGGGAACGGTTGGTTCAAGAGGGACCGCGTGAGGGACGAGGCGAAGTCCGAGGGCAAAGTTATATGCTGAATTGTTTGAAGCGGAGCATCCTGACCGTCATCGGTGCCCCCGGTAGGTGTGTTGGTTGGCGCCTTTAGGCTCATAGGCTCGTCCTCCAGGCTAGGCCCAGAGATATGCATCGCTTCCGGTATCTGAGCAGAGACATAGTCGGGCATGATCGTGTCCGAAGCGGCTTGCCTTTGTTTCCGGCATCCCTGGGGCCAGAATGTCAATCCATCCCACGGGTCGCCTGGTTGTCCGTTCGCTAACGAGTTAGCCCACTCGCGATACGCGGAATCGCCGAACGGGTCCGGGAACGGTGCGTTGATCGATACCGTGTCGTCGTCTAAGTAGGGCATTTGCAGCGTCGGGTCGTCGAGCAAACCAGCCCCTGCCTGGTTGCGAAAGACGGCATTGGTCACGGCCGGGGCCGGAAAACCTTGATTCTTGAGGTGTCTTAGCGGGACCGACTTTCTGCGAGGCGAGTGTGCGTGTGAGCTCGGCCCGTCGTCCAAATGATATGTTGGCACAGGAATCGCGGGATTGAAGGCCGCACATTGCCACATGGATTGATTCGGCCAAGCGATGGCGTTGTTTTCGAGTATCTCTGCAAGACCTCGTCAGCGAACATACTACCGCAGGACAGAAGTGCTGCCCACCTAGCGGCGCATGCTGGAACGAGAAGGCCACAACGTTCTTGACTCGCTCGATAGGAGCAGACAACGAATCTCGGGGAAACCCTTCGCTTATGACGACCTTGATGCGGCCAATGTCATCGCCCGGCCTCCAATGGTTTTGGAAGAGGAGTTCGCGGCGGAAGTGGGGGAACCTCAGCCGCTCTAGCTCGCCCGTCTTTGTGAACTCTGCCCCACCGGGTCAGCATCGTCTGAGATTGTTAATGGGGCATGGGTGTCGAACCGCATGTGCTGGTTATCAGATGTGGGCCGTTGACTTCGCGGTCGAGAACGGTGGACCTGGATGTCGGGTCAGTGTATGGGTCGACAAGTCGTCAATTTCACCGGACGAAACCCACGCGACCAGGCGCCCATCAACCAAAATCCGCGCCTCAAACTTGACGAGGTCCGTGTGCTTGCTGTAGGTACGCGTGAACTGGCTGAGATCGGGCCTGCGCCAGCAGTGGATTGAGATTTGGAACGGGGTGCCGGGCGCTAGGCTCGGGATGAAGCACGTCATGGCTGGCATGCCTACCGCGCCATGGATGTGGGCTAGCTCTAGGTCGGGCACGGCATGGCAGGCGACCTTGAACTCCTTGAAGGGTATCTTCGAGTCGCGGCCGTTGGGAAAGAGGATAATATCCCAGTCCTCATAGCGCATCCTTCCGACCGACGGCGTTGGTCTGATCGGGCACTTTAGAGGGGTGACGTGGGTAAGAATTGCTCGATGAGAATGGAGAGTTGCACCAAGAGAGGAGAAACAGTAGGCCAAGGAGAGAAGGCAAGACAACAAGCTGCCTGGGCAAGCAAGTAAAACCAAAATATCATCCGAATCCGTGGCGTGGTGGGCAACGATTCTAGAAGCAGCCCAGCAAAGTCAGCCGGAGACCTCCACCTTGGCAGATTGGATCGTGTTAGCGAGGTCAGTTGGGAGCACCAGGCAGTGGTACTGTTCTGCAGAGCACATGTCTGCCACAGGCCGCTCCTTCCCCCGACAACCTCGCCACTGCCTGATATGGAGGTGCCGTCCCGCTCTCGGCCCCGATTATGCAAATGGAAATCTGCAATGCGGAGTGATTGGTCGTCGTTGGTTGGTGCCTGTTTATCGGCCACGCTGCTCAGGTGTTGCCCGGGTTTCGAGTCTGGAAATGCCGATGGAAGGCGCAGAGGAGTTCTTCCGGTTCACAGGCGGAATGGGAATCCCAGTGGCCTGCAGCTGATGCGGAACCCCGGGAGGATTTGGGGCCCAGGTCGGAAAGCTCTAATGGTTTCTCAAGGAACCAACTGGTGACCTCGTTCATCTTGAGAATCTGGAGAACAAGGAGAATACATGCTCCTTCCAGGATCTGGAACTTAAACAGTATGGATGAAAAGGGACAAAAGGACTTGATTGGCATTGTTAGCTGGCTACTACTCGCATATACACAGTCCCCCCCAGTCATCTACGGGTCCTCATCGCCCTCCATTCTGGCCTAGAGAGCACCGTTAGCGGTCCGTCGTCACAATCGCGGGGGGTCGGCTTACCCTCACAGCGCCAGCGCCGCCCAGCTCCCTCTCCAAGCCACCCTCAAACTCCCGCGGGTAACTGGTCCGGTCGGAATACGTCAACTTCACGCCGTAGCAGACGCTGAGGAAGACGGCAACGAAGACGCCGATTTGGAAGAGTCCCTTGCCAGTGCTGACCCATGTGTACTCCCACGTCGAGAAAATGCCGAGGATATCGTGATCTTCGTGCACCGGCTCGCCAAAGTTCCTCCGCTCCTGCTTGTCCCACCAGTCGGCATGGGGGTCCCTGAATTGGCGCTTGACACGGGGAGGGTTGATGTAGCCGCCGTTCTGCGCGAAATTGTCAGCCCCAGCTATCCGCTGTTCTGGCTCCAACTGAACACACCATATCCGGATCCTCCGCTGCGGTAAGCTTGGGGTAGTCGGAGTCGGGGTATTTCTCCTCAATCTTGCTCTTGCCGACCATGGAGTCGGGGAGGAAGGTTCGTTGCTGGATGAAGGGAAGCCGTCGCGCCGCGGGGAGGGCAGCCGCTCGGAAGGGCGACGCCCGCACAATGTGGCGGGACAGCATCTGCAAGCCGCATTAGCACCAATTTCCCATGGTTGCGATTCGAAATGTAGCGGACGTGCCTTGGCGTTTGTGGTGCCTCAATGCCAATTAGTCGTGGGAAAGCGATGATGTCGATTGAATGCGCAGCTCGCTAGCTTGGGAGGTTTGAGGTTGTGGTTGGACACCCGCAGCTTTGATTGGCCGTAGCGCCCCGCTTCTGTCCTCATGGGGGGTTCATTCCTCAGGCATCCACAGCTCGCACCCAACTGCCAACCCCGGGATTCGCCTTTGCGCTTGCAGGAAGGGTGGAATTTTTTGTCGGCTGTCAAAGTTTTGCTGACAAGGAGCATTTTCAACACAAATCACGCCGCAGCCAGCCTCACAGAGTCGTAGTCATATCCAAATTCTGATACGGAATAACTTGAGGTTTTAGCATTCGCCTGACCCTATTTTCGTCCTGCCAGATGCCAGATTCGTCGAGATCTCGGCCGTCTTCACGTCGCGGTGTCCCTTGTCACTATGACAGAGATCGCGTCACCCAGCCCAACACACACAAATCTGCCTCCAGCTCCCGGCGAGAATGGTCAACACCACGAGGGACCGCCATCCACAACGGGCCCTGAAACCACAAAATCCGTCAAAAAAGAACCCGATAATCCATCACAGGCCACTAACGGATTCGATAACCATAACGGAGCTCTTGAATCGCCCGACGAGCAGCAGACCGAGGCCGAGCATCCGCAGAGCAACGGAACCCGCCACGCGCGAGAGGCGACGAACGCAGACGATGGCCCCCCTGCCAAACGACGCCGAGTACGTGACACAACGCCGAACAACACGGTGCGCAAACCGAAGCCCGAGTCGCCGCCATGGAAAAAGATCGAAGCTGAGGGCCCGACAAGGTTCACAGGTGGCGATGGTCGTCGAAAGTCGGGGCGTATTAACACCGTGCCCCTCGAGCTGCAACCTGGCGATAAACGGATAACGAGGCGAGTATCGCATAATCAACAGCCTAGTCCGCCTAAGAACCGGAATGGCTCGAGTAACGGCCATGGACCGAACCATAACCCCTCAGCTACGAGTGCATCCGCCAAGCGTGCCGTGGCCTCGAGCAAACAGCTGCCGTCGAGGCCGCCAACCAACAAGGCTCCTCCGCGAAAATCTGCAGCACACGATTCGAAGTCAAGCACCCGTCGCCAAGTGTCTCCGTCAACAAGACAACCTGCCACGCCTGCGAAACAATCTCTTGGCACGCGCCGTTCGACGCGTCATCTTAAGGAGATCAACGACGACGGCGATGAGACACCCAGCGGGGCGCGCACGAATCCCCGTATTAAAATACGAGTCAGGCCCCCGCTGACGACGATCCCTCTTGTCCACCGCGAACAGGCAAATCTACGCCCCAAGCTCGGGCCGAGTTTCGAAGAGTTCTTTGGGCGCGCTGCAGACATACCGGTGGAGGAAGGGGGCCTCTTCGTTTCGGCTGACGATGGCCCACGATATACGGAGGAGACGGCGTTGGAAGATGCGCGAGTCATTCTGCGCGTGGAAAAGGAGGTGGAACCTGGCGGTACCCTCACCGAGGAGAGGTGCTCAGTGTTCGTGCCCGAGCCGGAGGAGGAACCGAGGCACTGGGCGCACGCAGACCATCTGATCAAGGCGATGTCCAATTTCCGGAAACTGATGCTCAACGAGCAGCAACGACACCGAGCCGCGGCTAAGAGGCTTGCCATCGCTTGCGAGGCCGAGTGGAGACGACGAAACCCGCAACCGAAAACAGCAGAAGAAATCGAACTCGAGCAGGTCGAACAGAGCAAGGCTAGGTGGCGACAAGTGAACAAGGTTATGACGGGCACTTGGGAAAACGTCAAGGCGGAGGTGAACCGCACACGATTGGCGGAATGGGAAGCGGAGGAGCAGCAGAGGGTGAAGGCTGCGCTAAACAAAGCTGTCAGCTTCTCGGAGAAAAAGCTGCAGGCCAGGCAAGCGCGCTTTGATACGGAAGAACTTTCCGACCAAGACCTGACCGACGATATGGTCTCCGATGGTGACGATGAAGACGGCTTGGATGGCGACTCCGACGCGTCCGATGACATGGCAGAAGCGGATGTGGATGATGAAGACAACATGTCATCCTCGGATGACGACGAGGACAAGCAATCTGAGTTGTCCGATGAGGGCCTTACACAAGAGCAGCTGCGGGAGAAGTATGCCGATTTGCCAGCATTAGATACCACATCCGACCTCAAAGCGGGTTCGGACGGAGCTGTCCTAGGAGACGAAACCACAACTCCGGGTCCCGATCTCGAGGACACCAGCGACGAGTCGATCGATATGGATGATGACTTGGGGTCGTCCGAGGAGGAATCAGAAGAGGAGGGAGAGGAGCAGGGCAGCGACGAGGCCGAAGAGTCTGATGGTGAACCCGGCGGGCTCCTCGGGCTTCTGTTCGGAAAGTCTGAGCTGAAGAAGCTAAAAGACGAGGCTGCTACCGAAGAAGCCGTGACACATGATGTCGACATGGTAGATGCTGATGCTGTCCCGATACCCGAGGTGCAAGCAGACAACAACCAGCATGATGGGAGTGCTTCCAAGGAGGGCGAACAACCGCAAACGGCCGAGACACCGGTCACTGTGGCGGTACCTGAACCACGCCCTGGACTTCTGGCGCGATCCGAGGATGAGGTTACCCAGGAGTTATCTACAGGAACTGATATGCGGGATGTCGCAGCACAACAATCTTCACTCCCCACCGTGAATGGTGCGTCAACGGGGTCGGCTACACTCCTAATAGGGAGCATGACGTCCTCTCCAACGACTGTGGAGGATGTTTCCATGACAGATGCTCAGGGGGGCGTGGAAGGGATGTTGTCAAAGACCGACTCGCTTCCGATCCCATCAATAAGGCACCACAGCCCCGAGACCGAACCGATCACCACAGTGCGCAGCCCATCCGCAACTCAGTCGCCGCGAGCTTCTGACGACACCAAGCCCACCGAGGCGGAGACGCCTACGTCGGTCTCTCTGCTGCACGCGCCCAAGAGCGACAGCAGATCCACGTCGCCACAACCCGCAGCGCCCAAAACCGAGATACCCTTCCTCCTACGCGGGACACTCCGCGAATACCAGCATCTTGGTCTCGATTGGCTTGCGGCGCTCTATGCTAACAACACGAACGGCATTCTCGCTGATGAGATGGGTCTTGGAAAAACCATACAGACCATCGCACTGCTGGCACATCTCGCCTGCCACCACGAAGTCTGGGGCCCTCACCTGGTGATCGTGCCCACGAGCGTCATGCTCAACTGGGAGATGGAGTTCAAGAAGTGGTGTCCCGGGTTCAAGATCCTCACCTACTATGGTAACCAGGAAGAGCGGAAGAGGAAACGCCAGGGGTGGACCAACGATGACGTATGGAATGTGTGCATCACGTCCTACCAAATGGTCCTCCAGGATCAGCAGGTGTTCCGACGAAGACGGTGGCATTACATGATCCTTGACGAAGCCCACAACATCAAAAACTTCAAGTCGCAACGGTGGCAAACGCTCCTCGGCTTCAACACGCATTCTCGGTTGCTCCTGACCGGTACCCCGCTGCAAAACAACCTTACCGAGTTGTGGTCGCTGCTGTACTTCCTAGCCCCTCCCGAGAACGGCGAAGGCGGGTTCGTCGACCTCAAGGAGTTTCACAACTGGTTTTCTAGACCCGAATCACAGATCCTTGAGAGCGGGCGGGAGCAGCTGGACGATGAAGCACGCGCCATCATCTCAAAGCTGCACAAGGTTCTCCGGCCATACCTGCTCCGCCGTCTCAAGGCGGATGTCGAGAAGCAGATGCCGGCCAAATACGAGCACGTCGAATTTTGCCGGCTCTCCAAACGCCAGCGCGAGCTGTACGATGGCTTCCTGTCTCGTGCGGACACGCGGGAAACACTAAACTCGGGGAATTACATGTCGATCATCAACTGCCTGATGCAGCTGCGGAAGGTGTGCAACCACCCGGACCTGTTCGTCGACCGGCCAATCATGTCGTCGTTCCGCATGCAGCGCTCAGTTGCCTCGGATTTCGACATCCGCGACCAGCTCGTCAGGAAGAAGCTACTAGCCGTCAAACCGATGGAGGTCGTGAGCCTCAGTTTCCTCAACATGATCCCCACCCAATATGAGGGCATGTCAAGCACCGACGCCGACCGGATTTCGCAGTTGAGCACCCACCGCATCCTTCTGGACCTTAGGGAGGCACAAAAGACCCGGGCCAACAATGCCTACCATGCCTTGGACCCGGCCTCGGTCAAGTCGAACCTCGTGTACCTCGAGAGCGCTGCGCGGTGGGGTCGCTTCGAGGAGCTGCAGCACTGCGTTTACCTGAACGCGCTCCGTCGCCAACAACGACCCATCTACGGCAAGCGGCTCGTCGATATCTTGACACTAGATACCCACCGCCGCCCCTACAAGCAACGGCCCAAGGTGCCCCAGAAGATCATGAGCTGGTTTGAAGAGGACTCGTACCTTCTGCGCAGCGCCATCCCGACACTTCAGCAGCGGGCTGACTCGATGGAGACAACCATTACCAAGTTCGCCTGCGTTACCCCAGCTGTCGTGACGGGTGACATGGGAAGACTATTCTTGGGGCCACAGGGAGTGCAGTCCTTCGTAGAAACGGATCTGACGCTGTCGGCACCTGTCAAGTATGCGCCGTACATGCCAAAGGAGCGGCCGGCAGACCCGTGGCACGAAGCGCGCATGCGGCTGTCGATCCAGTTCCCTGACAAGCGTCTCCTCCAGTACGACTGTGGCAAGCTGCAAACCCTCGACAAGCTCCTTCGCCGGCTCCAAGCGGGAGGGCACCGCGCCCTAATCTTCACCCAGATGACCAAGGTGCTTGACATCCTTGAACAGTTCCTCAACATCCACGGCCACAAGTACCTCCGGCTAGACGGCGCGACCAAGGTCGAGCAACGGCAGATTCTCACAGACCGCTTCAACCACGACCCGCGCATTCTCTGCTTCATCCTGTCGACACGGTCCGGGGGTCTCGGCATCAACCTCACGGGCGCGGACACGGTCATCTTTTACGACCAGGACTGGAACCCGGCCATGGACAAGCAGTGCCAGGACCGGTGCCACCGCATCGGGCAGACGCGCGACGTGCACATCTACCGGCTGGTCAGCGAGCACACGATCGAGGCCAACATCCTGCGCAAGGCCGGGCAGAAGCAGATGCTGGACGACGTGGTGATCCAGGAGGGCGAGTTCACGACCGACTACTTCAACAAGCTGTCGGTGCGCGACGTCATCGGCACCGACGGCGAGGTGCTCGCCAACGAGGACGACGTCGCCGCCAACGCCGCCATGGACAGGGTCCTCGGCGGCGTCGAGAGCAGCAGCAACCCGCGCAGCGCCGGCCGCGTGCTGGAGCAGGCCGAGGACAAGGAGGACGTCGCGGCCGCGCGCGTCGCCGAGAAGGAGATCCAGCAGGACGACGCCGACTTCCTCGAGCAGCAGCCCGCGTCGGGCGTGTCGAGCGTCGGGCAGGGCACGCCGCGGGAGAGCACCACCGAGCCCATGTCGGCTGTGGGCAAGTCCGGGTTGGGGTTGTTTGCCGAGTCGGCGGAGGATGGGGTGGTTGTCGGGGAGGAGGAGGTGGTGGAGGTGGAGGTGGAGCACAATGCGTTCGGGGAGCGGATGCGTACCATCGACGATTACATGGTGCAATTCATGGCCAGGGCGCTTGAGAACACGCCGCTAGACTTGCCCAGGGATAAGAAGAAGGGCCGGAAGAGGGGCAGGGATACGAGGAAGCGCTAGGTGGAGGCGTTGTGTGCGGCAAGACATGGCGTGGCATGGCATGACATGGCGTGTTGGGTTGCGAGTGTATTATAATTAGCATTCTTTGGACGTCCGCATACGCTTGGGATGTATTGTTTGGGTTTGGTATAGATAGGGCTGTGTTGGCCCAAGACTGGGGGAATGACAGACATGACGAGACGTGATCTAGCGGCGGTTTCTGAGGAAGTAATCAGAGGAATCCGCCCACCATCCCGAGTATCATTGCATTCGGAACATATCTCCCCACTAAAATACTGACCCAATCAAAACATTACTCGCACGTCTCATAATCACATGCCGCCCTAACCACCACCGTCCACCATCACCACCATCACTACCTACCCTCCCCTTCTTCACCGGTTCTTCTCCCAAAACTCATTCCACGCCTCCTTCTTCACCCTGATCTGATCCGTCAGCCCCTGCGTCAGCGACGCCTCGGGCGCAATCCCCACCAGCGCCGCCTCGATCCCATGCCACCAATCCGCATGCATCTCCCGCCAACCCCTACTCACCGCGCCGTCCACTTTCCGCACCACATCCCGCCCGAACCGCACCGCCAACGGCGCGCTGCCCGGGACCCCGCGGCAGTTGCCCTGGCTGCGTACCTCGCCCGGCAGCACGACCAGGCTGTCGATGTGGGATGTGGAGGGGTCGGTGGTGAACTCCCGTGCGAGCCCGGTGCCGAGGGCGCGGTTGAAGGCCTTGGTCGCGCCGTACATGACTAGCCAGGGCAGGCCGATGTAGCCACCGGAGGAGAGGGTGAGGATCAGGGAGCGCTGGTTGGGCTCTGCCGGAGCCGAGAGGGTGGGGATGATGAGGGCGGTCAGGCGGGCCATGAAGCGGGCGTTCTGGTTGATGACGGCGTCGACGTCGGCGCAGGTGTAGGTGGCGTGCGTGCGGAAGGGGGGGTTGGCGACCGGGTTGCCGCCGACGTTGTTGACCAGGATGGTGATCTTGAGCGGGGAGAGGGAGGCCAGCGCGGTTTCCATCTCGTCCGGGGTGGCGGTGCGCGCGTCCATGGTGAGGGTGCGCACCAGGGTGGCCGGGCGGTCCGGGTGGATGGCGCGGAGGGTTTCGGCTGCCGAGGCGAGCTCGTCGGGGAGGTGGCCGAGCAGGATCACGCCGAAGCCCTGCCGGACGAGCTCCTGCGCGATGCCGAACCCGATGCCGGCGCTGGCGCCCGTGACGAGGGCGTACGCGTCGGCGTCGCCGCGTTTGTATTTCTGGAGCGGCTTGGAGGGGGTGATGAAGTGGAAGGAGAGGAATTGGGCGGCCGTGTACAGGCAGAGCAGCACCACGCCGGCGCCAATCCCCGCGAGAGCGCCGAGGATTGCGTCTTCCGTCTTGGGCATCGCTATCTTGGGCATGGTCGCGGTTGAGGAGCCTGGGCTCGATGAAAGTGAGGGACTGGAGGTGGGACGGGAGGTGGATGGTGAAGGTTTGTTTGTCAAGTGAAGTTAAATTCTTAATTCAGTCACCAACACGAGACAGGGGTTCAGCTGCACGCCAATCATTTGCATCCAATCGACTGCGTGGCTGGCTGGCGATCTCAGCTGCTGTGCCGCTTTGGATTTCGGTGTGGAAACTCTTGGATTGATGCAGTGATGCCCCTGAGTTCTCGAGTTTCACGCGTAGGACATACTACGTACTGCAAGCGGCTCACAAACGGAGGACAGCCACAATGCTCACAATCGGAGAGTAGTCACAATCAACACCCATTTCATTACTCCCCTCTATCTTCCATGTAAGCACTCAAAAAGACCCCTAATCCGTCTCCGGAGGGCAAACGGCACCCTCTACCAGCACATCCACCGCCGCATGCACGATGAGCGCAGCCTTGCTACCGCCGGAGCAGCTCGGATAGCTGAGGGGAGTAGTCGAATAGGTCGACACGTCGGCCAGGCCCGCCTCGCCAAAAGTGAACTGGCCCGGCGCGCACTTGTCGACGGGCAGGCAGTCGAGGTCGACATGGACCTCGGCGAGGGCGTAGGGCGTGTCCAGCCGGTAGGTGACGGTGACGCGGCCGGCGACATCGGCGGTGGCCACCCAGTCGCCGACGTCGGTCGCCTTGGAGATGTCGTTGTTGCCCGCGCCCACGTACAGCGGGCCGCTGATGCGGCCCTGCAGCTCCGCCAGCGTCGGCGTCGCATACCACCCCCACCGCTTGCAGCCCTGGCCGGATTGCGTGTTGAGCGGGGTGGATTTCTCCGCGGACTGGTAGCCGAACGCCGTGCCGAGGCCACAGGGGGTGGTGACGGGCGGCTCCTCTGGCTCCTCGGGCTCCTCGGGCGTGCAGGCCTCGACGTTGCAGGTCGAGCAGCGGTAGACAACGCCGATGTAGGGGGTGGTCGTGTCGCGGGACACGCACTGGTTGGAGGCGTCGCGGCTGGTGCAGGCAGGCTGGTTGGCGAAGGCGACGGTGGACGCGTCGGTGGCGGACTCGGCCTCGCCCGAGAATTGGAGGTAGAAACCCAGCGCCTCACGATCGCCGTTCGGGCACATGCCCGACAGCAGGTCCGTGATGGGGGTGGTGGTGGAGGAGGTGCCGAGGATGTCGCTGAAGGGGAGCTTGCAGAGGAGGCCGTCGCCGCCGGCGTTGGGACCACAGACGAGGTTGTTTGTGGGAGCAGATGGCGAGCTGCCCATCACCTGCCAGGCGACAGCGCCGCTCTTGTAGGTATACCCGGGGAAAGACTCAAAGTTGAAGTGGATGTTAGGCCCGACAAAGTCGAGGCAGACCCTCGACGAGGCGGTGGGTGCGTTGGCATTGCCGATGTAGATGGGCGGGCACTGCTCCGACAAGTTGTTCTCGAGCGAGAGCTGGAGCGTGTGCTTGTCCGGGTATGCGGCACCGCGGAGCTTGCAGTCGTTCTCGCAGACATCGTAGCCCGTGCGCTTGAGGAGCTTATGGGAGAAGTGCCCGGGGGCAGCGAGCGCGAGGCCGGCGCCGGCGAGGACGAGGGAGGAGGCAGTCTTCATGGTCAGGACGAAGGGACAAGGTTGAGGACTTGTACCGGTCAAACTCGCCGGTGCACAAGACGAGGATGTTGAGATATTTGTATTCAGCCCATGGTGCACGGAGCTGCCGTACCTGAGAAGCTAATATGTGGAGATGAGGCGGGTCTGGACCAGCATCGTGAGTTGTTTGTAAAGGGCTGGCCCCTGACCCGGCGAATCACTGCCAGTGGCGTTCCACATCGGATCTCAGCTCGCCCGACGCTATCGTTTTTGCAACAGCCTATCCCGAACAGTCCAGTCCGGAATGGGGCTTGCCTTAGCGGCTGAACGAGGCCAATGCGCCGGGACATCCGATAACAACTAGTACCATCTCATTCATGCCCGATCACTTCACGGAACGTGGCGGCTATGACAGGTCTGGCCGGGCCGTGGCTGCATCTCAGCCGTACAAGACATATGTGATTCCTCGCAGGGCCTAGACCGCAGCCACCTCTGACATGTCAAACCACAATCCTCCTCACCACCACGCCCGCAGCCGCATAGCATAGCGCGCTCACCACATACGGCAAGCCCAAAGCCCAGCCGCCAATCCGCATCCCCGTCACCCACAAGCCCGGCATCACGACGGCCCCCACCAGCGTGCCGACCGTGCGCACCAGCATGACGACCGAGAACAGCTGCGCGGCAGGGCCCTCGCCATCTCCCTCCCCATCCCCCGACGACCCACCCGCATCCGCCGCCACCATCCCCGGCGCCCTCAACAGCGAATACGTAAACATGGGCAGCGCAATCCCCAACGCATAGACCAGCAACGCCGGCACGAGCACCCACACGGTCGGCGACACGGCAATCGCCAGCGCCCCGAGCACCGAAAACACCAAACACGCATACGCATGCTCCACATTCAGCCCGTCCGCCCCCAACCCAGGACGACGAACAACAGCAGCAGCAGCACTTGCCCTGCGCCGCCACCGCAAAACCCTTGGCACCACCACCACCAGCAGCCCGAAATTAAACACGGCCTTCGCCGAGAGCAGGTAGCCGACGCTGGCGAAGCGCCAGGCGTAGCGCTTGGAGACGTAGAGCGGGAGGAGCTTGGTGTCGGAGGAGGCGAGGGAGGCGAGGAAGAAGACGGTGAAGAGTAGGACTAGGTTGCGGGTGGGGTTTGTGAGGAGGGTGCGGATTGTTGTGAGGCGGGTGGTGGTAAGGGTTTGCCAGGTTGGGGTTGTGGTGGTGGGAGTTGCTTGGGGGGAGGGGGTGATAAGGGGGGCGTCTTCGGTTTCGGTTGGGTCTGAGTTTGAGTTTGAGTTTGAGGCGGTTGGGGGTAGGTCTGCGTTTGATGATTCTGGTGCTGTTGATGCTGCTGTGGGATGGGCTTCCTCGTCGGGGGGTGTGAAGATGGTGCTGCTGCTGCTGTACGGGGCGGGGGGGAGAGGTAGGGCGGAAATGACAGGGATGGCGAGCAGGAGGATGCCGATGCCGAGCCAGAAGGGCAGCCACAGGAGGGCGGTCATGGTGGCGGAGGCGAGGGCGGGGCCGAGCTGGAGGGAGAATATGGAGGACACGGCGTTGACGTAGCCGAAGAAGGTTGCGCTGGGATGGTGTTAATCTCTCGCTCTGCGGCGTGGTGGAAGAGGGCAGAAGACACACCGGAGCACATGGTCGTCGGTGAGTTCCGAGACCAAGGCGTAAACGATGGAGTTGAACACGCAGTCGCCGCCGAGAAACGAGAACACCGGCGCGGCTACGATAGCCTGGACCGGGAGGACACTGTCAAAGTAGCCGACGGCAAAGGTCCAGACGAGTAAAAAGACGCGCGGGACGAGGTTGAGATACAGCACGAAGCGGTGGCCATAGTGGTCTGCGAGGCACACAAGCGGGATGGTCATGACAAAATCTATTACATCATCTTAGCATACCCTACGGCCAGCTCGACATCGACATATCCAGCGAGGCTCCTACCGCCAGCAACCCACGACGCCTCCGTGATACCCTGGAGCCAGCCCAGCTGCTGCTGCACCTCGTCGATCTTGCACAGCTCTTCCGGCACCGACCCGTCCGGACGCAGGACCGAGGGCGTGTGGAAAGCATAATGTTGGCGGCACAGGCGGCTCTCAATAACGCGACTCACGGGGAGCTGATACAGGCTCCAGGCGAGATTGACGAGGGCGACGAGCAGCAGCAGCGGCCGAATGGCACGGCGCGGCGCTGATGGCGGGATTGGCTTGGGCCGCGCACCCGGAGAGCGACGCCTTGGACGCAGCATGCGATCGGCATTTCCAGCAGCAGCAGCAGCAGCAGCAACAGCGTGTGGTGTGGTGGCAGCGATGGTGTTTGCCATGAACGGAAGGATCCAATTTCCAATTGCCGGTTGCTGGGTGCGAGGAGCTGTGCTGTGTGGTGGGGGGAGCGGTGAGCTGAAGGAGCGCCCACTGACGGGATAGGCAGCAAATTAATTTGGGGCCTGGGAAACCCAGTGAAGACGACCCGTGCCGCAACCCCGCTTCTTTGTGTCACCCCCCCACTGATCCTCCCGCTTCCTTCGCAAGGCTCAAATTCCACCTCCCCGTTGCTCGCTATCACAAGAATATCTCATGAAATCCGAAAACAAGCCCAAATCGGAAGAATTGAGATGAGAAAAGTGCACCCCGTGGGTGGGGGTGATTGGAGATCACTGCCGGATCAGTCTGTACTTAGGTATTTTCCTCCTGTTCTTTTCTCTGTGCAATCACCGGACGTATTCTGGCGGAGCAGACTTGGGTTGTTGGCCGTGTTCCAGCGGCGAGTCCGGCTGGCCTGGGCTCAGGGGCGACACGCTCTTCGTCTGGGTAGTAGTAGTAGTAGTAGTAGTAGCGGCCTCTCCCTTGGCCGTGTCGAGCTCGGCGCTGTCGTGACCATGCCCATCCAACTCGAACTTGCCATTGTCGTTGCCCATCTCGACGCGGAACAGGCGGCCATCGACCTCGTAGACCGCGCCCATCTGTTGCATGGGTGCCGGGTCCTGCAGCTGAAGTTGCGGATAGTATTGCGGTTGGTCCAGGGGCTTGGGCTCGCCGAGTTCCGACACCGGTCCGGCCGATAACGTGCCCGATCTGTCGCTGGAAACCCGGGTGTGCGTGCCCTGGGTGGTTCTGCGTGATCGCCGGAAATACCAAAACACCAGGCCGGCGGCGATCAAGAAGAGCAGCCCGCCGACGACGCCGACGGCGATGCCGATGATGGTGCCCTGGGACATACCACCCCCGTCTGAGGCAGCGACAACCACCTCCGCTGTTGGCTCGATGTTAGCAATGCCCCGCTGATATTTCCCTCTCTACCGAGAAGAAAATAGAAGGCAAACTCACGAGGCGGATCGCTGTGGTCGCACAGGTAGACCTGCGAGCACGTGGTCGTCTCATACGTGTACAGGTCCTTGACGTATTTCTGGTAGCAGCTGAAGTTGCCGTAGCCGTTCTCGCCCGTGCCGGCGAACTGGCCCTCCTCAACGCGCGGGCCGAGCGTCGCCCGGAAGACCACGCCCGTGTCGGTGAAGAGGCCGGACGTGTTGGTGTTGACCCACAGCGCGGCCTGTCCCGGCGTAGTCACCACCACGGCTACATCCTGCGGCGTCGGGCCGGGGTCCTTGGGAAAGTAGGCGATCTGCGACGACACCACGCCACTCCGGTCGCGGCAGTCGGCGAGGACGACATGCTCGCCCTCATCGCGCGTGTGCAGCGAAGACGAGGGGTAGCCAACTGCAGCGGCGCCGGCTGGTGAGATATAAGAGGGGTTCAGAAAGAGACTGGCGATGAGGACGAGGTTGGGTAGCCGTAACCCGGCGGTTCCGGCCGCGCGCCGGCGCTGGGTTGGTTGAGGCGTGCCCATCGGAAATTCGAACAACCTAGGTCGGGTGGCGGATCGGGAGGAGAAATTCGATAAAAGAGCGGGAGCGGGCGGGGCCGTCCTCGGCAAAGGGTCCGGAGGTGGGACGATTGGGGATGGTTGGTGGGAATCAGTGATTGGAATGATGGATCGCAGCAAACAGACCCGACAGACAGGAACCTTCTTCTTAGCGTCGTTGCAAAGCGGACGACTTAGACGAGATTAGTTACGAGGGACGAGTCGTCACATCTCCAGGGAAGATGCTTTCTCAAAAACGGCGAACTTGCCCAAAATGCAGAATGTGTTTTCCCGCCTCTTGTCAGCATTGAGAGCCCATTTTGAGGGGGTCCAGCCGACAGCCACCCAATAGATGGCGTGAACAGGGCTGGGAAAGTTCTTGATTTTCGATCAAGGCCACCAATGAACGGGGCAAGACGGGCACCCATGCCGGCATTAGTGCTGACGCGACTTCTTTTTTGGTGCACCGACGGGGTCTGGACCGATTTGGATTGAAGATGGAAAGAAAGGAAGGTGGGAGCAACACAACGGCATTTGGAGATCCGCAATCAGGTGGCCTCGCGTGATTTCCGTGTTTGGACCGAAAATTCGAGATTCGACTCTGGCACGTGACGCGTTAACGACCTCATTACCAACAAGAAAGAAAAGAGTGGCCCTGATTTAATTTCGTCGGGTGTTTGTTTCACTTCGTTGAGATCCGGCACCCTCCGAAGCAGCCACCCGCGATTCATCAAAACCCCGATTCGAATTGGCCGAGTTGAGTCTGACAATGGCGGACTCGGTCAACCCGCCGACCCGCAATATCTTTGCGCGCATCCAAAATGCCACCGACCATGAGCTCCGGACAGTGCTTTCGGGTCTCTGTGCGGATGAAGCAACCAGGAAAGAGGCAATGGAAATGTTCAGTCGCCTGGAAAAGTTGAAGGGAGGCGACCAGCCACCCACAACGCTGCACATATGTCTCAACTGCAAAGCGTCCTACAGCGCGGGCCAGAACACATCTGACGCCTGCCGCTATCACCCAGGTGAGTGCCCTTAGTGATTAACCCGAGTATATAATAGAACATGCCGAGCACCGACACTAGAAAACTTAGGCGTCGTTGATATCAACCACGAGAGCGAAGCTTGGGAAGACTGCGACCCTTGGCAAATCTACGACGACGACGAGATGCGGGAGGAACACCCGGAGGGGTTCATGTGGACCTGCTGCTACAAGCCCCTAGATACCGCCGGCTGCAAGCCGGCCTTCCACCAGCAGGGTGGCGCAAAGGCGCCAGCAGCCTCACCCTCGCTGCCCGCTGACGAGAAGGGCGGAAATAAACGTGCCCGCCGATCCTAAGTCAACACCAACGCGGCTATGGCTCAGTATAAAGGAGCGATTGATAGCGGATCTATCAGTACATGTACTAGAAATCTCTATCTTGAAAGCCACCCCTCCACCACCCTAGGCTACCACTGATCCCTTCAATATGCTACATCTTCGTGTCGGAAAACGGCGTCCAGTCGTTCAGAACCATGTCCACCGTCCGCTTGGTCGCCTCATCCAGGTCCTCCTTCGGCAGCCCCAGGATCTGCGTCGCCGTCTTCCGCGTCGCGGCGTAGTCACTCGCGTCGTTGGTCGCGTCAAAGATGTCGCCATACAACGCCTTAGCAAACCCGTGCCGATCCCCCTGCTTCATCTGCACAATCCCCTCCTGCACACGCTTGACCACCGGCTCGTACAAGATCTCCCAGTCCGCGTCCGACGTCCCCAGCACGCGGTGCAAGCTGTCGAGCATATCCCGCTGCGACACGCGGAAGCTATCGACCAGCAGCATCCCACCCTTGAAATCAGCCAGCGCCGGCGACGCACCCGTCTCAGGCAGGCTCAGCAGCGCCGCGAACGCGCGCCCGCACTGGTCCCACGTGCTCGCGGTAACCGTGCGCCGCCCGTCGTCAAAGAAGGTGACCCTGCGATCGCGGATCTCAAACCCAAACCACTGTTGGCCCAGCGCCAGGCTCCACTCATACCAGAACCCGGACGACATGGTCACGGGGCTGGACACGCCCGTGTCCACCACCTGCCGCACGCGCTCGATCGCGAACCCGGAGTACATGTCGTGGGGCCGCGGCGCCGCCGGCTGCGGGTAGCCGTAGACGTTGGGCATCACGTAGGGCACGCCCGCCTTGCCCGCCGCCGTGACGATCTTGCCGTGCAGGTCCTCCGGCGCGGCGACCCCCAAAGTGATGGCTAGGAACTGCTGTCCCTGCAACGCCGCCACCAGCGCCGCTTCGTCGTCGTAGTCGACTTCCACGGCCTTGACGCCCGCTGGGAGCTTGCTGGCGCTGCCGGCCCGGGTTAGGGCCGTTACGGTGTGCTTGCCGGTTGCGACGAGCGCTTTGGCGAAGGCGCCGCCGATGCGGCCTGAGGCCTGTGAGGGGGTGTTAGTGTTGAGTGGTTATGGGGGGTTGGGGGGTAGGGTGGCACTTACACCGATGACGGTGACTCGCTCGAGGGGCTTGGTGGACATGAGGTTGGTTGGAGGACGAACTGTCAAACTGGTGGTGTTTAGGTTGGGAAAGGGAGGTGGATGTGAAGATATCAGGCTCAAGGCTGGTTCTGTGACGGCTGATGGAGAACACGAGAGAGTGGATGGGGACATGACGTCGGTCATCTTTATACCTCGCCCTCTTTGGCCCTGACATATCTCACCTTCAACGATCTCAACGACCTCATAGGCTTCCGTGCGCTAAGCTCAGGGGGCCGGAATTAAGGTCGGAGATACGCCAAGACATCCCCGGTGCAGTGGCTTAGGAACTGTGGACACAGAGAAGCGATGTGACAAAGCAGGCCGATTAATCAGGAATCCGGAAGCAAACGAGATGCGAAGCTGTATTTTTGGAGCGAGTACGTTGTCTTGCTGACAAAGTGTGGTGGCTTTTGTGTGTCTCTGGCCGCAGAATTTGGTCAGCACTGATGCGATGGTCGGACTCTGTGGCTTGTGTCCCTACACCATCATCATGTCATAGAATCCTTCCACGGCGGCTAGGTCTCCATCGTTGCAATCTCTCCGGCGTTTGACTCGGATTTAGCCCCCATCCCGTCAAAACATCGGGACACGGCACTTTGAACACCCCGATCGCATGTTTTCTGACGAGGTTTGGTTGAATTGGCGGATGGTGGCTCTCCTCGGAGTCGTGAAACTTGTGATTATCCCTGGGTCAGGGGCTTACCAAGACACCGTGACTCTTCCCACACGTTGACCGGAGTCTTCCTACCGATACTACCTGCTGACCGAACCCCGAACTAGGCGTCCCGGTAAATCTCTCACATCCTCGACTAACATTATGAGAATGATTGGAGGTATGAGCGCGGATAACATGACCCTATGGTAGCGAGTAGGTATGCCTGTTGGAGACGTCAAGCAAAGTTCTTCTGTTTTAAGAGTGTGGTATTCCATCCGGCGGTGGATCCGCAGGCTTTTAGAGGGTATTGGAACTGCAGAAAAAAGTCTCAGAAAGAAAGGAGTCATGAAAAAAGGCACTATGAGAAAAAGATGATGCTAACCTCTTTTTTTCTCAGCAAATGTCGCGAGACCGCGACTTCCCTTCGGCTTACGGTGAGTCGAGGGCGTCAAATTCCACAGACTGAGAGGGCAGTCCCTATTGTTGTCAGTTGAACGTGTTTCGCGCATATACTTCATGTTCAACCGGTTGTAGGGCGCCATCTGGGTTCTGCCGTGAAAAGGACTGCACACTTGGTTCTGAAGAAGACCGTATGGTAAGTCGCAAAATCCCCCATCATATACATCTATCACGGGGCCTTGCGGTCCTTTAGCAATGGTGACTTAGCTAACGAAGCCTTGTTTGGGATATTCCTAAGGAGAGACATGAAAACAACACGGAACAACTAGCTTCTGGATTTTTGCTGGTGTCGGACCGGGGATACAGCTTTCATTTTCCCAGAGGCGGTCTCGTCTTTCATTATAGTGTAGGACGAAGTTGTCTTAGTTGCTACCTCAAAGACAAGCGTGCGTAGGTTCTCACCAACATGGTAGGTAGGTACCTAGTAGGGAACTGACAACCACTTGGGTAATTAGGTAACCAAGTCTGCAGACCCCAGAAACTCACTTAAGCCTAGCGGTGGCCTAGTTCTCGGCGGTCAAAATGTTCTGGAAGACTGGGTGATATATTCAAGTCCCGCAATGTCACCCTCAAGAGGAGAACCGTTACACCCGGAAGTTGCCCGGGAGGGTCCTTGAACGCCGGCCGCGTTCGCTCACCTCGGACTCGGGAGCACTTCGAAGCTTGCATATGCCGTTTGTAAACCGAGGAACCAATGGCAAATGGCGCCAGCAGCATTCTCCGGATGGTACCCTGTAGTATATGTCCCCCAGGACCTCGACAATCACTACTCAATATCCAATCTTCCGGAACCGCCAAGGCAATACCCGCCGCCTAATAAGGTCGTGGTCAGACCTCCTGTTACCTAACTACAGATTGCCGTATGGTTCCTACTTTTTCCTCCGCACATGTGCTCACTTTAGCCAGAGCCAATGACAAAGCTGATGGCATCACCAAACCCGGCCACTGCAACGGTTATCTCACCAGATATGAGCAGTTCCTTGGGAGCATTTGGAGAAATGGTCAGCGGCCCCTCAATATCCGGAATTGAAAGCATATTGCTGTTGGAGATTGACCCCTCAGAGCCCGTGCTGGCCATGGGCTCACCACTACAAAATGACGACGTTTGTCCCACCCCGTACCCAACGGGTTTCTTGCCAGTCAACCTTTGATTCCAACACGAGACAAACATGCGCTACCATATCTTGTCGGCCCTCGCGGCCTCGGCAGCCATAGCAGCACCGGCCGCAACATCCTACGACTACATCGTGGTCGGCAGCGGACCGGGTGGCGGGCCGCTGGCCGCAGACCTCGCGCGAGCCGGGTACTCGACCCTGCTGATCGACGCGGGCGGTGACGAGGGCGAGAACCCGACGTACACTGACATCCCCTACTTCAACGAGGCGGCCAACGACGAGTTGACGCGGTGGGACTTCTGGGTCAAGCACTCGGACGACCCAGAGCGTGACCTCAAGTTCGAGCACACGACCTGGGACACGGGCGACGGCACCTTCTACGTCGGCCTCGACCCCCCAGAGGGTGCCAAGCTGCTGGGCATCCAGTACCCGCGCGCCGCCGTGCTGGGCGGGTGCGCCATGCACAACGCCGGCGTCTGTTCCATGCCCGCAGATGACGACTGGAACATCATCGTCAACAAAACAGGCGATGAGAGCTGGTCGGCCGAAAACATGCGCAAGTATTTCAAGATGATCGAGCGGAACGAGTACCTGCCCGAGGGAGACGAAACCCACGGATACGATGGTGCGTTTTGGCCTTTTCCTTTAACCCCTGAATCCAAGCCCCTTTATCCTCCCCGACTAACACCACACGCCAGGCTGGCTCGCCACCTCGGTAGCCGACAACAGCTGGGCGCAGAACGCCAGCCTGCCGGGCACCAAGATCCTGCGCAAGCTCGCCGAGCTCACGGGCCAGGACCCGGACGCGGCGGCCGACCTCGTCAACCGCGACATCAACGAAGTGGGCAGCGACGAAACCACATCCTTCTACAACATGGTCACCCACGCCGACAGCCAGGGCAAGCGCAGCAGCCCCAACAACTACGTGCGCGCGACGCTGGCCGACCCGGCCGGCTACCCGCTGACGGTGCAGCTGCACACGCTCGTCACGCGCGTCCTGTTCGACAACGCCACCGTCCCGCGCGCCGTCGGCGTCGAGGTCATGGAGGGCGCCTCCCTGTACCGCGCCGACCCCAAGCACGTGGACGGCACCACGGCCCCCCTCTCGCAGATCACGGCGAACCGCGAGGTCATCGTCGCCGGCGGCGCGTTCAACTCCCCCCAGATCCTCAAGCTGAGCGGGATCGGCCCGGCCGCGGAGCTGACCAAGTTCGGGATCCGCGTGGTCAAGGACCTGCCCGGGGTGGGCGAGAACCTGGGGGACAACTACGAAGGGTCGCTGCTTGCGATGGGGGCGGCGCCCATCGAATCCGGCCTGATCACGCTGCTGTTCCGGACGCCCTCGGCGCCGACCGCCAAGCGCAACATCTTCACGTGGTGCGGCGCCTTCTCGTTCGAGGGGTTCTGGCCGGGCTTCCCGACCTACCACGGCCCGACGCAGTACACGTGCGCGCTGGTGCACCTGGCGCCCAAGTCGCAGGCCGGGTCGGTGCGGCTGGTGTCGGCGGACCCGCAGGACAAGCCCGAGATCAACTTCCGCTTCTTCGAGAAGGACGGGGAGCAGGACCTGCTCGAGCTGGTCGAGGGCGCCAACCTGCTGCGCGAGGCGTGGGGCGCCGCGGGGGAGCCCGTGCTGCCGTTCGAGGAGAAGCACCCGTGCCCCGCCGGGGAGGAGCCGTGCGAGGACGCGGCGCAGGCCGAGTACTTCAAGCTGCAGGCGTACTCGCACCATGCGACGTCGACGTGTGCGATCGGCGGGGACGGCGAGCCGCTGGCGGTGCTGGACTCCAAGTTCAGGGTCCGCGGCGTGGCCGGGCTGAGGGTGGTGGATGCCAGTGCCTTTCCGGTGGTGCCGGGCGCGTTCCCGAGCTGTCCGACCATGATGCTGAGCGCGAAGGCGGCCGAGGATATTCTGGCGGATGCGAAGGCGGCGGAGGGCAGTTAGGTGAGGGGGGATGGGAGGGAATATCGCACTCTTAGATAGCTATATAGCTTCGGCTCACCCACCGATTACGGATAACTGAGTTAGTGGCCCCATTGATACGGACCGAATCTGTCTTACGAGCTCGCGAGGTTCGAAGGACTAGGTTCCTACCCATGAACCGGGTTATCCAGCCTTTTCCGACAGTTATACGGCTTACTCCTTATACCTAGAGTACTCGGCTGGCGAACTCCCTGATCTGTGCGTGGGTTGGTGGAACGCCGAGGGCTTGCTAGGTTAAGACTCATTGTGCAAGGTGATCTTCTTGTACCTGGCTAAGGGTCTAAAGTGGTTTGGCCGCAGTTAAACGGCTCTAGGTGCCCTAGATGCGGTAGCGAAGAGTAGAGCGTAGGATGCCGAAGTCCTTGTAGATACTTCGCATTGAACAACGGCCGTACCGGTATTCGTCAATTGTATCTTGCAAATCTTGTTCAATACAACGCATCTTGAACTAACAGAGTTATATTCAAAAGATGGGCTAACGCATCTTGAACTAACAGAGTTATATTCAAAAGATGGGCTTATTTGGCCAAAGATTAACCGAGTTATAGTAAGTTGAAGAGGTTGGGTTGAAAGAGCGGTGTGGATATACAAAGTGGGCCAAAGGGGGGATGGGCCAAAGGGGGGGATGGGCCAAAGGGGGGGTACCCGACTTAGTATCAGAGTGGTGGTATGTCGTATCAGAGTGAACTGGAGTGGGGGGCCGAAACTGACTGACTGACTGACATTTCCTCGGGGCTTCTTGTGAGAGGCCGCGTAATATTACACGGTAATTGAGTCCAGAGAACCTTCCAGTGTGACAAAATCAAGGTCAATGCAAGGCCAGGAGGAAATTGAATTCTCTGCGCAACTGTGACTGAGAGGCAAGGGGCCGGACATTCATTCAGAGAATAATACTAACAGCTGACGTACTACTGTGTACTGTGTAATTAATAAACATCAAGCCGTCTCCGCAGCGGCACTTTCAAGGAACGTCACCAGCTCCCTTCTCGCCGAGGCAACCACCTCCATCTGCCTCCCCCACCTCCCATCCATAGTCTCCTCGGCATCGAGCTCGGGCCGCCGCAGCTGCACGAGGATCTCAGCCGGGGTCCGGCCCTGGAACCTGGCGCGGGGGTCGGCACCGCACTCCTCCACCAAAAACCGGACGAATCCTGCGCGGTCGGGCGTGTGCCGGACGCCGCGGCAGTCTCTTTGCCACCTGGGCGGCGGGTCGTGCGGCGCCCTGGGCGGGTGGCCGGCCAGCCAGCGGCAGATGGAGTGCAGCGCCATGGGGCCGACTTCTACGTGCCAAGCATCATTTCGCCAAGGTTCTGTCTCGGACCGGCGGTGGCGGTGGTTCGCATCGGCGCCCGCGGCGAGCAGCGCGACAACCGTCGTCGTGGCGAGGTCGCCAATCTTGTGCGCCCCGGCCCCGTGGTACCCCAGGCGCCCTTGCGGCCCGGACCGCGGGCAACTCGCCTTGGTAAAGGCGTAGGCGTAGAAGAATTCGCCTAGGTTGAACGGGTTGAGCAGGCGCGCGGTCGAGGATATGATGCGCCTCCAGGCGTCGAGGATTATATCTTCCTGCGTCTGCGGGATGATGATTGTAGTGTTATCCGCGGCGGACGACAGCGATGACGACGAAGAGGCAGGTGACGGTCTATAGTAGTCGTACTTGGCGAGGACCTCGGCCACGCGCTCGATTCCGCCCCTGTTTCTGGGGTGATAAGCTGCGAGCATCTCGAGCGCCGACGCAAAGGCCGGCGAGGCGAGCTTGGCCAATCCCCACTTGTCCAGCAGGTCCGTGACGGGGTCACGACGGACCGACCCTCTGGACACCAGCACCCAATGGGGCAAGTCCGGGCGCCATCGCTCCTGGGAAGCGTGTATTGGCGGGCGGTCGGGGCTCATGCCGCGGTCCAGCAGGAACCGGAGCGCATCGAGAGCCTGTGGGCCGCCGCCGTCGTCGTCCCAGCAGTCGATTGCGTCTAGGAAGACGACCAGCGGGTTTGCGAAGGACATGAACCAGCGTGACGCTCCGAGATACGGCACGCAGACGCTGGCGTCGGCGCCACGATCCAGTAGCATGTCGGCAATCTGCCGGAGGGCGGCCTGGGCGGGCGGGTCCAGCAGCGACCCGGCCAAGGCGTGTGCCAAGGCGCAGAGGGGGACATGGAACGGCCGTTCGGACACGGGCTGCCGCTGCAGGTCTGGCGGTCCGTCAGGGCAGGCGCCGTGATCGAGCAGGAGGCGGACGAGGTCGGGCGAGAGCGTGAGCACGGCAGCGGAGAGGGTCGATGTACAAGGGCGGCGTGCGGGGCCGCGGAAGAAATCCGGGCTCGCTCCGAAGTCGTCGAGCAGCGCGCGAGCGAACTCGACACGCTCATCAAACGCCGGGACCGGTGACGACGAGCGTGGCGGGGGGTTGCATCCTTGCATCAGGCCGAGGAGGGCCTCATTGCGCATCTCCTGGTCGAGCTGGTGGGCAAGATTGGCTCCCAAGAACAGACGCAGCAGGGCGGGGCCGTCCGGTCCCCGGGTGACGAGCCGGATCAGGGACCGGATCGAGGCGACCGACGTGCCGGGCTCGTCTAGGCGCGCGCCGATGGAAAGCAGGTGCGAGAACGTGTCGACCTGACGGCCCCTGGCGGCGAGCTGGAGCGTGAGGGCCTTGACCGTCGACGGCTTTCCGTCCTCCCTGTTGCTTCCGCTGCTGGTGCTCCCTCCGACGACAGCAATGGGCTTGCGCTTGGGCACAACCGAGGCAACGGGCACGGTACTGATAGACGTGCCGAGGCGAAGCGCCGCGTCAATGGCGGCGATGCAACCGGTCCGGCAGGCTTCACGCAGCCCGCCATCCTCGGCCGTCGAGCGATGAGTCGGGGATGGGACGTGGGCGGCGGGCGGGTTCGTCGCGCCGCTGATGCTCAGGCTGGCCACGAGCGGGCGAACCGCCTCTTCCGGGGTGCTGGTGCCGGTCTTCTCCATAGACAAGGTTGATTACAGTACCCAGGCAAGAGGGAATGACACGTCTCGGGGAGTATCCTGGGGCTGTATGTAATAGCTGAGGCGGGTATGTCGAACCTGTTTGTTTGCTTGATTGTTGGGCGCGCGCTGCTCACCGTCGGTCGGTCACACTGCCTGTTTCTGATTACTGTGTAGTTGCATGATTGGCATCCCACTGTCGGCTGTCATCAGTCCAGGTACCGGGTGCTGGGTGCTGCCTGTTCGATAGAAGATATGGGGTGATTGATTTAGGTTGCGTTGTTTTTCACAAGATTGAATTAATGTAACGCTTCCAACGTACTTCCCTTATTGTGGGCTAGGGAGGGAGCAGAGGGACGGGTCGGCTGCAGGCACCGTGTTACCGGATTGGTTATGGCCCCAACGGCCTGCACTGTTGGGGCCCCCGAAAATGGCGGCACTGCCCAGCCAAATTCGGCGGCTGGAACAGGAAATCGTAGACTTAATGTGCAAATTACCGTATTATATCCTCCTCGCTATATACCTTCCTCCTATAAGCCTATACCATACTACCTGCCTGTATTCCCTAGGTAACCCCGCCCTATATATAAGTTTACAAATTTCCCTTCTCCCTTCCTCTATTCTGCTTCCTCTTCTCTTCTTTTCCTTATACCGTAGTTAACCTTTCCGTATTAACTCTCTTCCTCCTAGAACGTTTTAACCTCCTCTTTTACATATATCCTACTCGCCAATCTCTCTCTTCTTATATATAGTATAAAGCCTTATAGAATATTAATTATAGTCAGCTCTATAGATAGTGGTAACAGTAGATATTATCCTGGTAATAATCCTAATTATAAGGTGCTGGCCCTATAGAAATAAGGCCGAATATATAGGGTAAATACCGGCTGTAAAGGAAGCTATTTAGCTATAACAACTGTTTAAGGAACTAGAGGGGCTAGCCAACACTAAGCCGAAGACTATCGTTATCTAGGTACTCTAATAACTAGGGGGCTATTACACTAGCCAAAAACCCAGCCAACCACCAACGGACAAAGCACATCGACATTCAACAACACTTCGTTGGGGAGAAGGTAGCCGAGGGGAAGATTACCGTACAGTTTATACCCACAGTAGAGATAGTAGCTGATGGTTTAACGAAGCCGCTGGCGAAGGATGCTTTTCTACAGTTTAGAGCGGCACTGGGCCTTGTAAAGGAACTACAGGGGTATACAGAGCTCTAAGCCAGTAGGAGCTCTGAACCAGTGGGAGCTATACTCGCGGGCAACTGCGCCCAGAAGGAAAAAAGGGGGGGGGGGGGGCTCTCCGAGCCACAGAGGGGGGAGCAGGCATTGAAGCATGTCTTACGGCTCTGAGTGGGAGTGCTGAAATGGGTGTAGAGGCCACAAGACACGGAGGGCAAGGGAGCCCCTGTAACCGTTCTCTGTATATAGACAGAGGGCATCCCCCTCCTCTGGACTCTGCAATAATGAAAGCAATCTTACGTATAACCGTCTTTCTCAGCAGTACCTAACTTAGTAGTATATACATGTCCACGGCCACAGTCCCTCAGTATAGCCCGACCACACGACACACTCGGAGATCCCCCGCCCTTAAACTGCGGCGCGGTCTAGCCGTTGGGAGAATCCTGACTGGATCCTGCCGAGCAGCACTGCGGCACCTAGCGGGGGACGAAGCGCACATACAGCTCGGGTCGGTTCCACATGACGTGGACGGAAAAGTCGTCATCAAACGACTTGTCGTGGCCCCTGACGCCCTCGAGCTCAAACGTCCACAGCACCTTGGCCAGGAACAGGCGGGTCTGCGACCACGCAATCTCGCGCCCCGTGCACTGGCGCGGACCCAGGCTGAAGGGGAAGAAGGCCTTGAGGTTGTCGTTTGCATAACGCGTGTCGTAGAGCGCATGGTCGGCTGGCAGCCAGCGCTCCGGTCGGAACTCGAGGGGGTCGGCAAAGTAGCGCTCGTGTCTCATGGCCGTGAAGGAGCTGAGTTGCACAACGATCTGGGAGCGTCGACTTGGTCAGAAAAAAGCGAGCCAGGCACTCGGGTTGAGACAGAGAGACGGAAGCAGGCCGTGTGACACTCACCCCTTTTGGTACATAGACCCCATCAACCACAGCACCCGGGCTGAGGCGTGGCATGCCGGTCGGAGTGGTCAAGTGCACGCGGAGCGTCTCGTGAATGAAAGCATTGAGATACTTGAGGCGGGCTAGTGCTTCCGGGGTGATGTCCTCGTAGCTTTCGAACGCGCTGCGAATTTCCTCGGTCAGGATCGCCCTGGCCTTTGGACTTTTCAACAGGAAGAAGAGGACGGCGTAAAATGTGATCTGGTACTCCCCCAGGAACTTCAGTGTCAGCGGACGAGAACCCAACAACCAAGGCATATATTTTCGGTTCAACCGACCTGCACCGGGTCGAAGCCAGCAATAAACATCTGGAAGGCCACCTGCTCAATGTGGGTGAGCTCCTTCTTGCTGGCCGGTGGCGGGTCCTCGGGAGAAATCATGTAGTCCATGAAGTCCGGGTGCTTCGTCTTGCCTCGCTTGTCGATGCGTGCCTGCACCTCGGCCTTGTTGGCCTTGAACACGGCAGGGATGGACCGCATCACTCGGAGCGGGACGAAGACGGGTGCCAGCAACCCGATAATGGTAACCCTTTTGGACAGCTGGACCAATGTCCCAACAAAGCTCGTGCCGCGGATTGTCTCGACAAAGTCAGACGTCTTGCCGTCTTTCAGATGAGTCAGCTCGCGCCCATATGCTAGGTCGGCCGCCATGTCGATGGCGAGCCACAGCAGCCAGTCGTTCATCGGCAGGCCTTCGGGGCGGCCGCCGACCTCCTTCATTCGCCGGACGAAGAGATCCAGGTATGCGTGGACCAAAGGCTCCTTCTCCTTGGTGGCTTTGCTGCTGAAGGCCGGCAGGATCTTCTTGGCGACGGCCTTGCGCTTGGCCGGGTCCGACTCCCAGATGAAGCCCAGGTCGCCGGCGCCAAAGTCCATCAGGTCCGTCTTGAGAAACACCTCCTGGTGCTTTACCGAGGCGCCGTAGATGTCGGTGGCCGCCTGCGGCGTGAAGAAGACAAGCTCGTTGGGTCCCACGCGGACGACGTGGCCGTACTCTCGGAGCACCTGCTCCTGAAACCAGGGATATCGCCCTCGAATCCTAGAAGGAGTCAGTGTTGTGTCGGCTGTCATGACTGGAGCCCGTCCACTCACCAATGGTAGCAATAGGGGATATAAGATATGGCGGCAAGCTTCGGGCCGGGAAACTTTGCAGCCGGGTGGAAATACAGCAGGTAGACCGAGCGTCCGATCGCAGAGGCCACAGTCGCGGACGCGGCCACCCAGAGAAGCCATGGCGACCATGTCCATGTGAGGTCGAAAAAGCTCAGAGTGCCCATTTTTACTGCTCGGTGCTCTCTTTTCAGTCAATGAACCAAAGGGGATCCGAGAGTCAGAGCTGTGCGTGGGAACTGGGCAGAGTTGCAGCGAGACAGGCACCTGTCCCGTTTTAAGGTCGACCAACAGGTGTACGCACATCCATGCATGTCCCTTTCGCCGCGCAGTTGGCTCGCACAACCTGCAGCTGCCTGGTGCCTACAATCCGGAGCGGAATTCCGCCCGCAATTACACGAGGCTGGTTGCAGTGTTCTTCGGAACGCGCGTTACGGACAGTGGAGTGCAAGAGACGGTTCATCTGCTTTTTAGGCACTGACGGCGGCTCATATGTGACATATGTCGGCGTTTCATTGCTGCTCAGTTGAGAGGTATCTAATTAGATACAACAGGGACGACAGCTACCCAGGTTAACGGTTTGGGTATTTCTTCAATTGTCGACTCTATAACATTGAAACCATGACTTTCGGGTTCGCAATTACTACCTACACAAACTTGTCTAGTAAAGTATTACACTATCTAGAGGTACCTTAGCTTATCCCGCGCTGCGAACTTCCAACCATTCAGTCAGCATCAGCAGTTGAAGGCCGGCCCCCAACGAACCGTTGGCAAGTACCGGCTTGTCGTTGGTCGGTTACACGACACGTCGCACTCCGCACTCAGCCACGGGTGATCAGTCGAACTCGAGAATCGGACTGAAACTCGAACAGCGACATAGCTCGAATCTGCCGCTGGCTCCGCCCCTGACGCCGGGCTTGACTGGCAGGCAGTGCATCACGATGCACTCCCGTCCGGGTACGTTTCCGTTTCCGTGTCCGAGTCCACTTCCGGCTCCGGCCTTACTCCGCCAAACTGGAACTCCGAGTCGCTGGCGGATCCTGCTGCCGCGCCAATGCCTAGCTCGACGCCAGCGCACACCGCGGTGTACTCCTAGGATGCAAGTAATTTAGCGTTTGAGCATCTTGTCTCGGCCGACGACACTGGCAGGACCTTTGTTCCCTTTGACACAGTTGCCGGTAAAGGGAATGTGTCGCCGCCGCCTTCTGGCCAACAACTTGAAGAACAAGACAACAACCCCCTGGGGAATATTGTACTCTTACACACATAGCTCCGATATACCCGCCAATGGGGGTGAGCCGGGTGAGCTGGAGGTAAGCTGGGTGAGCCGGGGTAAGTACTCGCCCCTTTTGGCTCACCCGCTCGCGCGACGCCGCGTGAGCAGGGGTAAATTCCCAAAGCTGAAACCTGTATGATGCCTGCCTGGCCATGATCGATCGCGATACGATTGGCTGGACGGGCTGCCTTCACACTGGACGCCTCGTGGCGGCGCATTTTCCAGTTTCCACGACATACCATAAGCTACCTACCTGGTATACCTACGGTGGTCGATGGGGCTTTGGGGGCCAGTCATGGGTGAAAGGGGCGTTTGTGTTGGGTTTGGCTCAGGGTTTTAAACACATGGTGCATGTTAATTATTGTCAGTTTTTGACCTGTTGCAATATGTCATTCTGATTCAGTTCGTACCTAAGCTACTTGTTGCCCCGATATATGCTCCCATATGCTATTCCAGTCAATACATGTAGTTTCACGTGCGTCCCTCCAGGTCATGAGTCAATCTCCAAATAGAAACCCTATGTTCAGTCCACATATAACCTTATCCTCCTTCCTCTCATCATGACATGCTCGCATCCGCCTCCGTAATCTTGACATAACTATCCACAAACCTCGGCAACCCATAGTGGAGCTCCGACCACGGCCTCTGATGATTCGCAACCTGAAAGTCAAACTGCCTCATCAACTATTCACTGTCAGCATCTTCCTCCTCTCGCAACCATCCGTCAGCAAACCCAGGAAGGTACTCACCTCAAAAATAACCTTATTCAGCTCAAACATAGCAATCTGCTTCCCACTGCACATCCACCTCCCCCCACCAAACAGGATATCCACGCTCCTGGTCCGATACGCCTTCAACTCGGCATCACACTCGGGCTCCATGAACCGCTCCGGCCGGAACACATGCACATCCTTGCCAAACACCTTTGCGTTGCGCGTCGCCGCCATGGAATTATGGCCTATGGCCGTTCCGCCGGGGAGGAAGATGCCATCGATGGTGTCACCCCCCGGGGGTACCTTCTTGTAATGGCCGTAGTTGGCCGGAAACCGCATGCGCAGGGCTTCCCAGATGACGGCCTGAAGGTAGGGGAGTTCGAGCGCCGCCTTGAAGGTGATGGGCTTATCGGGGGCGACGAGACCCGAGGCGATGGCGTCGCGGATGACGGCCTTGAACTTGGAATATGCGCGCGGGCTGGTGGCGAGGTGGAGGATGGCGCTGCAAAGAGCGTTGGAAGTGGTGTCGGAGCCGGCGAGGATCTGCAGGTTGGCTTCGCCTTCGATCTGGTGCTGGGTGAGGCCGTTGCGCATGAAGCCGCCGACCATGTCGTTCCACGTCTTGGACTTGTTCTTCTCCTCGAAGCGCTCCGACACGATCTTGTGGATGACGCCCTGCACGCGGCCGGGGCCGGTGCGGTCTGTTGCCTTGGGGCCGAGAAAACGCAGGCCGATGGGGGTGAAGACGAGCCGGCGGATAAGAGGCACGTCGAGGACAATGGCCATAAATTTCATGACGTCGTCGACGCCTTCAATGTAGCCAACCACATCTTCGCCGTTGTCGAGATGGCCGAAAGCTTTGCCGTAGCCAAGTCGGGTGATGACGTCGAGAGTGAAGTAGCGCGTGAGGACGGAGAAGTCGATGGCGTTGATATTGTCGGCCACGGAGAGGTATTTGCGACGGATGAGGGACATCAGCGCAAGGGCTTGCTCGTCAATGGCGACCTCAAAGTCGGAGCCGACCTCGCGGCCGCTGTATCCGCTGGCTGTTTTGGCCTTCATGGCGTCATGTTCCCCCGTGTCGATGAGGCAGGCGATATTTTCGTAATCCGGGTGGAAGCGGCCGCCCCGCCACCATTCGTGGCGGGGGTACTGGCTCCGCGGCGCCGAGATGCGCCGCAGGATGTCGGGGTCGTTGGTGACGACGTAGCCAGGCGCAATCTGGACCAAGGGCCCGCCATCGGCGTACCGGTTGTGGAGGTCTTCGTACAGCGGCCCGCCGTGCCCGTTGAGGGCGAACTTGTAGAGATGCCAGACGTAGGAGAAGCGGGCCAAGAACGGGCCGGGGATGTGTCGCGTTCGGTACAAGCTTATCAAAGCTGTGACGACGTACCAGGCGACGAAAGCCCCGGCAGACCACACCGCGAGGGACGAGATGCTAGTGATGAGCATGGCGCCAGATGTTTGCCAGATGTCTCTTTCCGTCCCAAGTTTCGCACGAGCTGGCCTCAGTTGAACAGTTCCAAAGAAGAGGTGAGCAGATTAGGGGACGCATGTCAAACGATTTAAACGCGGAGCGGGGAGGCGAACAAACCCCGTAGGTTTCATCGGCGAAGCAGGAGAGGGCGGGAAGAGGCAGCTCCACGCGCATGAGTGCATCGCAGTCACTTACACGATGCGGGGTCAAGGTGATGTTCAGTATTGGTGATTGGTGAGGTGGGTAGTGATAACGCACTGCAGTGTGTCACATCAACCGCTGCATCCGGCAAGGTTGCGTGTCCGGGCCTGGTTAAGGCACACTAGACACTGCTGCGCGGTGCATTCCGAGACTTCAGCTCGGCTCGACTGTATGGAGGCGCCAATCCATGTCATTGCGAGCTGTCACAATCTCTTTTGTTAATGCCCCTGAAACGCTTAGGTTGGGAATTCGGGGCTGGGCACATGCAGCAAGACGTACATGGCATCTTGACAGGCCTCCTGAACATTATCACACGCCTTCTCCACACAGACGGGTTGGTCAGCTTGGCTGAGACACCCCAGGTTACATGGCCTTGGCCATCGATGCTGGCATTACATATAACCAACACCAATGTCAGCGGCAATGCGGAGCGTGGCGACCTTCTTGATTTCGAAGCTGCAGGCAGTAATGGGGTTAGGAATGACGACCTTGTGACCCTTGCCACTTTTGTTTCGCTTTGCATGTACATGTAGTTTCAGGTTGAGGGAGGCCTGGACGTCCTCGGCGCGAAACTCAACATACGACTTCCTGACCCCAAACCACTTCATCTTGGCGTAGTTTTAAAGTACCTACCTACCTATTCTGCATTCTTCTATTCCTGAGTCATACATCAGAAAGAGTGGCGATCAAGTGATGTGTACATGTAGTAGGAAGATACAGCATTGTTCTCCCGCAGCGTGGCTGTTCTGATCCGGATGAGACCCCAAGGGTGGCCCGACTCCGTCCGATGTTCATTCGCCGCAGGTTGCTTGCCCCCGCAGGATGGCCGAGACGGGATTCAAGACATCATTCAAAGTTTGGTTGAGCTTAGGTATAGATAACGGACGGGATATACCCTAGCTCCTAGATATTTACTTTATACTTATACCTATCCAGCCCCTTATACCAGACTATTATTATACCTGTAGAGTTATACATCCCAAAATAGCCGATATCGCTAGCCGCGAACTTCTTGGCCACTCGAAAGTTATAGCTAGCCACGAATAAGTCGATCTCCGAGGTAGGGCGCTGCAATCCCAGAAGCCGGAGAGAGCGACGGCGCCTATAACAGCAGAGTTGGTGCCCTCGAGGGCTTGAGACGAACCAACGGCGAGGTCTGGTAGTAGGGCGTCCGGGATCGAATTGCGGCTCATGATAGGCGGTCCTTGGGCATCCTGAGGAACAGTCTGGGGCCTGCTAGCCACGCCGTTTAGTTTAGACCCAGAGGCGGGAATATGGCACTTTTGCGGGCATGGCTTCAGTTCTTCTCCTAGTCGGGGTGAGCCGGTTGAGCTCGGGGTGAGCTGGAGTAAGCACTCGCCGCTTTTCGCTCGCCCGGCTTCAAAGTCCCGAAGTCGGTATTGCTCTACGACTTATGCCTCGTCGTTGAAGCGATGCTTGCTGGGTTAGCTGGGTAAGGCAAACACACTGATTATTACCTAGGTAATTGCCGCTATACACTTCCGTACTCGAGGGGAATTTGAAACTGCTCTAGACGCTGTGTTAAACTTCGGGATCGTCGCTCTGGTCCTTTGAGCAAATCGTCACTGGTTAATTAGACGCCAACCGTTGTCGTTGAAAAACGCCCATAGTTCGCTGCCACTCCACTCCCTCCCACACTCGTTTCCCCCCTCAAGACATGGATAGGGTAACCCAGCGGTCCATAATATTCCCCTGCCACAATGGTCTGATCTTGCTCGCCCAACCCTCCCCTCGGCCCAGTCTTGGAATCTTGGTTGGTATCTGAATCCACCTTGTGATGAAAGAACCAAAACAACCACGGCGCATCCCCCAGCGCCACTGCGACCCCCCCGCACTACTAGTACGACTCGCGCTTGCTCACGGGTTACATCCGACGCGCCTTGAGAGGCTTGGTTGGGGCCCGATTCAAAACCGGCATATCGCGGCATATGCGATGCGATCACAGACTACCATCCTCCAATGCTACGAGCGGCAGCCGGCCTAAAACGGACGAGTCCGCAGCGGGAGCGGGACGGAGCGTGAGCTAGTTACAAATTGTTTTGTCTTGGGCTCTGCCTGTGGGGAGCTGAGAACCTTGGAGCCGGCATGACTATTGGGCCATCTTGATGCATGAGCATCGCCAATCTTGGCCCTTTCGGGCAGCTGCATCGAGAGAACTTCCCACGTCCTTCCCCTGGTGGAAGAGACGGCAGTGGCGGCATTGTTTACAGAGAAACCCGTATGGACCTCGTCTTTACCCCCTCGTACATTAACGCCTTCGCTTGAGAATGTAAGTGGTCAAACTTCAACTTGGCTTGACTCCTGCTCCGCAACTTGGCGTAGGCTTGGGCGCCGACGTCCCGTTAAATGACGCAGGCGAACTACGAAACGAACCATAGTACCTTATGTTTTACCAAGTTTTTCCATGCACGCTTTCGCGGCTACAGCGCTTCGCGTAAAATAATCGTCTTCAATGCCCCCTCCCCCCCCCCCCCCCCCCCCCCAACCAAGTATGCGCCTAAGGGAGGAGTGGGGAATACCAAGGTAACTACCAGGTAGTGAATGCCGCGTTGGACAATTCGACCCTTCGCCCTTCGCATCGACGGGCCAGGTACTCAATCGACCCCCAGGGAGTAAGGGCATATTTATGTACCTTAGATCCGCTTGAAGGGTGCGAATCGAACGCAAACCTGGAACCGGCAAGCGACATGGGCGGCGACTGATGTGAGGAGGGCCTGCCCTTCCAGGTTTCCAACCAAATCATGTCATCGTCGGGCAGTAATTAGCATTGGTTCAAGTTGACCACATGTGTCCGGATGTCGATACGAACACACCTCACGTACGACGTAGGCTCACGGCCTTCTTGGTCAACGACGGGCGATGTAACGGGGGATGGGCAATTATGCATGTCGCATGACCTGCCAGATTCAAGTTGTTTAGGTAATTACAAGTGGGACTGGAGACTCGGACCAAGCCTGTCGGAGACGGCTTTGACGGGAAGGAACGTGTCTATGGTCGACCGTTGGACCTAGGTAGTTGTGGCAGGAGCCACCCCCACGTTGCGAATGAATCTGAATTTGATGGATTTTGGGAAATGGGCCCCGAGAATAGAACTCTGATCCTCTTTTCGTTCTCTATTGGCATCTCCTCACCAGTTCATTCGTTCGCTCGTACATACCATTCTGGGCCTGGCGTCACACCAACCTAGGTATTCGGTCTCGGTACTTATACACTACTCACATAGCGGTCGCAATCTTCTCCCCTTGCCACTGCCGCACTTCGACACACACCGGAACGTAAGGTGGTGATTCCCGTTTCTATCAAATCCCCATACCGACTGCCGCGGCCAACCCCTTGACCCATCACTCGCCATGGATGACTTTTGGGACCTTTTCGGCGTCAAAAAAGATATCATCGACGCCATCCAAGCATTTGGGCTCCACGACGGACATCTCCTACAATGGACGATACGGTATGTCGCGGGGAAGAACTACGTCGACCAGCCCGCCCGCAGGCGACTTCTGCTTGTCGCCGACCTCGTCGAAATTTGTGAAGACGCGTTGTTTACTATGACCCCAATACTGCTCAAGGATCCCAATGTCCACAGCCTTAGCGATGTTGCCGTTGCGTACTACAGCTCCGCGAAGGGGATGCGGGATGGTCATGTCATTCGCCCTCCACTTCTCTACCGAGTCCCAACCGCGGTGCTGCGGAACGTCGTCGCAAACGCCGATAACGTCATGATTGACGACCTAGCTCGAAAGACGCTCATTCGCATCATGGATCTGGCTGTCGCCGAGCAGTTTGACGCCCGTTCCGGCGCTCTGAGTCACTTCATTGCTCAGCCCGCTTGCAAGTCGGAGTTATCGCAGGTCCCGAAGAGTACCGCATTGAAAGTGCGAGAGGACCTGGAAACTCTATATCGCCTCCATCCACTGGTAGTCGATGCCGATGACATCTTACCCCTGATGGGCCTTGGCTATACGTCCGCCCACAAGATTGCCAGCCTGAATCAGTCCGATTTCATGCGGGAGGCCGAGAATCGCGGCATCATCACTGAGAGGGCCGAGAGGATCTATCTCGAAGCCGGGCGTATTGACCGACGGAACGATGCCGTTTGGGTAGACATCGTCAAGGCCCGGACCGACGTTCCTGTCCTCTCCATGTCCGGCTTGAACCACGCCACTCCCTCGGATGACGGCCAAGACACCAACCTGACCGCCTTGTTCAACGACCTGGATACTGTTGCTACTGAGAATAGCACCTCTGTTTTGGGCCCGGCGTCCTACCTGGTGGACCTTTTGCAGATGCTTGACCGTGCCAACCTGTCTATCAAGACTGTTGACCCATGGACTGTCCAGTCCGCCACAAGCGCCCGCGACGTGTTTCTTCACCGACGACCCGACATTGCCACCGCACACCTATCTAAAGTTGACACGGAAACTCCGGTAGCATATCAGGATTTGGCCATTGAGATCATGGAGCAGTATCTCAGCCGCAGCCTTGGCTTGGGGGCCGACCAAGAAGCCGACGTCTACAAAGCAGTCAGCCACTACGTGGCTCCCATGGCCACTTTCCCATACAACCATGCCATTGCCACTAGCCGTCAACTTCTCCAGGCCAGGGGGTACTCACGCTACGAGCTTTTACGGCGTTTCCAGTCTGACTGGGACTTGGTTCGCCGCGCATTTCCCGACAACCCGGCGTGGGAGACGAGCGTGGCGGCTGCCGCTGCCGAAAACGTCCACCAGCGACGGCTCACGGCTGAAATCCTCAAGCTGCAGCCTCTCGACTTCCAGGCCATCACCCAGGAAGCCTTTTACAGCCCCGCCTTCGTCCGGCTGCTTGGTATTTACGACGCAGGGGTGACTTCCAAAACCTACGAGGAAGTCGTGGGGGTGCGGCAAGGTGGGGAGTATTGGGGCTACGAGGCATACGCCTCTGAACATGGAGGAGATCCGTACGGGGGAGCCACGTGGAAGATGGTTGACTCTGCTTCCGAGATCAGTTTGCGGCTGATAAAGGACCAGCTGCTCGTCCGTTCGGGGCTATCTTCCTCGCAGCTCAACATGGTTCTGAAAACGCGGTACATTGGCAAGCGTCTGGTGGTCACGCTAGCGAAGGATGACAGGTTCAGCGATCGGCTCCAGGACATGCGTCTTCAGGAGTCACCTCTTGTTGGCGGCAAAGAGGTTGCCGGAAGGCTTTCCAAGCGCACGTGTCTTGACCTTCAGGCCTTCATCCGACTCTACCGCCGGCTGGGTTGGCCCATTCAGACGCTTGATGCAGCCATCGGTGTCCTGGCACGCCGGGCTCAAATTTATGAAGATGACGACCATTATCACCATGTTCTGGATGTCGCCTTTCTAGAACGCCTGGCCGCCGCACAGCAGCTGTCGACACGAGTGGACGTGCCCCTGGTGGAACTTTTGCCGCTATGGGGCCCCATGGACGCCCAATTCTCAACCTCGCTCTACCCCAAGCTCTTCCTGCATCCCCAGCTCGTCCAACAATACCCATTGCTAGTCCCCCTAGCCAGCGGAGAATTCCTTCCGACCGCAACCTTTGGGGAAAACATGGGCGCTATTCTTCATGCACTGCATATCACTCATGCCGACCTGTTGACGCTCATGGAAATTACCCGGCAGGACGCCAGGACTAGCTGGAACCTGGAGACTATTGCGGAACTGTACAGGCACCAGAAGATGAGCCATTTCTTGGACCTCCCGATCTCCCAATATCCCAAATGGTGGGAATATTGCCAGACCATGGCCAACCCGTTCCTTGATCCTCAAAGCACCTTGACCTCGTTGGGCGTGTGGCTGCGCCTACCCGAGGAGATCCCCTCTGTGGAAGCGGTGCTCGGCTTGGTTACCCCCCGCCGATGATGAGAATGATGACGCTCCGACTGCGAAGCACCGCGAGCGGACAGCGAAAGACCTGGCCTTCATTGCGCAAATCGTGCAAAGCGTGGCCGATGTCGAGTCGCAATACGCCCCCTTTGTGGCGGACAATATTTCGGACATCGAGGAAGACCAGCTTTTCACGAATGAGAACCTGTTAGCCATGTGCTCTCGTGTTTTGGGCCCTGTCGCCTCTAAGGCGGCGGTGGAGGTCATAGAAGGTTTGTCAATAATACCTCCCTACCCGCCATGCCTCAAACCTCAGACGCGGCTCTAACACGCTTCTTTCTTAACGCAGGCCGCATCATTTCAGACAACGGCATTCTTCGGATCTTCAGCGAGAGTTTCAAGCTGCAGGAGTCCGAAGCAACCGCCGAATTTCTCAAGCCACTGGAGTCGGACCCCCTAGACTTTCAAAAGCGGCAAGAAGAACTCAAATCCCGCCGAAAGAAGGCCATTTCCTGGATGATTCCGGAACTGAAGCGTCGGGGCATAGATACCGCAGTGCAGACAACCCTGTCCATTCGATTTCCGGATGCGAATCCCGAAATCCTCGACATTTTCCTTTCAGGAACGGCCTCCGCAGATCATAGCTACCGGGAAGTTCTGGCGCAAGTATGGCACGACGTTCGGGCAGAGTTGCCCATGGCCTCGAAAATCTTCTTCTTCCCGCCCGACACAACTGAGTACACCTTCATCAACCATGCGGGCGAAGGGAAGCTCAGTCTTGATGACCAACCTGTTGATTTCGTCGTTGCTGGCCCGGTGCTCGTCACTCAGCCACAGCCACTACGTCAGGGTCAACCATCGGTTCTGGAATTATCTGAAGGGCTTTCCCTGAAAGGCCTGACGTACTTCACAGCCCACGGCGACGCACGCTTCGATGAGACGTCAGCAATTCCAGTACCAGCAGCCAAAGTGATCTTCCAACACCTGTTCCGTTTGGAACGGGGCCTAGACATGACCAAGACCGTCAACATGGGCCCCATAGAAGTCGAGTATTACCAGAAGCTCACGGTTGACTTTTCCGCCATGAACTTCGATCAGATGACCACCCTCTTGAGCTTTTTGTGGAACCGCCAGCAGTTGGGAGTCCCCGGCGCATCCCTTGTCAGCTACTATCAGTACCTTCAGCGTGCTTCAGGCCGTGCTGCCAATCCCAGCGACACGGTAGAGGAGAAGGCGTCGTTGGTCGAGCTCGTATCTGAGACCTGCCGGGTCACAAAGCTCACGACCGAAAGCGTTTCCCTCTTTTTTGACTTGCGGTGGCCGGGCCTGTCAACCTCGGAGCGCGTAAAAGACTTGTTGGCCCGGGACCTATCACCTCTCCACCAACTGGCCGACTGCTGTGAAATGTCAACAACGCTGGGGATCCCCATTTCGACGCTCCACGAATGGGCTCAAGCTCCTCGCTTGCCCAACACGGCCGAGGACTTTGACTCAGCCAAGCAGCTGAAGGCTTCCCTCTTGTCTAACAAGGCGGAAAATGCGCTCGCCCGCGCTAGGGAATCCCTCGCTTCGACACAGCGACGGGTCCTTCAGGAAGCCCTGTTTCGGGTGCCGATTCTTCAAGCTAAGAAGATCACCACGCCTGATAGTTTGTCGGCCGAACTTCTCATCGACACGCAGATGGGACCAGGAATTCAGACATCGCGGATCGCCCAGGCCATCGACAGCGTCCAGCGTTTCGTGCAACGCTGTCTCATCGGCCTGGAGAAACGGTACGGCATCGCCACGACTGGAATCGACCAACAGCTGTGGGGTTGGATGAACAAGTATACGCTCTGGCAGGCAAACCGAAAGGTCTATCTCTACCCCGAAAACTGGGCGGACCCTTCGTTGCGTGACGACAAGACGCAGGCCTTTGAGGAGCTGGAGAACAAGATGCTGCAGGCGAGCCTCAACAAAGACGTGGTCGGCCAGCTTCTCCGGGAATACGTCTATGCCGTCCACGAGGTTGCCGACCTTGACCTCCAGGCCTATCTGTGGGAGCGGAAGCCCCCGTATTGTGGTAACTACCACTTTTTTGCTCGAACGCGCGCCGCCCCCTTCAGCTTCTACTACCGCCGGTTGGAGGCAAGGAGTGACGCACGTGGATCTACTCTGGCAAAATGGCTGCCGTGGGAGAAGATGGAGGTCGACATCCCAACCCACGCGACGGACGGGGATCATCAGCCACTTCTCAAACCCGGCAGCTATCTCATACCTGCTCTCTTCAAGAACCGCTTGTTCCTCTTCCTCCCACAAATCACGCCGCGGACGGTACCTGCTGCACCCCCAACTGGCTCCATGATGGAGCTAGCAAAAAGCAGCTCCATGCCAAAAAGCCCCCAGAAGGGCTGGGAAATCAAGATGGCCTGGGTTGAGATGCGGAACGGCAAATGGTCGCCCAAGTACGTCACGGCAACTGGAATCGACGTTATGGAACCTGAGCCTTCTCCGTCTGGCCCGCTGGTATCGGTGGAATCATTCAATTTCAGTATCGAGCCAACCACCAGCGACAAGACTCTGACCATCGTGGTCGAGAAGCTGGTACCCGACCCGGAGAGCCATCTAGATCTACCAAGACAGATCCGTTCGAGACTAGGCTGCTTTGAGATGCAAGGCATGCAGCTGCGCCTGGTGGGCACATCGCCCAGTGCAGCCGTCAGTTCAGCCATCGCTGGCAAGGTTGCCTTCTCTCGCATGTTGCGCAAGGAAAGCACCAGGGACAGCGAGGAGCTGCGGGCAAGCGTCGAGAACTACGAAGTAGGCATCGACCCGGAGGCAGGGCATCACTCGATGCTGGCAGTGCCCGATCCCCCGGACATGGCTGGCGGTGAGTACGAACTCTCATGGCTGCTGTCCTATGACCATTCACAGTTCAAGGGGGTCTCGGGTCTCGTGGTGGAACGGTCTGTGCCGGATCAAGCGGCCCAGTTCTACGTTAGCTACCCACCCATAACCAAGGACGGAGCGGTCGACACGACCCAAAAGACGGTTGACACGACGCATTCCTTCACCCAGGATACCTCGCTCGTCCTCACCGAAGAGATTGCCGACAACCAGGGCTACGAGTGCATCTTTGACGCGCTGGAGTCGCTGCCCAAGGATCAGCAAGACATGGCATTTGGGTATTATAACAACAAGTACAGCGAGCTAGCTACGCCCAGTTCGGTGTACAATTGGGAGATCGGTTTCCACGTTGTCGCCCTGCTCATGGAGAGGCTCCTAGCCACGCAACAGTTCGATCTCGCTCTCGAGGTTTCCCGCATGGTGTTCGACCCTAGGCGTGATGACGCCAACCTTGATGTGCACGCCGAGCTGGGCCTGGAAGCCGGCGCCCCGGGGCCCTTGTCTCGGCTGGACAACTGTTGGCGGTTTTTCCCTTTCAAATCTTCCGAGCTACGGCTGGCTGGCTCCGTCCGAGACATTATACAAAGTCTTGTACCTGGGAGCAAGCCGGACGACATGGTCGATTGGGAGGCCCACCCTTTCTCGCCACATCCTGTGGCGCGAAACCGGCCTGCCGTTTACATGAAGCGGTTTGTCATGAAGATTATCGAGATCTTGATCGCCAGCGGAGATCAATACTTTCGGCAGAACTCTTCTGAATCGGTCGGGTTGGCGACTCAGCGCTACGTCGAGGCTTCTGAGCTCTTTGGACCAGCTCCTGTCGAGATTGATCCGCCCACCAAGCCTGTCACCAAAAGCTACGACGACATTCGGGGCGACGTAAACAGCTTTGCTACCGCGGCGGTGGACATGGAACTTGAGTTCCCCTATTTCATCAACCCCGAACTCAGGGGTTATGGCGTTCCCGAGCCCCAGGCAGCTTCACACATGAACGGCACCATCGGCTTTGTACGGTCCACATATTTTGGTGTCCCTGCCAACCCGCAGATGCAAGCCCTGCGCGATCTCATTGACAACCGACTCTTCAACATCAGGAACGGGCTGGATATTGACGGCAATCCTCGCCGTCTCCCCTTGTTCGATCAACCCCTTGACCCTGACCAGGTTGCTTCCGGTGTGGCTTCCGGAACAAGCCCGTCGAGCCTTTCAGAGGGGCTGGACGGGGGGCCCATGCCCAACTACCGAGCCAGATACCTCCTGCAGAAGGCATTGGATTTGTGTGGAGAGTTGCGCGGTTTCGAGGATTCGTGTCTGTCGATCCGGGAGAGGCGTGACTCCGAGGCCATGGCCAACCTGCGGGCGAGGCAGGAGGTCGGGGTCTCGGCCCTCATGACTGAGATTAAACAACTCCAAATCCAGGAGGCAACGATGGCTATTGCCACGCTTCAGGAGGCCCGCGAGTCGCATGTCTCGACGCTGAAGTATTATCTCGCTCTCATGGGCGAGTCAAAAGATATCAAGATCCCGTCCGCCGTGAATAAGTGGGAAGACTTTGAGTATGGCATTGTCGAGCCCGGGAAGGGCGAGTTGCGGATGAGCCCGGAGGAAGCGCTGGAATCGAGGTCGTCTGATGCGGCAGGCTATATCGACGTAGTAGCCAGTGGAATGGAGTGTGCTGGAGGTTTGCTCAAGGCCCTCCCTGAAACCACGATCGAGACGCAACCCATGGGCGTCGGAGCGGCCACAAAGTTCGGCGCCTCTAACCTTGGAGAGGCCATGATAGCCAGTGCCGGTCTGGTTAGACTCGGGGAAAAGGCAGCGAGCGAGATAGCATCCCGAGCAGCTCGCAAAGGCCAGCTGACCCGCCAACTCCAAGAGCGCAAACTGTCGGCCAACATGGCAGCTCGCGAGATCCAGAGCGTCGACACCCAAATCGCCACCCAGAAGAAGCAGATCGAGATTGCCCAGGCAGAGCTGCGCGCACATCAACAGCAAGTGGCCGACACGGCCGAGATGGAGGAGTGGATGCGCACCAAGTACACGTCGGAAGCGCTGTACTCGTGGTTGGAGGCGCAAACACGCAAGTTGGCCTACCAGACCTACCTGTCGGCGCTCGACATGGCCAAGACAGCGGAGCGCGCCATGATGTTCGAGTACGGCCCCAAGGCCCGATCCCTGCTGTCGAATTCCTACTGGGACGGATCCCGGGACGGGATGCTGGCTGCGAGCCAGCTCACGGCAGCGCTGCACCGAATCGAGAAGTTCTACATGCAAAACAAACCACACGACTACGAGCTAACCAAGACCATCTCGCTGCGCCAAGTCTCCCCCCTCGCCCTCGTCGACCTCCGCGCCAAGGGCGTCGCCGAGTTCGAGCTCCCCGAGGTCCTCTTCGACCACGACTTCCCAGGTCACTACTGCCGGCGCATCCAATCCGTCTCGCTCACCATCCCGCGCAGCGCCGCCACCGTCGGCCCCCCCAACAGCGCCACGGCCGTGAACTGCTCCCTGCAGCTGCTCGAGCACCGCTACCGCCTCCAGGCCGGGCGGGCGACGGGCACCGAGTACTACAGGCCGGACCCCTCGGGCAACGACGCGCGCTTCCACACGGACCGCATCCCCATCTCGTCGGTCGCGCTCAGCACGTGCAAAGACGACAGCGGCACCTTCCAGCTCGACTTCGTCAACAGCGACCGCTACGTCCCCTTCGAGGGCGCCGGCGTCGTCAGCAAGTGGAAGCTGGAGCTGCCGGGCCCGTTCCGGCAGTTCGACTACGCCACCATCGGCGACGTCCTCGTCACCGTGCAGTACACCGCGCTGGAGGGCGGGGCGGCGTGGAAGAAGCTCGCGTCGGACGCGGTGCGCGAGTTTCGCAGCGTGTTGCAGGACGAGGATGGCAGTGGGGGCGCGTTCTTGATGGTCGATATCAAGGCGGATTTCCCGGACGAGTGGAAATCGTTGGAGGCGCAGCTCAGGGACACGAAGACGGGCGAGGAGAAGAAGCCGATGGCGATGGATCTGACGCGCATGCTGGACATGCTGCCGTTTTGGAGCGTCGGGCAGCATGTGACGTTTGAGAAGGTGTGGATGACGGTGCAACCGGCGAAGGGTGGGTGGGAGAAGACGGGTGTTGTGGAGGCGCTGGGGGCGGAGATGGAGGAGGATGTCGCTAAGTCAGGGGAGGGGTTCAAGGTGCTGGGGCCGGGTGATGCGAAGGATGTGAAGGATGTAAAGATCGCACCAGTGAGGCTGAAGGGAGTGATGCCGAAGGGTTGGTGGGTTGTTGTGCAGTATACGCAAGGGAAGTAGGTGTGTCGGGGTGGAAGGTTGGGACGGGGGGAGTAGAGGGGCTGGCACGGTCGCTGCGGGTGTGGTCAATGAGGACTTCCATCACAATGGCAAACGTGGCAGGTCCCATTCTTGTGTGAGCCGGACAACGAGATTCGGGGGGTGGAAGGGGGAACTTGGAAGGGGCAGAGCTACAGCCAAGAGGCTGAAAGAGAGGGAAGAGTTGGATACGGGCAATGGCTCGCATGTGAATGCGCAATTATGTAGATGAAGTGAGGGAGACTACTGCTGGCAGGTTAAAAGCGAGCCCACAATATTCGAAGCAATCCTTTTCTGAATTCTGGTTCTGTTAATTCCACATCACACAATGACAGGTTGCCATTGCCTCTGTCCAGTTTCCCTAGTCATCTGGGATCGACCCGTACTAACTGCAACTTAAATGCCCTTCAAGCGCACATCGAACACGAATGTATATCTCCAACGAACGGTCCTAGTAGTTTACCAGGCTGTGCATGACTCCATCTCCCATCTACACCCAAAAGTCACCTCCCCAAGTAGTTCATAACCCCCTGACCCTCCTAAATCTTCCCCTTAATCTCCCTCTTCCACCGCTCATCCACCATAATCACCCCCCTCCTCCCCACCACCCTCCTCCCCTCCCCCCGCACCCTCTCCTCCGCCCCCCACCTCTCCAACTCCGCCCCCAAAAACCCCCCCGCCGCCTCCGCACACTCCCCCACCCTCTCCATCGCAACCAGATGCCCACAATCCAGCACCACCTCCCTCACCCTCCCCCCCGCAACCCCACCACTGCCCCCCAACCCGCTCCCCGTCCGCTCCATCTTCGCCCTCCGCTCCTCCGGCCGCGACATCTCTGACTTCCCGCCAAAGACATACAGCACGCTCGGCCGCAGCTCGGGCAGCCGCGCGAAGGCTTGCAGGGGCTCGGGCCGGTAGAAGGCGAATTTCGGGTATTTGCCCCTGTCGTTTGCGGCGGCGGCCGCTTCGGGGCCGAGGCCGAGGCCGGAGGGGTCGAAGTCGCGGAGGTCCCGCGAGGGGTGGTAGGTGGGGCGGAGGAAGGTGAAGAGTTCTTGGTGTTTGGTTGTGGTTAGGGTTACGGGGGTGTCTCCAGGGGTGGTGGTGGTGCCACTTGAGTGGGAGGGGTATATCTCAGTGGGCAGGGCGCGCAGGCCGTGGTGGATCCAGAGGTCGAGCACGCGCGGGTCCCAGGCGCGGTAGAAGGGGGATTGGGCGAACTTGGCGGCGGCGGCGGCGCGGGAATCCCAGATGTCGCGGCGGTTGGTGGAGGCGGCGGCCGGGCCGATGCCGCTGTGCGAGGTGGTGATGACGGGGTCGAGCAGGACGAGGGAGTAGAGTAGACGCGGGTGGCAGAGGGCTAGATATGTGCTGAAGGGGGAGGGTTAGTGGGCTGGGATGGGGTTCGTGGTTGGTTTGACTTACAGCTGCGCGCCGCCCATGCTGTGGCCCATGCCGACCAGCGGCTGCGGCATCTCGTCACGCTTTTGGTTGATCAGGTTGGCGAGGTCTCTTGTGTGGTCCCACCAGCTAGCTATACGACGCTGTCAGTTTCAACTCTGCCTTGGGTGCCCTTAAGTGCCTCACGGTCGTTGCCAAGGATCTTCTCGTTCAGCACGCCCGACTGCCCCTGGTTCCACATGTCGGCGATCCAGATGGACCGGATGCGGATGCCGGTCTCTGCCGTCTTCTTCTGGAGTTCATCCCAGAGCGGCTCGTATAGTTCCTACGTTTGGATGTTAGGAACTGAAAATGGGAAATTGAGTATATAATTGAAACAACAAGTGCGATGACTGACCTTGGGAAACCCATTGGCATGGGCGGCAATGATGGTCACATCGCCGGGCTGGGGATTCGGGTTGTCGAGTGGGATATACTGCTTCACAGCGAGTCTCGGCCTGTCGGCGTCGCCATTCGCAGTTGCTGTTGCGTATTCGCGGGAGTGCGCGCAATTAATGGTGTGCTCGACCACGCGGAAGAATTGTGGCATTTTGGAGTTGGGGTGGGTGGGGTTGGTTCGCGGGGAATTGGGACGAGTGAGGAAAGAGGTGTTTTAAGATCAAACGACCGCGTAATATACGGAGAGAAATGAAGGTCAAAATAGAGTTCGGTTCGATGTGAGGTGTCTTGTCCAACGTTCTTGGCGCGTCACATCCCGCTCAACAGCCTCGGCCCGGGGTGAGTGGGACTCACTCAGTTTGTTTCCGAGACACAACCGCCGCCGTGATTCGGTTAAGCTTCTCCGTCATGCAACAACCAGGCAACAACCACCTTGACGTCCAAAATGATTTGAGTGAGAGACAGAAGTCTTCATTTCATCCCCAGTAGAAAAGACAACCTCAAGCCTATATTTATTCTCATACTTCTTTGTACATCATTTACTCACTGAATTCCCCCCCCATTTCTTCCGACTCCGACATTTTTGACACCCCAACCGTATTATTTGTTGAGGGCTTCTATTCATTTCCGTAAGCACATCACTGGTTACCCCGTTTTGTAAACAATATCAGGCGACTCGTCATTCACAAATTTCAAGGCCTACAATAAATGACCATATGGTACCCGTAGATAAAAAGACATTATGCGCTAGGAGAGCTGAGCGAGTGAATGGAAGTGTGGTCCGTCCAGAGTTCGGCACCAAACTGGAAGCTCCAAGTCAAAACCATCCCTGGCCAACAAAAATCACCGCTCAAGCCACCACAAAACTCTTCTCCCCCCATCCGTACTTCCTCTTCAACCGCCGCGAAAGGATGAGCAGCCGGTATTCCTCGAACTGCGACTTGTGGGGCCGGTGCACCGTAAACGACTGTCTCAGTCCCAAGCTCTTGGGCGGGACAAACGTGTAGACGGACCCAAACTTGGGTAGGACAGAGAACCCCAAGTTAGCCATGGCCGCCATAAAGTCCGCCCAGCTGACAGCTCCGCGCGATTGGGTCTTGTCGAACAGCGTTAGGAATACATCGGCTGCTGATGCGCTCACCTCGAAGGTGCGGAGTGGCTGCGCGGATTCCTCTGAAGACGCCTCAGCAGCAGGGGGGGCCTCAGTCGGGACGATTTCGTAGATGGACGAGTGTGCAGGGCGCGTCTTTTCCTTCTGTCTCCGCTGCTCGACGCGCTCCTCTTGTGGCTGCAGGGCTGGCACGGGGATGGGCGTCCAGTCCATCATTTGTTGATGCTGAACGGCTTGCGCCTTCGCCTGTTCCACTCTCTTGGTCTTTTCCATCTGGTACTGATCCTCGAGGACGGCGAAGCATTCGCGTACCAAGTCCTCGTATAGGAACCCCATCTTGGTACCGACCTTGTCGATGACGAACTGGTCGAGCTTCTTTAGCGCTCCTTCGGACATGCCCGGCTCCAGTAGGTTGCCGATGGGGAGAGCGAAATCGAGAAGGTCGACTTGGTCCTTGAGTTGGACTACCTCGGCCTCGAGGTCCTGTGATCGCGAGACAAACATTTGCCCCTTCGTGCGCGAGACAGACGGTATCGAAATGGCGGGAGAAAGGTCCTGGATGAAGCTGATGACGACAGCAAGGTCGCTCAGCGCATCGGCCTCCCTTGCCTCAATCCGATCGCGAGCCGAGGGGTGCGAGTCGTTAAACTCGGTCAGTTTCTTAAGCCAACCCGCGGCATCCTGCGGGGTCGTTTCGGTTTGGCAAAGGCGCATCATGTAGTAAAGCTGCGCATCAGCCTTCGCGAGTTTCTTCACGTTGCACTTCATGAAGACGTGGGCGTTACCAGCCCTGTCGTGCACGCCAGGCTGCCGTTTGAAGAACTGGGAGCCCGTGCCCGTCTGAACATGGCGCTTGAAGAGGGCCTGAGCACGGGCGAACTCGAGGTGGCAGACGTTGGTTACCTCTTGCAAGGTAATGGCACGGTAGATGTCATCGTCAGCGGCTTTGGTGTTTAGAAGGTCGAGAAGTCGATAAATGTAGTCCCAGATGGCGGCTCCCTGTACCGCACTGTGGATCGCTTCGAGAATAGCGCCGCTGATGTATCGGTCGCTGTGGGCAGGTAACCGGCACCCTTGCTCGTCTGCGATCAGCTCGGGCCGGGTAAAGAACCAAATGTTGACGGCGTGGGCAAGTAGAACAGGCTCGGCACAGAGTAGACCAAAGTACTCGTCAAGTGTGTCCTTTTGCTCCAGGGCGCTGGCGATTAGGTCCGATAGGGAAACCTCCTCCGGCAGCCGATCTTGGATAGTCAGCTTTGCTAAGGCCGCTGATGCCGCCTTGTCGGACTTTTGGGGCATGTCCTTGTTCGCTCTAGTTTGGGATCCCTGGTCTAGGATGTCGTCAATGAGAATGACGAGGCACTGCGTCAGATAGAGTTGCCTCTGCAGGATGAGCTCTCCCCTTGACTGGGGGACACAAAGGCCGGCGCCGATGGCAGGCGCAAGAGCAGCCGGGAGCTCGCTCATAGCACCACGCCGTATTTCGAAAGACTCGCCATATTGATTCTCGTCCAAAAACAGGGTGAAGCATCTGTCGAATCTGCGTACGTGGCGGAGCCCTCTTGTCTGCTCCATCTCAGTGATGAATGCGTGATCGCCCAGGCCGCCGTGGTTGCCTTCGCAGTACTGTCGGAACAGAGACGTGGTCGCGCGGTGCTTGATGAGGTCGAGGAGGAAGTCGGGTCCTGAATCTGCGATGTCGCGCAGATTGCACTCCGGGATGAACTTGTGGACATTGCCCAGCGAGGTATCCGTCGGGTGTCTCAGCACGACGCCCTCGGCGGCGCCAGCCCGCAAGCATGCTGCACGCTGGGTCGCGTCAAACGATCGCCAGAGGGTCTGGATTGCTTCCTCGTGTTTCTTGTATTTTCGGCCAAGGTCTGCATGCAGCTCTTTCAGCAACCCCACGTTCGTTGTCGCCGCGTTCATGACGGCGACGCCCAGGTTCGGGTGTCAGGGTCGCGGGAAAGCAGGAAGGGGAATGGAGTACGGGCGAATGGCGACGCCGCAGGCGATGAGTGTGTAGGCGGCGAAGCTTTTACTGTTCTTCAAAGAGAAGTGCAAGTGTGCGAGACGGTGAAATGGTTTTCGTCACGGCGGCGACCTTGCTACTGATAGTAGTCGAGGCGGGGCTGCACTTTACCCCGCCTGGAACCTGCCTGCCGGAATACACAGGAGGCCGTATGTATCGGGTACTTAGATGCCGTTACACAAAGTGATGTGAGCGTCATCAGGCGTGATCCACGAAAAACAATGCGGGTATAGTTAAGGTCAGAAAATAGGAAGGCCACCACCCATCTTGGCACCCAAACTCGCCCAAACTCGGGTTGGGTACTCTGTGAGAATGCGCCACTTTCATGCAAGAAGGTACGGTTTTACATTGAAACTATATGGAGCAAAGCATTTTCTATTTTGTCACTCGTGGTGGGTGACTGCATTGGCTTCAACTTGACATTCAACCCTTCCCATACAATTCTCCACACCAAAGTCCGAAAAAAAGTGATGGACTATTTTCCGACCCCGATTGTACCTAAGATACCGTACTTTAGACGGGCAGAGGTCCTCGTGCCTGGAGCGGATCACCACGATGAGTGAGGCTGGGAAACGGAATGGGGAAACAGCGAAGTAAAAGACTGAGCTCGTACAGGATAGGAAAAGAAATAGCAAAAACTTGGGATTCGCAAGGAAAGGATCTTCGGCGATTCGAGGGAGATACGGTAAGGTATCTTACCCTCTCAAGCTCGTCGTGGTTGGCAAGACAAACTCCTCTGTGGCCAACCTCCACTCCAAGTTGTCTCTTTGGAGTAGATGAATGGAGTCTTGAAACTATATTTCGACTGGGTGCAGGTTCATCCGCCGCGAGTCGATGGCATCGCCGCATCCCCACCACCCTCCGGGTGTACATGCTCCTGTCAATCTTCCAGCCAGGTGCCGTGCATGTAATCGTCTCTTGCATATCCTGCTCGTCTGCCAAGCTTCCCTCTCATCCTAGATCGTATATTGACCATGTTGGATTGCTTGTAAATGATATCGTCGGTCGGTAGACCAGAATTCATGGACGATATCCTTCTCAAGGGATCGTCCACTTGAGTTTCCTTTCGTCGACAAGTGCCTCAACAGCTTCAGTTGCAAAACGTTGAGTCACAGACCCGAAATAGTACTGGTAGATAGGTACTAAATGGTGTTAGCGTCACCCTTGAGGCCGCCCTAGCAGCTCGAAAACCGGAAGTCCCCCAATAGGTAGTGTAATAGCTTTGCTGTGATGGAGCGTATCTGTGACATGGTGAGGTCTAACGTTTGGAGTTGACTGGCAGCCATGTCCATCGACAGTGGGCCTGCGGCCATGACTGTTCGACTGCTCATTGGACTTCACACAGGGGCTTGTCGTGCCAGGAGGTCCCCTACTCTGGGCAACTTATTGGGTAGGTATGTGACGGCTTCTGGGTCTTGGCTATTTATAGTAATGGGTATCAGACAACCTCACCGTGACATTATTCTGGCTCCCCTCGTTCGGTTCCCAAGTCCTGGTTTCCAAGCCTGAAATACCAGTCGGCGAAGCTTGCGGATCCAGAGACTTATACCATGTCCGCCAGCCCACGTCCGTGTGATATAGAGCCATTGCGAGGAGGGCAAGCAACGCAGATATGAGTCCCAAGGTCAGGTACACGACGGCAAACCCCAGGCCGGGCATCTTGCAGTACGGCTGACCGCCGGCGTAATGCTGCCACGCGGCCACGGTGACGCCGCCGATGCGACCGAAGCAGCCATACGCGATGGCGAGGAGAACGAAAGGACCCCCAAAGAGCACCGCCGGGAACGCCATGAAGCCGTAGAAGAGAACCGACATAAACCACGTATCGTTTGGCCGGTCGAACCGCCACAGCAGCAGCGCCAGCGCCGCCCCGACCACCACCACAACACCCACCACCATGACCACCAACCCCACCGCCGCCCGCCGCGTGCGCGGGAAGCAATACTTCCCCACCAACAAACACAGCCCAATCAACGCCGTCGGCAACGACGGATACGCCCACAGACTGACCCCCCACCGCCTCGGCGAATACTCGGGCAGCGTACAAGCCTGATACACCGTCACACCCACCACAGCCAGACTCAACAAGTCCGCCCCGACGCAGGTCACCAGCTTCCAGGTCGTAAACTCGGGCGCGCGCCCGTCCCGCTCGCGCCGCACGCCCAGGTAGTACAGCGCCGCGTACTCGCCCGTGCCGCGGCCCGCGACGAGCGCGTACAGCGCCGCGCACCCGGGCGCGTTGGACCGCAGGCACGCCCATGCGATGGCGAAGAGGAAGCCGGCGAGGCCGACGCGGTCGTTGGCGTCGGCTGCCGCGTCGGGCTTGGGGTTGGTGGTGGTGTTGTTGCGGTTGTCGAGCTGGTTTTGATACTGGTGCGGGTCCTGGTACTGGTGCTGGTCCTGGTACTGGGGGTTATCATCAGACTCCCGTTTCTTCCACAGCAGCGGCAGGTCGAACAGCCACCAGGTAAGGTGCACGATGATAAAGGTCAGGATCAGCGACGCCCATGTCAGCGGCGTGACGCTGTCGCAGGTGGCCGGGTTGTGCACGTCAGGTATGGTGCGGCATGAGATGTCGGTCCGCGGCTCAATGGTGTAAGTTGCGGTGGTGTATCGCGTCGTCGTCCCCGTGTAGACATCCAGGGTCTCCCCGAACGCCACGCGCGGCTGGCCGGGCGTTTGCGTGTACGTGGTTGTTTCCGTGCTGCCCGGGTAGTAGTCGGTCGAGCAGGACGCGCCGACGAAAGATACCCCGGGCGGAACTGTCTGGCCCGGACCGAGGGTGAAACAGCGTGCTTCGATGGTCGCCGGGTAGGTGTGGAGTATGGTGGTCGGCGCTGTGTATGTTGTGGTGGGCAGGAACGCGACCTCCCCGCTCGAGTACTGCGCCGTGTAGGTTGAGGCAGGTCTAGTCACTGCGAGACATGTCGTGGAAAGGGACAGTGTGGAGGTTGGGATAGCCATGGCCGCGGCTTTCCATGGACGTGAACATGGACCTCACAAGTTATGTGCCCCGCGACGCACCAGAGCCTTGTGCTTGATATAAAGCTACCCGGAGGAAAATGAGACCGTCTGACTGGGCCCGCAATTCACAGCCGCAGCCTGTTGATCAGTGCCAAAAAAGGCAGGCGACCAGATCCTGCGCCAAACCCATGCAACCCCTTGATCAACACCAAATCCCACGAGTTCACAATCTCGAGCAACTCCCTCACGCGTCGTGAGGGAGGCCCATCCAACTCTTCCTCCTCCATACCCCCCAACCCTCACAACCTTCTTCAAGGGGGTTGGCCGAGCGCGCTTGCCACAGTATGCACGGTGTGAGTTCTCTGGACAGGAGAATGGGCTTTGCCTAGCCGTTTTCCATTCACTAATACACCTAGGATGCATCTCGGTCGCCTATCGCGCTCGAGATACGTTTCTGTACTTCGGAAGGTCCCGCTGCCGATATCTGGGCTTGGAGCCTTGGACTGTGTCCTCTTCGCCCTCCTTACTTTTACCGAGTCTTCGGCCGGGGCTTCGGAAGACTAACACCTGTGTCCGCCGTGCTACAAACTGAGACGTGCGGAGGGGACGTATGCCCGAGAAATGGAAGTCTGTCACATCCGCCCAAGGACACTTGGACACGTCACGCCTTGTTCACAAACTATTTCGTAGGCAGCCTGAACGTCCTAGTCAGCGGCTAGGTCGCTCCATATCCCGGATTCATTAGATCATTGGATCCCGCGGTGTCGAATTCGCCTACATCAGGTACCGAGGCATGATTCCTGGAGAACTTGTGGGAAACATCCTAGAGGTCCATGGATAAAAGCAACCTAATATTATGTCAACGGCGGCAATGCAGCTCGGGCGGTAGGAGTAGGATATCTCCGGAGTTATACTATCGGCATCGCATCCGTTGGAGATATCTCTAACCTGCACACTGGCTCTCCCGTACCCTATTTCACCCCTGGCCGGAAAGCAGACGCGATGTTGATCTTGCACTTCATTCTAACCCGGCCGTCATATATCGCGTAGCCTTACCCATGTTAGCCCCGCTGCTCCTCCACGTTGGACAAGGAGTAACTCACATCGCAGGTCTCGGTCTACAACCTTGATAACCATGGTGTAGGTCACCCGGTAGTGCCGCTTGCCCACCGGCTTGCCATCCTTGTTGAACCCTCTATCCACAGGCTGTATCAGACCCTCGTTGCGGAGAAAGGTGAAGTCGACGACGATTTCTCCGACTTCTTCGGCGCCGGCATTTTTGGGATGGCTCAGCTGGTAGTGCGAGTCTTTGGATCGGTCTGACACGTACAGGACCTCCCTACATATCAGAGATCGCATCGGAAAACAGTCAAACGTGTGGCTGCATAGAAATGGGGTGCATGTCCAGACAGGTTCGACTTCTTGGCCCTGGGCGCTCATGTCGTTGATTAGCTCCGAGGCCAACAAGACGGCCAGGCAGGATTGGTTGGCGTTGGGAAGATGCAAAAAGACACTAACCAGTTTGAGCACCCAGTCTATGGTGTTAAATGCGTAAGCTTGCCCATCGTGGGGGTCATAAGCCCTCTTCCCCTCGACATGCTCAGGGAACTCTCCCCATATTTCTGTTCGTAGGATTCCGTAGCTGGACCTGGCGTATCTCCGCGGACCTCGCTCTTTGTTAAAGGCGCGGAGTACAGCACCGCGAGCAACCGCGGTGGCTCTAAGATGCATCAGCATGCATCTGAGATGATGGGGCATGTAAGTGCGGATATGAGGACTGGACGTACGTGTGGGGTGGATGTAGAAAGGTTGGCAGTGGGCAGTTCTTTTGCTCACAAATGCTTCTAAGGCGACCGCTAAGATACTTCCGGAGTGAGACTGACCCAGCAAACCCACCGATGAGAAGAACTTTCTGGATTTCGCGTTAGCCTCCTCTCAAGAGGAGACGTTAAAGGGGGGTGAGCTTGACGGACCTCAATCTTGACGTCCTTTTCCAAGGCCTTGCCAATTTGCTCTTCCATGATAGACCCAATGCCATCCATACGATCGAGGAAGATCTGCTTGATCTCATTCCTGACAGACAGTCAGTAAATTAAAGGTTCAGCCGTGGAAATGCGGTGGTGCAACCGAGAACGTACACGGGAACCTTCAAGCTGCCCCGGCCGAAGCCTTTCGCAGGATCGGGGCGAAGACCAGGGATATCGAATTGCTTCGTGCCCTTTGCCGAATAACAGTTGAATATCCGTTTGAGTCTGTACTCGAAGTCGGTGATAATGATCTTTTCGATACAGCCGCTGATCGTTGTGTCCTCGCTCTCCAAGTATGTTTCGTCGGCAAGGCGACGTCGAAGGAGCTCACGGAAGCTTTCATTGATGTAGCTAGATCCGTAAAGACCACCTATTTTGTGTCAATAAGCCTCCTTGGGATTGCTAGATGATTACTCTGATGCTTACCACCCGGCGGTACCACTTCTCGGGTGAGACGCAACGGCGTGGTGGTGCTCACGGTGTAGGTATTGGCGTCAACAGTCCCGCCTCCTAGGAGGGTGAGTATTAGCGATACGCGGTTACGCAACATCAAAGGTTCTTTCGAGGTATGTACCTGCGTCCAAGAGGACAAATGTATCGCCTGGCTGATGACCATGCATGTTAGCAAACTGCCCTGTGGCCGGGAAATTTCGGTTGATTCGAGGAGACATGTTACCGAGATATCGCGCGATTCAGCTAGGACAAATGCAGCGGCTGCTTCTGGTTCAGAGACAATGAAGAGATTGTCAATATTATTGTTCTCAACGTCGACGCCTGAAAACCCTGCCTGACCCATGGCTATTGCCATGGCTGTTTGCATGTCCCGACAGGCCTTCTGGCTCCAGATGGCCGGGACGCAGAGGATAGTCTCCAATTTGTAGCTGTCGTCAAACCCGGCATCTTCGAGTTCTGCTTTTGCATGCCGCAAGAGGCACGTCAGGAAATCGGCGATGACATCGCGGGGGTCCTTGATGATCCTTCTCCGTTTGAGCTCCTGGAACGTCACGCCTAGTTCGTTCCGAATTGTTTCCGTCCGCTCACTGTTGTCGAGAAGGAGCTTGAAACGAGCCAGGGGTTTGTTCTCCGGATTGGCGTGGGTGGCAGATCTACCCCAAGCCTCGTGCGCTCCGTATCCCCAGCGGAACGAGACTGCCTCGTCGACAGACATCTGATCCGAATCGTAGGCGTCCTGCCCGCCAAATATGGTTAGAGGGTCGTCCGGATCTGCTTCAAACTCGCCGATGGCAGGCTCCGGTACGTCCTCCCGTTGATCCTCTGTGGAATCCTTCCCCCTGGCCACCAAGTCTTCCTTCTTTCGAAAACCTCGATCCAACGGGTATATTAATTCCGTCGGTACCTCACTTCGCATTTCGTCGTCTAACCCCCCAAAGGTTGTGTCGTCGGGATAGCTTTGTATCGTACGTATGCGCGTGGGATCGAGACAGCCGGCCGACTCTCCTGGTTCCCCTTCAAGTGCGACGTATGCAACCGCCGAGTAGGTGGTTCCAAAGTCGACAGCCATGATTAGACGTTTGGACGAATCGGGCACTTCTGCGTCATCCAGAAGGTGATCTGGAACATGCTCGGGTACGACGTTGTCCATGATGCTTGGGCGACGGTGGATGGGAATATCATCATTCTCAGCCAGGGTCACTGTCGATTCTCTGGACCTGTCCATCGCAATGCTGGGAGGGCTCTAAAAGTGGACGAAGAAGAGGCAGACAGATCGTTGGAGTAGCCGCTGCTCCTAATATGCCCAGGTATCGAGGTACAAGTACCTTTGCGTGGTTGGCCTCAGCTCTCAGCTCAGGCTCACTTCCTGCCAATGCTCCCCCCTGTCCCCTGGCCGAGATGTCCGGCCGCGATTTGACTTGACACAGGCTCTCCCTGCTCGGCGCCTCGCAGCACTGAACAGGCACACTCCTGCCAGTCAACGAAGGCAAGCAAGGTCTTTCCGCGACACCCACCCGGCGTCACAATGTCGGCAGCCAATCACGGAGGCAGCCAAGATGCATGTTGGTGATTGGGATGCATGAAACGAGCTGCGTAAGAAGCGCCACACACACGTCGCGTCATAGCCTGCAGGGGGCAAGGCTGAATTCAGCCCGGCGCCCCGTCGTCGGAGTCGTGGCCTTCCAAACATGTACATAATTACCGCGCCATTCCCGGCTCGGGAGAGTGACTCCCGTGTCTCCCACCAGTCGCCGTCTCGTGATATACGTCGACAGCCGTGCTCGCCGCTCAGAGCCATGGCGAGAGGATTGAAACATCGCAGCAAACCCCGGCCGCCGACGTTCGTTTGGAAGCGGAACGATATCAACATTCTTCTGGCGTGCCTGGACTATTGCCTCCAGTACGATCTTGACTTTGAGACCATAGCAATTGCCCACATCGCCAAAAGAACGGGCAAACAAGTGACGGCACAGCTGATTCAAAGGGCACTTAAGCAAGAAACTAGGCGGTATGGCCGCGAAGGGCAAGGGACGGTTCAAGACCTTCTCTCCGAAGGGTCTATTTTCCTCGAAGGCTACGATGATACCGATCGTAAAAATATTCGCGAGCAGATCGGCCGTATTGAACCACCTCAACTTCGGTACCGGTTGAGAAGCACATCTATGGAATCGCCATCCCGATCTCGCACGCTCTCTTTGAATCGCCCTCAGCGTTTAGAGACATCGGCTGTGACCAACCATTCCCCGCCAGAGTTGGTAGGGCTAGACGTGTTGGTCAATAAGGGCGAAAGGCAGGTCCGTACTCCCAACCAAACCGAAAATACCTGATATGATGCCGACTAAACCGAGCTCTAAGACGGCAGCCCATGGATCGACTTCTCAGCGTGGCAACAGGGCACCAGGCCGGGAAAGGACAAGGACTGCGTCCCTACCATCAAGAGTTAAGACGGAACATGGTCAAGGTCAATGCCAAGGTCAATCTGCCGAAATCCTCCCTCGCGTTTCGCCAACGTCGACCGCAGCAGCAGACAACGGATCTCGGGTGGCAGAGCTTGTGCAGGAGCTGCAGAGGACTGCGAGGGAAAACAAGGAGCAGAAAGACTACATTTTCACACTATCCAACCGGCTGTCCGAAGCAGAATATGAATGCGCCAAAGTACGAGAGAGCGCGAGGAAGGCGGCTGAATATTGCGACGACCTTGTTATGCAGCGAGACCTCCGGTATGAGAATTCTGTACTCAAAGGCCAACTCGGGCAGATGACTAGCCAACGGCAGACAATCGACCTCGCTAGCACCGGCTCGCTTGGACCCTCCCCTCGGACCATTTGGCAGGAATTCGAGTGCATCGCCACGGATGTCAAAGATGCATGCTCATCGGTGGACATCACGATCCCCCCCGCGTCCGCTGGCACCAGCGCCCATAGGGGACAGGGAAGTAAGGAGCCAGAGTCCGAGTCCTGGATGCGGCGCGCGGCCCATTGCAGCCTCGATCAATACTTGTCGTCTTTGGCTATGGATACTAGCGTATCCGAGTTCCATATTATTAGAGCCCTTGTCGCAGCGGGGATCAGCCAGTTGGTGTTCGAGTCGAAGTTCCCGGATCTCGTCGCCAGGGAGTCGCCAATGCTGGACCAATATAGGAAACATATATTTGCCCGAGGTAATCCTAGACACATACCAAATCACTAAAGCCTGCCAACTAACCGATATACAATGTAGCTGGGCCACAGACGCTGGAACAGTTCGAAATCCTAGCCTACAAGTCCGTCATATCCGAAGGATACTTTGTATCACACATTCTCCAGACCAGCGCGAAGAGCCTCGCCAACAAGCTCTACAACGCCCTGGCACATCTGATCTCGCCCAACGACGACACGATGATCGGCGCCGAGCCGGAGGGCGGGAGCGTATTCCCAGCCGAAGAAGCCCACTCGTCCAACATTGAACGCCCCGTGGCCAGCCTCTTTACCGAGGCCTTCACCCGAGCTCTGACACTTAAACGGGAGCTAGCCCTACTAAAGACCAAGTATAAGCTGGTCTTCTTTCGACCGGGCGACCTGTTCAACACCGACACCATGATTAGAGACGGGGACGGGGATAGCGCTTTTGTCCCAAAACGGGCATTGGGCAAGGAGGTAAGGAAGGATTGGCCGAGGCCGCGTTATATGGAGAAGAACTCGAGGATCAAGCTCTGTCTCTTCCCGGCGCTGTACTCGAGGCGGAAAGAGGAGCTGACGGCGGAGTTTGGGATTGGGGTCGATGTTCAGAACTGTTTGGTTGATTGTGATAGCTTCATCGCCGACGACCAGGTCGATGTGGGGGATGGGTCCTTCTCTTTGGTTGCTAAAGGAGTTGTGTTGGTCTGAAAGGTTCAGATACTGAAGCCAAGAAAAGGGTGCATTACAAGCGACTAGACTGTAAGGCGTACGTAGTAGGTAACCGAGCTGGACCGTCATCAGATATCCGAGGCCAGGGAGAACGTCTCAACGAACACGTCGCAAAAAAGGGGCTCCAGTTTCTTTTCCCGGCGGTGTGCTGCGAGGGGAATTACCCTGCTGCCAGATTCTGTACCGCTACACCTTGCTGTCATTTAGTTGTCTACTAGTCTACCTAGGTACTAATAATTAAGATATCTCCTGGCTAATTAATACCTTCTCCCTCAAGACAACACCTTAACGCTGGGGGACAAGATACCAACAAAGAAAAAGACAAAACACAATCTCACACAAACAAACCCATCACTCTCTCAAACTCGTCATCACCACCCCTTACCATCTTCCCCTTCTTTGCAGCCTTCCTAGCCTCTATATCCCGTCGCACCGCCTCTTTGGCAGCATGCCTCGCAACGCTGATGGCAGTGGTCATCCCAAATATCGGGCGCTCGTCGCTGGCCCCCTCCACACCACATTCAGCATCGCTTATCGGCAACTCGATCCCCTCCCCCTCCCGACACCGCACGATCGCGACCTCAACCCCCTGATACGCCAGGTCCTTGACGGCCCCCGCAAAAGCCCACCAGATGTCCTCGTCCTCGACGGGCTGACCGCGCACCGTGCGGAAGGGCAGCCCCCTCTCGAGCATATTCTGCAGCCGGTTGGTGGCCATCTCGATGGCGTGCTCCGAATCGGTCGCGATGACCAGGCGAGCACAGTGGCCGAAGTCAAACGGCGTGATCTGCACTGCCGCGAGGAGCGCCCGGGCCGCTACACGGTTGGGGGTGGCCTGGAGGCGAGTCTTGGGTGCGGGTTCTTGGCTCGTCGACTCTTGTTCAGGGCCGGCGGGAACGTTTGTGCTTCCAGCGCCGGTGCCGGTAGTCATCGCCTGCTGGCTTGTCTCTGCAGGCTCAGCCTCGAGCTCGGAGTCGGAGTCGAACACGGGCTCGTACACGGGCTCGCGCCGGACGGCTTTTTTCTCCACTTCCCCCATCAGAGCTTCATCGTTATTCTTATCCTCTCCCCTATCATCCTTCTTCCCATCACCCTTCGCGTCCTTCCCAATGTCCACACTCCCAGAGGCTGTCTGATCGTTGATCCCACCCTCCGCCTGCATGTCACGAACGCGCTTGTAGTTCTTGACATACTCCTCATCCGAACACTTATCATTCTCAGTCTTCCACCAAGGCCGGTACCGAGAATCGACGAAGCCAAATTGGCCCGGGTCGATATCCAAGGGTAGACGCTCCAGCGGCATGCTGTAGGTCCCCCCAAGCAAGGAACACGCCATCGTATACTCCCCCGGCTGCTGCACACTCCGGCCGTAGCCGCGCATGGGTTTCTTCAGCGCGGCGGCGCACAGCCCAACCAGGCGTACATCCGCCGGCTGGAGAGACTGTTCTGCAGCGGCGTTCGACAAGCGCGCCTCGGCGTCGTGCACCCTCTGCCACTCGGGGTACTCGTGAAAATGGGTCGTGTCCTTGGTGACCAGGCCCACGCCCCCGCGGTCCCGGACGCACACGCCCGCGGCGAACACCAGCATGGTGCGCTCCGGTTCCTCAATGGGTACGTGCTCATGTTGTTGTTCTGGGGCGTCAATCTCGCGAACGAGCGTCCACCTCCGCTCCGGGTTCTCCCCTTCCCTGCCCTTCCCCTTGTCCTTGTTCCCAGCCGCCGCCTCCGTGGACCCCTCCCCTTGTTCATCTCCCTCAACCCCCCCTCCAACCAGCACCACCTCCCTCTTCCCCACCTCTCTCTTACCCCCCACCCCCTTCAACCCGTCCCCCATGCTCCCCCCCACCCCAACCCCACCCCCTCCCTCCTCCAAAAAGAACCTCCCCACAAACCGCCTCCGCACATGCGCCGCATGCGCCTCCCACCGCCCGCCGACGTCCGGCGCGCGCACCCGCTCGCACGGCGCAAACGCCGCCGTCAGCGCCGCGCAGAACTCGGCGCGCGTCTGCCTGTCGCGCTCCCCTGTCGCGAGGTAGCGCATCACGGGTGTTGTTGCGCGCTTTTGTGGTGAGGGCGGCGCCGGCGCCGTTGGGGTTATTGGCGGTGGGTTAAGTGCGGTTGTGGGTGGTGTGGGGGGGTTGGGTTCGAGTTTGCCTGCGCCTGTGCCTGCGCCTGTGCCTTTGCGTGTGGGCCTGTGCCTGCCGCCGTTGCGCTTTCCGGGTGGTTTGGACTTGGGCTGGAGTACCGCTGCTGTTGAGGATGTGGATGGGTGTGGTGACAATGGTGATGCTGTTGATGATGGGGCTGCCAGTGCTTCAGAGGGAGGTGATGGCGCTGCTTCTGGGGTCTCGCACAGGACAAACGTGACGAGGCGCGGGAGGAGGACCTCCCACTTGCGCGAGGCCGGGGGCGCTCTGTCCTTGTCCATCTCGTCGGGGAAGCGGTCGACGTACAGCTGCGTCAGCTCGTCCGCTGTGGTGATGTTCTGGTCGCGGATGTCCTGCCGCTCGCGCTTTGCCGGCCGCCACATGCGGCTGCATATCCGGTCTATGTACGCCATCGTCCGCTGCATCCATTTGCGACCTGTGGTGCTTTGGTTGTCATGCCGTCCGACGCAGAACTTGGAGAGAGAGACGGCGCTCGGGTGTAGCGTCTTGGGGTCCCTGGGGGTCGCCTTGAGGTCGAGGAGTTCCGCCGCCGATATGGGGAGGACCCGGGCCTGCGGGGGGAAGTTGAGCATGCATGTTCGCAAGGTCAAGAACGAAATAATTCGCTGCGAGGTGATCGTGTGTATGCGATTATCAAAGTCTTCCTGGTCGCGTTTGAATGTGCTCGTGGCTATCTTGTTAACAGTGGAATTAATTGCCGCCACCGCATGGGGTGACTCGCTCCCTAGGCCTACCCCTAATTAGTACTCGCTTCGAACGGCTACCCCTCAGAATCGGGAACCCAGACCTTGGATCGTTTGGGGCACCTCCACGCCCGCGTGCCTGTTCTGGTGCTCGTTGGACATGTTTGGCTCCTTCCTTGGCACGATGAGAATAATCGGGTGGGCTTTGTAGGTTTCTATCAATACTCGGGGTAAGGCTGTAACAAGTGAAGATCGAAAAAAGGTTAGTATGGGGTGTGAGAGTTGGGAGGGAGAAGCGAGAGTGGGAGATAGTGGGAGAAACTGGGACAGGTGCCTCTTCTTGATTCTTAGAGATGGTCATGAAGCAAGGTAGGAGCTAGTAAATGATTGATGCCCACAACTTTAACTCCACAAAACGCAGCTGCCGCCGACTGCCAAATTGAAATCGAGAACAGTTATCTTGTGGACTGGCTGGGAAAAGGGGGGGGGGGGGGGGGGGGGGGGATACGGGGCCGGGCTAGGGAAGGGTCAACCGGTAGCCTAAGGGAAAGCAGGAACGCGAAAGGAAATCACGAAACTAGGGGGTGGGGGAGAATTATAACCCAATTAGATGTAAACATTCTGATTTAGAGATGTGAACTGCGGTTTTGATACGGTGACTTTCTCTTGGTTTGTTAGCAGGCAGGCATAAAGACTGGTAGGGTAGAGATCATGAAAGAATCGGTTCAGGGCTCACAGTCCAGCGTCGAGCTCATTCATGGAAAGCTCGGGAGCGAACACGACACCATTGTAGGTACGATTGCGTGCCTACCTAGGTAGACAGGCATGTATCAAGGAGAATAATGTCAGAGGAGAAAACGCCAAAAGTCTGCGACGGCGCTGCTATGAGACAGTGAAAGACATCAAAGATACAAGCTCAGTGGGTCATGGTGAGGGAAGAAAGGAGACTGGTGGTGTGGGCCTTTCACCCAACCAAAAGAACGGAAAGGAAGTCGTTTTGCAGTGGTCATGGTTTCCGCAGGTATTTATTTACTGCCCCTGAATGAAGCATTTTTGATGGGCTTGGCAGGGCAACGCGGGTCACTTCCTCGCGTTGGCTTCGCATTGTTGGGAAGCATGGCAAATGTACGATTTAAACACACGAAATTATATTGCTGATTAAATAGTGGGCGACCAAGAAGAAATCTAACGCCAACGCCACCTCCCCGGCCTTGGGCCATTGTATCTAGGGTTCCTGGTATCTCTGATGGTAACGGGTAGGGGACGGACGTGGGAGTTGGGTGTAGGAGACGGTCTGCCACGCAACATGTTAGTATGTGTTTTCTCTTGCAATTACTGGTGAGCAGAGTAGCACGCACCACGTCTCGCTGCACCAGAATCTCCTCCTGCGACTCGGTCGCGTCCGAATTCGAGCCGGTCACGGACCTCAGGTTGTGGCTGTCTCTCCTGAGCGAGCTGAGGGCGACGCTCTTGGCGCTTTTCACGCTCTTGTGGGTGCCGAAGGTGGAATCCTTCCTTTGGGTGCCTCGGGAGCCGTCGCCGGAGCGGTTTTCGGAGGCGCGGACGGTAGTTGTGATGAGGACTTTGAGGGCGGGGAGGGTGCCGACAAGGACGGCTGCAAGGAGTTAGTTGGATGTCATGAGGTGAGTGCCGTGACCTGGGATCAACCGGCTGGGTAAGGAAAGACTTACATATCGACGCCGCCAAGGTGGACCAGGTCATGAGTAACGTCAAGTTGACAAACCCTTGTTGGGCCAAGCTCTGGTTCGCGCGGATGATGGCGAAGACGATCATGACAAAGCCCAGGCTAAACACACACACCAGCCCGACTTTTTGCTTTAGCGACACCTTCACGTTGTAGATCAGGCGCAGCGGCATCGCCATGATGCAGACGTCGGTGAAGACGTCGACGGCGGTGCTGAAGTAGACGCTAAAGTTGCTGGACCATACATTCTGGGGCCCCGCGCATTTGTTGAAAGCGAAGAAGTTCCTGACATCAGGCCCGCACGACAGCAAAAGGGTGGTCACGCAACCCCCATAGGCGAGCAAGGTGAAAACGGCCAGGACGAACCAGGCGCGGCGGTACCACGTCAGGTCGCGGAATAGACGCCAGTACAGAGCGAGGAAGGCGGCCTTGACGGACCAGAGCACGGTCCAGAAGAGGATGACGATGGGGAACTGGAAGCGCAGGTAGCGTTCGGTGTGGGCGATGACGGTCTCGAACGACGTGATCGGGATGGCACCCGACAGCACACCCGTGATGTAGTACTGGCTGGGGAGTTGGATGGTCTCGAGGACGCACAGGGCCAGCAGTGCGGCGAGGGCGAGGAAAATCCAGCAGTCTTCCAGCGGGGCAACCTGGCGGGTCGCAGGAGATCGGATGCGAATGACGGTGCGCAGGGCGACGAGGAGGAAGGCGGCCGAGAAGGAAACCCAGATGAGGATGAGGAGCGACTGGTTCGAGAGGTCTCCGCCATCGTCGGAGTCGGTCGAAGCCATCGAGGTCACACAAGATTCGGTCCCGTCTCGGTGGCCACGGACGCGGGTGTCTCAGTCTCGGTGTGCAGCATGGCACGGTCTGGGGGCGGAAAGGATGGCCAGGTCTCAGAGTTCAACCAGGGAACCCGGACGAAGCCCAGCAGGGCGGAACGGCTACCTTTTGTATATACGGCGCCATAAACATGTCCCGATTGTGGGGTTTCCGACCGTTGATAAACCATCACATCTCCCAGTTGGTTCCGCGCGACCCCTCGCCTAGATCAGCGAGCTCCCATGAAGTCCCACCTCGAAATGGCATGATACGTGCTCAGAGCATGAATTTCTTGGGTCGCTTGCGAGAACAATAGGGGATATCGCGTGCCAAGAGCGCCGGTCCCGACCAACAAAACTGCACACCATCCGCTTGCCACCCCTGGCTGCCGCCGTCACACATTCCCACAGCATCTGATGGTTGCGATAGGCTCGAGGGGCTCCAATATTCTGGCGGCACAGATTGCGGGGTGGCCTGCAATGGCATCTGACTGGTCGTGTTGGATGGCCTCGATGGCCTGGGCGGCGCTGAACCCCCGCGTCGTGATACAACTGTGGCTCTCATTGGTTCTTGGTGGTGTTCGCCTCTGGGACTCGAAGACCAATGGCAAGCCGGAGGGACCTGGACGGCAGAAGGGAGTGGTTCTGGTCACGGGATGGGCGGCAACTGTTTTTATTTCCGGAGTCGAATCGCCGCCGTTATAATCGCATCGCAGGCCATCCGTTTGCCTGGCTGAACTTCAGCCGTCCCCAGTTAGGATCGCCGGTTCTGCTGCACGCAATCGCATGGCTCGCAGGATGGTTTGTCTCCCGCAGCAGCAGCAGCAGCCCACACGGATTGGCACAGCTTTGCACAATAAAACCGTTCCGGTGTCGTCTTGAGGGTTGGTTAGTGCTGTTGGTCGTTGTGAGGAATCCATCATGTGTTGTTAAAGTAAGCTGGGTAGAGTCTCGAGGCAGCTACACGAAACACGCGACCAAGTATTGGAAGAGGAAGCGAGAGAAGACTGGAAGGAAAATGGGGTGAGTTATATGCCGACTCATATCCATTTGATGTGGAATAATGTTGTGGTGGAGAGGGAGGTTGACGAAGTAAGAAGGGGGAGGTGCACGGGTTGTGACGGGGCTTATTTGACTGGATTTTGAAGGCGTTCTTGTTGGAGGATGTTGGGTACGCGCAGTGTGGTTTTGTTCAGTATGTCAATTGTACCCCCACTACTTTCCAAAAGCTCGCAAATCTTCCACCATAACTTTGTCCCCGACAATCGTCGGATGGGTTCCCTGAATGACAAAAACAACCCTAGCCCACTCGCAGTTGCTTGGGTTCCGCCAGCCGTGCAGCGTGTTCCTTTGGACGATAACGTCGCCGGCCTTGAGCATCCGGGTCTCGCCCGAGTCCATGATGGCCTCGATAGATCCAAAAATGACGATGCCAAAGTCTATGGTCTCGTGCCGATGCAGCGGCGAGGTGCCCCCGGGAGGCCAGTCGCAGTAACGGAGAATTGTAACCCCGGGCTCTGGAAACATGATGGCCGCTTCCTCGGCCACCCGCTCCTGGATCGCCTTGATATCGGATTCGTTGTTCAAGTTGACCGGTGCCGGTTCGAATGTTTTATATGCCTCGTAGTAGAGCATACCAGGGATATCGTGCGTGGTGATGGGCCCTTGCAGGGCGGAGGAGAAGACGGCGTTCCCTTGGGCGTCGTGCGTTGTCACGTACCGGTTGGGCTCGCCGAACGGCGGGAGAGCCGTCTGTGTTTGTTTCGTCCCCATGCTCCTCTTGCCCAATTCCCGGAGGGGGTAGCCTTGATGCCGGACCGGCCAAGCTTTGCAGCTTGGAGCTAGGCAGAGAAATATGGTGGCGACAAAGAGGTAAAGCATGATGTGTAGATAGTGGCAGAGCCCACACTTCATTGCGCATGATTGAACAAGGCTGCTCCGGGGTTATATAAGTAGTTTACTGCCACGCGCTTTAGCCTGCGCATTATCATGGCTGCTGCAGTCAGCAATTGTCATGCAGGCTTCGGACTCGATCAGAGAATGCGGCAGGCAAAGCTTTTGCTTTCTTTGAAGCTTACCAGCGAGTGGACGCTATCTCCTGCCACCGGTTCCTTCATGTTGCAAGCGCGACCAGCGGTTCTATCGAATCTCCGACCCGTGTCTGCAGCTCTCGAGCAAGTTTTTTACCTGCAGCAAGTACGGTAACGATCATAGCGCGGTCGAGAGTCCGAGGGCAGCGTGCGGGGATTGGGTTAGTGGCGCTGTTGCATATGTCGGCAGCTGCACTGCTCACAACCCATAGTCGCAACCGCAAGGTCGCAGGTGCCATGGACCGCGGGGAACAAGCCAACCAGGAAAGGAGGCCCAGGGCGGACCAATCGGCGAGGTCCCGGCATGGAAGGCTCGGCAGCTCAGTGAGAGACCGACTCTTGGTTCCTCACGCAAGCCATATCACGACCATGCCTTGCAGTCTGACCCTTTCAGCCGCAGGTTTGTAACACACGGCCCGACGCGCTGAGGAAGGTGACCAGAGGCAGCGGACCGGCCCGTGCCACGATTTGGTCACTGAGGTTTGAGATGCTGAATTGGCCCAGAGCACTCGAGGAGGAACTCGACGCTTCGGTGCGGCGACATCGTCTTGTGCTACCTAAGCCTAAGGCTGTGGTACGGGGTGTGAGTAGCTAGTCAGCTATCTTGGGAAAAGGATCGCTAATGGCTTAAAGATGGAAGCCGGAGGTTGGGAAGGAAAGAAAGAATAGGTTTATACTTAACTAAAGAGCTTAGATTGTAGGACGTGTTTAATAATGTTCGTGAAGCGTGACTTATAATCACGTTAAAATTCTGGATTGGTAAAATCGAATTGTATAGAGGTTCGTTCCCGAGGTACCGTAGCGAAGGTTTGGACGGAGCACTCCGGCCGCCAGGACTGTCAGCGCCAGTCTCGCAGTGGCCACAGGTCCCGTCGAAGGCCCGCAGCTTAGGATAAGGACGGGAAAGCCAGCGCGTGCCGTTTGGGGCTATACTTATAGAGCTATCCGCTTTCTATCGATGGGAAACTTTAGCCGAGGAGGACCGAAAAGACCTCTAAGGCCGTGCGGCGGCGGTACATGGGATCACCCTAGCTCAGGGAAGAATCAGGCCGCCAGGCGAAGCTCAGGACAAATCAACCGCAGCTCACCCAAGCTCACGCTGGCTCACGAGCAAAAAAGAAATTCCGTATGCTGAAGGGCCATAGTTGGGACGGCAGGAAGGAGCCTGAGAAGCTGAGCGGCAGGGTAAACATCAGATGGAAGGGCACCTTGGCAAGCCTGAGTATAAATATATTTCCTGCTCCGCGATTCTCTGGGCGTTGGACGCCTGCCGGGTCAGGATTTGTTAGGTAAGCAACCCCTCATCAAAATCAACAATTCGCGGCTGACAACGGCAGGCACAATGCGCGTTCGCCAAGCTCAGCCCGACACGCAAAGCAGACTCGGGCAAGTTCCACGTTCCTCACTGCCTGAACCACAACCTGGAACCCTCAATCCAGGTGCGCGTGGCTGCAATTGAGGCCGGGCATCAACGGCCCCAACAGCCTCGTGTTCGGGGCGCATTCTCAACCTTTTTTTCCTGAGCATCGCCCGCCTTTCCCTGCCATGCATGATGTCAGGCCTCGAAACCGCCAATCCGGGTCGACCCTCACTGTCGGTTTCGGCATTTTTGGTTCGCTGAGAGCGATCGAGCCACCCCCAGCTCGAAAGGCCCCGGCAGCAAGACTCCCGAACACGTCACCCGGGCGGTCCTCCATGCGGCTTTTGCATGCACTTTCTCGAACCGGATGCAGCCGAGGCAGCTTCGTTGGCAGCACGAATACCCTTCCGACACATCGGTAACATCGAGCGATATGCGTAACGTTATGCAGAACTGATGGTCCGTCTTGCTTGACCTTCTTGGACTGTCTCAGCCTAGTGTGCGCCGCTGCCATGGAAAGGCCCCCGTCGTTCATGTCGCGAACCCTGGTTCCATTGGGCGAGCCGGTGCTGCACGCCATGGTTGACCGCCACGTTGCCGAGCCGATGGACTGGACCCAGCACAGGGATTACGGGAGGATGGAAAGAAAAAAAAAAATACCGACACTGGCAGTGGTTGCGACATGCCGACGGAATGACAGCACAGACCGATGGAGGCGGTACTTAAGATGCTCGTCGCGCCCTCGCGTCTGGCCCAGCCCCGGCGAGAAGAATCTGGTGGATTCCGAGACACCATGCAGACGCCATGTTCCGATTAAACATCACCATACTCGCACTCGCATGGGCTCTGCTCCAGACCCACCTCTCACCAGTGGCTATCCCGCAAGCGCACGCCTGGCCAACACCATCAAAATGGCTCCCACACTTCAAGAGCCAGCGTCCCCAAGGTGATTATGCGAAGCGCAATTTCAAGACGGTCTCGAGCATCTACAACCTCACCGTCTACCCCAACCAGGTGCCCATCTTCCAGCACGGCGGTGCGGGTGTCCCCGACGGCCTCTTCAGCAAGGACGTGGTAGGGCGGGTCGACCCCGTCGGCAACTTTACCGGATTCGAGGATTCGATCGAGTACTTTTTCGCCCTGGCCCCGCTTCCCCAAGGCAACGCGGCCAAGGCGGCTATCACTGGGTACCAAATCACCGAGTTCAGTTCCCAGTGCGGTGACGTGGCCTCCTCGGTGGTGTACCTCTACTGCAGCGTCGTGGACCCGGGCGGCCCCGATGACGGCAAGAAGCTGCCGCCACTCAAGCAAATTGCCTTCTGGCGATTCGACAAGGACGGCGCCGTGGTCAAGTACGACGCCTGGATCGTCAACCTCAACAGCTGGTTCGAGGCTACTGCCGGTGCCGCCGTCACCGACCCGTTCTTCCGCGCCGCCAGCATCACGCAGATATGCGCTGCCAGTCAGATGCAATGCCGTGGGCCCAACAGCCAGTGGCACAGCATCGCAGAGTGCGTGGCCACGTTGTCGTTGAAGCGGTACGGTTCGTACGACGAGGCGTGGGGCGATAACATCGTGTGCCGGACCATCCACCTCGTGCTCACCCAGGTGCGGCCTGATGTGAGTATCCCCACCACTTGGCCATCTTATCAGACCGGCTCGGATCTAACCCAATGCAGGTTCATTGTGCTCACGTCGGGCGAACGGGAGGCGGCAAATGCGTCGACGTGCCGTATCCCGAGAACTACTTTTCCGACGAGACGTTGTACGGGGAGCCCCCGGGTCAGACGTTTATGTGCCATAATGATTGACGACAATCCACGATGATATGAGACGAGAAACGGGAAACGCTAATGGGAAATGGAAAACGACTTAATGTGTACACGTAAATAGAGCTTACGACGAGATGAGACATGAGGGGTGGCAGCAATTGATTTCTTTGACGCACAGTTTTGTGCCACGACGCAAATCCGGACTCGTATCTGATGGTTCACAAAATAAATGCATTTCCATGACTCCCAACCAAACCTTCCATTTCCCAAACCTGACGCAGCGATGCCACGACCCGACCATTATGCCGAACCCCATCAGCAAACTTACCGCACGATAGCGTTATATCGGCGGTCTAGCACTTGGCCACTCGCTCATCTCCTGCCCTCGATGCACCCGCTCTTCATACTCCACAACCACCTCCTCAGTCGCGACAATCTTGCCCGGTGGCGGCGTTGGCGGTAAATCCACGCTGAACGAGCTCCCCCGTCCGTCTGCGTCCCCAGGTACTGACATCTCCTCTTTCGTAACAGCACCGCCGCGCTCACTCACTCCGACCACCAAACTCCACCTGCTCAACCCGCTCAGCCGACTCAGCCCGCCGACCGAACCTCCCCCGTCCTGCGATGCCTTCCCTCGATGGTGGCCACGAACACACGAACGAGAATGAACCCGCGCCTCCCGACTCCACCTCGACGCCGACGAACTCACACTGGCACTCCTCCCCCGACTATGACTATACTGCCCTGCGCTGCTCACCACGGTACTACTCCTGCCGACCCTTCCAGCCCCACCCGCATACATTTCCCCCCCGAGAGCAGGAAGAACACCATCACCACCACCACCCCTACCACCCTCCATAGACCCCAACTCCCGAAAAGAGTGATAAAACCCCACCGTCCCCGGCGGCGCGGGACGTGCGTCGCGGAGGAGTGCCCGCAGGATCGGGATCGATGCTGCCACGACTGTGATGGCTGGCTCGGCTGCGCCTAGTATAACCAGCATGGTTGTTGATTCGGTGAAGGTTGCGTTGGAGATTGTCGGGAGCTGGGAGGTTTTGGCGATGGAGATTATTCCTGCGCTGTGGCGGAGAAGGGGGTTAGTGTTGGGCGTTGGGGTGGACTAGAATGGGGGGACTAGAATGGGGTGGATGGGGATGGGGCAGAGGCTGGGGTGATGAACGAAAGCAACCTACAAAACACCCATGCTCATCGCCACCATCACGCCCACCTTCTCCTTCCGGTTCATCGTCAACGTCCAAATAATCTTCCACGGGACCACGGCCAGGACAATATCCATGGCGCCCGAATATACTACTAGCTGTCAGTACCATCTCCAATCTGTTGCAAACACGCATCCACTCACCGGCGGTAAAGATGTTATACCGAATTTGTATCTCCTTTGACCAGCAGTTTCCCTCCAAAAAAGGGTGCCAAATCTTCTCGATCGGCGTGCACTGCGCCCAGGTAATAGCAATGGCCACCCCGAGGCAGGCATTCACCGTGATGATGAGAAACCAGACAAAGGCCTTGGTCCACCCGGACGAGATGCGCAGCACAGTGACGGCAAACGATGTCTTGCTCCACAGCGCGGCGAGGATGGAAAACGAGCCGGCCAGGTTGGAATATAAAAGGTACACGTCCAGGTTGTTGAAGTCGAACTGTCTAAACGGCCGGCCGAAGCCGAGGTTGACGGAAGCCGAGATGAAGGCGCAGGCTGCCACCAGAGCGATCTAGACATCTGGGGGTTAGGCCACTGGAGTTGGAATGCTACCAAGTAAGACTCGGAGCACTCACCCATGATCCAATCAAAAGATAATCGTCCCACCATAACCCCCTGTGTCTCAGAAACTTGCAATACACACGCAGCGCCAAGAAAGCAGAAGACAACGCCGTCAAGAACCATATCACGAGGTTGATCTGCGGGCCGAGGTTCGTCGAGGCGGGCAGTCTGGGGGTGCTCTCCTGGTCCTGCACCCCGTCCATATCCGTCACCACCATCCCCGCAGTGTTGTTTTGGAAGCCCGTTCCATGTTGGCACAGCGGCGAAGAGAGTACGGTCGACGAAATCGTGGACGTGGGAAACCCGGTCGCCGAGACAGCGAGGTCCGTCATCGGAGGACGGGGGCAAAGCCGCCAGCAGGCTGCAGCCTCCTCTTTCTAGACGACGACGACAACGACGACGGCAACGCAGCTCGTCTTGGCGGCAGTGTCATTTGCAGTGAGGGGGCGGTTGCGGGGCTCAGAGAGTGGACACCGGGGGAACAAAGACGGCATGAACATCGAGATATTATACAAGCCCGGGTCATGAGTTCCCCGGACCACTTTCTCGGCTGCTACCGATTCAAGTGCCGATATACGGGGCAAGCGAGACGCCTAGCAGCGATCCCGTTGGAACAACCAGGTAATATGGCGAATGGTGCCATGCAATAGCGCTCGGGGAGCGAAGAAAGGGGATTAAGGGTGGCGTTCCCTGCTCAGATCCGGGGAACAAAGCTTGTCGAGGCTACTTTAACGAAGTAATAGCAAAAGACTGACAATAGTGAGACATGTCAAGCTAGCTGCAAAGTTATGGGACGCCGGAGCTCGGACGTTTTGCTTGTCTCACAATGCCAATCCTCGACACCTGGAACCCCTTTCCCCGGATCGACGCAGGCACTCGGCCGTCATGCATCGGCTCCGGGCCAATCATTCACCATAAAACCACCAACTCGGATTCGGACATCTCAGATCGCGATTGGGTTGGAGACTATTTTGTTAGACATCTCAAGGCCCGTGTCACTTCCTAGTGCTCGTCATTCCACCTCCGAGATATCGAGGTAGTGGTAGCGACAGCCACCACCCCCCACCCCCCAAGCTTGCTTTCTTTCTCTCAGTGTATATTTTTACCTGGTAATTAGACATCCGAGTTTGCCGGGTCTATATGTATAAAGACCATGCAAAGTGGTTAATTAAATTAATCCAAGGTGTTGGAGTATGATATACATCGGTCTCTCACAGCCTGCCTTGATCCGATTCTCCACCAACCCGTTGTTGACACCCCTTGACTGTCTATTAAGCAGTTTACTGTTGTATTCTGTGACGACAAGGGGAAAAGCCAGTGTTTGTGGAAAAGTTGGTTGACACTGTTGCTGGCCATGTCTTTTTCTTTTGACTCAGATCCTGGACGGTCCCTTCCCACTTCCTCCCTTTTTCTTTTTTTTCGCAAGCACCAACAGATGCCCGAGGTTTGTACCTTCCTATTCAATGCCATGTATTCACAGTCACCACAGTGCGATGGGCGAGATGGTATGGTTGGTGAGGCTTGGCTTTGTGACAGCCTAAGAACCAGTGAACAGAAATGGTAATCGGTGACCACAGTCTTTCGTCACAACAGTAAACACCTGGGCAGCTTCCATATACCCATTCACATGACCGACTTGACCAGCCCTAACAAATAAAAGCCGTAGTGTTGTAAACGTTCCCAACCCGATTCTCATTCCCCATCCAATTCCCAAACAACACCATCTCACATAACTTCAAAGATCCTTCCCGTCCTTACAGCCCCGTCTCTGTCCCTCGCAGACCTTTTGTCAAGTACCATCCATCTTCCTACACACCTTTTCAAAAGAAATAAGATGTGCTTGACCATCTTTTACATTTGTCCCCACTGTACATCGCGTTGCGGCCGGTCAAAGACCATCTCCAACCACGGGGAGGACACGTGCCCTGGTATCATTGAGCAAACCCGGCTCATGAAGCCTCCGCACTTCGTGGACTGGTTTTGCGAAGGCCGCAATTGCCCCTACAGTGAAGAGGGCCGGAGGAAGACCGAGGCCGAAGAGCGTGCCCTTCTCAAGAAGCAAAAGGCGGCCGTCGCACACCGGATATCCCTCGCCTCCCCCTCCACCAGCCGTAAGTCGTCGAACCAACCAACCACCAACCACCCTAGATATCACTCGCTAACACTCTCCTCCCTTCCCCCCTCAGGCCAAGGACCCGTCCCCCGCGCAGAGTCGCACGACTCCGACGACACGGAGGACACGGAGGACACGCAGATGAAGGACCTCGGCGAAGACGAGGCAGCCGTCGTCCCCCGCGCCGAGTCGCACGACTCCGACGACACGGAGATGTCGGAGGTCGGGGAAGGCGAGGGAACCACCGACATGCTCGAGCCACCAGTCGACGCGGCAGCCGAGGCAGACCAGGAGGACCGGGAAGCGACGCCACGTGCGGCGGCACGGCCGGGGCAGACGCGGTGCGGGTCGGAGATCCCGATGCCGGCACCGCCGCCGTTGACCAATCGCCACCCCAACCTCCGGCCGGCGTGGGCACGGTCGGGGACGGCGAAGGACGGCATCGAGCAGTACAAACTCAACTTCGACGAGGAAACGTGGGCCCAGATCAACGCGCTCGCCTCCACCACCGTCAGCGGCGCGTCCCTCGGCAACTCCTGGGAAGGACACGAGGAGAGGTTACTCGTTCTACTGCGCAACTGCGGCGTGCCGTGGGCCTACATGAATGTGAGTGCTTTCCTAACTAACCCAGGGCCTGGTTTGGAACGGGCAGCCGGCGAACTAATATGGATGCTAACATTGAGTGTTTCTTTCCTCTTCTAGTCGTTCATCCCGCGACACACTACCTACGGATGCAAGAGCCAATATAGCCGTCTGAAGAGGAATGCTTCGCTGTATAATGCACAAGAGTGAGTTTGGAGGGGACAAAGTGCGATGCTTGCACTTTCTGGGGGAGCGGGAGGTGACGTTGTCTTAATAAATGCCGGCTCCTGGTAACTGCTCGCAGCCACTGTTAGATGATAGAGGTAAGTTAGCAACTCAGACCTCCATGAAGACTCTCGCATTTCTGAAGTAAACTAACCTACCTACTCTCCCTGTATCGCAGCACTACCTGTACCGAACCCCCAACAAAGCGCCAACGCATGCACGACGCGCCAAACTGAGAGTTTTGCGGGTTCTGAAAGGACCCGGTTACCTAACATCTGAGGATGAGTTTGACGAATGAAGAAAGGACTTGAGATTGAGAATGAGCCGGACAACGATGAGTGTATCCCGGAATAATCAGCGCCCAGCCAGTTTATACAAGATCAAGCATGTGCTGGTTGGCACTTGTCAATCAATGAAGCTTGTGGAGGTGGAAGAGACCGGTCGAGGGTGGGACTTGAAAGGAACGCCTTGATTAAACCGGTCAATGGTTGGGAAATTACAACGGCGGTCAATGACTCATAAATGGAAGGGGGAAGGAACGGTGACTTGAGTCGGAACTGTTCAATCTCTGGGGGCAACGGGGCATGATTTCGACGGCCTGTTCCTGCCTAGTCCGGCAGTTCACGATCATCCGTCGTGTTTTTTATACAGTACGAAAAGCAACAAAATTATCATTCCGAAACGCTCTTTAGGTTATCGCCGATGATTCAGTGCGGAACATTCCGCTGTGGAAAACCCGAAGTACGCTGCATTAATCGCGCCCGCTACCCGTTGCGCTGCCCGTGAAGTGGTTAGTTGACGCCGCGAAGACTGAGTGAGAGCAATGAATGAACTCTAATTAGATAACGGGTACGCATCAACTTGCTGATCTGGAACCGGCTCCATTTTATGCTCAAACAATTCCGTTGCCATTATTTCTTAATGGAGAGGGGAGGTAGATGTTGGGCTTCTGTCCGATCCTAGATTCCCGTCCGTTCCGATCCAACCCGGGCGATGCGCCAATTGAACCTTAGCGACCCTCGACCGATTTAATTCCCAACGCGTCCTTCCTTAGGCTCCAGGTCGACCTCTCAATGCCCTGCTCGATCAGCCACGGCCATCGAAAACATGTGTATCAAAATCAGCTACTTCTGCCCATCTTGCCGCGCCGAACCCAGCAAGTCAAGGACGCTAGAGGACCATTGCGGCCACTGCGGGATCCGTACCGACCTGCGTTAGCCCATGGAGGCCGAGCATTTTCGAGACTGGATCTACCAAACAGCCGGCTGTTGCTACAACCAAAAGAACCAGGCGTGGTGCAGAAAATTGGTCAAGGCGCTCGAGGAGAGCCAGCTTGACACAGGCATTAGTGACTATTATGAGTCTGATGGCCGCGGTGGGTTCCATCATCGCTATGCGTTCTAGCTTTGAAAGCTGCTAATCCTGATCCTTTTTCGCTCTGGCGATACAGTTGATGACGACGAGGGTACGTGCGACACCACCCAAGATGACGTTCCGCAAGGCAACATGGACGTGGATATGAACGACCCCAAGGGTGATCCTGCCAATCTCGCTGTCGACGCGAACCCGGGCCACCCCGCTGCCGGCATCCATCAAGAAGGCGACATGGTTGCTGAAAACGCCCCTCATATGAATACTGAAAACGCCGCCCCTCGCCCTGTCGTTTCATCCTACCGGCGCGTGACCCTCGACCCACAGACCATGGCCAGAGTCGATGAGCTGCTGCAGAAGATCCCATTCGCTGCGCGGTTCATCGGCTCTAATACATGGTCGGGCGAAGAGGAAGAGCTCATGGAACCCCTACGCAGCCACAAAATGAGCTACCGTCAGATCGCAGAGGTAAATGAGCAACTCAGGCTTCTCCGAAGAGTCTCGTATTGCTGGAATAAGACTTACCAACCATCCCTGTCCCGTAGGAGTATATGACCCGACACACCGCCAGTGGGTGCACGACGCGCGCCACGAAGATGAGATTGCGCGCCAAGAGGTGGGAAATGATTCGGGAGTTCGCCCGCTGGGCTCCGATCTTGGTGTCCCGGCAAGATAATGATGGCGCGGGTTGAGCCTCCTCCGACGGCGTGGGCTGCTTTGGTCGAGGGAGGAGGGAGGAGAGGAGGAAGAAGAGGAACAAGAAAACGCGGATCAGAAAACGGGCGAGGGAGGTCAAGCTGAGCGAACTCGAGCTGGTAAGGTAATAAAGACCAATCCTCCCTTCCACCGTTTTCAAATTGCTGCCATGAACATGGAAGTTATTCGAGTCTCTGATGAAGAAAGTCACCGTCACCAACTTGGTAAGTTTGAGCAGTGGTGGCGCAACCTTGTGAGGGCGGCTGTTCCAGTTTTGTGTCTAATTGTGTGCATGACCAGCCGTTGCCTGGTCGCATGGCAAAGAGAACACGAGGGCAGAAGCGAGACTGGACGGAGAACAACCATAAGTCGATAAGCCAGCATGACAACAATTCACACGGTATTTTGTGTCATTTTAAGCCTTCCATGGTTGCTGATTAACTAGTTACCTTCCTTTCTCCTTCCTCTCACTTTCCTTTCTTCCAACTCTACTGAAACCGTTCTCATCCATTCTCGTCCGTTCCGCTATCCACTATCCACGACCCAGCACGCCAGTCGACACCAAACCAGCTAGTCATCAATATGTGTGTCACCATTAATTACACCTGCCCACGCTGCCAGATCCCCTCTGGTGAATTTATCGAATTCAAGTGCGCGAAATCCCAAGCCTTGAGATGCTTCAGCAACAGAGAGCTACGGCGAGGGCTGCGGATCTCGCACCTCAGGGACTGGTATTGTTCTACTGAGGGCTGTGAATACAGCCGAGAGGAGGAAGAGAAGGTTGATCAGACAATAAAAAGCATTCTAGAAGGTCGGTCTAAGAATTTCCTTTTCCACGGTGGGCCGAATCAGTTACTTGTGGCACATTGAGAGCTCTTCCCCCTCCGCTGATAGTACCTTTCCGCTAATACCTTTCCGTGTGCAGGCAACAACTCCGTCCTGGAGAGTAGCGAAAGCCCCAGAATCAAGAAGGAGCGCAGCAATCGGGACGTCATGGTCATGGAAGACTCGGACATGATGGACATGGATGACCGGGCACCCCTCAAGCCTCCGACTCCCCCGTCGCCGCAGCCGCCCCAAGCTCCGGCCCCGCCCCCGTCCCGGGACATCAGCAGCGGCGTCGTGCCAGTTTTCTTTGAGCGCCGAAGAGGCCGACGCCCATCAGCTCAAGCCCCGGCCGGCGAGCGCCCACTCTTCGTCGTACGTGGCCAACCAACAATCCTACCACCACGCGGCCAGCCGCCACCCGGAGCCCAAGGTCCACCCAACCTCTCCCGTTTCGACGCCGCCGACGCCGCCAACATCAACCGACTACTGCAGATCATCCTCCCCCGCATAAATGGAAAGAAGAATCATCGCTGGTTGCCCGAAGAAAGCGAGCTGCTCCTGTTTCTCTGCAACGAACCGTTCAAGATGCGTCCCGGGGATCTCGCCGAGGTAAGTCAATCCCCCCAACCATCCGGCCCTCGGGCACCCCGTCGTCCAGCTGGCGGCCCCGGATTGAGTTCGCACTAACGTATCGGTCATCCTTTGCTCTATATAGCAGGGATACCTGCCCCACAGAACCGCGAACGGCTGCGAAACCCGACGCTCCAGATTAAGAAAGGAAGAGCAAGAGCACGTGTAGGTTGGGGGTGTTATGCAGAGAGGCTGTGTGCTGTCTGCGTGGCTACCTTACCTACTACCAAGGTACCTTACTCAACGCGGCTGGGCCAAATGATGGTAGTCGACTTCAACGTCCCATGAAGATTGACCAGTTGAAACCTGTCTTTCCGGCAGCACATGTCAAGAACGATGGTGGGATTATCAGATTTGGAGTTGTTACGGGCATTAAACTATCATGATCTCGAGGGATTGGCCTGCATCCGTGTCTTTAGCTACAGGTGTACAATACAAATATTGAAGCCAACACTGACTATCTTAGCGAATATCAACCCACTTACCGGAAAATACCAATCGTCCAACTGTTTCCGAATCTTTATTATCAATTGTTCCATCCAATTCAAACTACAAATTACCGGCAATCATCATCGGATCTACTCTTGCACTGACCTCAAAGCCCCGGAGAACAACGGCTTAACCCCCCTCTCCAGGCAGTACCTGTGCTCCTTGCGCAACGCATACTCCACCGCGTCCGTCAGGGTGCCCGAAACATGGTGCGGCCTCGTCTGCGGCTCAAATCTATACGCCGACCACATCTGCCCACTCTTCTTCGGATCGATCCTAACACATCAATACTCCACCTCCTCGCCTCCCGATCAAGCAGCACCTCCACCCTATCACTCTCCGCCCCAAACCAAATCTCCCTCCCCACTGGCACCGTATACACCGTCCCCAGAAACGGACGCCACCTCAAACTCACCTCCTGATTCACCACATCCAACACCCCATCCACAAACCCCACCGTCACCCCATCACACCCCAACCCAGGCACACGGCACCTCACACGGCAACCGCCTCCCCGTCAAACCCCACCACCTCCGAGTCCCCTCCAACATCCCCAACCAATCCCCCCCCCCCCCTCCCCCTCCTCATCAGCACCACCCACCCAAACCTTCCCGTCAGTTCCGCCCCCGACACGTACAGCCGCGGCTGCCTGTCAGGTGCGTGGTCGTCGTCGTCGAGGTGTGCGAGCCTCGTGCGCGAGTGCGTGCCGACGTACCCCGCCTGCGACAGCAGCACGTCGGTCAGCACACGCATGTCGCGGGCCCAGTCGCGCGTCATCCAGTAGACGAAGACGGCGGCGGCGATGTGGATGGGGGGGCCGCCGTGGAAGGGGATTTAAGGTGGGGTGTGGTGGTGGTGGTGGTGGTGGTGAACTATATGTAGGTGGGCGGGTGGGTACGGTAGATGTGCGGGTAGAGGTTGGTGATGTCTTTGGGGGGTTAGGATGTGGGTGTAGCCGTAGCTGGTGGCGACGGCGCGGGCGGGTTCGCCGCCGATGAGTAGGATGGGTTTATTGTGATAGTGCGGAGCGAAGGTGTGGAAGGGGGTGTGATAGTGCGGAGCGAAGGTGTGGAAAGGGGTGTGTGGGAGGATGATGGTTTGGGTGCTGATGGGGAACCCGAGGCGCTCGGTTAGGTCGCGGGAGACCTCTTCCTCGGCTATGGTGATGTCCCGGGCGACGATGGCGAAGGGGGTTTTGTGCAAAGTTGGAAACAAGCAATGGGCGAATAACCTGTATTCGTACCTCAGACAGCTAAAAACAAATTGCGCCGCGAAATTCAAAAAGAAAAAGCACGACCTAGCACTATATCCACCCCCATAAACAAGTTCAACCATCTCTCTCTACCCACACCAGGTCGACATCGGTAATACATGACATGCCGTCTGACCCCATCGGAACCCCTCGATACCAAACGATTCTATCCACCACATCTCCCGTGCAACTCCCACCGGCCAGTATCCCACCTCCCGTCCTTCAGCCCACCACCAAACTAGGCATTCTCACCCTCCCGCCGACGACGCGCCGGCCGGGTGCCGCCAGCAGCAGTTCCCCGGGTGTTATTTCCGGTCGTACCGGTACGGGACGACGAAGACGGGGCCGCAGGATTGCCAGACGCCGCAGGCCTCGACGTCGGGGTCGACCCCGACGGGGCGGGCCGCTCAGGAAGACGCGTCGTGCCCGTGCGAGCAGCCGGCGCCCGGCCAGCGCCGCCTGCTCCTCCTCCGCCCTGCGAGTTACTGGGCGCTCTGCCGCCGCCACCACCACCGCCGGCAGTGGTGCGCGCCGTGGGAGGCCGTGGTGCGCCTCCGGTTCCTCCCTGTGGATTGGCGGGCGCTCGGCCGCTGCCGCCGGAGGTACGCGAGGTTGGGGAGCGCGGGCCTCCCGCGCCTTGGGCAGCACCTCCTCTACCTGCGCCTTGGGTAGCACCCCCCCTGCCAGTGCTCTGGGGAGCGCCACCCCTGCCGGTGCCGGCGCCCGCCGAGGCACGGGGGGTGGTTTCGGCTGCGGGGGCGCGGCTACCCGTTCCCTGGGAAGCGGCGTTACCGCCCCTGGCCGTGCCGGTGGTCGTGGTAGGGCGCGGGGTTGTTCCTGCTGTGGGACTCGGAGTGTCGTGCTGCAAAACACGACCCTCACCGGGAACAAAAGCTGGGCGTGCGGGCTGGATAGCAGACTGTTGCGCCGGGGGGGCAACTCCATTCCGCAAAGCTTGCTCGCGGACGTTGATCTGCGCCTCTGTGAAAGTCTTGCCGCCCTGGTAGGATTCATGGCACCAAGTGAGGTAGTTCAGGAACCGACTTCCGTGGCAGGTACCGGGAAGCTTTTTGATGCACCCAGCGAGTTCCTTGCGTAGCTCTTCGGCGCTTGGGTACGTCTTCCGGGTCTTGGCCCCGTCAAAGTCGTATCTCATCGCGCTTAGATGAAGCCCGACAGCGAGAAGAATACGATGGCCGGTAGTGATAGGCGATAGAGCTCCCGCTTGGCGGCGGAATTCAACCGTCCCAATCTTCGTAAATGCCGAAAAGTTAAACGAGGTATACCGGTCGCCATTGATATCGCCACCTTGTATCTCCTCGAGAAACCTAGTCTCGCCCCTATCTCCGGCAGCCAAACTATCCAGTTTATCAAAGACTGGCCCCCAGCCCTTCTGCGGAACTGCTTCATATTCTTTGGTCGTACAAACCTTATGATTCGCAACGGCATAAGGGGTGTTGCGACGATCCTGCGGGAGGTATTCGTATAGAGCCGCTTCCCAGAAAAATGAAGCCTTTGCCATCCTAACGAGTTCTGCCGTTTTGTAGCGGTTTTCCCTGGATATGACCGGTCCAGGAGAGATGTGGACGTGGCAGCCGCAGAAGTCTGTAGTGTATATGTCGAAGGCTCTAGACACTGCCATGTAAACCATATCTATCTCCTGTTGCCATTGCTTGCTCACCGACATAGGTGGTGAGACAATCTCGACCGCCCCTATACCACTATTAGCCTACTTATTAAAAATAGATAGGAGATGCCGGGAATACGTACACCACTTTCTAGCGTCAGGAGGTAGCGCGAGCTTCCGTTCCGACAAACTTGGATCGTACGTGCAACGCCATCCATTGTTCGGGCCCAATATAGTATCGATTTCTACTTGGACAACCGAGTTGACGACATCGATCCGATGAAAAACGGCTCCTATTTCCCCTGCGCGGTCCGGGGGGTCGTTCTTAAGGTCGAAATCCCACTTTCGCCACCACTCCGGTAGCGACGTAGGGTTCGTTCTTTGCTTTTCTCTGGTCAAAGCCTCAATGCTTGGTTTGACCTTGATAAACATCTCTATTTCCACACCAAAAAGCGGCAACCGTTGAGCCGGCGCAGGTCTGGCTGTACTGGCGGACATTGTTGCAAGTTGCTAGATGTTGTGAAGGTGTAGCGGAGGAATATGTTAGGGATGTTGCTAGGTTCTCAATGTTGAACGATGGTGTTTACGATGCTGGCTACTATTTGAGGATGTTTGCATAGAATATGTAGTTTTATAGCAGGAAACGCTACACCCACGACGCCCGTTCATTTGTCACCAATGCAAACCAACTCACACCCTATTACCCCACCTGAATCCATACCGAGTGCTTAGTGCTCCCGTAATAGGCAATCCTTCTACGGCTAGTAGCTAGGTAGTCAGCGTGTTGAACAGCGTCGCGGCCTTCGACTAAGCCAAAGCTTTGTAGCCGCCGTCTGATCAATGTTGTAAGACGCTCCCGGGCTCGGAGCCGAAGATAGCACAGTGCTTCAGCAGGTGGAATGCATTTGACTACAATGTGGGTAGGACTCCGCATCCGTGCCCCGGGGTGCGCGGGGCGACGGTAGCTGGGTGTAACCCCTTAGTTGGGTTGAAACACCATGAACCCACCGAGCACTCCGTTGCTTATTGGGGAGGCCGAAAATGGTTTCAGATGGAAAGCGATAAAGTATATGTTCGGCTTACCCCCCCACCGCAAAAGAATAACCGAAATAAGCGCCGGTCTTTCGTTTCGGCGCCCTCAGTTCTGTTGGAAACCAGCGACAGCCATGATTCCACAGTTATTACACAAATGATTGGAGCTTACAACAGTGGGTTTTAGATCCTCCGAGCACCCCAGTAGACCTCAATTCAAGGTTATTCTTCCTCTTCTCCTCCGTAACGGGCATCGCCCTAACCTCTTTTTCATACCTTACTGTTCAGCCCCTAGAACCCCTCTAACAGTAGCGCATCGGCAACCAAGCTTCCGACTTTCAAGTGCCACAACTTCTAACACACCCTCTTAGTCGAACCCGCCATGGTGATACTGATTGTTCTATCCTTCTGAATAGCTTCATGTGGCACTGTCCTCCTTTCTTCGTTCTGCAAGCTTCTCTCGCACGTCCACAAGTCCCATCTACTCCCTAGAACTCTCAAACGTTCCCTGTACCAGTGCCTTTGTGAGTCCGTCTGCCATCATCTTGGCGCTCTCCGCGTACACCATGTCAATGTTCCCACGCGAATGTTCCTGGGGCAGCTGTTGGTTGTGGATAGCCACGTGCCGAAGGCTCGTCTTCAGCTTCGAAAGCTCCTCTGGCTGCTCTCTTCTCATATACCCACCGACCAGGGCGCAGTGCCTCCCACGGGCTCTGGGGTGGATTTCCCAATCCCGCAAAACTCATTTGTATGGGTTTCGCTAAAAATGGGCTCACCTGCTCGCAGCCGCGCGGATATGTAACACGAGCAGCCACGAAGGCGACCCGGCAGCGGCACCTCCCAAACGGCCTACCCTGCACCTCGCCCACCTACCAACCCACCGACCCTACACCCACCACCTACCGAGCGGCCTACCCTATACCTCCTAACCCACCTACCCTACACCTCGCCCACCTACCAACCTACCTACCCTACACCTCCTACCTCCTAAACGACCTGCCCTAGACCTCTATCTCCCAACCACAGTTGTTCTCGCATCCAATGGTAATACATAGCGCATCGAGCTCGATGCCTAGTTGCTTGGGTATGCGGCTTTCGTACAGACCTTCTTTGGCTGCTTGCGAGAGTGAGAGGAGCTCAGCTTCTGTGGTGGATGTCGTAACGGTGTCTTGTTTGTTAGCGCGCCACGCGACGAGGCCGCCGAAGAACTTAATGGCGTATCCTTGACTGCTCTTGCGGTCGAGCGTGTTGTCGGCATGTGGCGATGCGCAAGTCGTTCGCACCTCCCAACTAGAGAGCAAGAGTGCTGGTTTGACTCAAGTAGCAGAGTACTCGGTCTGCGGCCTTCTGATGTTCCGGCCCTGGGTCCGTCATGAAGCGTGCGAGTCTTGAGGCGGCAAATGCGATGTCTGGGCGCGTGATGACGGCGGTGTGGAGTAGTGAACTGATTTTGCGAAGATAGTCTGTGGTCTCATGCGTGGTGGCAATGCCATCGAATGGTAGGGGCTCTTCTTTTGTTATTGGAGAGCGTGCGGATGGTCTTGACTGTGCCAATGATGCAATTTTGTCGATGTAAGAAGACTGCGAGAGCCAGATCAAGCGTTTCTAGCGGTCTCTGTAGACCTCGATCCCCAGAAACCAAGGTTGCAGGTCGTCTCCTCCAGTTAGTTCGTAGCGCTCCTTTAGCTGCTCGGCTCTGGCAATTCTCTGCGGCGGAGCTTTTCTCCAGTTTTTAAACGGCGCTCAACAGCTGCCTTCGTGATGCCTTTTCACTTTTCGGTCTTAACCACCGTCGCTCTCATGCCGGCATAGAAAGCGCTTTCCAGCAGTCCGCGGGAGACATGCTCCTCGCTTGCGCGGCGGGAAACCCACGAGCTGCGTGTGCGTGGAACGCGCCGTGTTGAACAGCAACAGAACCCTGCGAGAGCGCCTCTCTGGCATTCCCAAGTGTTCCTCCTGGCAGAGCCCCATATCCATTTGGTGCGCGGACCCAATCAACACTGCAGCCAACAGAGCAGCTGGTGGAGAAGGGGGTGGCGTAGGAAGAGGCTCAACCTGCGTCACGGTATGAAGCTTTCCCACTGACTCGCTGGTGTTTTGGATGGCTGTGGGAGCCATCGTGGATTTTGAAGCGACGACAGCTTCTGCAGGAATGGGAAGATAGCGATCGCCATCGCAAGAGCTTCCCGGAGCTTGGCCGGTTTGCAGGCGAGAGGCTCCTTGTGTCACAGCTTGGCCGGTTTGCGGGCTCTTAGAGGCTGGCCGTGCCTGCATGAGGAATCGGTTCCACAGCTTGGCCGGTTTGCGGGTCAGAGGCTAAGAAAAGAAACAGCGAGAAGAAAGCCCTTGGACAGTCACGTGGCCCCTCACGTGACTCTCAACGTGCGCGCGAAATACAGGGGGTGGGGGGTGAGCAGCACAAACTCATCCATTGCGGGTCATGATGTTGATTGTTAAATGACTTAATTCATGTGTCTATTTTCTCAACTCGCTGTATTATCCACCTCATTAGCCATTCGTCAATCATCATGTATCACGACGTTTCGGCCTTCCTCCCTCGGTCGGTGAGCAACAAAGGTGATAGATTTGGGAAACAGCCCAAGAAAGCGAGATTGCCTCTCCTCCTTCCAACAGTCATGCAAGGCGCCCCGGTCGTGTCGGACAGTCGCCTTTTGCGCCTGCCACCCGAACTCTTAGGCGACATAGTGGATCTAATCGCGGATGACCACGCCACTCTCGCTGCATTGGCCTTAGTGAACAGCGATTGCAGACAGCTGGCTCGTTCCTGCCAATTCGCAGAGGTCTGTTTTGACTACGGGTGGAAGTCAAGTCAAATTCTGCTTCTCCTGTTGGCGGAAACCGTTGTTCGGCATGGTGGCAAGGCCCCGAACGGATGTCATGCTCTCCGCCCGCCCTTTGTCGGGCCTTGCATTCGCAGTGTTACGGTTCATCCTCGCCCAGAATATGTCGCTCAATGGCAACCTGATCTTCGCGCCTCTTGTTTGGGAGAGAGCTCCGATCTCTCTGAGGAGCAGCGCGATGAAATACGGAAGAAAGTCCTCGGTCGGTACATGACGACATTCCGCGATCCTGTCTTGGGCGTCCTGGAAGAAGCAATACCCAATCTCGAGACACTTTCATGGTGTGATCCCATGTGTCTGGACGACGTCTCCCTCGGAATCATCACATCTCTGCCCATACGACATCTCAAAATGTCTAGGGCCCCGATAGGGGAGTCAGTTCCTCTTGAACAGCCGCTGGCTCCGGCAGCGTTGCCTCTCGAATCGTTATTGTTTGGCGCCCACACATGCATTGACGACGTTCACCGAGGACGGGCCGACGGCGCCAACTTCTGGAAATGCTGTCCATCGGTGTCTCTCATAGCTTCTCTTCTCCAGCGTTGCAACACCACTCTTCGGACTCTCAGATTTGACCACATGGCTTTTAGCGGCGAGACGTTCATTTCCTTCGGTCCGGAACATATGGAGTTCCCCCGTCTCCGGCAGCTTTCCCTATCCTCCGTCTACGCCGACTTCGATTCGATGGCTTGGTCTTCACTCCTGTCCGCGCCGCTAAGGCACCTTGCGTTGCCCGCCCCGGTAAATAAAAATGCACACCAGACCTTATCCACTTGTCGGCCTTTCTGCGGCCTTGAGACGCTGGTGGTGCCACTTCTCGGCCCGGAGGGTTCGGCGGGGGCACAAGCTATTATCGACTTCGTTTCACGCCATCCGCACCTTTGCAGACTGTCGGTCGGTTTCGGTGTGCCAAAACTCTTGGATTCATATCTCCTTCCCCGCCTTTCTGACGGCAGATGGTCGAACCTCACGTCCCTGTCGTTGGCGTGGTGTCAGACCGGACCGCTGAAAGAAGGAGCGGCAGACATTGTAACCATTCCCGCAAAGTCGCTGGCTGCCATTGGAACCATCACCTCATTGGAGCAGTTACATCTAAGTGCCGGCATACCCGCGGGATGGCGCCACCAGTGGTTGGTCGATCATGACGTGGTGCGGTCGAACCTTGGAGGGTTGACAAGGCTGAAGAAACTAGCCTTGTCGCGAGATACATATCTGGTGCCTGGTGGCTTGCCTCGTTCTCGATTGGAAGCGTACTACGAAGATCGATTCCCAACTCTGTCGGACCTTGATGGTGCGGCGGAATGGCATGAAGACGCAAGCCGGGACACTGCTTTCAAGATTTGGGAACACGCCCATCGCAAGCGCATGGTTGAGGAAGCAAACAAGTACGCAATTCTGTTTCAAGGGCTAGAATGGATCTTATGCGGGCAATGGCCGATGGATATTCGTAAGGAGCAGACATCCGGCGCCATCAAACGCTTTGCTGTGCCTTTAGGCGAGGAGAGAGATTCCTGTTCGACGTTCCTCCGTCGGATATTTGCAATGGGGGATGATGATGAGTTTTAAATAATGTATGGTACACATATAGCACCATCGTCTTCCACAGTAGAGTCAGCAATCCTGGGGAGAGTTCGCCTCAAGGCTGCCAAACAAATCCTTCCACTGTCTAACATTTCACAACGAGTTTGATTTTGCGGCACAACAATGGTAGAATACATGTTAGCCTAGCTACAGGAAACCTACCTACTCAAGCAACGGTCCTTTGCCCTGCGCCTCCAGCTCGGCACCCTTGCCCCCGTAGTTCACCGGCAGCTTCTCACCCAGCGCAGACACCTTGCTCTCGCCAAACTCGACGGCCAAGTTGCCGCCGTTGGACATGGGGTGGAACTTCTTGATAGTCTTGGGGGCGACGAAGAGCTTCATGAAGGCGTAGACGAAGCCCATGATGGCGGGGACGTTGACGAAGAACTTCTCCTTGAGCAGCTCCGGGTAGTTCTGGGCGAACACCTTGATGGTCTCGGCACTGGCCGACTTGACCTGCGGCGACTGGCGCAGGAAGCTGATGGACTTGTAGTCGTGCACCTGGAAGATCTTGTACGGGTCCTCCTCGGCCGTGATGGGCTTCGTCGCCGACGCGAGGTCCAGCTCCTGCAGCGCGAGCTCCATCAGCGCGACTCGCCAGTCGAGGAACCTGGCGGGCGGTGTTAGCAAGCGGGTCCATTAGAATGAGGACTCATACCGTTCCCAGGGTGCTCACTCTTCCAGCTTCCCAAAGGTCTCGTCAATGGACTTGACGCCGCCGTAGATGTTCCACGTGAACACCTCCTTGCCCTCCGGCTCGGTAGAGCCGTCCTGCAGGTACTTGGTGACATAGCCCAGGCCGTCGAACTTGGCCTTGCTGAAGGCCTTCTTGACGAGCTCGAGGGGCTTGGTCTTGGCTCGCCACTCCAGGGTCTTGGTGAGCTGGTCCTTGGCCTTGTCAAGGTCGCCGTCGTTGGCATTGAGGTACTTCTGCAGGACGATCCGGGTCGGCACGTGGCTCTCGGGATCGGCGAGAGTTACGCCCCAGACCTCAGGGTGACCGATGGCCTCTGCGGCGGCCCACAGCTGGGCGATGGGGGTCTTCTCAACGGTAGGTTCCTTCTTCTCAGTGGGTTCCTCAACTTTCTTTGTCTCGGTTGGGGCGGCGACCTCCGAGCCAGCTTCAGCAGTGGATGGAGCGTCCGGCGCACCCGCGGCTTCGGGAGCGGCCGGGGTTGCCGGGATTTCCGAAGGCGCCGTAGCGCTGGTGGCGTTGTCTGCAGCAGCAGGTTCGGGAGTGGAGACGGTGTCGGGAGCAGCCGTGGTCGGTGCCGGTTGCTGCTCCGCAGGCTGCTTCTCGGCGGCGCTCATCTTGATTGGCCTCGGACCGCCGAAAACAACAATTATTGTGTCAGTGGAGGGTACACACGACTCGACGCCGTAAAAGCGGCAATGATTGAAAGTTGGCGCACTTTTTGTGGAAGTCAAGATTGCGTGAGCATCGAGGCGCTGACGATTTGTGGGTCGTTTGTGATCTCAAACGAGTGGACCGGAATCGCCCGGAATTGTGCCCCACCATTTCGGCAGCGGCCGAATCTCTCCGACGAGATGGCGAGCGATGGCTCCCAAAAGATTGCCCGATTCGGCGAGCAGAAATCCTAACCCTAATCTCAGTAATCTCCTACTCTCCGAGCTGCATCACCATCTACCCAGCCCAGCACCTAACCACCTACCCTCAACAATTATGCCTTGCCGCATCACCTTTTCCGCTACAACGTCAACGCAACCTCGAGATACCCCCCGTTGTTCTAACTATGGCATCTACCCGTCGGGTTACCATTCACGTCCGCACTCTCCGCGTTCGGCCCGTCACAGTTCAGCAGCTCGTAGGTCCCCTCGGCGCCGCAAGACGGCGCCTGGGTCGAACTGCACGTGTAGGCGCAAGTTTGCAGATCCGTCACGCGGTTCGGCCCCGAACCGTCCTCCCGGGTTGCGTTACTTGCGTCGCCAAACACCAGCATACCGTTGCCCGGCATGTTGACGAGCCGCGACACGTCGACGGTCGCCCATTCCCCAGTAGTGAACTCCCCGAACGTATTCGATACCTGGCCGTACGGGCTCAGTCGTGTTGAGTGGTTATAATTACAGCCCGGAGATGCCTCCAGACACACCGTTTGCAACCGAGATTGCGACGGCATGCCGCGTCCTCTGTCGCAAGTAGCGAGAAGCTGATGTACGGCTGCCGCACGTTCAAAAGGCTGGCCGCATCGTCGCCTTCCTCCTTGTAACTACCATATCACCAGCGTCATGGGCACGCCGGCTGCGTTGACAAGGATGAAGATGTTCGGGCCGTCTACACCGAGCCAGATGCGGCTGTTTGCGGCTTAGTCGTTCCGGCCCTGCGCAAACATGCCGATCGAGGCCATGTGCTCGCAGTCTTGGGCGCTGAGACTGTACACCAGATCTTCGCCAGGCGGCTCCTGATGAGCCACCGAAAGCAATCACACCTGGCGGTAAGTCATTGCGATAAATCTCCAGAACACCGATAGATGAGACAGAATGGGTCTGACGAAGACATATTATCAGAACTTGAAGTGGTTGCGGCTAGACAGCTAAGCACAGGAGCGCCCAATGTCAAGATTTCACCCTTTGCGGAATCATCCAGTCCTCATCCATCCCAATCGACACGGGTCTCAGGCCCGACCATCCATACTCTCGCCGAGCTCGATGGAAACCCCTCGGCGCCGTCGGATGGAATAGCACACTTCAGGGGCGACACATACCAAAGCCCTAACATGTTAAAGGCTTTCACCCACCAACCACAAGTCGTATCTAGCCGCATTTGAGCTACAGCTGTGTAGGACAGCCGGTGGTCATACTTCGACCATCTTCCCCTATAGCCGTTATCATCGTCCTCTGAGATTGACTACTATCTCAATACCCGTAGATCCATGTGTACCGCTGATCACCTCTCCGCTCCGTACTGCTCTGCTCATTGATAAAGTCGTCCTCCGTCCAGTTGGCCGTGGTCTTCTTCCTCTTCCTATTCTCCCACATGTACGCACCTCGCACAAACAGGAACCCGAGCATACCAACGGCACTCAAGATCATGGTGACCGTCAATGGATAGGCGTAGGTCGGGGCATACGCGCTCTTGAACAGCTGTCCGGCGATGACACCGGCCAAGTTGGAGTATCCATTCAAGCCGAGCACGAAGGACCGGGCGGCCTTCCATGGTGTGTTTCCCGCTAGCCACACGGCGACGAGTGGGCCGCTCGCAAACACGCCAGTCAGGCACACGTGAGCAAACCCGTAACGGAGTTTGGGGTCGGATGACGCAACCATGACGGCGCATCCGATCAATCCCAAGAGCATACCGAAGACAGTGTGCAGCGAGCGTTCGTGGAAGTGATCCGACGAGTAGACGAGGATGAGCAGACCGACGACGCCGACAACGAACGGGGGGACGGACATCAGCGTTGCTGTCACGCCCTCGTAGTCCATGCCTTGGATGATGAGCGGGAGGAATGTGGTGAAGGCTGTGACGGGCTGGTTGTTGTACGCATGTTAGTCGAGTCCGCGTCTCCAAAGAAAAACCCTCCCTGGGAGAAACGGAAATAGGGGGCAAAACCGAAACTCACCAAAACAGCCGTGATATTAAACACAATAATCAGCATCTTCCTCCAATCCCTCACCACGTCCAGCAAATCCCTCATCGCCACCCCATTCTCCCTCTCCCCAAACTCCACCACCTCCTGCATCCCCGCCAAATCCCTCTCCATCCTCCCCGCCGCATGCTCCCTCTCCCTCCCCCGCAAGAACCACGCGGTCCCCACCTCCCTCGGCAACACCGCAAACGCCAGCACCCCAACCAACACCGTCACGCCCCCCTCCACCAAAAACACCACCTGCCACCCCCTCAGCACCCCCCCACCCTCCACCTTCAACAACCCGTACGCGATCAACCCCGCGAACGCCCCCGCCACGGCATACATACCCGTAAAAAGCCCCATGCGGAAGCCCAGCGAGAACTTGGGGTACATCAGCGACATGTAGTAGAAGGCCGTCTGCGTGAAGCCGGCCTCGGCCGCGCCGAGGAGCAGGCGCAGCGCGACGAGCGTGGCGGGCGACCGGATGCCCGCGTGCGCCATGCACAGCGCGCCCCAGGCGATCAGCTGGCCGGGGAGGTAGAGGTGCGGCCCGAGGCGGCGCGCGAGGAGCGCGGCGAGCGGTTGGAGCGGGACGTACGTTGCCGAGAACTGTGGTTCATGGTTAGGTACGTTTGTGGTCGCTCGGTTGGGGGTAGGGAGGGGGGGTCGTGTACTAAGGAGAGGGAGTTGGGAATGTCGTCTGGGTGGAGGTTGGCGTCTTGGATGAAGCTGCTCGTTGCTACAAAGCCGACGTTGGTCTTGTCGATGCCGCAGAGCTTGGGTTGGGGTTAGTAGGTGTTGGTAGATGGCAAAACCGATGTTCAGTTGTCTTACAATGAAACTAATAGCTAGGATCAGGAGGACAGTCACATCCAACTTCCGGTTCACCTTCTTGTCCAGCTCTCTCTCCTCTTGGTTGGCCGGAGCATAGTGGGTGACGACTGCTTCAGGCAGGACAGCCTTTGCGTCTTCGATCTCGACCTCCGTAGCGTTTCCCGTCTCGGAACTGGCGATATTGTCTTGAGTGGTCATCTTGACGGTTGAAGAGGCTGTGCCTGATTGTAGTCTCAATGAGATAGGCTACCTTAGGTACCTTACAAACATCGATGGTGACAGTACGATGGGCGGGCATTGGGTAAAAGAACATCCCCATCCCTTCTAACGACAAGGTCATCGGGTGAAGAACAAACGAAGCCCCTCGGTTCCCATCTCCAATGACCAGCCTTCGTTACCATCCCCTCCCCGGGAATTGACATCGGGAAGCCAGTCTCGGACCTACCAAGGAGGGGATTTGGCGGTAGGACCGCCCTCACCACCAAGTTAACCTCATGAGGGGTAGTTCATTAATCGATCGCCCGTGCTTATCACGCGGCCCAATCCTTTTGGCTCGCAAGCTACTACGCGCTCCAATCCCTTGCCTCCTAACCGACCACCCCGGCATTTGGACCCGGCAACCTGGTCGATTGAAGGAAGGCAAGACATTTAGCCGTCTCTTAATACCGAATCTTGCATCCTAAATCTGGGGTTCTTCGACGCGCGAGGTGACTTTAGACGTGATCAATGTCACACTGAGCTCGGGGAAGGAAACGGGTCATCATTTCCGTTACTGTTCCGAAGGTGAGCGTTGAAAAGCAGTGCGTTCCTCTAACCATGTTCGATGGGTTGTGGACTGGTGACCCAGCAACTCAAACCGTCAAATCTCAATGTACAAAATGGCCACAACCGGGGTCAGTACCTGCCCCTTTGCGACGAGCAAAGCGTTGTCCCGGGAACACATCGACACCTCACCAGCTGTCATCAGCGACAACGTGGATGACATTCTCAAAGAGTACGATGTGCTCCGCGAGGCATGCCCGGTGGCTTACACGAACCAATACGGGGGCTACTGGCTCATGACACGGTACGACGACGTCAAGGCCGCCGCACTCGACTCGGAAACGTTCATCTCCTCCGTCCGAGCCGTCATACCATCCGATCCCCGCGGTCTGCGCCGGCCGCCCCTGAACTTCGACGCGCCCAACCACACCCCCTACCGGACGGCCCTGGACCGAACCCTAAAGCCGGCGCGGATCAAGCGTCTTGCCGAACCGCTACAGCTGCACGCTGAGGCGTTGTTGTTGCCCTTGATGCAGAGAAAGGAGGGGAACATATGCACCGAGTTTGCCGCCCAGTTCGCGGCGTGGGTCGAGACGGAGTGGTTGAACCTGACGCCTGACACAGCGCCGCGGTTAGCAAGCACCGCTTCGGCGTGGGTGAATGCCTGGCGACGCATGGACGGGGAGAAGACGACGCAGTTTAGCACACAGCTTTACGACATTGCGCGGGCATTGCTGGCGGATAGGAGGGAGAACCCGAGAGATCCGGAGGAGGATCCTGCTAGCAGCCTCTTGCTGGAGAGGAATAGTAGCGGGGAGCCGCTGGAGGAGATTCACCTTGTGTAAGAGACATTTCCTATGGTCGGGATGGGGATACGTGGGATCCAACTGACAGCAGACAGAGGGTGTATAAGGCAAAGTCTCGTTGTGGGGATGGTCGCCCCACCCCTGATGCTCGGCGGAATCTGTAACTACCTCTCCCAGGATCAAGAGCTCCAGCAGCGGCTAAGGGACGACCTCAGTCTGATCCCAGCAGCTATCGAGGAGTTTGTAAGGCTATTCAGTCCATATCGAGGCTTTGCTAGGACAGTGTCCAAGGAGACAGTCATCCACGGCCAAACGATTAAGCCAGGTGTTCCTATCACGCTCACCTACAGCGCGGCAAATCGCGACCCGGCCGTTTTCGACAATCCTCATGAGTTTGTCCTCGACAGGCCCAACATTGCGATGCACATGGGATTTGGCAGGGGCAGGCATCGCTGTGTCGGCCAGCCCCTCGCCAAATTGTGAGTTCACCATTCTCTCCAGTTCAAGCTACCGTACTGGGTTGCAAACCAGCTAATGAGAAACTCTAGGGCTTTGCAGATTGCATTAAGAACGTTGTTGAAGAACACAAAGAAATTCAACGTCAATGGAGAGATGCAGTTCGCGAGGATGCCTGAAATGGGTATCATCAGCTGCCCCCTCGCGTTCGAGGGGTAAGCAGCCGGAGAGATAGCGTTCGGTGTGATAATGATAGAGACGGGGCCTCTCCAAGGCAAGTGGCATTAATACACTTTCTGGAACATAAACCCAGCTTCATAGTATCGGATCTTAAAGCACGGAAACGTTCCGACGTTTATTTACCGGGTATGCAGCTTCTACCCCTGGTTGGGGTCGAGGGTGGGTCGAAAGCCTTACACGTCTCGCTCCCCAGGCTCGCACGTTTGACGTGTTCACTTCAATGACTTCCAACTTCAGGTACACATTCCCTTGCCATATGTGAGGCGATGCCATCCGTCGACCGATAGTGAATGTGGCTATATGCCCGCGAACTGCCCGGGGATGGGGAGGGAAGACTTCGTTTGCCCGGGGGGCTTTACCCCGAGATCTACCCCCGCATCTCGCTTCCTCGCACTCTTCTCCACACAACCTCCATGGCGCCAAATCATGGGTTCAAGATTCATCGGCCTTGAGAGTGGTAGTGTGATCTTCACAAGCGTATATTTGATGCACCATTTTGGCGAGCCACTCGATTAAGAACCCCGGAACTGCCATGGATGAGGACTTGCCGGAAGCTCGCCTTCAGCGGCTCGATGTTGGGGCCGTCTGCTGTGCTGAGGTACATTTCGACGAGCCTAGGGGCTTCGTCTAGCTAAGTACCCTCCCTTTTCCTCTGCCTGGCTAGTGGCCGACCCAGTTTGTCCTGTCCCTGAAGCAGCTCGCGGATCTGGGGAACTGGTGCCCCACTTGACCACATATACAAAACGCACCCGCTCTGCCGACCGGAATATCTGGTCCCGGGTAAAGAATGATAGGTTCTGAGGCTTGCAAAGGTCGCATCTGCACGAGAACCTCCATAACAAGAGCAGGGGCTAGGGAAGAAGCGGTGCAGCATTCTTGCGGATCCACAAAAGAAGCTCCTTCCATCAATCAACTTCTCGAAGCTCTCGGCCTAGGCGACCCCGACACCTCTCCAGATCCCCGGTGACCCCCGGCGCCAAACCTCACATTCGATGTGTGAATGCCGGCGATCTACGGACGAGCGGGAACCGGCGGAGCGTGCCTATCCGCGGACTATCTTCGACTACATCATGAAGCCTGCCAACCTAGACGATCCGACCGGCACCCGGAACCAGGATGGCTATAAGACATGCCGGCACCCCAAGCTGTGTAGGTGATCAGCGTCTACGCACCATCGCAGTAAATTACCGCCAAGCCGTCACTCAAAAGCTCGCAGCCGGTTGATAACCAAACCACGATGAAGTCATCATTCCTCGCGCTCCTTGCGGCGCCGTTTCTCGCCATGGCGGCACCCCTAGAAAGTCGTCAAGGAAATCCACCTGCCTTTTTCCTCGCCGGTGATTCCACGACGGCCGTCGACGGCGGCTGGGGCGACGGCTTGGTCGCCATTCTTCGGGACGGCGCCATCGGCCAAAACAAGGGCCACAGTGGCGCCACGACAGCTTCGTTTGTTGCCGCGGGCGACTGGGAGACGGTGTTGAGCCTGGTCGAGACCAACAGAGGCAAACATGACTGCTACGTGACCATCCAGTTCGGCCACAATGACCAGGTGCGGACTCTTGCCTCGGACCAAATTCGGGAGCTACTTTCTCCTGTTTCAATGTTAGGTAGACTAGGTTGTTAACATTCCGCTTCGTGCCCCGATGCAGAAATCCAACTCGGGAGTCGGCATCTCACAGTTCCAGACCAACGTCGAGAACATGGCCAACGAGGTCACGGCGGCCGGCGGAACCCCCATCATCCTGACGTCGCTCACGCGCCGCACCTTCAGCGACGGCACGCTAGACGACAGCTTGGCCGACGTGTCCGAGGCGGCGAAGAAGGCGGCCGCAGCCGTCGGCGCCGCCGTGCTCGACCTCAACGCGGCCTCCCGAAAGTACGTCCAGGCCATCGGCTCGTCCGACGCCGACAGGTATAATCTCGAGCAGGGAGACCGCACCCACCTCAACGACCACGGAGCTGCCGTCTTTGGCCGCATGGTTGCCGACCTCGTCGTGAGCTGGGACTCGGAGCTGTCTGCCTACATCACCGCGGACGCCGCGCTGTCCGAGAAGATAGCGCAGGGTGTCTACGCTTGATCGGGGTGAAGGGAAGCAATTGAAAAGTATGGGGTATGAGGGACGACGAGGAGTCGTGTAACCTGGGAATCCCGGCACCGCGCGCTGGTATATCTGTTGCGTATACAGGACACTGCGTTGGGCCATTGTATAGCTGCATGTGTCTTACTTGGCACCTGTTCCACATAGTAATTGGTGGCGCTTCAAGTCCGTGATAAAACGCGAGCATGTCACTTCAATTTGCCTTGATAGAAGGTCTAGGCCAAATCCATCTGATACTCTCGGCGGCCAAACCCTTGTCGCATACGCAAGGCATTTGTAACGTGACTAATGCTCGCAGAAGTTGAAGGGTTCCTATAATTAAAGCCCAGTTAGATGGAGTCCTCACAAGGTTCGGGGCTACTAAAATCACTTACACTTTCGAAGTGGTCGTTCAACTGGTCGTTAAAATCGCTCCGCTCCTCCATCAGACGCTCCCGAAAGTCAAGAGCTTGTTCCCACGAAATGGGGAAATCATCAACCGCGTCCATGATCATATCAGTAATTTCGTTTGGCAGCCCAGGCAAGCCGCCTTCTTTGCGCATCTCGTCCGCCCACCAGTCATGGCGTTGCGGAGGGACATGGGCGGTCGACAAGATTGGGCGGTGCGGATTCACGAGGAACATGGCCAGAATCTTCCTGTGGCCATCGCGGCTGTCGTCCTGCAGCTCAAAAGGTTGAACCTGGTGCTGCAAGCAGTTCGGGAACACGAGTAAGCGACCCTCTCTTGTCAGGACTTGTCCCAGGTTCTGGATGGCTGGCCCCTCCTCCTCCACACCAAAGTAGCGTAGCAAGGAGTCGTATTCGTACTGGTCTGGAATCATCGCGACTTTGTCGGTATCCATAGCTTGGCGAAAAGCCAGATGGCTGTCAGTGATGTTGTCTTGGTCGTAGTAGTAGATGGCGGAAGCACATATCATCTCGTTCAGAGTGCCCTCGACGTGCCACGAGCCACCTTCGTATGATGGATCCTCGGGGGTCAGGTGAATGTTGGCGAGCTTGAAAATAACCTGCAGACCGGCTGGAAAGCGATTCCGGAAACTGATGGTGCCCCTATCTGTGCCACCGGTTCCCACTCCTTTGGCGAGTTCGACCTGGGGAATGTAATTCCGGGGCTCACGGTACAAGAGGATACGATTTGCGCGCTGCCAGTAATGGAAATGGTCCTCGTAGCGCCAATCCTCATCATCGTCGTCCTCGTCGTCCTCGTTATTATCGTCGTCTCCAGGCCCGCTTGCTTTCTCTCCGTCCTCCGTCTCGGCGTCCGCGTATGTATGATTGATAGGATCGAACAATGACCTGCGACCTTGGCGCCCAGGGATTTGGTATTGTAGTCCCGGCGGGTATGTATAGTCGTAGGACCCTGTATCTGCAAGGTCGAACCGGCGGTGGTCGCCAAACCCGTTCAGTGTGTCCTCCCAGAGGGGAATAGTGGCGGCGACGATGCGCTCCAGAGTGCAGTACAGTGATTTGTGTTGCACGGGGTGGAGATTGTTGATATAACTGGTAATCCTGGCGCTGCCATCTGCTGCCAGTTCCACCTGGGTCGGGAGCCACTGAAACGAACCCCACAACTTGGGTGGTGGTGGTTGTCCCCATCTCTCAGCCGCGGGTCGCGGCTGTGCGGTATAATGTGGAACGACGGCCCCCTTGCCTGTGTAGCCGACGCAACCATCGAGCGGGACTGTGCCCTCCTCCAGCGCGCGTGTGAGTCCCCACACGACGGGAAAGAGAGAGGGGTGGACAAGATCAAGGACCTGGTCGTCCGAGTCCGGATGCCAATCCTTCTCATGTTCCGGGACGTCCTCGAGGACCTTCACGCCGACTCGGAGCTCGTCTCGCGTCTCGTTGGAGATAGCACGGTCCGACTTGAGGACGACCAACTCCGAGTCGAGCACTCTGACGCGGCCTGTTTGTTGGAACTGCTCGCTTTTGTCCCGAAGCTCGGCGATGCACTTCGTAGACTATTAGCGAAAACGAAAAGCAATCTTTAGAGAAGTCACGGACAAAGTCAAACATCTTTTGGGACAGATAGACGTCCCCGCCAAGCTCCTCCGGCCGCACGTCAGCCTCAGCCCGCCAGCGGGATACGATGCCTTCGTCGAAGACCTTAGTATCCCAACCAGGCTTGTCAGTGATCTTATTGATGAAATCGAGCATGCGTTGTTCGCGCAGGCTGACTCCACTACTAGACCACGGCTGGCCGATTGCGAGGGGAAAGGAGGCTACGTCCTCTCCTTCATGATCAACCGGCAGGCCAAACCCAGGAAATCGCTTATTCGTTGAGACGGCCATAGCAAGTCGACGATCCACACGGACAGTAGTCAAGCGATAAGAAGGCGAGGTTGCCCGACTAGAGGAATCGGGAGTGAGTGAAAGTTTTCGAACGTGTTGATTCGTGTTTGATTCGATGAAGTCCATGGGCAGTTGTTCTTTCTGCCTGGCAGAAAAAGCCCAACAGCTGGGCAGCGGCCCCACAGGTTCAGAGAAGCCCAACCCCGCCAGGTCTCCCCCCTCCACCACACACACATTCCTTTCTGACCACTCCGCGCCCTTCAGACCTATGATAGGTTAGAGCTCCTGCACGATTCCCCTGTGCTTAATTAACTTGGCTAATTAGGCAATACTGAAGCATCTAGAAAAACTGGATGACGACGACTTCTCTCATCTGTTTCCTTCAGTCAAAGCGATCGTGAAAAGTTGACCATCCTTTTCTTTCTCAACGAACCCGGCAACCACCAATTGAACCCTGCGCGCGGCAGCGTGGGAGATCCATGATTGAACTAACAGACAGGAACACGGTCCGCCGTCGCAATGGCAGATCAGGAAGATCTCGAGAACGATGTCGACAGCGTCGTCCATGACCCGTTGGACGATAGCGAGGACGAAGGCACCGCCTGCCTCAACCAGGACAAGCTGTATTCCGCAAGACACAAACGGACCTACCACGAGATGCAAATGCATCGGCGTCAGTGGACTTGTCGAGGGTGTCAAGCCATTTTCTCGTCACGAGAACACATGGTAGGTCCGCAACGCAGCATGACGGAGGCTGGCCCGCGTTTTCGGTCCCTAGCACACCCGGGAACACCGAGACAGTTTGTCAATAAATGCATCGTTTCTGCAGTTGGCACGAAAAGCGGGCAGAGGTACAGTAGCGGGTTATGCAGTGTTTCATCTGTACTGTCTCTAGCTTGCATTCCAGCCACTAATATTGTTGCGCAAATGCGCTGCCATTGTTCAGCTCCCCCTCCATCTCGCTAAGGGGGGGAACGGAGACTGTGGCGGATGCCTCTCATTAGTATTGTTCCATCTATCGTCTGCGTGGTGGTATGGCGAACGCAACCTGGCCCTTGATTGAAAGTGCAAGTACTTCAAGTTATAAGGTCTGCTGATACCATTTCTTGAAGTGTTCCATGTTGCCAAACCCTCACCCAGTCCAGTTGCGTTACCAGTGCGTCAACGTTCATATCACCAAACCAGAATCAAACGGCAGCATCGCCTGGCCCTCGCAGTTATAAAGATGCTGTTCTGGCTTGCTCTCCAGCTCGGCTCAGCATGGGGCGCGGCATTGCCGTCTTCAGATCCAATCCCTCAACATCTGTCTCCATTCCACCTAAGCGGTCACTGCAAAGGCGAGAACTGCGGGCGGCCTGTCAACATCGACTTAGAAGTGTGGCAAAGAGGCCAGACGGAGCTGCAATGGTACGGCGAGATTACCGTCGGCACCCCGCCTCAAAAGTTGTAAGTACAAGCACTTACACCTACCTCATGTCGTCCGTTTCTTACGGCCTCCTCGCAGCAAACTCATCTTCGACACGGGCGCCTCACTCATGTTAATCGCCCACAAGAACTGCACCACCTGTGGCAGCCACCCTCTCTACGACCCAGCCGCATCCCAAACCTTCTCAGCGCATCCAGGCTACGAACTCGAAGTCACCTTCGGCAGCCAAGGCGGTGGAACGACGTCATCCCCCGAAGTCCAAGGCGCGAACTGCACCGTAGTCACCGACACGGTGCGCATGGCCGGGCGCGGCGTGGGCACCGAGTTCCTCATCTGCGACAACTACTCGTCCGGGCTCCGCGAGCAGCCGCCCGACGGCATCTTCGGCCTGGGCTCGACCCCCTACGCCCTCTGGAACGAGCTCGAGGGCGTGTCCACCCAGTACCAGCCCGTCTTCTGGCACCTCGTCAACAGCGGCCAGCTGCCCGGGCCCGAGTTCAGCTTCTCCTTCACACCCGACCGCAAGGGCGGCAACAGCGGCAACAGCGGCAACGGCGGCGGGCGCGCGGGCGTGCTCACGCTGGGCGGCACGGACCGGTCGCAGTACATACCCAGCACCCTCCACAAAATCCCACTCAACTGGCCGCTGTCGGAGTCGCGGTGGCGGTGGGTGGTGGACGTGCGCGGGGCGCGCGTGGGCGGCGGCGGCACCGGCGGCGCGCCGCTGGCCAACTCGACCGACGCCGTCACGCTGGTCGACACGGGCGGCGCCACCATCATCACGCCCGACCGCGAGACCACGCTGGAGCTGTACGCCCGCATGTCGCCCGACATTCGCCCGCTCGATGAGCGTGGGGCTTGGGGCGCGCCGTGCGACGTGCTGGACCGCGCCGCGCTGGATGTGACGTTCACGCTGGGGAGTGCGGATAGTCATGTTGATGCGGTGGTTAGGAAGGAGTATGTGAATGTTGGGGAGTATCCTGGCATGCCTGGGATCTGCCAGGGTGTCTATACCGACCCGGAGCGCGTTGCGCGCGAGCCGATCCGTGGTCGTCCCGCTTGGATCTTTGGCACCCCCTTGCTGAGGTCGTACTACACCGTTTGGAATGGCGCTGACCACACGTTGGGGTTTGCGACTCCATCTCCACGCGATCAGTACTGAATATTGGGGTTCGGTGGTGTTTGTTGGCTGGGCGGAGGGTATGTTGGGGTCGCTTGACTTGCTCGGGTGGAAAGGGGTTAGGGGTCAGGGGTTCGCTTCACCGACGCCGACAGGTTCGATAGTTTATATCTTTCTTTCTTGCCTTTACGCCCACGAGATACTGTTGCGACATGTGGTTTGCGTTCTCGTGTCAAACAATTGATCACCAGTGAGGGGCTGAGTCCAAGAGCATAAAAGTGATCGGCTGACAGGAACGCGAGACCAACCATTGGTCGCCTGCGCTTTCGACGTGGCCCTCCCACGTGTTCTCTGCATCCCCCTCCCCTCGATAAACTGCAGTTTGCAGGGCAAGTGTTCACCATTGAGGTAGCGAAAAGCCACAAAAAGCACTTTAATGTCTGCCTTTGGTTCTCCGAAGCGTTGAGCTTAGAGGCAGATGTGTCTCACCAAGATAACACCGACCACAACACCGGGTGCACCTGTCGCCCTCAGCTGGTTGAAAAGGGCATCATTAGACAAGATGAGTGCATCCCAAATCATATCCCAAACATGTTAATATAAAGTCAAGTGGATGAGGGGGCATGGCAGAAACCGATCCCCTTTGAGTTTCCTGTCCTTTTGGTGAACTTCATTCAGTTCTGCAACTTCACCTAAACCCAAGTTAAATCTTGTTCCAACTCGAAACCCGACATCAATTTAAGTTGCCTGCATATAGTCTTCTTTACCTCTTCTCATTTTGAATAAGTCCAGATACTACGCCATCGAGGAGGCACCCACCCTACTCACCCTCGAGCCCTCCGTCCCCCTAAACCATGACCAGACCGAGCGGCTTCGTGCAGTGGAGAGACTGGTGTTCGACCTGCCAACGCCACGTCACCTTCTACAGCTACCGATGCCACTACTGGCACAGCACTACCCGCAGTTGCCGCCGCTGCGGAGATGACGCATGGGTTTGCACGTGCGAACGGCGGCCCCGGCGATCCCGACGTACGAGGCGGCAAAGGCCGGGTTGGTTCTACACCCAGGCTTACGTCTGAGGGAGAAGCCGATTCCCGTCCGGGTTATGGCCGGTTTGGGGCTTGGTTAAGATGGTGTGTTGGGTCTATAGGCAGCTTACACCCCCCCCCTCGGGCCGGTGTTATCGGCAAACGTATCGGCAATTAGACGGGGGAGATATGTTGGATGGCAGCTGCCTGGTTTCCTTTTTAGATCTCATTTGTCACAGTAAGTGGTCCGAAACCCAGCCGCACGACAATATGTTACACACGAGCTAGTGTTGCTGACAGGATAGAAGTGAAGCAGTGTGGGAGCACTGCGTTGAGGCTCTGCCCGTTCACCGCGTCCCTTTGTCGGTGTGTCTTACCAATGTATGACTGGGAGCTCAGCTGGGAATCGGATTAGTCGTATCTGGAATGTATGCAGAGGGACTGGTCGCCCACGATGGCGTGTGGGTGGTGAGGCTGTTCGGCATTGATGATGAAGGGGGGGGGGCGCGTGTTCATGCGCGTTCATGCCTTTCTTTTGAATATTCCTTTCCTAGAACAGAGCCTGTGCTATTATTAGATCAACGTCATTCACCCTTTTCAGCAGACTTGAGCTTCAACTGTCCAGGATCATGATGACTTGCCTCGTTCAAACTCAACATCTGCTCAATCTGGTGGTGGTCGGCCCGACAGAGTAATCTTTCGTGTCGCTTGAGATCGGTTATCCAATCAATGCGCCTGGTCTTGAAATCGGCCTTGGGGGCCGGGCATGCCTTGCAAGGCGTAATGCTGGCTCGTGTGAGTGAAGATGTGAGGAGAGAACGCGAGTGAACAAGCCGGTGCGCGGCGATGACATGCCTGGCAAGTGAGAGGAAAATGCTTGGAGAATCTGGTTGCGCAGGTGCGTGTCTTTCCCCTATTGTGGTTGCCAGCGGAACATGAAGCCGTATTCCGTTAGCTACGTGCTGAGAAGGACTCGCTGTGCCGCGAGGGCGCATCGTTGACGTCCTCAACCGAACGTATGGGATTCGCAAGACTGGGATGCCTTTGTGGCGCCCGGGATTTATCCTTCCAGAACAGGTTCGCCAAACTCGTTTAAGCAAGGATTGTCACACGGGAAGATATTAATTAGCACCGTCGTTTCATCATCGGCACCGGGTACCTGGTTCGAAAGCTTCGCTTGTTCACAGCTCCCTTCGAGATTTATTGCGCGAGGCGGGTTTCGTCTCTCTCCGGGTGTGTGCCCATACTCGAACAAAGATAGATTCCACGATTGTAAGTGCGGACGTGGGTCTGGTGCTCGCGTGGTGAACCGTGAACCCTTTGCTCCGAGGCTCGGGGGTAGACAACCTACCCCCGAGCCCGCCTCGGTAGACGGATAACTCGGCAAACCACTGTTGCCTGGTGCGATGCGCCCGAGGGTTGCTACGCCCGGCTTCTCCGTATCTCCGCTGTCAGTGACAGATGCAAGTCATGAAGGCGCAGTCCGTATGGGCGGGCCCCCGTGATTTCCAGACCAAGCAGGGGTGCCATTCCACTCGGGACAAACTCCCGATGTTCCAGCCACAAACCTGCACCTCGGGTCACCACTAGTCCTTCCTGACATCCCGCTACCAACACCAATCAGAGGCTGAGCCTCGCCGAAGGAGCGGCTGTAACCCTCCGCGGCTGCCTCTCCTTTCGACGAAGGCCGTGTCAACGGGCCTGAGCAGAGGGCCGAGCAGAGGCCCGGGCGGATGCCGGCACTTCAGAAAATGTAACTCAACTTCAAAGAATTCTCCGAATTAGGTGAGTTATAGCCGCCACGGCCGAGCATGAAAGCTCCGTCGGTGTTTATAGCACGTCTGGCTTCGGATGTCGTTCGATCTGACAAAGCTGTCTCCCCAGATTCTCGATCGAAGATCTGAGACTGATCTTCACACGACCGAACTCTGTACCAGAGTATGATGTTGGACAAAGGATGGAACATGTAAGGTTCCTGCATAATCCTTGCGGCCATCATGGACCCGGCGGGCCCTGCCGGCGCAGCCGGTCCAAAATGATCTTGGTCCCACCAGACGACCGTGTCAATCTCAAGACCACGTGCGCCAGGCTTCGATTGCAACATAAGCCGCGAAGCGGGCGGGCGGGTACTTCTTATTTGTCCGAGCCAAGAAGTCTGACGGATGTGGGCGCTCCCTACCCTTGACGAACCCCTGGCCGTCACTTGTGTTCGCGACAACCTCCAATCAACGCTTGGCGAGATGAATGAGGAGTGAGGATTCAGTCCTTGTGTGTTCATCCTCACCCATGTTTCTGGAGACATCAAAGTTTGAACTCTGTGTAAACGCCTTTCATTTGTTCATCTCTGAGTGCCCCCACGTCCACCCACTTCGCTCACCACCGAGTCCTCGCTACGGCTCGCTAGCTACCCAGAGCTTACGTTGGCTGTTGCATGCTAGTCTTTTTCGCGGTTTTGCGAACGCGGCAGCGTTCACGCGGACGCAAGCCCCTGGAAGCCGTCCCTAGCCCTGGTTGCTCCCACATCCCGCGGACGGAATACTACATTCGCATGCGGGAAAGACGTCTGGATGGAGAGAAAGCAAGCGACTGAGATCGGCACGAGAAATATCCCGAATCGGAGAAATATTGGCACACTGACCCTGTTACATGCCCGCACCATCTGTCAACGGAGCGGGAAGAAACTGAATTACCAACTACCGCCAGGTTGAGAAATAATCACTCTGTTTCTCGGGAACAAGTCTTGCCGGCAACGCAAGCCACCGGGGTGGTCACCGAATGTGACTGATTTCCAAACCCGCACGTCAACAACCCCTCCCCCACCTCGCCCCTCGCCCTTCGTGCCATACTAGTATACTTCCCCTGCATGACCATAGGGCTCCCGCGCATGAGTATGTCCAGGGTGTTGGGCCCAAGCAGACGTCTCAAGGCCGAATTAGGGGAAGGATCAACCATGTGCAGCAAATATTGGATTCTGATACCAGTGGTCACGTTCTGGCGACTGGCCGCGAAGGGCTCGCCGCTCCTGTGATACGAGGCAGGGTTCCGCTCCCACGCTTTCACCCATCTCACCGGTAGCCCACAGACGGTTGGGGGCGGCTCTGCGTGAAGCCTCCCGACTACCGCCCAGGACTCCATCGCCATACCGAAGTCACGGGCAGCACGCGTGCCGGCATGCCTTCAAAGTCCCTGCGCGGCACAGCTAATATTAGCATCCAGGCGACCCCCAAATGCACCGCCCTCAGACTATTGACGTGTGACTCAGGAGACTCAGCACATCGGTGTGGACGCGGCAACGTCGGCGATGTGCCCAGCGCGGCCCTTCCGGCTCGGGGCACATCTCGCCTCGAGGCTCGAGGGCAAGAGGAGCCGGTCGTGCCCTCGATGAAGTTGTGACGAGAGAGACTGAAGAGAAGTATAAGTAAGAGACACGAGACGGGTGTTGAGAAGCCCTCTCCTACTCACCAGCCTCACACCTCCCCGCCTTGGGACACCTTCGTTGACTATCACCTTCTATCCAGTGTCTTCCTTAGACCGGAAGCCCTCACCTCCACGATGAGGCAGTCCCTCTTTTCTCTCGTTGCCACTTTCGCCGGCGCGTTTGCTCTGAGCATCCCGCTGAACCCGAACACCGGCCTCCAACCACGACAGGCGTGTGAGAATACGCCCGAGAATCGCCAGTGTTGGGGCGAGTACAACATCGACACCAACTACTACGATGTCGTCCCCGAGACGACCGGCCCTCCTAAGGAGTTCTGGCTCTCGGTCGAGGAAGGGCCTTGCTCCCTGGACGGGTTCGAGCGGTCGTGCATGACCTTCAACGGCACCGTCCCCGGCCCGACCATCATCGCCGACTGGGGCGACGAGGTCATCATCCACGTGACCAACAACATGGTCAACAACGGCACAGCGATCCACTGGCACGGTCTGCACATGCGCAACAACACGCTGAACGACGGCGTGCCCGGCGTCACGCAGTGCGCCCTCGTGCCCGGCGAGAGCATGAGCTACCGCTTCCGCGTCACCCAGTACGGCTCGACGTGGTACCACAGCCACTTCAGCCTGCAGTACGCCGAGGGGCTCTTCGGCGGCATGATCTTCCGCGGCCCGGCGACGGAGAACTACCACGAGGACCTGGGCCTGCTGTTCCTGCAGGACTGGGCGCACGTCGAGGCCTTCACCAACTGGCACGTCGCCAAGCTCGGGGCTCCGCCCGTCATGCCCAACGGGCTCATCAACGGCACCAACACGTTCGACTGCAGCGGGTCGGACAACCCCCGCTGCGTGGGCGGCGGCAAGAAATTCGAGATGGTGTTCGAGCAGGACAAGAAGTACCTCATCCGTCTCGTCAACGTGGCCGTCGACGGGGCGTTCCAGTTCAGCATCGACGGGCACTCACTGACGGTGATCGCGCATGACCTGGTACCGATCAAGCCGTACACGACGGACAGCGTCCAGATCACCATCGGTCAGCGGTACGACGTGATTGTCGAGGCCAACGCGGATCCCGGCGACTACTGGCTGCGGGGCGGGTGGAACGATAACTGCGGCGTCAACACCAACGCGGCCGACATCAAGGGTATCGTGCGGTACAATGCGAGCAGCACGGCGGACCCGCAGACGGATAGCATCGTCCAGGCGGCCAGTGACTGCCTGGGCGAGCCCCCGATCAAGACGAGGCCGCACCTGGAGCTTGACGTGACCAACATGCGCGGGGGTGTCGTGTACGAGGAGATGGGCACCGCGTTTGACGAGTACTTCAAGTGGACCATCAACACGAGCAGCCTGTACCTCGACTGGGGCGACCCGACCATGAAGCAGATTTTCGATGGCAAGAGCCTGTTCCCGACCGAGTATAACGTCGTGGCCGTCGATGTGAGTATTCCTGTCTCCACGAGAGAGAAAGAGAGAGACAGACAGGAAGAGAGAGAGCCGTACTGACCAACCCATCTTAGGCGTCCGGTACCGAGCCAGAATGGGCCGTCCTTGTCATCCAAGACATGAGCAACCTCAGGTAAACCCCCCTCCGCCCCAAATCTTTATTCTCGATCACCCAAAGCTAACCTTCCCCTCTCAAGGCTGGCGCACCCCATCCACCTCCACGGGCACGACTTCTGGGTGCTGGCGGCCGAGGTGGGCATGTTCGACGGCGACACGTCCAAGTTCAACACGACCAACCCGTCGCGGCGCGACGTGGCGACGATGCCGGCCAACGGCTACCTCGCCATCGCCTTCAAGCTCGACAACCCGGGCGCGTGGCTCGTGCACTGCCACATCGCCTGGCACGCCAGCCAGGGCCTGTCGCTCGAGTTCGTCGAGAGCCAGTCGCAGATCCAGACCGACGACGTCAGCAGGCAGGTGTTTGACGATGTCTGCGCGTCGTGGAACGCGTGGACGCCGATCTGGCCGCAGGATGACTCGGGTATCTAGATGGGACGATGGGCGGTTTTTTGTTTGCTAGTTGTCTCACTTCGTTGGATTGCAGAGTCAGCTTGAGTGTTTGCTCTTTTCTTGGATGGCGATTCTAGTAGCAGACGAGTCAATTGGACGTCGAGATGTCATGTTGTAGTCTCCCACCTCTACATAGGATGTATGTGAACTCCTCTGCTCCTTTTGCACGCCGCGGTCATGGAAACGTTCCAAACAAGTGTGTCACAGATAAGCATTTCTCGTGGACTTGGGTGCAGCTGATCGATCAATGACATTGACGCGCTTGGGTAAATAATACGAAATACGTCGGGAAAAAAAAACCCCCCGAAGATGAGGGGCACAGGTTGCGACAATCGGGTTCAACAGTTTAGGGTCGGATCATTTGCCTGTGAGGTTGACGGAGCAGCGTGTCCACTTGACTGAGAAAGTTGGAACAAGAGGGAAGAGACCGTGACAAACAAACGACGTTGGAGAAATGTTGAACTCGGGTTGAGCACCTGTTGCCAGCTGCCAGAAATTCAACCAGAGCTGCGATGCTGTGCGGGATCAGGTGCAAGGCTTGGCATGGGAGCGTCGGGTCTCCGAAGCATGGAATCGGATGGAGGATGCGTCGCGAGAACACACGGAGAGGGGAAGGTTCGACTCGCACAGGCAACCACCAAACCACACCATGAGGCGATTCTCGACAGCAGAGCTCGGCAGGTACCTGCTAACGGGCCAGCTCAATCGCCGGGGTTGTTTGCATACCCGACCTCCACGGGTTTTGGCAATTGCAGCGATCAGCCAAATAACCCCAAGCCGAACATTTACCAGCCAAGTCGAGACGTCCACAACATCAACCTCAACGTCGATCCCTCCCAATTCAATACCCCTCCGGAAGCAGCTGAAAGACGAAGCCAAGGCCCTTAAGGCATCGGGGAAGAAAAAGAAGAAGAAGGCCGACAACCAGACCGTCCCCGGTTGGGAACTGACGGTCGGCATCGAGATCCATGCACAACTGAACACAGCACGCAAGCTCTTCTCGCCCGCCGCCACCTCGTTCAATGACAAGCCCAATAGCCATGTCGCCCTCTTCGACGTCGCCATGCCGGGCTCGCAGCCCCTCTTCCAACCCGAGACCCTGATCCCCGCCGTGCGCGCCGCCCTAGCACTGGAATGCGAGATCCAGCCCGTCAGCCGCTTCGACCGGAAGCACTACTTCCACTGGGACCAACCGTCTGGATACCAGATCACCCAGTACTACCACCCCTTTGCCCGCGACGGCCGCATCGTGCTGGGCGCCCGCGACGGCATCGCGCCCGAGGATGGCGACCGCGTCGAGATTGGGATAAAACAGGTGCAGATGGAGCAGGACACGGCCAAGACGACTGCCCAACCGGGCGACGTGCACTGGCTGGACTTCAACCGCGTGGGCCTGCCGCTGGTCGAGATCATCACCCTGCCGCAGATCCACCACCCCGCCACCGCTGCCGCGCTAGTGCGCAAGGTGCAGATGCTGCTAGCCGCCGTCGACGCCTGCGTGCTGGGCATGGAGGCTGGCGGCCTGCGCGCCGACGTCAACGTTTCCGTGCGGCGGACTGCGGACGGGGACACCGCGCCCTTGGGCACCCGCACCGAGATCAAGAACCTGAGCAGTTTCAAGGCGGTGGAGGACGCCATCATTGCCGAGCGGGACCGCCAAATTGCTGTGTTGGAGGCTGGGGGGGTTGTCGAGGGCGAGACCCGCGGCTGGTCGCTGGGGAGCACAGAGACGCGCCGTTTGCGGGGCAAGGAGGGCGAGGTGGATTACCGGTACATGCCCGACCCGGATCTCGGGCCGGTCGTTATCGGGGAGGACCTGGTTGGCCACCTGGCTTCGTCACTGGGTGTGCTGCCTGATGCTGAGATCGACGAGCTTGTTGGGACCTGCGGTCTAAGCCCCAAGGATGCCCTATCACTCATGACGCTGGACGATGGGGCGCGGGTCGAGTATTTTTACAATGTCCTCGATGCACTGGAGGACCGTCTTGGACTCGCCAGTGATGCCGAGTCCGACCACCGAGATGCCTTGCTGGCTGCCAACTGGTGTCTTCACGAGCTGGGCAAGCTCACCGAACTATCTTCCGACCTTGGCATGACTCCCGATGGTGAATGCGGAGTGCCGTCGGCAGACCTGGCCGCCATCCTGTCACACCTCCATCGCAGGGAAATCACCGCCAAAGTTGCCAAAGATTTGCTGTGGGGCGTCTTCCGGAGAGAAATCACGGCCGGCGGTGTCACGCAAACCATTGACGCAGGCAACCTTTGGTTCAAAGAGTTATCCGAGCAGGAATACGAGGAGCTTGCCGACGAGGTGGTCGCGGGCGAAGACAAGGTCTTGGCCGAATTCTTGCGCTTCAAACAGGGCAAGGCAAAGGCTTTCCCACAAGGGAAGCTCATGTTCCTAGTTGGGAAAATGATGCGGGCTGGCACCGAGCAGCGGATGGATCCCGCCTCTGCCGAGAGGGTGTTGAGGGCGAGATTGGAGAACGTGTATCTTCCAGAGGCGGAGGCAAGGTGATTGGGCTAATCCCCGGACTCGATGGTTTGCATCGGGATGCCTGCGTCGGCGAGGGCCCAATGTACGTGCATGCACATTATCCATGTCAGCTTGTTTCAAACATCCGCTCAATGACGGCTACAGTGAGCCGCATCCTCCGCTTCCGTCGGCTTCACAAACGGAGCTGCGAATCCTGGCGATGGAAAGAGTGTTGTTTCACCCGCGTCCCGGACTTCCTTCCCGGCTGCACCAAGTCGTGTTGACACAGAAGGGGCCGGGTCAGAAAATGTGTCCTCGCCCGCCATATGGACTCGGGAGTCCGCTCAGCTTGTCACTACATGTAGCAGGCTAAGGGCGCCCGTTGTCATCGCAATTAGGCAGATGAATCGCCACTAACCAAGTGTCAAGTCTAATCGTACATGGACTCGGTGAGTTCCCCGCGTTGAGCCAAATGAAGCCGCAGTCTCGACCCACTGTGATGATCTTTTGTCAAGTTCCTCGAGTCCCATCACACAATTGCTAGAAGGGTGTGCGAGTCCCTGTTCCGTCCAAGCGCGACGGGAAGCGGCATGCTTGCCACATTTGCCGCATTTCTGCAAGGCAACGGGTGTGGGCATGTCCCGGCATTGTGGGAGCCGTTTGCAAGATTCTGCAGGTCGAATCAGAACTTCGGGAACCTGCCTCGAGCTCTCCGGAGGCTGTGCTTCATTATCACGCGTCGCGGCGCGGCTGAGATGGCGCAAACGGAGAGCCAGCCGGATGAGCCAGCCGGGTTGTGTAACTGACCTCCGGAGAGACACACGGGACAGAGCTTTCTGTCCTGGTAATTTTGGGGCATCGTCCTTCTCATACAATTCCTCGTATCTCCATTCGAGGGCTCGTCCACGAGTTTCCTCCTTTGTCAAAGCCGACCAGGGAAACAGCCCCAGCATGCGAGGAAACCACATTTTTGGACCTTGCCGCCTTCGTCATCGCCGTTTTCGCCGAGGCATCCGCAGTATCAGTCTTGTGAACCCCTTGAACATTCGTCCCTCTTTCTTCACACATCCCCATACCCCGCGAGCCAACATCCGCTCCAGAATCTCGACACACGCCCGACTCATCCCGCGGTCGAGCACCATGGACATGGACGGAAACGTCGCTGCCCATCCGGCGAGCTCGCCGGTCTCGCCCACCACGCGACCGCCTCCCCGCGGACAGAAGCGCCGTGAGCCGTCCGACGGGGCCGGTCCCGAGGGCACCGCACAGGTTTCTCCTGTCCGTCCGATCAAGAAGGAGAAGAAGGACAAGAAGGATAAAGAGATGGGGAAGAAAGAAAAGAAGGAACAGAAGAAGAAGAAGATGCTGAGGAAGCAGAAGAAGCGGGAGCAGAGGATCAAGAGACAGCTAGAGAACGAGAGGGCCATCGCCCGGGTTATGGTCCTCCTTCACATGCCCGAGAGCGCCCTCGAGGCTGAAGAGGTATGTACCAAGTGACTTTACCGCCAGTTTTTGAGAAGCCCGGAAACTGACATTTTGATCTAACAGGAGAAGGATGAAAGCGGCGCATCCGACGATGGTTGGGTTCCGGTCAGTCTTTTTTCACTCCATCCGCCCTTCACATTCCGCTCTCTCTTATCCGCCTTGAGCCTCATTTCGCACGTCGAGCCCTTGTCATTCATGAGCCTCATCTCTCATCTCGAGCACTTTCCACATTCCACTTTCTATCGTCTCGCTCGAACCTCGTCTTCCACCTCAGGCTTCATCATGCACTTCAATTCTCAGCTTCAACATTGAGCTCCTGTCGTCCATGCCGAGGCCCATCAGTGACATCAAGTCTTTTGTCTCACATCAAGCTTCACCTTCCACATTGAGTCTCATCTTCTGCCTCGAGTCTCATCATGCACATCAGCCTTGTGTTCCACACCATCCCTCATCTTTCCCACGGGGTCTCTCCTTCCACTGCCACGCCGGCTTGCATCCTTCTCTTCCAATCGCACACACCCTCTCGTCCTTGACCGGGACCTAACCCCTCCACAGACACTGCGTTTCAACTCCTGGAGCTCGCCGGAGCCGGAGGATGTCGACCTCGGACAGCCTACCACGCCCGTTGTCACGCCCGTTGTCACGCCTGTTGCCAGCCCTCCCGCTACCCCAGCCACCGACGGTGCTGCCCAGGGTCACGAACAGTCTCCTGCTGAGGACATCATTGCCGACACCTCCATCATTGATGACATGGTTGTTGATAACTCCGTCGTTGGTGACTCGGTTCCCGACCAGTCCGTGGCCGACGACTCGGTCGCGGGTCATTCTGTCACCGTCGACTCCCTTCCCGATGAGTCCGTCGCCGATGACTCGGTCGCGGGTCATTCCATCACCGTTGACTCCGTTGCGGAAGACTCTGCCGGTGAGGAGTACGTGGTCGAGGACCCCATGACGGAGGGGTTCGCCGCCGCGTTCCTGGCCTCTCAGCAGCCCCTGGTTACCGGCCGGGCCGTGGCCACTGGACCCGATGCCGAGGAGCTGCCCGCTGAAGAGCCGCTCACTGCACGCACGAACACCGGTCGCGACATTGGTTTCACGGAGGCCCGCATGACTGAGATCACTGCCGTCACCGAGGGCGTGTTGAACCGGCACGTCTCGGAGTATCGCCAGCGGAGGAGGCTGCGCTCCGTCGAGTTCGACATCATCATGGTCCTTGTCAAGGAGGAGGTGGAGAAGGTTCTCGAGCTGGTCGAGACCAAGAACCGTGATGTGAAGAATTTCGCGCGGCGCGTGGGGTTCCTCGAGGACCGCCTGGACTATCTCGAGGAACGGTACTTGGGTGATGACTAGAGTTGGCAAGTCAGATGCTCGGGCTGTTCCAGGCTCCGCAGGCTAACATAGGAAGTAGTTATTGTAGAGTAGCTTTAACCATTTATTGTGTTTGCAGAGGCTGTGAAAGGGGGCGTGTTGACGTTAACACTTGTCGCCGCGATGTAGTGAAGCGGAGTGTGTCCTCCATTACAAAGCTAGATGCAATGTATCTATGTGACGAATCTCTCCTGGACCCAGCTCTGAAAGGGTTCAGTCGGATTGAAGGTAAACAAGGGTGCTAGATTCGGTGCAGCCAAAGGGTGCACAACAATGATGTCTCAACAGTAGGCTCCTGAGCTTGTAGCGAACTGTAGTTGTGATTGCTAACTGGAGAACTCCCAGAGCTCTCCAGAACGAGTGACTATATACTATCTAATTCCTGGGTGCTCAGTGTGATCAGTTCTTCCAGATACTGATCCCACTGATCACTTTTGGATGAATCGTCCATCCTGATTGGTGTCTGGCCGCCGCGCTCAGTGTGCTCAGTCGCCAAGCAGACTGAGCCCACTAATCACCCTCCTATCCTCTTGATTGGTTCGTCTGACTGGCCCGGGGCGTCCCGTGCCCCCGGGGTCCCCCGTGGGCATATCCGTGATAGTATAGTAGGTATATCGGTATAGTAGGTATATCGATATAGTAGGTATAGTGGGTATAGTAGGTATATCGGTATAGTGGGAGATTTAGTTGTAATTTACCGGGTAGGTAATTCTACAAAAAGAATTAGCCTCGGTTATAGGGGTTTGCTGAGTAAAAAGAAGGTATATAAATACTAACAATTTAATAACTAGGTAGTTAGCTACCACATTTGGTAGGACCTAATGTACCTGGAGCTCGGTTATTGATTTTCCACTCGATGTGGGGGAAAATGATCGCTCAAAGCGGGGGCTAGTCCGTACATAATTTGGCATGCCACGGTGGGGTGGGCCGAGTGCGATTTGGGTTTTGGCAGTGATGTAGATTTGACGCGCCGTACAAGTCGGTCGAAACAGGCAAGTCGTGACCATTTCCTTGCAACACTTTTCATCTTCATCCCTCACTTTGATCAATCCGTTTCATTCGACTAACAACCCATCAGATCAATTCATCTAAGTTGTGATGCCGCGCATCAAACAAGAAAGCGGCCGAGTCCGCTCAATGGCGACTCCGGACTCCATTCCGGATGCCCCGTCTGAAACGGCTAGTGAGCGAGTTCAGAGGCGACGTCCAGTCCGTTCGGCAGCACGTAAGTGGTATCTCCGACTCTAGTCGCATAATAAATGATTGACTTGTGGCAGCGAGTATCGAAACTTGTGTACGACCTACGACGGCGTCCAGTCCACCCAACGGTCCGGAGGATGAGGATGATGACCTCGTAATGCTGGAGTTTCGACGTGGGCCCAAGTCCGAGCATGAGCTCAACCCCTTGGGCCCGCAAAGCGTCCAGAGCTCCTTCGCTGGGGCCAATCGAGCGCTTCGCTGCATGGGCCAGAAGCTCAAAGACATCAACGATGCATTGGGCGAGCTCCAAGCCCGCGGCATCCAGCATGTCGCCAGCTTGCCAGAGCTGGTTCTCGTCGGGGACCAGTCCTCCGGCAAATCCAGTCTTATGTCCGCCATCGCGGGGCTCAGCCTCCCTCGCAGCAGTGGAACTTGCACTCGGTGCCCAATTCACATCTGCGTCTCTCGCGCCGATGAGTGGTCATGCCGTGTCTTTTTGAAGCAAGATTACGACTTTTGTCCACCCAACCACCCGCTCACGGAGCGAGACGTTACAGGGAACAACAAATTCCCACCGTGGGCCAAACTCGACCCCAGCCGTCAAGCACGGCGCAAGTTCAAAACCGTGAGGGACCAGTTCGACTCCGAGGAGATCGAAACCGTTCTTCGCTGTGCCCAAGTTGCCATTCTGAATCCATCGACCCATTACCAGTTCTTTATCCCGAAGCTGAAGGGCGAAGCATCTGACAACACTCGCGAGCAACATCTTGAGCAAGTCAAGAAGAAAGAGGAGAGATCTGAAGCGCAATTCTCTCCGAATACCGTAGCGCTGGAGGTCAAGGGTCCAGATCTAGCGGATCTAAACTTCTACGACCTCCCCGGCGTTTTCATGACTACCAGGCGCAGCGAGGACATCTTCCTGGAGCGCGTTGTCCAGAACCTTACGCGAGAATACATTTCGCGCCCTAGTGCGATTATCCTCTGCGCGGTTCCGATGAACCAGGACACGGAGAATTCCCTTGCCCTCAAGATCATCAGGGGCCAACGAGCCCAAAACCGGTGTATCGGCGTCATGACCAAGGCCGATCTACTGCCGCGCGACGACCATGCTGCCTCGGGCTGGCTTGGCATGCTCAACGGAGAAGCCCACCAAACCGGTTTTGGTTATTTTATTACTTCCCGCCAGGGTAGCGACCTGGACGAGCAGAACAAGATGGAGGAGAGGTTTTTCAACCGTACTGCGGATGCTACAGGCCACTGGCCCGAAGTATTTGATCACTTTAAGGAGAAGTGCGGCGTTGAGAAGCTCAAGGTGTTCCTGTCGGAGAAGCTGGGTGAAGAGTTTGCCAAGACGTGAGTTTGTTCGAAACCATTCTCCACAAGCATGTAACTAACCTCACCTCGCCTTAGACTGCCGGAAGTGAGGGAGAAGGTAGACATCCGCCTCGCCGACATTTCGAAGCAACTGAAAAAATACCCCGATCCACCGCCGAACCCGGAGCTGGAGATTATGAAGAGGCTGGCGGAGTTTACAATTCGAGTCAAAGATCGTGTCATGCACCAAGACTTTATGAGTTCTTGGAACGATAGCTACGGCGGACCGTTTAAGGCCCTTATTCTCAATATGAAGCCAAAATTCAACGTTCGCGAGCACGCGAAGGTGTCGAAACCATCCCCAGTGGTCATCGACCTCGACGGCGACAGCCCGACACCATCGCCCACCGTTCGGAAACGCCCAGCTCCGGCCATGGACTTGACCCGGGCGTCCAATCCCAAGAGGCAGCGGCGAGTGAATGCCGTCGTCAAGACCGAGGCGCGGGACAACCACATGTTCCCCTCAACCCCTCGCCATACGCGAAGTGCGACGCCGGCTATGACGTCTTCCCGAGGCGGCCGGTCTAGGAGTCTGATGGACATCCGGCACCTCATCAGGCGTGCCGCAGTCCCAGGCCAACCCGGTCTCGTGTCTGCCAGCGTTTACGAACCATTGTTCACCGAGGCCGCCAAAAGCTGGGACAGACACCTCCACAAGTTCGTGGACAACACGCTTGCCCTTCTCCAGAGCGAGATCTTCACGATTCTCGACGCCGCGTTCGCGCACCTCACAAACCGCGCCGTCTACAGAGAGTCACGCGAGCACATGCGCGCCTTTATCGAAGCCCACCGCACCGAGCTGCGCGCCCAACTCGACTTTATCTACAATCTCGAATCCAAGCGGCTCTTCACCAAAGACGAAGGAGCGCTCAAGCGCAACCAGGCCGCGGAAAAGCAGATCCTGGTACGCCACCGCAACCACTTCCGCATTGCCGCCTACAACGGCGAGGAGCTCTGTGCCGTCCCAAAGATGGAGGACATGACCGACGAGGACCGGAAGCAGGAAGAGTCCAAGATGGTCAACGAGCTCAAGAACCTCGGCCCGGATCCCTTCGAGCCTGAACTCGCTGTCGCGGCATACATCCGTGGGTATTACCTCACTGCGGCTAACCGGTTTGTGGATTATGTTTCGATCCATGTCATGTCGGGCCTGCTGCCGCGGGTGGCGTCTGTGATTGAAATGTATCTGCACGAGAAGCTAGGCCTCACCAGCAGCTCGACCGCCCCGGACGTACTGGAGCGATTGATGTCGGAGGGCCCCGAAATAGAGCAGAAGCGTCGGGATCTGCGCGCCGAGAAGGAGACGCTTGATGGCGCGATGGATATCATTGTCAACCTGGAGCGCCACGCCCATGAGCAGCAGTTGGCTGCGGCTGCCGCTGCCGCCTCGCAGTCGCAGTATACCAATGGATTTGATGCGTCGCAGGATAGCATGGGGACGCTTGGTGTTGGCCATGCGAATGGTATTGCGGACCGGGCGACGGTGTACTCGGCCACGCAATTTGGCGATGCCTGATCAGTTGGGCTGCGGCATGAGAGGGAAGGTTTCCTCCGCTTTATGTTTCTTTGCCTCTCTGTTCATTTCGGTCGGTCTCGTCGGACGTTATGGGTCGCGCACGATATCACGGCTGTGGGTTGGAGTATCGATACTGCAGGGTTTGATCAGCCTGCTGGTCCTGTCAGCTGATTTTGTAAGCCTTGGTTGGCGCACTAAATCTCTTGTACTAAGATGGTGGATTTCCACGTACATTCCGGCAAGACCAACACTTCATACTTGACTGTTGGTTGGACTTCCGCGAATTGCCCTTGCAACCTAAACCCCACCTTGCATCCCTTGAATGCGTCCCCTGAATGCACTGTTCGGCAGTCTCCCGTCCTTCGCCGCACTGGCAGGCGGGCGTTAGGACCTCTGGGACTCCCCGTGTAAACAGGCAGTCCCGTAGGCCTATTGCTCCCGTTTGGATCTGGATCAGCAGAACTTAGGGTTTCATCTCGGAACAGCGTCTCTCGCTGATGGTCAAAGTCGTCCGCCGGTCTGGTGATTGCTCTGCCGTCCCGTTCCTTTAGCCACCTCGCTCTCCAAGCGTCTTCCACTACCCTGTTTGTATCTACAGCTCCCCCAGTCCAGCGCTCAATCGTGCTTGCGGCGTTCTCCACCGCCGCGGCCTTCCGCAGCCCCGCGGTTCGCGGCCGGCCCCTGCTGCCGTTCCTCGAGCGGATTCTTCTCTGCAACTCCGAGTTCTCCCGCCGACCATTGTCGATTCGCCCCGCCCGCGCAAACCAACCTACCCACGACCTGGCACGCTAGCTAGCAAACAACCGCCTCGTTCAACCATCCATCCACCCGACCAGCCGAGGGTAAGGTCGCTTTCTTTCCGCGTTGCAATCGTCGCAGGTCGGCCATGCTTTCCCTACTCTGCCATTGCTTGAAGCCTTGCGCGTGCGGAACAGTCGGTAGTTAACTGACTATCCAACGGGCAGGCGGCGGGTACGCGCCGCCCAAGAGGATGTTCGTATTGGGTGATATGTCGTTCGCCGCGCACGCAACGTTCCTGAGAACTTCCCCGACATCGGGGCCCAGATTGTCGACCGCGGCATCTCAAACTTGCACCGCAAGAGCGTCTACCGCCCATTCCGCACCCGGACCGTGGACAAGATCCGGCTCGACTGCGCGACGCCGGCTCGTGCTTTTAGGTATTCAGGAGCCGCAGGGCTTTTAGGGGGCCAGTGTAGAGGAGATTTTTTAAGGCGGCCAAGGACACCGTCGACCTCGCTAGGAAGATGGATCTGCCGCGACAAGTTACCGGTATTATCTCTCGTTCTCTTTGTAGTTTGAACCACTGCCTTTGTTGGAATCTACTTCCTATATATCGACATTAAGGGGTAAATGCTCCCCAAGGAGGAAATTGACAGGCTTCTTGACGTGACTAGGTACGGCCCTATAGCAACGATTATTGATAACTACTGCAAACAAGCTGACATTCCGGTTGCCCGCACATTAAACGCAACTCCCCTTTGACTTCAGCCGCGCAACACACAAATTCTCGCTTCGCAGTCCTCCGTCGAGCATGAACGAAAAAGGCAACAAGTCGGTTCTTGGTCTTCCACACCCCTACTCCGTTCCCTCCAGGAGCTGTTGGAAGTCGGCATCCCTCTTCTCGTGGCGAGCAAGAATGATGCGCTCCGCTGGGTGTTCGGATACCAGCTGGTAATGCCGCGAGACGTGAATCTGGCCGTAGCGGTAGACCCGGCCCGCCACCTGCGCCTTGAGGGCTTCAGAGAAGGGCAGGTCGACCGAGATGCTGTAGGCAGCTCGTTGCATGCCGTTGACCCCCTCGCCGCATACTGACATCACCGCGATGAGGAGAGCGGGTTTTCTTGCTTCGTCGAACCCGACCGGCCCCAGTGCCTCGTCAATCAGGCTTTGGCGGTCTCGGCACGCGGCGGTCAAAAGTTGCACATCCCAGCTGCCGGCCCAATGCCTGTCCGCGTAAAGGGCGTAGAGCACGGCGATCCCAGGTCTCGAGCAGAACAAAACCACGGATTTTTTGACGGGTCCCTTGATGCGTTGCCATTTGTTACCAGGGGGGTACTTGAACCCAGGTGCCGGCATGGACTTGTCTCTGATGGCCGTATCCAGTATCCGCTCGATTTCAGTTGTCTTCGAGGTCCCCTTGCACAGATAGTCCACAGCCCCGGCGGTGGCCGCTTCGTGTTTGCGGCGACCCTCTGGCGTCAAGTAAACCAAGTGGTTAGCGTATTGCGCCTTAATCCAATGGTCCCACCCCTTTTGGATGGCGGCCAATGCTTCGGGGTCGACGTCCGTCATCTGCAGCTGAGACGGGTGGGTAAATGTCGCCCCATAGAGTTGTGAAAGGAATCCCCCGGTCTTGGTGAGCCGGTTGAATATGGTTGCCGCATCGAAGTCACCTACATTGTCCGGCGGAGAGCGGTCAGCGGCGAACCATAGCCACGAGATACGGAACCAAGCAAGACTTACCACCCTTTCCCCCTTGCTTTGCCGATCGGACAATGCTCGACCACGCGTCTTGTTTCGACGATCCCTGGGGTTTCTCACAGTCGATCACCCGACTCTTGTGAAGTGGCAGCGCGCACTCCAACCCCCCCAAGAAGCGCGACTGGACGGTGCGCCGAGTCATGAAGCCGGCAAGGAAGTCTTTCAACTCCCCAAACACCGCCTCGCTAGTATCATCTGCACCTCGCTGCGACCTTAGTAGGTCAAACACCAGCGTATCGAACCGGGCTCGGCTCAGGCCGGCGCGCTTCTGGTCGCCGGCACTGCTCCAGGATTCGGGCAGAATGAAGTCTAAAGGGACCTTGAGGCTGGCCTTGAGCTCCTTGGTGAAGGGGGTCGCACTCATGAACATGCTCACCATCTTCCCGGTGGGATGGCGCCGCCTAAACATTTTCATGCAGGTATACACGATCGTGTCTCCTCCCTTGATCCGGTGGAACTCATCCAGGATGCAATGCCGCACCCAAAATGGAGCTACAATCCTCACGTCAACCTTCCTCTGCCAGCCTTGTGCGGCGAGGGGGTAGGTCTTGGTGAGGCTACGCATGATGGCGTGCCTGGGGTCTAGGGATGACGCGTCAGAGGGTAAAATCAGGAGGAAGTGCCGCTCCTTGAAGGGGTACTCCTGTCGGTCGTCCAGATAGGAAACTGCCGAATCTTGAAGCCCTTCCGCGCTCTGATTCTTGTTCAGCTGGCCAGTGTTGATGCTGTCAAAACCGCTCATTTTCTTTGCTGGCATCCCTTTCCCCGCGCCCGACGATTTCTTGGCACGTTTGATCTTGTTACCGCCGTCGACGACATCATGAGCGAACAACTTCTCTTTTGTCTCCTTGTTGGCCTCTGACCGGATGACTTCGACGAACTCCCACTTGGTTTCATCTGGCAGAGTGACAACCCGCTCCAGAAACACGTCGGCGCTATTTTGGGCTCCCTGGACTGTGCTGTTCGGCGTGAGGAAGACCGTGATACCCGGAATCAGCTCCTGGTGGATCTTGGACATAAGCGAGCCGGATCGGCAGATGCAGTCGTTGTATCCGAAGCCTTCGGCCACCTCGCACGTGTCCGGGTCGCCCCGACAGACCAGTCTCATCAGATCCACCGTTCGCAAGACGGCGACGGTACCTAGAGCCACCATCGTCTTGCCGAGCCCCGTGTCTAGGGCACTGATATAGCCAGTTCGGCCCGTGCCGTACGTGGCATCCAGGAAGTGCCAAACATCCCGCAGCTGGCCGGGGCGTAGCGCCATCTTGGTGCCGAACAGCTTCTTCCCGCTATCCATCTCCCTACACGCTGGGTCGTGACGGAAGAAGCGGCAGGCCTCCGTCCATTCTTCTTCGGTCCCGCCAAGCGTTATAGAGCCCAGCGCGTCGGGGCCGTCGTTGGCCTCATGTTCATCATATGCAGTGGTCGGTCCACCAGGGTCAGATAGCGCCCCATCGTCCGGCTCCGTGTGAGCGTTGGACGAGATCGAAATGACGTCGTTGTCCCTTTCGCGTTCTTCGGTTCTCTTGTCGTGGGCGGCCGACCTGGCAGGGCTAAATGGCGCCCCCTCCCCCGGTTCGGTGTCGGACCGTATGCTGGGGGTAGTGTCAGTTGGTTGCGTGACGTAGCGGCACAGCAAGATATGATCCCCATAGTGAGGGTCTTTCTCCAGCCCCTCTTCGCAGGCGCTGTTGAGAGCCCGGCGAAGGAGGGGCGCAGTGCTCGCGTCTAGCCATCTCTGGTTGCCGCTATAGCGGCCGATTTCCACTTCGAGCCTTAAGGAGTCAAGGCCTACGGTGGCTGAGCGGGCGTGACTCGGCGCTCTTATTCTCGTATCGTCCAAAAACGCTTCCTGGAGCGCCTCGAGAAGGGCGCCCGTATCGATGCGTTCCGATACGACGTCTTCCCTCTCGTCGTACCTCTCGCGGGTCAGCCACTGCGTCAGGATGCCGATGAACGTTGTACCGGATTGCAACTCCAGCGCAACACCAACGTTTCGAAGGCAAACCCTATCCTCGGGCACGCTAGAATTGTCAACCTGCTTTTGCCGCTTGGCAGGAGTCAAGGCCCAGAGCGCTGCAGAGCCCGGCTCAGACACACCGCGCTTTTTAGAGCTGCCATTTCCCGCGTCCTACTCGGGTATGTGGGAGTCTGATGGGGTCGGCATGGCTGACGGGCAAAGGAGTTAGCTTCAACCGTAGGTGGGGCGAAATCGGCTGGGCGTACCTGGGAGGCGGCTGCTACTGGAAAAAGCTTGGCGTCCCTCCAGAGATCGCTCAGGCTCGCTCGCCTCCATAGCGTGATAGACTTTAGGGAACTGGATCCGCAGGTGATTGGGTCAGTTCGCGGCCGCCGACCGGATATTAATCGTTACTTACTACGTTCATCGACAATCAACGACCGTAAGATGTATGGGCGGTGGTTGGTTAAATTGTCGGCGCGTAGCGCGCTCGGAATGTTGCACAAAGAGTTGGCGGCGCACCGAAGGAAACAAAAAAAGGAACAGAAAGAAAGGTTTGACAGGAGTTAGGGCGTTGGGTGTCCAACCTAGCCGGAGTCGAACTGGAACTATTTGGCGGTTAGTTCCCGGCATCAACGCATCAACGGAATGCTAAAGCGACTGGTTCTTACTATGTTCCGTCCCGAATAACTGTTTGAAGGGGCCGAGGGGGCTGATTGCACAATCTGGCTGGGGTCGGAAAACGGCCACGCGGTTGTAACGAAGAACGCGAGAAGAAAATAGAACTCCCCGCAGGAATCAGCACCTTCCCGGCTTGACCGGTTCGCAACACAACGCGGTCGACGCAGAAAATCGTTGGACAAGGTCGGCCGAAGGATCGGGAGCGGTCGGAGAAATGCGGTCGAAGAAACGCGCTTGGAAGACGAAGACAGAGCGAAGAAACAGGAGGTAGCGGGCCGCCAGGTTGTTGCGGCGCAAGGATCCTGTGTTCATGCTGCAGCACTGGGGTGAGAGGCAGGGGAGGCAGGTGGAGAGCGGTTGCCGGGGACGAGGAGAGGCTTTGAACTCAAATGCCAAAAGTGGGGCGCCTCCCGCGAACGCCACAGAGTTGTCCATCCTGGCACGTGCAGGAAACATCGAACTTCTACCCTCTGTTTTCCTACCAAAACTTTCATCTCTCCTATACCGAGCTGCGCCATTACTACTATTCTACCTTCGTACGTTGTTTCGTCAAGAAGTTCTTTTTCTCGATTTTTTCTGACCGATTTTGCAGAACCTAGCATTTGCGACGACCGATCGATCATCGAAATCCGCCACACCAGCCGCCTCGGCAGGAAAGGAGTTTTCGAAATGGCGACGGAGCGCACAAAGACCCCGCCCACAGGCGCACAGGCTAGCGCGCAGGCTGCACAGTCGAAGGGTACGCCAAATTAGTCAAACTGCAATTCTTCCTGAAATTGATGTTGCGCATACCCCTTTTATGGGAGCATTACTTTCTGACATCATAACTAACATCCTTGGTGAAGAACAGAGCCAGGCGCTACAGGATATGCATACAGAGGTTCTGTCGAAGACCCATGACCCGGGGAAGGAGGTCGAATTCCTCGGAGAGCACCTTCCCCAGCCCCCTGAGGTGACAGTCACGAGCAAACCTGGGATGACTATCACTAAGACTGTTTACCCGCCATTGCCCGATGGCCGGTTCGGGAAGACGGTGATCCACTTGCAATCACACCCAGAGCAGGAAGGACACCACGGAGGGTAAACATTGGGATTATCAGTAGACAGCGAAGAACCATGGCGTGGATTTCTTGATATTCCGGTTGCTCTAGCAAAAGGGGGCGATGGAGAGGAGAGCTATACCAATACAACATTCCTCGTGATCTTGTCTATCTCTTACAGGTTTAGTGATCGCAAGCGACAACGCGTTTGATGATCTCGATGGCCGATCCGACGAATCTTTACACTTATGGCGGAAATTTCGGTTTTCCCACTGTCTAATGAGTTTCTTGTGGATTCAATTTGCCACCCCCGAGGCATGACCCTAACTATGTACTAGCTTTCGACCCTAAGAACGACTGGGGGGACCCGGGCCAGGCGGCCACCGTACTATCGGGAAGGGGCATATGACCGAAACCCCAACGCTCCTCGAGCGTTTCCGAAATTCCGGGCCACGTAGGGATGCTAGCTCCGCTTGACTAGGGCCATCAAAACGAAGACGACGACGACCGAGGTGCTGAGGAGGCTCCAAGATACGCAACCAAGGGTCCTCTTGGCGCTACACTAGAACTAGACGGGGAGCTGTCCTTGGCTGCGCCGCATCACCTGCTTGCTCGCCCGCCGTCACCCTGTCCGCGTGAGGAAGAGGGGCAAGAACCGCGCGTGCCGGTAAGTCTGTCTCACTCGACTGAGAGTGAGTGGGCAATGAGCCGCTCGTGGTGTCCGATAAGCCCGCGACCATATAGCACTGACATATGCAATGACCACGTTGAGTGAGATTAGTTCCCTATGTGACCTGACAAGCAAGACTATCATAAGGCAGCCGGCCTCTGACCTTGACACGGCAAACCCGAGCTGGTCAACCCAACAATGAACCCCTCCTCCGAATAGCCACGTCCGAGTCAGCCATGTCCGCCGGTAATCAAACATCCACCAGGCACCCTCGGAACCTGGATACACACTATGGCGCGGCTCTGGAATAAGAGAGACCGAATAGAAAAAGCAGATGAGGACGGCGCCTCCCACATCCCTCCTTAAAGGCGATGCGCCCCGACCGCACCACGGCGAGTTCCAATCCCGAGCAAGTGAACCCGAGCAACCGGACTCAAACAATACAGATATATCCTCCCTGTGCCAATGCCCACGCGCCGAAAAAAAAAAGAAAAGTAGGCGAGTCGGTCGCCGTTACTTCGTATGGCCCCACACCTCCGTCTCGATGGCGGCGCGGTTCAGCTGCCGCCGGCGAACGACCATCTCGGCCTTATTGTCCGGGTCGAGAAGCAGGGTCAGGTGCGGGGTGAAAAAACCCACCCTCACGGTTGATACGACAGCCAACCTGTAGTTGCTTAGCGACGGTGCCAAGGGGGCCAAGCAGGACCAGGTAATTCGCCCGGGCCAGGTTGAGACCCTCGGCGATGATGCCGACGGTGGTGACTAGGACTTGGGGAGAGGGGGGCTCCGTGGGGTGGTAGCATTCGCGCCGTAGCCGGTCGAGAGAGACGGTGACGAAGGGCTCTATAGCAGCCACGCGGTTGGCCGCGCTCATGCCGCGATCGACCATCTGGACGGGGATGTCGAAGGTGTTGGTGATCCATAAAAACGCCAGGTGGGCGACGAAGGGCGAGTCAGAGTAGACTAGCATCTTCTTGTCGGACACGACGTCGTTCGCACCGGGCGCCGGCTCTCGGTCGGCCAGCATTTTGCGGATCTGTATACCGAGCTGCTCCATCTTAGTGCTGCCGTTGCAGATGTCGCGCCAGAAGGGCCATGCCTTAGATTTGGCCCGGGCCTCCTTGATGGTGCCCTTGGTGAAGACGCCCCGGAAGTCCTCGCCGGTGAGGCTCCAATCGCAGTAGGGCGCTTGGCGGTGGAGGCGAGCCAGGGCTGGGAACGTGGCGCACAGCCTGAGCAGGCGGAAGCTGCTGCTAGTGTTGGGGGCGCCGGCACTGATCTGGCGGACGAGGAGCTCTAAGGTGGGCTCGGTACGCCGACGATGTTCTGGCAGCTCCTCCCACCTGGCGTGGCGCTCGTCCAACAACGCTTGCACCTCATCCTTTGTGGACGAGAAGATGTTCTCGATGCAAGCGGCAAACTGGGGCGGCGGCGGACAATCCACGACGTTGAAAGGGACCATGGGCACGGTTGACAGCGGAGCGCCAGCAAAGATGTCGTCTCGGCGGCGGCGGAGGGTGAAGGTGAGCACGAGAGCGCTGAGGTTGGAGAGGAAGACCTGCTGCTGCTGCTGATCTGATTCCGATTCCGAGCCGGCGGCGGCGGCGCCGAGGCCGCGGGCGAGCGTCTTGTTGTAATGCGAGGTCAGCCGCTTGAGCGCCTGAAGCGTGGACATGGTGGGCGGTCGGAGAGGGCTGCTCCAGCCGGCGCCTGGGTGGTTCAGGTGCTCCAGCAGCCTCTCGAAGTCCGCCGGGTCCCGGGTCATAGGTGTGCCCGTCAGGGCAAGGAGGTAAGTGGGACTCCGAGCGCGCCACTGCCAACGCCGGATGCGATCCCAGAGCATGGTGGTCTCGCCCTTGATGCAGTGGGCCTCGTCCACGATGATCCTGCCTGGCTGGACGGCGAACTGGACTACAGTGGGCGGCCGGCGGCGGTCGGCGGGGACGGCGAAGGTCGAATCGATACTCTTTACGGCCGACGTGTTGGGAACCAGCAGGATGTACCGAGACTGGCCGGGCTTGGGTTTGAGCCTGGCGCCTTCGTCTTGCAGGCCCGGCTTCTTGCTGCTCGTGGGAGGCCCGCGGGGTAGCTTGGCGATGTCGATGTCGGCGATGAGGCTGCGCACAGGCGCGGGATCGTCGGGCAGCGTGAGGAGGATCATGCCGTCGTCGGGGCTGGCGTCCACGAACTTGGAGAACTCATAGGCCCACGATCTCAGGATCAGCTTAGAACCAAACACTACTGTAGGTCCGTGCGAGAGGTCGGCAGCGATCCTGGCGGACCAGCTGCCGGCCTCGCAGGGGCATTGGAACCCGTGAGTGTAGGTTCCTGACGGGCACTTGGTGCGCTCGTCATCGGCTGCGAGGTGCTGGTCAGGGTGCTGGGAGACGTGATCGGCCTGCGCGCGCAGGCGGTGGCTAAGGACGGCGACGGCCAGGGACATGACCGTCTTGCCGAGTCCCATTTCGTCAGCGAGGAGGGCAGTGGCGATACCACGGGCCGCCTTGCTAGCGAACACCCAGAAAAAGGCCCAGAGCTGGTGGAACCGGAGGCCTTTCTTCATGCCCGGAGGGGTATGTGTGAAGCCAGGCTTTAGGACGTCGCTGGGATCGATGCCGAAGAATTTGCACATGTCGCGGCGGACCGCCTCAACGATGCTGGGGTCGATGGGTCCTGGCTCAAACGCCTCTCCGTCCTCGGGCTCAACGACGTCGGACTCAACGAGGTCGGGCTCGCTACACGAAAGGACGTTCGTAGCATCTCTATCACGTGGATAGGGGTCAAGTTCGTCGTCCGTAAGGAGATCTACGACCTCTACACTAGGTGACACCGGCGCGATAACATCCTGGGGAGTCTGAGCCGAAGGCAGCGCCCAGATACGGATGCTCACGGGCAAGGTAGGGTTGTAGTAGCGGTTGGGGTCGAGAGGGACGCCCGAGGTCTTGAGCTGAGTAAGGAACAGCCGCCATTCGCGCTCGTCGGGGATGAGGGCAAAAGAGGTGCGCCGGTCGGCGTCCGCCGGGGAGACATACTAGATCCGTAGGTCGGAGAGGCCGAACCAGGCCACGAGGCCTTCGAGACGGTAGCGCGCGGGATCGTCGAGCGGGCGGGTGATGTCATGGCCGCGCACGATGGCGGATAGGGCGTCTACCGGACACTCTCGGGGAGGGTCGAACGCAGATACCCGGACCAAGATGGTGTCGAGGGAGGGAGGGTAGGACCGAGGGGTCGATTTACAAACTAGCACCTGGGCGCAGGCAGACCCAGGGAGCGCGGAGGCGGGCGAGCGAGTCGTGTCCGATGGGGTATGTGGGGTGGGATTCGGGCCGGGCTCAGGGACGCCCGACCTATGCCGCTTGGGCGTGTTGTGTTGACTGTGATTCTCGCCAGCCCGCTTAGAACTGCGCGTGCTAGACGTGGTGGTCTCCACGACGGCGGATATAGGTGGTTGAAGTTGTGCACCGCCGCGGCGCTGGGAGGAAGGGTCGGTATATCTGCACGCGGGTTCATGGTCAGCGCCGGGCGACCCACGAGAACGGGGTCGGCAGATCGGGGGAGAAGCTTACCTAACGTCCATCTCGGCCGCAGCGATCTTTTGGATGCGGCTCGGTGATGGTTCCTGCGGCAGGTTAGGTCTGGCGCCTTAACAGAGCGAAAGAAGAAAAAAAATTAAGTGGAAGGGTTGCCGTACCTGGTCTCGCTCGTCGGAATTGGGAAATTGAGGCGGCAGACGCGCACGCGGTTCGCGGATGTGTTCCGACGTGGTAGAGTCGAATTCTCCCGACCTGCAGAGGATCGGGACTAGCTGCTGGCCGCGGGAACCGACAGCGCACTGGATTTGTGACGACGCGGCGAGTGGTAGGTTCGATAGTTCGCTCGGACTGCTCAGAAGATCGAGTAACACGGAAGGCCGACGATGCAGCGGTGCGGTGTAGGTGAGGGAGAATGACGAGGGAGTTACGAGTTGAGGAATTGTTTGGTGGGGTATCGAGGACGCGTGCGAAGTCCGAGGAACATCTATGTTCCGAAAGGTTCCTCATGCACCACGCCACACACGCATCGCAGAAAACAGGCAGGTATGGGAAAGTACTTGTCACCTTCGAAGATCATTACTTGTTCCAAATCACTAGCAATCCCACCTACTTCCGCGAGAAGAGAAGCTCCTTACTGTTTAGAGTGCTCGGCAAAGCCCTTGACTGCGTTCCCGACCCAGCTGTATATCGAGTTGTCCGTTAAAACAAATATACGATTGTTAGCACTTGGTCGTTACACTGTGGGAGCCTCGCTAACCTCCCTGAAATATCCTTTCTCTGACGCAAGGCGTTTAACCATTTCGACGTCCGGTTCAAGACCTCCTCCTTACCTCGACAAAATACCGTGTAGTTTGTTTTATGGACCTACCGGGGTAATCAAGGCTCAGACGGAGACAAGACAAGGCTGACCTTTCTCTCGACAAGAGACTCCACATTGGTTGGAAACCCGCAGATGAGAGTCTACCTATTCTGTCGGACGCCCTCTTCGATTTCCCCGTCCAAGATGTTGATCACCATATCTGTCGGGACAGGCGACCCTTCCTCCAGGCAACTCTTGAGATAGTTCCAGAATGGTGAGAGAAAAGAAGTTGACGAAGTAAAGATTTGGAATCCGAGGACAGCCTTTTTCAAAAGGCAGTTGTGGGCTAAAATAAAACTTGGGAACCAGAAAAACTATCTAGACTTCGGTCCCTTCCAAAGAGGAGAGGCTGGTATTGTTATCGCAGAACAATACTAAGGAAAAGTACATACAACCCGGAATAAATTTCGCATAATATCAAGGGCGCAAGCATTGTGTGCGGTAAATTGATGAGGCTCCGGCCCCGTGCAAGCTCCCGCCTAGCTTTGAGTTTCCTCAGTGTCCCTCCCACTCCAACTTCCTACCGGATAGCCAGGAGCATCATTACCGTGAGAAGAAACAACCCCGGTTGTTGAGCGGGCTCGCCCAAGCGAAATCATTGGGATCTCCTTGAGATCAAGAACATCATCAAGAATCATGGCCGACCAGCGCGTCCCCAAACCTGTATCGTTTCCTAGCAACCAACCTTCCAAATCCCGCGAGATACAAATGAATCGCCGGGCGCTTGGCCAGGTGAGCATCTATTCGGCGATTTGATGACGTGTCGGGCGACAGGTCGAGCACCAGTCCGTCCACTGCACCAGGCCGCGCGATCGGGGCATGTTGGGGGCCGGGATTCGTTGACGAGGACCAGATATGATGGTGGGGGCCTGCTTGGTGTTATGTTTTGATCTATGAAGAACGAGGAGAGGAAAATGAACGTTGGCGCGCTGGCTTGAGTTGACTCCTGGATTGAAGTTGAACTAAGTTTCCAGTTCAGGTTTGTTGGGAAGGTTAAAAGAGTGTCGATGTCCATCGTGGAGCCCCATCATACACTTCACCTTATGTCAACATGTCCAGAATTAATTACGACAAAGTCACCATGCCAACGCCTCTTTCAAACACCTGAGGACCCCAGGTGCACCCGGTGAGGACATTGCGACGGAATTAGCAGATAGATCCAAGCACAGTCCGGTCCCTTCCGAGGCCACGCCTATCGAACCCACCGCCAGTTCGGAGGACGCAGTGGCCGAAGAAACGGAAGAGCGGGTGTTTGAGTTACGCTCTTCGGCCATGTTTCCGATCGACGACCAGGCCACCTTCGCAGAGCAGGATAAGCTGGAATTCATTAGTCTAGCGTTAGAGGCTGAGCGCGAATCTGATGACCGCTATGAGGCTGGTCCTGGCGAGGCACCCTCGATGCAGGTCTATGGCTCCTCGGAACGGCCGTTCATCCGGATATCGCGCGGTAGTGAGTTTGCCGACGCGTTCTCTCCCGACTATTTCCCCAAGACGTTCCCTTCTTGCTTTCCGTATGGGCGTGGCGGACCCCGGGTGGCGGACCGCAACGAAGAGGGAGGCTCAGTCAATCCCCTATTGCGAGATATGACGCTAGAATCGTGGGCCAAGGTCGTCCTGCAGAGACACGGTGGGCATTTTGCCCAGCACCCCATGTTTGGGTTCCTCATCTTCAACATTCTTGTAAGGTCCCGGAATCGACGAATCGGCCAGGGACGCTTGAAGCGGTCGGCTTTCCGACGCGTTGAGGGAATCCATCGAAGGCTGACACCCGAGCGGTTGAGGGAGGCGCAAAAGGAGATGTCTGAGACGGGAAAGACGACGGACGGACGTCCTTGCAGTTATGAAGGAGCTCTCTCTATACGGTAGCCGACATCGATTATCAAACGAGAGCCGCCTGTCGATGCGGAAGAAGATCTGGTCCATGATCGTGGCGTTCGGCCTCACGGCTATCTGGTTTACGCTCAACCCAAACGACATCAACAACCCGGTCAAGCTGAAGCTTGCGGCGCATAGGGGACGGGATGGCGAGGCCGCCAGAGCCTTTCTCAGCGCACTGTCCACGGCGCTGCAGGTGACGACCCTCTCGGTCCACGATCCTCTGAGCTCGACTCTTTTCTTCTTCCGCGAGATCTCCCTGTTTTTTGAGCACTACGTTCGCGTTGGGCGGCCTTCTATATACGGGAACGTCAGTCACTATTACGCCACGGTAGAGACCAACGACCGCGCGGCCCTTCACCTGCACGGCCTGCTGTGGCTGGACGGGAACCTAGATCTGGCGAATCTCGTCCGCGATATGGCCAACCCCGACGAAGGGGTATACCGGTCCAAAGTGAAGAGCTTCGTGGATGACGTATTCACCGGGACCCTGGACGAGGCCCTGGCGAAGGAGGCAACGGAGAGTGGCAAGAAGACCACCGTGGTAGAGCCCGAGATGATTCACGACGCGGAGTGGCTATCGGGGGGGTTTGAGCGCGAAGCCAACTTCGTCGCGTCTCGCTGCCAAGTCCATCACCATACCGCTACGTGTGTGAAGTACTCGATCAAGGAAGTTCTCAAGTCGGGTACGGAGAAATGCAAAGCGCAGCTATGTCGGTTCCGGGCTCCGTGGAAACTCGTGCCGGAGACTAGCTTTATGGAAGACGGCCTGCTCGAGGTGAAACGGGATCATCAGATGGTCAATCAGTACAACCAGAGCATGGCCGTGGGTCTTCGGCATAATACTGACATATCACCAATCCTTACGCGGAAAAAGGGGCTGGCGCTCGTCCACTACATTTGCAACTACGCCTCGAAGCTCAACGCTCCGATGTGGAAGCGACTCGCTCATGCAGAGGACCTGCTGGAGTTGGCTTTGCAGCAGCAAGGAGAGCTAGACGGCTCGGCTGCGCCGTCGGCGATGGGAGAAGCCACCAAATCGTTCCTCCTACGAGTCGCAAATCGAATCCACACGAGCAGAGAGCTCTCACATCCCGAGGTGCTTGGCTATCTGCTCGGTTTCGAGACCGACTTCACGAACGTCACTGCCTGGAGCTGGATATATCTGAACTCCTTGTACTGGGCCTGTGCTAGATAGTGGCCGGGTCTGCGAGAAGCATTGGCGAACGTTGGTCAAGAGCCGTACCCAAACAATGTCTACTTCGGAGAAAGCGGCTTCAAGCTCTCTTATCTGGAAGCGTACAAGCACCGCGGGCCGATCTTCAAGCACCTCTGTTTCTATGACTACGTATCCTTTGTAGTCCTGAAAAAGGAGCATTGTCACCGGCGAGACCCGACCTCGGTTCCTTTTCCACCATCGGCAACAGTCTGCAAAGGATGGATTCAATGCCTCCGAACTCCGAACAGGACAGTAGTACCCGTTTTTCATGGTCGCCTCACAGACGAGTTCGAAGAGCAGGACGAGACATTTGTAAGGAGGTAGGTACCATGATCCTCTTGTCGTAAAAGAAAAGGGTTTACAAGTCACATACAGAAACGCAGTCTTGCACCTCGCCCTCTTCGTTCCATGGGAAAGGTTTCAGGCTGGGCCAGCGGACGATATACCGGGACTTTGGCGATCGCTCGAGGGGCATCTGGGTGCCCGACTCCGCTCACACGTCCAGAACATCGCTCTGCTACGCGTCTCGGCGGACGATGCCCGTGCGGATCGAAAGCTCCAAGGCCTGGAACAGGAATCCGAGGACGTCGTCGACGGGTTTGACTTTGATGCCCGGGCGGGGGACGATGACGGAGTCGGGGTGGATGTTGAGAGCATCGATCCACAGGACCATTACGAAGCCTTCCTGGATGTCTTATCCGCGGTCCGACGTAGCGAAATCAAGGATATGGCGGCGACCTCGGCGCTGAGGCGCTTGGACGACGAGGCGAGGGCAGTTGACCCAAGCCAGGACGACAACACTGCTGCCCAGCGTGGTCGCCATTTCTATACCGTGCTACAGGACATCCAAGACTCGCCTTTCCGCGGCATGGGATTACCCAGCCGCGAGGAGATCGACGCGGTATTGAAGGTCCAAAAGAAAAAGGACAGCAGCGTGACGGCAATTATTCAGGGTAGGCAAACCAATTCGTCTTCTGCGCATGATGATGGGCCCCCGGGGAGCCCATGGCGGCCCATTCGCGGAAGCGAAAGACCTCCAGAAGGGGTCGGCCCGGGCGGACAGATGCGGCTCGAACTTGGCCGTTATGCAACATACGTCGATGTGGCCCCGGGGCTCACAAGGCACTGGACCTTGAACAAGCTCCAATCGATGGCGGTCTTGCTGCCGGCAGCGTTTCTTGACGAGCGCGGCACACGCCTGCGGGAAGAGGGGGGTCGGCAGCATTTCCAATACATCGGCGGCGAGGGCGGCACGGGCAAGTCTCGCGTCATACACGCCATCAAGGACATGTTCCGGCTGAAGGACGGTCTCCACACGCTGCTCCTGACGGGCGCCAGCGGCAACGCGGCCGCGCTCATCGGCGGAGTGACGCTGCACTCGGCGGCAAACATTGCGTTCGAGGGCAGGGCAGCGACAGCAAAGAACGTCTCGGAAGAAGAGAAGCTGCGGTGGAAAAACATGATCATGCTGGTTATCGACGAGATCAGCCAGGTGGGCGGTCTCACGCTCGCGGCGGCGGACAGCCGCCTGAAGCAGTACAGAGATGATCAGCATCGACCGTTTGGCGGGATCCCAATGGTCCTGTTCTTCGGCGACTTCTTCCAGTTCGACCCTGTTCTGCATACCAGCCTCCTCTTGCCTATGCCTAGGGACCGCGGCGGACAGAGACCGGATAGCTCGGCAAAGCACCTAGCTGCGCATAAGCTGTTCCTCCAGTTCACGAACGTCGTCATCCTCCGCGAACAAGTCCGCGCGGCCGGCTGTCCAAGCCTGCGGGGCTTCCTCCGGCGCCTGCGCAGTGGCGAGCAGACCGAGCAGGACTTCCAGCGGCTGAGCCAACGCCTCTATACACCGTCGTGCAAGTCCTCCTTCGTAGATGGCCTGAGAGCCATCACGCCCCTGAACCAGGACCGGTGGGACCTGAACATGGCAGCCGTCGTCCAGTGGGCCCGTGCCCACGGTAAGCACATCTCAGTCTTCGCGGCCAAGCACGATACTGAGTCGGGGAAGCGATTGAGTGCGGGGGAGCTATGCCACGTGCTCCGCCACGGAGACGACTCACAGCTGCCGACCCCCGGCCTGTTCTTCTACGCGCAAGGCATGCCGGTGGTGGTGACTCGGAACCAGTTTGTCGGGCTGAAGGTAGTCAACGGGGCACCTTTTAAGGCCGTCGACATCTTTCCCGACCTCGCCGCCGGCACCATCGCCCTCGCCAATGACGTGACTCTTCATCTTGGACCGCCGGTGGCCGTCCTCCTTCAGTCAGACGATGGCGCGGACCTCGCCATCCCCGGGCTCCCCAACGGCACCATTTTGATCAAGAGCAAGACGGTCGCCATCCCGAGCCAAATGCGGGGCAAGGGAGCCAGATGGAGGGGCAAGCCGGGCTTTCGGTGGGTTACCCACAGAACTGGGCCTCTCTGCACGCCGGCCTTCGCCATGACGGATCAGAAGAGCCAGGGAAAGCAGTTCTCGGACGTCCTCGTCAACCTCAAAGGCGTCCACTCGAGCGGTACGGCGACTCGACCGAGCTTCATGAGCTTGTACGTGCAGCTGTCGAGAGCGCAGAGCTGGGACGGGCTGCATCTGTTTCGGAAACCGGCGCGCAGTGACTTCATCGAGCCGAAGAACGTGCTCGACAAAGACATGAGGGACGCCATCCTCAAGCTGGAACGACGGGGCGAGGAGACCAGACGGCGCTTCGAAACAGACCATAGGCACGAGTCGTGGTTTCCGGAATGGGAGGCCATGCCTGGATCTAGGCAGGGTACTGAAACCGATGACGTAGAGGACGCGGCGCTCTGGCGAGACCCTGGGATTTCCGAGCTCGGATCGTAGCACGCCTCTCTGCCGTAGCTCTGTTCTGGTAGCGACTTTCTAGCGGAATAAGCTACTTCCAATTGATATTTTTATTTTCCTTCTCACCTTGTTGGCCTGCAATCTGCATCCTTTCGTGGTTGTCGGTGAAGCTACCGAGGGGTGCGCCATCTCATTGGTCCTTATAAACCGGGGCCAGCCCCACAGTTGAATTTCAGGGAGACCGGCCTAACAGACCGTCCGTGCACCACCACTGCCAAGCCCAACTTCGAGACGCTCATCGTCAGAGACAACTTCCTCCACGCAAAACAAGATGGCTCCTTCCACAATCATTAGGATAATGGCAGTAAAAACTTCACAGTATACGGGGGAAAACGGCACGGATTTTTTTTATGGGGTTTTTTATGGGGATTTGGTCCGTGCTTGAGCAAGCCATCTTTATGGTCATGGTTTTTCTCGGAAAAGGAACCTTTCGGAACATAAATGTTCCTCCAGGCATAAATGTTCCTCCAGGCATAAATGTTCCTCCAGGCAAAGTAAATCGGTTAGCTCTAGGGTACCACCGGGACGAGCTCCCTCGAAGCTTTGAATTCCCTCGGTGCTACCCTCACTTTTATTTCTCATCAACCGATCTTTCCAATCCCGCGGTGTACAAATGGATCGCCACGCACTTGGTCAAGTGAGTGTTTAATTGGGTAGACTTTAAGGACTTTGCTGACACAGTCAACTTCTCATTCTCAGGTTGTTCTGCGTTTACAAGCTCAATACATTCGCTCCGCTATTGCAACGGAAATTGAGACGTTTGAGAACTCCTTCGATGACATCTTGCAAACGGCCAGCCTATTTTTGGTAACCACCGAAAGGGTCGCACAATCTCCTTCGCTGGTGATCGTCGATCAGCCTGCTGTGGTCAAGACCGTTTGTCACTTTCTCGCGGCGTCAAACGCCATACTCGAGTTTCTCAATTTTCAACAGAGAAGGACTCGACTTGCTTCGGGAGGGGACGAATCTCTGGAAAAACAAGTTAAGGAATCCCAAGCGCTAGTGAAGGAGCTTCTCGCCACTCTTCTGCTTTACAAGACAGCCGAAACCTACCCGGGCAGGGACTGTGGCCTCATCTACAACGAGGACGTCAAGGTTTATGGCGACTTTCTTCTCCACAAGTACGGCCATGTTGAGCAGAGCGACGTCCCCGACCCAGCGGACGATAATGAGGAGACGGAGAGGTTGATTCAGTACTGGCACACAGAGAGCTTGGTTCATCCGTTGAGGCATGTTCCAGGCAACCCATGGCACAAGTTCTTTGGAAACCTCCAGCCAGGCCCGATAGTGAGACCAGAGTTGTTCAGGGAGCGCAAGCCGCAACCGTACTTCAGGCTCATGTTTCCGACTACCATTACCTGGGTACAACCCGAGATCCGCCGCGATTATGATAATTATCGCGAAATGTTTGAGAGAGTGAGTTACTAATAATGGAAGAAAGCTATTCAGTATACTGACATCATCCAACAGTTTCTCCGATTCCCTCGACCACGTCTCCCGGAGGCCATCAGAGCCGTGGGTACATTCTATCTTAGCGGAAAGGCAAGTACTGACACGAAAACAGGCCAGGACTAGAAGAGTCCAGTGCCGCTTGTCCCATTATTTCAGGGGCTGGAAGAGAACCGAGGAGGCAGCGATCTTGTGTCTGGAGGATATGAGTGAGGTACGTCACATCTTTGGGCATCCACGGGCTTGAGTGTGAAGCTGATTGTGATCAACCAGATTCCTTGCCCGGAATATGACCTCTTGGGTCTCTCAAGACTCGAGGCGTTGAATGCTGAGATCAATGCCCCAGACTTGGCAGGGATTGCTTTGTTGGGAGAGGATATCCCCGATGTCCCCATTTTCCTAGAAGCGGAGGGCCGCAAATACTGTCTCGAGTTCGACGGCGAGCGGGATTGGTAGGCTTTAGAGCCTCTGCGTTTCGTTTGAGATCGAGTACAGAAAAACCCTTCGGGGTTTTGGGGCAGTTATGACGGAGTTATGACGGTCCATTTAACTCCGCAGCGACTTTCGGGTGCTGCAGGATGAAATTCAGTTTCGGAAATCGGTCCAGTGCAAACTGATTTCCAGCCCGCAGCGCCTCTCTCCATCTGTCGCTCTTATAATGACAATCTGTTGGGAATTATGTCATCCGTCGAACCGGACCAAAGCGCAAGATCCCTGCAGGGCTGATACAACCTTAACCCCCTTTGACGAAACCTACCTGAGCTCCGGCGTGAGAAACTCCCAGGCTTTGCTGTGTAATACAGTGTGGTAGAACCTATTGGCTCCCGTGAAAAATCCGACATGGGCCCAAGAGAACCACACGACGCCATTTGGTCTCAAGTAAACCACTTCCAATCTTTCCGTGAACGAGGGACACGGTGGGGCCCCGCCGCCTCGCAGTCCCACTTCGCCAAGTTTGAGCGTTTCACGCCCAACGATGCGGCATCTTTTGACGACTCGTTCGCCTGCGTCGCCTCATCCCAGCGGTGGGTTCCCGGTTCCTCGGAATACACCCGACAGCGCACCATCGCGATAAGGGAGAAACTGGAACTCCACTACTTCTCGCTGCCGCAACAACTAGACGACGTCAACGAAGAAGAGCTCGGCGGAGAAGAGAAAACGCTCCAGGTTACCAAGCCCTATGTCACGAGGTCGGCATCGAACCGAGCGATTCGGCCACCGAGTGCAAGAAAACTTGAAGAATACGCTCGTCAACATTGTCGACCTCATAGATGCGCGGCGGACGGGCAAACGTGCCGAAGCGTGGGGCACTTTTGAGGAGTTCCGCACCTATACGCTCCGAGACAAAACGAGGATTGATCTCCACAAGACGAAGAGGTTCTCAGGGTACCTTGCTTCGTTGTTACAGCGTCTGTCAGCCC